GTAATCAATGAGCTCCGGGAGCAGTGCACACCCGTACCACCGAGCGTCGAGTCAGTCCAATTGGCCCGCATGCTCAGATCGCGTTTCCAAGTCTTGGTCTCCCGCTCGACGGCAATGTTGTCTTTCTGCGTAGCATCCAAAGCGGGAGTAGCGATCCATGATCTCGCCCACCAGCCACGCTTCAACACCTTTGCGCTCTTGGCGAGAAACGGCACGTCGCGCTCGCGTGCATCAATAAACGGAAGCGTGTTGATTGACAGTTTTGGGGATAGGTCAGGTTGATATCGTAACCACAGAGATGTTCTCTGCTCTCCAGTCAGAAACGACTTCGGTCGATCCGGAGAGACGACGCACTGTTTTTGAAATATTTGTACACGTCTTGATCGTAACCGATTAGTTGAGGGTATGTTCTAGTATGTTCGTCTGTAGGATGGGAGTAAGAATAGGAAGATAGGATTGCGAGATCTGCTGACGCTTGGAAGGAGTTCGAATACAACATCGGATGCAATTGATCCGTCTCCAATAGCGATCTAGCGATCTTTACGGTGGTTTTGACATCGAGAAATAAGCCTGGAGGTATCAGGCTCAGGGCCCGGCATAGCATCAACGCCGAGGACAAACCTTCATGATGTACGGGATATATCTGCTCGGCAGGTCAACACAGAGCCTTGAGAATGACAGAAACCACTCACACGCCAGCGTAGCTTTCTCCCGTGAGATGCAATGGACGGTGCGCGAGCTCAGGGAAGACTTTGACCAGGTTTCCGAGGAACCATCTACGCCGCCGAACATGAGCCAAGCAGCAGACATACGGGGCAACACGCACAAAGTCCGCGCCCATCTGGTCTTCGTCGGGGACTTTCAAAGTACGGAGTCGTCAGCACGAGAGAGATGAGAGGCGTGGAGTTTCGCACTGTAACCAGCCGCATCGGCGGTAGACCAACCCACGCCCACCGGTTGGTCGATCCAGACAAAGTCCGACACCTTATCCAGCTGTATGGATTGAGTGAGATGGTGGTTCCGTTTGCTGCATCCGAATCGGCCCATTCTGGAGGCGACTTAGTCCGGACGCAGAAATAACGCTTAGGAGCTCCGCTAGACCGACCTCCAGGAAGAACCCGATCAGACTGGACGAGCCTAGCGGACACACTACTTGTCAACCCAGAATATCGAAGAGGCAAAGGATGAATTAAGCACCTGGCCTGGAGTGAAGCATGAGAAGACGAGACACGGTAAATTGAGGTGGGTGACTGACCCCCCATTCAGCCAAATACCCCACGGTTCTGTGCTTCTGGCTTTTGTCAGCGAGCCGGGCTGCTTCTCGATGCCCAGAAGAAGAGCGTGTTATTCGGATGCCCTGCGCGCTGCACTCCAATGTTCTGCGTAGCTGCTGGGTACGGGGAATGTCGCGTTGGGCAGTCGATCCCCGACGCGAAAGTCTGGACTGGTATTAGCTTTCATCGGCCGATTTCAACTTCGGAAGAACCGACACTTTTGCCAGGCGGGGACTATAGTCTCCCCGAGGCTGGCCAGGATAAACATGAGGGAAAGAGCTGGGGAGGTCGCTGCCGGTCTGAGCAAAGACTGCTGTTGAGAATGCCGCGAGGAGTGGAAGGAGAGCGAGCATGACTCCGAGAGTGAAGGTACTGTAAGACCACGAAGGTTGACATTGATGTTGACTGGCTTTATATAAGCGTAGCAGGCAGCCAATTTTAGTTACACAATAAACTCGAGTTGCGAGCCCGGTGGCTTGCGCGCATCAACTGACGGCCGCGCCGTTATTGTCTGCCCCTCGGCACTGTCACCGCGACATTCGGCAAGAAGCAGAGCGCACAATAGCCTGTGAGTAATACGGCATCCCGAGCCCACCGACGCGCTGCTATGTCTTCCAATCCAAGTCCCGGGACCTGTTCTGGTCCCGGGGCTGGAACTTGCAACAAAAAGGATGCCGTATGTGGCCGTGCTCACTCTTTGGCTCTGCTTGGTCCCACCAAAATATTTCGAGTCGGTTTCCCCGCTCTCATTCGCCGTTACGCACTCCCCGATGCTGCCAGACACCCTCCAAGCTCTCGTCGCCCGCACTGCTGCGCGCGGAGTGCATCCTCGGGCTCTCTCCTCCGACAGCGCCCAAGCGCCCCATTCCGAACATTTCCGACCGGCGCGTCAGCAGGGTTCCACTCGTCCTCCCGAAATCGTAACGAGGTCCCGAAGTCCCCGTTCCAGACCTTCGTGGAGGTGCTGCGCGACGAGCTGAAGAAGAACGGGAGCTGCAGGAGAATGTCAAGCAGCTGCAGGGCGACGTGGACAAGTTGCAGGACTCTGAGGCAATGAAACGCGCGCGCGCGGCGTACGAGCGGGCACGGTGGGTTTTTCGCTCCCTCCCCTTTCTAATTCGCTCGGACCCCAGGACTCACTGGTTTTGCAGCTCACGTCGAGTATCCAAGAAAACCCTCGGCTTCGGGCAGCCGCCGAGGAGTTGCGGAAAACGGGAGTCAAGGTCGGCGACGCGGTAGGCGAGGCGCTGAAGACGATGGAGGAGAGCGAAATCATGCGTGCGGTGCGTGCCATCTCGTAGCCCACGCGACTTTTCTCTTATTCCATTCCCCCGTCCAGATCTCACGCGCATCCGCAGCCGTGTCCTCGTCCATAGAGAAGTCCACCGAGCCCATCCGCAACACCGCCGCGTACAAGTCGTTAGCCGAGACCCTTGTTGACGCACTGGATGACAGCGGGAGCGCGAAGCACGCTGGTTTCGAGGAGAGGGAAGCACGGCGGCTGAGGCGGCAGAAGCGGCTAGAAAAGCTTGGTCGCACGAGCGGATTCGCACAAGCCAACCGTGTCGCCGTCAACGAGGAGTAAGCTCACAGTATCTCAATTGGGAGTCATATTTAAAGCAAGCACAGAGCAGGGTCGGCCCTCGTCCTCCACAAAGACTCACCCCGACAAGAAAAATGGAACCGCATGAAGGAAGAGAGCCCGGTCTTCCGCACGCTGGCGTCCTGGCGGCAAGCTTACGACGAATCGGAAAACCCCGTCGTCGCCTCGGTGCGGGGCATCACCGAGACCGTCGGGTCGTGGTTCGAGGAGAACGAGATGGCGCAGGTCAATCGCATGATGAAGAACCTAGACCCGACCTACACGCACGACTCGTTCGAGCGGGAACTGCGTGAATACATCGTGCCGGAGGTCGTGGACGCGTATTTGAGCGCCGACCAGGCCGCATTGAAAGCCTGGTGTGGTGAGGCGGTGAGTGTGGCCTGCAGTTTTGTGGAAAATGGCTGGCTCAATGTTTCGAAAGACATATAATGTGCTTTGGGCAACGATGGAGGTCTATCTACGACAAGGCCTGATTAGCGACAGCAAAGTGCTCGATATCCGACAAGTCGACGTGAGTTTCTTTCGAATGTTTGCGACCCTGCCTAGGCTCAAACTCTTTTGCTCAGATCTCTGCCGGGAAAGTACTCGAGAACGAGCTACCTGTCTTTGTGATCCAATTCTCGACGCAGGAGGTCCTGCTATTCCGGAACGCAATATCAAGGGAAATCGTCGTTGGCGCGGAGAACAAAGTCGAGCAGTGCACGTATGTTGCTGCTGTGACACGCGTGGAGGAGGAGCTGGATAACGAGCTCACCGGTGGGTGGAAAGTCATCGAGGTGCGTCGCACAGTCTCTGTTCCCTCAGCTCGCGCTTATCTGCGTCCAGATGGCCCGAAGGAGCGCCCGTGCATATCTTTAGATTCAAAAGTACATAATACATTAATGCAGAGAGCAGAGCGCTCACCCCCTCCTCGCCAATGATGACTAGATGTCAGGATAATCGTCAAATACATAGACGGTGCCATCCATATCTCCTCTGTGTGATCTCAGCACATGCACTCCATGTGAGACAGAAGCGCTCACGCAATGAGCCGGTGCTCGCCTAGACTCCGATCCCTACTACGAAGGTAGCTACATCGGCGTCCGTGGTCGCGATGTAATGACCATTCTGATTAGAATGGTCGGGATTCCATAGTCGAATATGACCTGGTGAGACGCTCGTCAGCAAAAGCCTGCATCTGACAACTCGGCAAAGGCGTACCGTCGTCCCCACTGGTGACCAATGCATTCCGTTTCAAGTCTCGACTCTCCGCCCAGTGCATGCCAGTGATGCCGCAGTCCGTTTTCTCTCTCTCTTGAGCGGATGTAACTCCGAAATCCTCGCCAGGTAAATGCTTGAAATCGGCCAGCAGTCGATACGGGTCTCGGTCTCGCAGATCGTGCTTCTTGAACATCCGCGTGTCGTAGATGTGAGCGTGATTATCGGACCTGTACAGGGAACATGACTATTGCGTCTTGCCCGTGTGTGGTGTGAAACCGGAAGAAGCACTCACCGGCCGACCGCAATGTACAGACCGTCGGGACTGAAAGAGATGCAGTGACCTCGCGCAATTTGTCCGAGAACGACTCCAACTGGATTGTCCGCCGTGCCCTACCGTCCCTCCGACGCACATCGTATAATCTGAGAGTGTTTTTGGTTTCATTTTGAGTGGCAAGAGCGACAAGGCTTCCTGAAGAAGGGATGGGAGGTCAGTCCGGAGAGTTCGCACAATCTGAGACATTTACCACAATCGTCGATGCACATTGCATCCCCAGCTTCCCCGTATCCCGAAGGCGAGGTCTCCAAGTCAAACAACGGCAGTTTGTCGCGGCTGTTGAGGTCGAAGGCGCCATGAAAACCACAGAACTTGTGTGGATTGGGTGCTTTCTGGTCCATAGTGGGTTCCGTTGATGCGAACAAGAGTGAATCTGCACCCCACACAAAGGAACCGACGGTATGAAACGGCTCTTGCCCTTCAGGAGTGAGGCTAAAACTGTGCTGCGAATCACTGTTGACTCTGTGGACGGTAAGAGACCTATGGTCCTGTTTGAGCAATTCCACTGGAAGGCGGGAATCATCACAAACCGTTCTCCGACACCCAGTACACCGGCTTCGTCTGGTTTAAAGATGACTTGTAATGGAGTCACTGATTTGTTTCGGTATTCTTCAAGTAATTGAGCGGTCGTAGCTCATGTAGTGACTGATGACACGCACTGTAACGATAAATGTCTTTGACTTCGTAACTGTCCAGCTCGGAATCGTAATCCCAAGTGTGAACGACTTTTCCGCTAGAAGCTGCTAAAACATTGGAATAAGGGTCGTATGCTATGCACTTGACGGTGTTGTGGGGCACATTTTCGGCCTGTCCAACTAGTGGCAAAATCAGTCCACTTGAATCGGAAAGGACATTCTGGGAACGCACGCTGCTGTTGCTCCAGGTCGACCACATCTGCAGGATTCGCCTGTGAGACAAGTCAGAAAACGTCAGAAGGGAAACCATCGTTTCAACTTGAGACCAGCTTATGAGTGTTCCTGCCCTGTTATATGGATCTGGCTCTGCTGCAGGGAGAAATCAGATAGTATTCCGATGTAAACCAACCTACTGACACGCATTACTTGATTCGCCACCTGGCGTCGCAGAGCAGACCACTACCCTCCCATTATGTTGCAAGATCATGTTAATTGCTGCACTTTCGGTGAGACTTTCAGTTTCGTTGCCATGGATGATCGAGACACACATCCTCCTGACTGTTTAACCCTGCGTTTCTCCGTCAAACGGTCGAAGCCAACTGCTTCAACCAATGAAGGTCGCTGCTCGCGGAATCGGGCACGCGGCTGACTTCGAGGAAGCTCATACCATCTATCTAACTGTTTCGCAAAAATATGAGCTGCAGTCTAGTGCCGAAGAACGACGCACCTTGGATTCGACTGTGCCATGCCAACCTTCAAATGTGATCTTCCGCCGCGGGACATGCCCTCGACCAAGATGCATAGATTGAAACATCCCTCCTAGCGACAGATCAGGTTCGGCGATTGGGGTAGGTTCTTCGTAGTTCTCTGCAGGCTCTTCGACTTCAATCTGAGTAAGGCGTGAGCAGGCTGGATCAGGCGAGCATATTATACCTACAGGATCTTCCCAAAAAGCGTCATAATCATCTTCAGGATCAGACTCCTCTTCTTCCTTCACGTCCTGTTTGTCCAAAACATCATGTGCGCGTGGCATATCGACATCGTCGTCCGATTCAACCAGGTCAATGATCTCGGGTTCCTTCTTGATGTGTGTAGGGTTCGATAGCATGCGCTTTGGCATCGCCATCGACGATGCGATTGACATTCTCATTGGGGGTTCTCTTCTCGTCGGGATATACGCGAGCGTGTGAGCGCGTTTGAGAGATTTCGGCGGTCTGCACGGATATCGAAGCATCAGGGATACCGGCGGCTAATGAACCGAAGCGGGCTTACCTTGCATCTTCTATCGCGCTCGCGCTCACGCTCTCTGGCTTGCGTTTCCTCTTCCTCACGCTCGGCGTTCCGGGTGCCAGTGGATTTGTCTTCGAGCCCGGTCGACCATAACGTTCAGTGACAACCGGCTTTTGGTCCTCGTCGTCCGAGATGGCAGTAATACTCCTCGCCGACGCCGGCTTGCGGTTGCCGCGCCCAGACACAGACGACGCGGCCCTGTCTTCGTGCGGTGTGACAGTATCACGCTTCACCAACGACTCGGAAATGATTTGAATGTCGGAATCATCGGTTTCTGAGCCTTCGCTGAGCACGATGGCAGTGTCCCGGGTCGAGTGTGAGTTCGTCGGAGGGGGAAGCGGGCGAGATCGGTTGACGGTCGTTGGTGCTAGCGGGCGCGTGGGCATGGATTGTGACGGTGCACGCGTAGATATGTTCGCGATTACATCCTCTCTTAATTGTCTTGCGTTCGCCGCCTTCAAATGGCTGGCCGTATGCCTCAGCCCCGGCGGGTCATTGTCGCGGTACATGAAGTTGAGAGCAGCCGAGAGGTGGTGGCTGTGTACCTCTACCTTTTCGGTCACACACACGCGTGTGTGTTGATCCAATTCCACCGCGACGATTACGACCATGGCCCGCCGCAAACGCTATATCGACGATGGACTCGACTCAGACGCTTCCGACTCTGGAAACGGTGATGACGATGATTACAACCCGAACGAGAGCGCGGATGCACGCGCTGCACGGGAACTCTTGAGAACCCGTATGGCACGAAGAGGAAACGCAGGCGGGTCAGTGACGAGGACGATGAGGATGAAGACGGCCTCGAAGCTGATCTCATGCCTCGTAGGAAAGCGGGCTCATCTCGGAGGAATGATTGGACAAAAGCACCCGCGTTTGTTTCGGGGGATGCGGGGCAGCAGAAGATGGAGGTGGATGAAGAAGAAGGGGACGGTGACGAGGATGAAGACTCGGATGATGGAGAGGAACCGGAATTGTCCAAGCCACCATCGCCTCGAATAAGGGAAGAGGAAGATGACATGGATGAACGGCCGCGAATGGGAATGGGAATGGGAGGAATAGGCTCTCGCGCACCTGCGTTACCCGAAGATTCAGACGCACCAATGTCATTCAATTCGCCCCCAAAAGCCGGTATTGGGTCCTCCAAGGCAGGCGGAGGGATCGGCTCCTCCCGCCTTGCCGGTTCATCATCATCGGCGTTCAGTAAAGGTGGACTCGGCTCCGCATTCGCCAAGTCAGGATTGTCTGCTTTCTCCAAAGCGAGCGAGGAGCCTCCTCCAGCCTCAGCTGCTGGCATGGGCTCACGCGGAGGGATCGGTGCCCATGCCCCACCACCACCTCCCGTCGTGGAAGACGAGATCCCGCCTTCCTTCGGTAGTCGCAAACCGTCTTTTGTGCGCAACTCTTCCTCTTCAAGTAAACCTGCGGCTCCACTCAGCTCGTCGGAACAAATGCACTTCAACAAAATATCTGGCAGCATTGGAGCGCGGCTTCTCTCCAAGATGGGCTGGCAATCAGGCGCAGGTCTCGGTGCTTCAGGCGAGGGTATCGTCACCCCGGTAGAGAGTAAACTGCGGCCGCAAAAGATGGGTATGGGTTATCGTGGATTCAAGGAGAAGACAGATCAGTCCAAGGCCGAGGCTCGCAGAAGAGGTGAAGCCGTCAGCGACGAAGAAAGCGAGACTCCTGCTATGCGAAAAGCTAGAAAGAAGGACAAAGAAGCCAAGGAGAAACGCTCAGATGTCTGGAAACGACCGCAGAGGGTCAAGACCAAGGTCGAACACAAGACTTACGAGCAGATCATCGCAGCAGCTGGCGAGGACGTTGGCGCTTCAAGCCTCGGTCAGATCATCGATGCCACGGGTGCAGAGGTGCGCTGGTCTCCTTCTATGTATCCCAGCTTCCTCACTCAAACTTGAATCATAGCTGCGAGAAGTGTCGTCAATCACAGATATCTCTCTCAAATCGACTTGGTCGCCTTCCAATGATCCCACCAGGATACCTGAAGTTCGACACAACATTCGGCTCATAGCAGAAGATTGCAAGAAAGATCTTGATGGACTGGCGCGCGAAGCGAAAGCTCTCGACGATCGAAAGCAGTGGATCGTTCGCGAAGACGCCAGACTGAGGAAGAAAGTCGAGGAGGAAGCCGATCGTGAGTGTATCCTGATCGATGCTTTCGAACGATGTCCAATTTTCTTCCAGTGATTGCGCGCCTCCAGCAAGTACACATTGTGGCCAACGAGATCGACAGCAAGTCAAAGGAACTCGCCTCGTCCTACGAACCGTCACTGGACAGCTTCTCCCCGTTGTTCTATAAGCTCAGTGATCAGTTTGGCCCAGAGCTAGAAAAGTATCGGCTGGATGAGATAGCTGTTGCTGCCATTGCTCCGCTATTGAGGAGATTGGTGACCGCATGGAATCCTCTCGAGTCTCCGGGCGACTTTGTTTCGACCTTCCGGACTTGGCGCAATGTTCTGAGAATCAAAGAAGAGCAAGCGAAGACCGTCGAGAACCAGGTCGACGTCTACGGCACCAAATCTATCGCTCCCGTACAGATGTCCGTTCCTTACCTATGTTTCGTGTATTTGCTCATCGTCTCCTAGTGAAAAGCCCATGACGCCGTTCGAGAGCTTGCTGTGGAACGTGTGGCTCCCAAAAGTTCGGACTGCGATCAACAACGATTGGACGCCATACACGCCCCAACCAGCAGTCAAATTATACGAAGTCTGGGCCTCGTTTCTCCCTGCTTTTATTCGCGACAACCTGCTCGACCAACTCGTTCTTCCCAAAGTAAAAAAGGCTGTCGCAGAGTGGAATGCGAAACGTGCGAACGGGTCTTTGCGGAGTCTGGTGTTCCCGTGGTTGCCTCATTTGGGTCTGAGAACGGAAGACCTGATTGGTGATGCGCAAAGGAAACTAAAGAGTGTTCTGCGAAGCTGGAACTGCGGGGAAGACATGCCCGAAGATTTGACCGCTTGGCGAGAAGTGTTTGATGCCAAGGAGTGGGATGCAATGCTACTCAAATATGTTGTCCCCAAATTGGGAGCCTTGCTTCGGGAAGATTTCCACGTCAATCCGCGGGACCAAGATATGGCGCCGTTATCCAAGGTCATCCAGTGGTCCGGAGTCATCCGACCGTCCATCTTTTCCCAGATTCTGGAGACAGAGTTCATTCCCAAATGGCTCGACGTGCTGCATCTGTTACTTGTCACGCCAGGGGTGAGCTACGAAGAGGTCGCACAGTGGTTCTCTCGGTGGAAAGAGTCCTTCCCCGAGAACGTCCAGGCGATGCCCGGGATTAGCCAGGGCTTCACACGCGGTCTGCAGCTCATGAACAAGGCCATCGAACTGGGGCCCGATGCACCTACGAAACTTGCCCGGCCCGATTTTGTCGCGGAAATGGCCGCCGCTGGTGTCGCCGCGAAAACCGCTGCCGTGCCGAAGGCAGCTCGGCCCTCGGCGCGCAAGTACGAGATCACCTTTCGCTCGATCGTGGAGGAGTTCGCCGCATCACACAATCTCCTCTTCATGCCGACTGGGAAGGCGCACGAGATCTCGCGGGTCCCGCTGTTCCGGGTCTCGCGAACTGTCGATGGAAAGGACGGATTGTTGGTCTATCTGCTGGATGATGCTGTTTGGGCACCTTCTGCAGATGGTGGTGGCGCTTATCGGGCTATCCCCCTCGAAGATATGGTGGCCAGAGCTAGCTGAGCGTCGATCCTACCTAATGCGCACTAGTACTATACCCATTGAAAGATTCTGTCGTATCTAACAGTAGTCTTGTATGTCTCGGAGGAGCGGAGAGTTTGCACGTGACCGATATCCACTCGATCAGTCTCGACCTTTCTATTTACTTCATCCTCCAGGGCATGCAGCTGTCGACAATCGCCCTGGGCACAATAGTAGCCCGATCCGTAATTGGGGCTTTCTACGGACCCCTGAAGCGGCTCTAGCTTCCATCCGTTCTTTGTACTAGCCCTGACACTTCGCTTGCCCAGCGTCGTCCGAGCTGGTCATCGATTGTGCGTTCTATTCGTCTATGCTCGACGCCAACCCGAAGTTTGCGGGCGTAAGCCGGCCGTCCCATGATAATATGCGATGCATACCTCGCCGCCGTTTCATCATTTTAGCTCTCGATCGCAACTCGTATCTTGGGCGATACTTCTGTTCGCCCCCCCTGTGCACAAAAGCTACAGCACAGAGTCATAGCACGCATAGTGCCATGTTGCTCCGCAGCCTCTCTTTCTCAATTGCCTTGTGCCTGCTGCTTCCGGCTCTTGCGCAGGGACAGCATGATCTCGTAGTCCCGACTGACCTTGATTGCCCGCGCGGTTCTGCGCCGAGTTTTGTGCACAACAACTATGCCTTTCTGGCTCCCGCGCATGAGTTCATCCACATCACCCAGTCTTTCTTCAATCTGAGCTGGTATGTGAGTACACCGTCCGCCGGCGCGCCAGTCTCCTCTGCGGTGCTCACGCGCATGTCTCGTATTAGGGCGCCAACGCGACCGTCGTAACGGGGAAGAACAACGTCCCAGGCGCAACGCGCAGCGGGTCGTTCGCGGGCGCCTCCTTCAACGAGACGCTCCTCTCCTATCGCAAAGACACGACGTCGCCGTCGCCGTCGTTCCTCGAATACACGTACCGCGGGCAGCCGGGGCCGTTCGTAAACCCGACGCAGCCGTGGTTCAGCGTGCAGGCGCAGGGGTACATCGAGACGTTCCGGTTCACGGGCATCTGCGCTAAGAGGGCGACGCTGGTCGAGGTCACCACGCATGTCTGCTCGAGCAACCAGGTCTTGGCGTACAATTACGTGACGCAGTTCCACGATGCTGTGCTTCCGGCTTTGGGGGCTGGTCTGCGCGCGCCTATCCTGAGCGGCGACTGCCCGTCGAAGTAAGGAAGAGGAAGGGTCGAGATTCGAAACTTGTAGTACGGTGCTCCCTGTGCCTTGCGCAAGATGCATAGCCATAAATGGAGACAGAGTTCAAACCGAAATTCGAAGAAACTGATGTCAGTGTACGAATATGACCGTCTTCAAACGACGTATTGTACGGCCTGTCCATGGAAGATGATCAGTCCAAGTTATAGACCTGGGACGGTCACGTGGTCTCCTTCTCGGCGCGTCATGATCATGATGTGTGGGAGCGAACTTCTGTCCTGTGTGTCTGCTCTCGAAGGTAGAATCAACGATCGCTATAATATTGCCTGGGTAGCAATACTGTGAAACAGCACAGATACCCATCATCGTGATGAACAGCCACTGGCATGATGAGCACTGCATGCCAGAGTAGCCGGCGCGTATTGTGTCGTCCACCGTCACTCACCCACCGCAACCAGCCTGCACTTCAAACTTCAAACCGATGACCTCGTCCAGATCACCGGCACTCTCCGCAAGCTCTCAGAGCAAATCATGGACCAACCTCCGCCAGAAGTTCATGCACGTCTTGCCACGTCCCGGCGAGGACACCCCGCACACATCAAGCAGTCGCCCCGGGGCCGCCGCGCCGATCATCCACCCCCTACCAACCCGACTCACCGAACTCGTGTCGACGGAGATATACGAGCAGGTCATCACTTATTGCACGGACAAGGCGACACTGCTGGCGTGCATGCGCGTCTGCAGGGCCTGGGTGCCGCGCGCCCGCTTCATCTTGTTTTCGAGGGTTATCTGTCGTCCGCGCGTCGTCATTCCAAGCGGCACAACCGGGAGCCTCGTTTCCTGTGTTGCGCTCTACCGAGGTGAGTCCTAGGGTTCCTGTGTCGGTGACCGGGGTCAACTGACTGGCAGGCCTGCAGGACCAGACTCCGATGTGGAGGAGCTGATCCACGGTAACTCGGATGGGGTCTACCATTCCGCCTCCAGGAGAATACTGCTGAGGGTCAAGCACGTATCGCAGATGGCGATTTTAGTCGAATACGATCTATTTCTGTGCCTGGCTGGTCAGTCTCCCTTTTCTTCCCTGGCACCCCACACACCCATCTTGATACTTGGTTGCAGACGGGCTGTTCAGCACATTACCGCTGGATAGACTGCTATCCGGCCACGCGCACGAGCATGATCTGACAGTCCTGTCGAAGCACGTTCACGCCTTCGATGTTCTGCGAGACGGCGCGAAGGCCCAAGTATGCGTCCGGAAGGGCAGCTCTCGGAATGGCATCATCAAGGTCTTTGAGACCCGGCGAGGGGTTTCCAGCGGGCAGGGCGCAGGCCAACCCGCCACGTGGGGTCTGCACAAAACGCACGTAAAATGCCGTGTCTTCACGACTTGGGAATGATCTGACTCGTTTGCGCGGATCAGGAGGGAGATGTTCGTCCCGAGCGGGATACACTCCCTCCGGCAGGCAACTATGAACATGCTCGTCGTCGGTCTGCAGGGCACGGGTGGCTTCGAGGTCATCCACGTGCAGACCGCGGAGACGCAGAGTTTGCTCGACCCCAACGACTTCACCCTCAAGTTTGTATTCAGGAATAAATCTCTCAGGGCGCTGGAATGTATCAGATCGCGAGATCAGGAGAGGTTCTTGGTCTGCTACGACAGTCAGTATTCATTCATTCCTGCAGTCAGTCAGAGAGGGAATCCAACGCTGACCTGCACAGAATTCGGGTTATTCGTCAACCTACATGGGAATCAGCTCTCAGAGCCGCCCATGATGCGCTGGTCCGAAGGCTCGCCTCCAATCTACTTTGGTGCGCCCACCTAGCACGGATCCCCTGCTCATATGAATCGTCACTGACACCTGCATAATCTCAGCCCTCAAGGAACCCTACCTGCTCGCATTTACATCTACGTGCCTCTATGTGTGGTGGACCGAAACTGGGGGGTCCAAGCAGACGGTTCTCGGCCAATATACGCTGCTCAACGCGGTCGGCCGGGATGAGAGAATATTCCTAATGGCACATGGGAGTGGGGATGTCGTCGAGCTCGTATTCAATTCCTGAACATCTGAGAAAGAAATGTCGTGTATTACAGTCAATCGCTCCCAGGAGTATCTACAGGATCTACATCCTTTGCCTCTAGCGAAAGTCCAAGTTGTACAATAGTTGAAGTGCTGTCACGGGACCGGTCATGGTGTAATTATCACAAGACTTGCATTTTCAGACCTTGGAATAACCGTTTCAGTGTTGGCATGAAACCGCTCACGATATGAAGAGAACGGTGGCTTCCGGGGACAAATGGCCTCGGGCGAACGCCTGGAGTCGCCTGCAGATGTTCTAGCGCTCTCGCGTCCTTTATTCTAATCGTTTCTCGTGATGATCGCACTGACCATCGTCCTTTTCGCACTCGCCATGAAGCCTCTGCTACTCCGACCTCTATTCCTTCTCCTCATCCTGGCGCTGGCGCTCTGTGTATCGCGCAGCACGACATGCGTGTTCGTTGCCGAGTGCAGATCACCGGTGCGGCCGATCGCGAAAGAGAAATACGCCTCTTGTGCTATTTACAAGACGCATAGTCGCGGATGAGGGCAAAATCAGATCAGAATCCGGAGCAGTCCGCAGAAAGTGTCAACTCAAGTAGCTGAAATAACACGGGGACCCCTTGGACTTTGTGAAGCGTACATGGGGTGATAATGTTTTCGAAGTTAGAAGTGGCGATCGCTATATCAAGGCGCAGCTATGGAATAGCGTGATGAGCAATCAATCATGATGAGGCGCACTACTGCAGAGTGCATTCCACCACTGTTAGGTCACGTGACCACTAAACATCCGTCAATTATTTCCACGCATCATACACGTTCACTTGCATTCTACGCACCCCTCGAGCCACTCTACCACATATCGTGTCGTTGACCGTCACTCGTCCAAGTCGCCGGCATTCTACGAAGCTCTTATGAGGACGTTCCGCCCCATGGCTGCTCGGCCCATCCGCCCCCTACCAACCCGACTGACGGAACTCATATCGACGGAGATGTACGAGCTCGTCATCACTCATTGCAAAGACAAGGCGACACTCCTGGCGTGCATGCGCGTCTGCAAGGCCTGGGTGCCGCGCGCCCGCTTCATCTTGTTTTCGAGGGTCATCTGTCGGCCGAGTGTGGTCATCCCGAGCGGCACAAGTGCGAGCCCCGTTTCCTCTGTTGTGCGCTACCGAGGCGAGTCTCGGGGCTCCTGCGTCTGTGACTGCGGGGTCAACTAACTGGCAAGCCTGCAGCACCGGACTGCAATCGGGAGGAGCTGATTTACGGTAATGCGGACGGAGTTCACAATCACAGCTCCGAGAAGGTGCTTCTGAAGGTCAAAAACGTCTCGCAAATGGAGATTTTGGTCGAATACGATCTGTTTCTGTGCCTGGCCGGTCAGTCCTTCCTAGCATCACCCCGCCCGATCTTGATAGCCTGGTCGTAGATGGGCTTTTCTGCACATTGCCCCTGCACAGAATGCTATCCGGTCACGCAAATGAGGATGATCTGACGGTCCTTTCGGAACAGGTCCATGCTTTCGATGTGCTGCAAGACGATATGAGAGCACAAGTCTGCATTCGGAAGGGGGGCTTTCGGCGCGGCATCATCAAGATTTTCGAGAGTCGGCGAGGCGTTCCCAGTGAGCAGGACGCCGGCCAAACCGCAAAGTCTGGACTGCACGAAATGCATGTGCCCTGTCTCGAGAGCCTGAGGATTGACCGACTCATCCACTCATTCCAGGAAAGAGATCTTCATTCCAAACGAGATACGCTCCATCCGGCACGTATCGATGGATTTGCTCGTCGCCGCTCTGCAAGACTCAAGCGAATTCGAAGTGGTCCACGTGCAAACCGCGGAGACGCACAATTTGCTCGATCCAACTGACTGGACTCTCCGGGCCGTATTCAAAGACAGATACCTTAATGCGCTGGATTGTTTCATAACGCGAAATCACCAGAGGTTCTTCGTCTGCTACGACAGTTAGTGTTTCATCATTGTCTGAATGGATCCAAGGCTGACCTCCACAGAATATATGCTGCATATCAGCAGAGGGGGGAAACAGCTCGCGGAGCCATCTCCGCAGAGCTGGCCAGAGGGCCCACTTCCTTCCAGTTACGGTGCGCGCGCCTGGAACGATCCTCTGCTGATCTCAATCGTCATTGACCATTCGCTCATCGCAGTCTTCAAGAGATCCTACCTGCTCGCATTCTTATCTACGCACATTGATGTGTCGTGGTGGATGATAATTGATGGGTATGATCCGGAGATTCACGCACTGCACCCCCGCGGTCATCAGAAGGTTCTCGGACGATACACCCTGCTCAACGCGTTTGACCGGGACGAAAGCGTATTTCTAATGGCGCATCAGAGTAACGATGTAGTAGAGCTCAAGTTCTGGTCCCGTGTATCTATCTGATAAAGGATTTTTGCGTGTCATTTCAGGAGATTTCCGCAGGGATTTCCGGCACTTGACCCTCAGCAAAAGTTCAAGTTGTAATATAGTGAAACGACTGTCACGGGACCGGTCGTATCTGCCCGAATCTGATCGTGCGATTGTTGATCGGGATTTGCCCTTCCCTTTTCCGCAACTACGAGGCCGTCAGTACATTTTCAGTCTTGGAATAGCTGGTTCAGCAGTGGCATGAACTTGCCCACGCATATAGAGACGAAGATGGCTTCCAGGGAGAAGTGACCTCGAACGCATGGAGTCGCCTGCAGGTGTTCCAACGCCCTCGCGTCCTTCTTCCCAACCGTTTCTCGTCCCGGTCACTCAGAGCATCATCCTCCTTGCACTCGCCGTCAAGCCATCGCCCCTCCAGCCTCTGTTCCTCCTCCTCATCCTTGCGCTGACGCTCTACGCATCGCGCACCACGACACGCGTGTTCGTCGCCGACTTCACGCTCGCGTGCGTGCTGTGGGGCCGCTTCTTCAGCGTGTCAGACTACCTCCTCCTGACCGGCGTGCAGCGGGCGCTCGCGCAGGTCGCCGCCGGGGACCCTCCGGCGCGGCGGATCGAGCGCGAGCCGGTCCTGGCGTGGCTCAGAGCCATAGCACTAAGATTTAGGATAAAAAGCCATGGCTCTTACCATGGAAATCCCATCCTAATGTATGGTAGTTACCATGCCCAGTGGCTATGTATACCCCCTGTGTCCATACAGGTGAACCAAGCGGCGGCACGTTCGGCGATGTAGCTGATGATCATAGTGATTAATGATGAGTGATTAATGAATGGCAGCCATGGCACCGGATCGAACTCGAGACCCTTCCAAAAAGCTATAAAAATGTGGAGCAGTAACCACTGAGCCATAACACCATATAATATTCTAGCATATTTCCAACCACAACCCTGGTAGGACCGGCCAAAAAACATCTCCCCCACTTAGGACAAGGAGCAAGCCTCCTTGGCTCCTTTCCCTAAGGAGGCTTGCTCCTTGTCCTAAGTGGGGGAAACAACCCTAACCTCTAACCAACCCTGACTGCTAACCAACCCGAACCCTAGCCAGTAAAAAAACATGATTCTTGGGACCCAAAGCCCTATCCCAAACCCGAACCTGTCTTAAGTCCGAGAAGGAGGGACACAGCAGGGTATCACTTGTGGGCGGCTGATGGAGATCACACGATGGAATCAGTGATGTGCATCATGTGATACATGCAGATGTGAAGCAAACACATGGCTCTTGCCATGGCATGGTAAGCACCATACATTAGGATGGGATTTCCATGGTAAGAGCCATAACATTTAGCTAAATCCTAGTGCTACGGGTGTGGCTCAGATGAGCGCTGAGCCTGTGGGTTGGCATCCGCGGCGTCGGGTGGGCGCCGCCGGCGCGGCCCGCACGGGGCACCCTTCGCGTGTGGCTCACAGCCGCCCAGCTGCTTGCGTTTGCCGGGTACCTCATTGTGCACGACGCGGCGAATCTGTATATTCAGGCCCACCCGCGGCTGTTTCGAGCCGCCTCCGCCCGCGCCCGCGCGCTTGGAAGAAGAGAGCTGGCTGACGCGCGCGGCGATCGCGCTGACATTCGGGGCTGGGGTCCGGTCCGCGTGGTCGATGGGCTGGATACTGGTCAGCATCGTCTCGGTGAACATGCGGGTTTCTGGACCAGAAGAATGGCCGCCGATGTTTGCTGGCCCCGCGGAAGCCTGCTCTATCCGTCGATTCTGGGGGTGCGCTCGATTCGACGATATCGTCGCTCTCAGTCTCATTGATGCTCTTCAGATGTGCGTGGCATCAGAGCTTTCGCCGCGTGAGGAACCATCTGTGTATGGCGGGAGATACGCGACGGACTGACTGTTGTTTCAGTCCGTGTCTTCGCATGGCAAAGCCGGGTCCGCGGCTCTAGGCCTGAACCAGGGAACTTGGGCATCTTCTTACACAGAGCTGTACATCGCCTTCTTCGTCTCCGGGCTCGTGCACTACGCCGCCGACGTGCAGGCCCTCAATGCATGGCACGGCGGCTCGATGTACTTCTTCCTCGCCTAAGCGGCAGCCATTACACTCGAGGATCTCGTCGAAGCTCTCGGAAGAAAGGCTGGCGTCAAGGGCGGCCGCGTTCTGGGTCGGATATGTCAGGGTCACAAGCTGGTTTGCGTTGAGCCTTCCGTGCTGGGTCGGTCCGATGGCCTGTGGCGGTCTATTCGAGGGTCCGAGAATGCGATTCAGTTTCATCCTCGGTCTCTTACGAGGACGGTGGTGGCTCCCGTCTGTCTAGTGTCGGTCGCGAAGGATGACATGCATCTTGGGTTCTTGCACTTTTACATCATTTCGGGCCTTCGACTCGTACGAGAGGACGCAATGCACTATAGGACGTTGGTCTCTCTCCACAACACGCAGAGCTTCGCGGTGACCAGTCGGGCGCATATGGGATCATTTCTCAGAAGACGAGGACTTGAGCGCACACAGCCCCTTCTCCGCCAAATCGTTTTTCAACACAATCTGCCATGCCAATCTCCGCCATTCACCTGCATGATGAATATGAGATGCACCGCAAAGTATGCGGCTCGGCAAGTCCACATCCCGGGGGATTCGAAGTTTCTCGTCGACCCTGATATCTCACATCTCGACTCCTGACTGATTCCCCCGGGATCACCCACTCTGAAGCATCTCTACCAAGTTGATGTCTGCCGGCGGAGTCTCGGCGCACCTGATTGAAAGCGCGGGACGTTTTCAATTCCTCAGTATCTCAGCGGGAAGGTGGGCAGCCGGCCTCCAGTCATGTATGAGTAACGGGGCCTGGCTGATCGCAGGGGCGGTTGCTCTGAGACCGCGGCGCAAGCCAGTTCCTGATACTCTTACGTCACGACCGAATCTGTCCAGAAAGCTGCGAGTTATGCGTCATTACGACAAAGTTTGTTATAATTTACCACCTTCGATTCTCTTTTGTGCCCTCCGAGGCAGAATTCTCTGCGACTCGAGATAATTAATTCCATTCTAATCGGTCTTCCCTGCCCGAGATGGTCAGGGCTGCTCGTCCTCCCCATCACACTCTTCATCTAAACACTATCAGCCTCAGCCTCAGCCTCAGTCTTTGCAAACACAACACATACCCTCATATGGTGTGAATACCGGACAGTCTCCGGACATGATGGCCGCGCCCACGGTCGCCTTCAAGCCAAGCGCCGCCGCGAGATGCGTGCCATACGCGAAGTCATACGCCCCGCTCTGGCTCTGCGCACACGTCCGGGCCAGGAACGTGATATAAGTCGCGTGGCCGGCGCACACGCTCTCGAACCGGACCGTCTCGGAGTAGGTGTCCTGGTGCAGCGTCCCGGCGTCCAGCGACCCGATGCTCACGACCGCGCGGAAGGACATGTGGAGGAACGACCCGGGGCGGAAGGCGTAGTGCGTGAGCGTCTCGGTGAAGTTGGCCGCGTAGCGCAGGTGCGGGTCGTCGCTGGCGAAGACGCCGCTGCGCGTGGCGCCAGGGACGTTGTCCGTGCCGCTCGTGTGCGTGAACGTCGTGTCGTTGCCCTGTGCGATTCACGTCTCTTTATCAGCACGCACGCTCCGCGCTGAGGGCACACGCACCCCGAACCACTCCCCGTGGAAGAACGACCCGGCGAGGTCGGTGAAGCGGCTCAGCGGCGCGACGTACGCGAACTCGTTGTGCACGAAGCCCGCTGACAGCCCGGCGGAGCACGGACCCCGTCGAGCATCCCGCGTCCCAGCAGCCACGGCGCACAGCCCGCTCAGCGTCGCGAGGATCGGGGTGAAGGTCTTCATGGCGGCGAGGGGAGCGGGGTCGGCACGGCCCTGGCTTTTATAGCGCCAGCCGGAAGAAGGGGCAGAAAAAAAGTGGTCGAGCTGGGCTGTGCGGCTTCTATTCCGATCCTCCTTCTCGGAGTTCTAGCTTCAGCAGTGAATCGATGCCCCGACGCCGGGCGACGCCAAGGAAGAGCGCTAGAGTGGCGAAGAGCGACGGAAGAGCGGAGTCCGATTCATCAGTGGATCGAGAACGGCCGCGGTATGACGCAAAGAAGCCCTACAGAGCTTTCCGCTCGATTTATGAGCGGAGCGAACGAAAGCGTGAGGCTCTATGCCTGTACGCTGGGATCTCGCTAAATCGCTTCCGACCGACGAAAATGCCAGAAGAGCCTTTCGACGAGCGACGACCAATACGTGAGAGAATCCGGACAAGCTGAGACTGCGCCGAATTCGAGCGTAAATGCAGCTTTGAAGGGGATCAATGAAAGTGAGAGACAGGTCCGAGATGGTAGGACGCAACTTGATTTTCAGGCTCGGAGATAGCCGTGGTCGAATCTCCCTCCAGCCTGTTTCATCTCAACGGAGTCCACAAGTAAGATAAAGTGAATGGTATAGCAAACTCATCTCTCGGATGCAGACTTCACGTACTCATATACTGAAAGCTGGGGCAGCCCCGAAGCAGTAGGCGCGGTCCTGAATTCGCAGTCACCACTTGGGACCTTGGCCCTCGGGAGGAGGACGGATCCTCTACAAGTCTTTCGCTGACTTGGCTGCCGCGACCGGCTCCGTCCTTATGCTGAAGCCGCCGGTCATCGACAAGCAACACTGCAGATATCGTACAACACAATCAGCCTTTCATTGTGGGTTTTTATATATTCACTGCCCGGCACAGTCCCCCACTTTGCTGCAAAGCTACGTAGGATACGACATGCCCACCCTATGCGAAAAAATAATATGCAGGTAAAACTGAATTAGAGAAGAGAAACAGAGACGATAGCGAGCAAGATGAGATGACACACACAGACACGCGCGCGGTAAACGCCTGATACAATCAATCTACAGAGAGATACAGTCTATGCAGCAGCCAGCGGGATCGGAGAGCTCTGCTGCTGTTGCTGCGGCGGCTGTTGCGGCTGAGCAGGCGAGGCCATCACCGAGGGAGAAGCCACCCTCGCCGGCGCCGGATCGTCCAGAGAGATACCCGCAACCTGATTGGCGACCGCCGCGACCTTGTCTTTACCGCCAGCCGTAGTCGGTCTCCTCACCGCCGGCCCGTTCGCAGGCGCCATCACTATGGACCGCGTCGACGAGATGTTGGTCCACGCGCCCCCCGGCCGGGGCTGCGCTTTTTCGGCACCGGGAGGGGGCCCGACAGTCAGCGGCGGGAACTCAGTCAGCGCGGGCGGCTCCGCGAGTGGCGATTGACTGCCGTGCGGCGGGAGCGAATGATGCCTTGTCCCGTGGAGGTTGGGATTGGGGCGCAGGCCCACGGCCCAATCAGGTCGCGCAGGCAGTGGATGGTGCTGGGTCGACGAATTAGATGTGTATGTTCGCCGCGAAGATGACGACGTTGTCGAGGATGACTTGACGAACCGAATCAGCTTCAGGTGGACAAACAAAACAAGCAAACAAACTCACTGCGACACTGGACACATCATCCCCCGTCGAGCTGCCCGACCCACTGGTAGTCCTCGTTCCTCTGCGCATCCCACCCCCGAGCCCGCTCAACCTGGGCCCGACGGTGTCTCTCACCAGCGTCGGAAAGTCGATGCCCCCCGTGATCCCAGGGCCATAGCTCCACGCCGCCCGCTGAGGCACAGGCTGCGGGTGGATCCCGCGCTTTACTCCATTGCTCTGATTGACGCCGTGATTGGGCCGCCGGTTACTACCGGGCCGCCCGTGGACGTTTTGCCGCTGCTCGTACGACCCATATGGCGGCATCCCACCGTGCGGTGGCGGATAATACGGCGGCGCGTACGGATTCGGCGGCCCATGGTGGATTCCGTTGGAGTTGGGCCCCATCGACATCGGCGGCATCCCATTGTTGGTTCCAGGCGGCGCTCCCGGCGGAGGCCCTAGCCCGTGCCCATCGTAATACACACCCGGCGGCGGGATCCCATAAGGCGGGGGAGATGTATTTTCACCAGGCTGACCAGCAGGGAACCAGGGATATGGCCCATGAGCGTTGTTGTGGTTGTATGCATATATCTCGGGGTCAGACCCAGGCGTGCCCGGATGGGAATACGGGCTTGCGTACGGGGGCGCAAAATAGCCGTTATATGGCGGGTGAGGGTGCATGTATCCTTGAGGCAAAGCGTACGGCGCGTTGTAGTAGGTCGTCCCTTGCGGCATGGCACCGAAAGCCGGGGCAGAATGGTGCTGGTGCGCCGGATCGAAAGGAGGTAGATTAGCATTCATCCCGGATCCGTTAGCGGACGACCCTGGGGGCGGAGGCTCGTAAAGCGAGGGGTATTTGAAAGAGGGTGAGGAGGCACGCGAGTTCCTCGACGAAGACGATGACGAATTCGGATTGAAGCCCCGACTTCGAGACGACCCTGCGTTCGAATTCGCTCGATGCGGATGCTGACTGTGGTGGTGTTTTCTGGTCGAGCTCGGCACAGACCACTCGCTCTCTGTAGCAGGTGATCCAGGCCCGTCCGGGTCGTAGTACTCGTCGCTGGCACTGGTCGTCGTCGTGCTCATCCCAGAGGACGAGGCCGCCGAGCTGGTGCTCTCCGTTTTCTGCAGCTGTTCCTTTTCTCTCTCCTCAAAATCATCGAAGATCCGATTGCGGGCTTCGTTGTAAGCAGCTGTCCTTTCTTCGATCGTAAGCCGGTGTTTGCTGGCGTTGCTTCGTCCACCAGCGCTGCCGGTCTCGGAAGCTTCGACATCGGAGACGTCTCCATCATCCCCGACGACAGAGTTGCCTGATCGGGAACGTGATTGAGAGCGTTGCATGCGTTGCATGATTTTGAATTTGGGCGGCGCCTCGGCAGGAGGAGGCGATAGCTCTGCGAGACGGCGGGTTGGTCTATGGATGAGTGAGCAATAAAGTCGCAGCTGAGGAGCAAAAAGAGATGAAGAAGGGGTCCTGCGAATCTGCGCGCTGCGCTCTACTGCGATACATCAAGCTCCCGGTGCACATTTCCCACGGAGGCACGTCAGCGACGAAAAAAAACGGTGCACCGATAATTGTTCCCAGGCAACGCCGGGAGCTGTGATCCCGAGCGCCCCATCCAGAGACAGAAAGACATCGAAAAAGACTGATGGCGGAGCACAGCCCAGGAAGAACAAGACAAGACTCACATTCGGCTCTCCATCGTCACCGACACACTGATAATCTTGGTCACAGCATCCGTCTCGGGCAAAAGACCGTAGTAGGTACAGCATCGATGGACGAGCATGCGCTGGTACGACGTCGCCGGGGACAGGTCGATGCGCCTCGGGGAGTTGAGATCTATGGGACCGGGCATGTTATCCATGGTCGGGGAGGTGTGGGCGTGGATGTTATTCGGCGCAGCCGTGTGGTTGTTGATGAGGCCCTCCATCTGCTCTCCCAGCTTGAGGACGTAGATCCTGTCTTTGCCCGAGAGCGCTTCCATGATCTGGAGGTACAGCTCCGAGTCCTGGTTGGACAAGTCCGGAGGGGATGTCACGAAGGCCGGGGCGAACAAGGGAGGAGGAGGAGGAGGGGGCGACATGATGGTCATTGGCGGCGGGGGGTTTGCCGCAAGGGGTGTATCTATCGCACGGGATGAGTTTTTGCGGACAGGCACGGCAGAAGCAGCAGCAAGACACATACCGGATGACATGGGCTGAGATTAACGTCAAGCGTGAGGACAAGCACTGTGCACTGGCGGGAGACGAGCGGTCGTGCGCTAAGGGAAAGACATGAGGGTTTTGCCAAACATGTCATAACTTTGCTCTCCGAGGGTTCTTGCCCACCTTTCTCCCCACTCCGTATGTCGGGACCCTTTCTCCAGCTGCCCTGGCCCTGCAATCTGCGCGTCTCACTGGAGCGGAATGGGGAGCCCTAGCTTCCATCAGACATGTCTGGAGGAGCGTGGCCGGCGATGTCACTTTGGACCCGAATTCTGAATCGGATTTTGCCACTGGCTGTTTTTCAATCATCTATCCTCGACAATCTTTCGCAATTCCGTTTCGCTATCCTTTTTCTGCTAGAGCTCTTCCTTCTTCCTCTGCGCTCAGTGCTTCGATTGCAATTAACCGCTCGATGGTCTGCCTCGAGACCGACACGTGGTCACTTGCCCAGATCCACTCTTTGCCGCCAGCCGGTCCCTCCACATGTGGCACGCACAAGCTTTCTTTTGAATTCAATGTCCGCGGCTCGCAAACACATGCGTCCTGGCATGGCGAACCACTCGTCGATGCGGTGGTCATCGCTGCAGACTGCGGCTCACAAGATATGCGGTTTCTTTGCTATGGCCAGGCTTGCGTAGAAACTGATCCGGGAGACGGCATCCTCCCATTCCTCTTCTGGGTTCGTCTCCGCCGTCGTCGCAAGTTGTGACGGAAGGGGCAGAAACATGACCTCGGGGAGTGAACGTCGAGGCCCCGGTCCAGTTATGCAACTCCGGGTAATTTGGATCCGACTGTGTGGAAGTGAGCTCTTTATGCACAGAGATTGGTCGTCCATTCCAGTGGAAGTTGGTAGACGTCGGTCCTGTCTCGGATATCTTTACACCGTCAATGATATTGCCATTTTCGAGGACGCCGTTCTGAGCAAAGAGCTCAAATGATTTCATTCCACTGGCGGTCAATGTACTTGTGCCAATAGTAATGAGTGCTGAGTGCCGGGCTGTATCGTGGAACTCCGACTGCTGCTGATCAGATCAGAGTGGCGATGCCGTAAGAGCTAACTCCCTTATCGACCGAGGTCCCCAACTTAACTGCTACATCGCTTTGCAATCGCTTTGTCCGCCTGATCTACAGCTCTCATGATCACGATTATGCATCCAATTCCTCGCCAGCCCATAATAGTCTCTCACGTTTCTCGTAGCAATCTAAATAACGAACGATGCACGATGCGTGGGTGCGACGTGGTGGGTCCACGGGGGTGCACCACTTATTACCTTCTTAACCCTTCTCCTTTGTGGATTTTCAACAGAAAGAAAAGGCTCGACAGTACGGTGATCGCGGAGAATGACTGGTTTGGGACGCATTTCTGTCCCGTCTGCCTCGGTCGAAAAGCTTGTTGGACTGAATGCGCTGACACAACTGCCAAGATGGGTACTCGCAATCTGAGACCCACCGCGCAATCTAAAAACTCAGCAATCAGCCACTCCCTCGGTGTTGCACGGGCTGCCCGAGTGGCGTCGAACAGGCCGGACCGCGAATGCAGCGTATAAAAGAGAGCCTCGTTGCACAGAGACAGTCCAACGACTACGCCCAGTCGCTCTCGGTTCCTCCACCACTCAATCTCACCCAGACTCTGAAATGCGCTTCACCGCCACCTCCTTCGCTGCTTTGGCTGCTGGGCTCGTCGCCGGCGTCTCGGCGTCTCCCGTCGCGGAGAAGGACTGGAAATACACTCTCGGGTGGAACGGCACCATCCTCGACCCGCTGGCCATCGGCATCCCCCAGGACGGCACCAGCGCGCGCTCCCTCGAGGTCCCGGCCCATTCCACTCCAACTGAGCCACAGAAACTAACATATATTTTTTCTCTGATGACAGGCCCGCACCCCCGGCGGCGTGTTCATCTGCACCAACATCAACTTCAGCGGCACCTGCGGCTACGCGGTGCAGCCTCTCGGCGTGTGCATCACGCTCACCTCGCCGTGGTACCGCACCATCTCGAGCTTCGGCCCGGACCCCGGCGCCACCTGCTTTGGTGAGCTCTCGAGTGTTCCGGCACAAGCCGCCCCTCAGCGCACACAACTGATTGATGCGGGACTCGCAATTTAGCGTACAGCCAGAACAGCTGCGCCGAGGCGCAGTGGGAGTTCACGTACCCCGGTGATGGGACTGGAGGTCTGGGAACCAACGACCCCTGGAACGACCAGGTGCGCATTTGATGCGTTCATTATTTTCTTTGACGGAGCCTGAAGCTGTTGGACAGATCACCAACTTTATGTGCGAGTGAGGGATTTTGATGCCAATGCTCTCGTAAACAAGTTTTGTAAACCAGTCGTCTGTAACCAGGTCAAATGTGAAAGAAAACCTATTCGGTCGTTTCCGAGGGCATTTTGGAATTGGCTAGCATAGAAGAAAGAAATTTGTGTACAATTTCACTGATAAATGTGCCTCAAACCGTGCGAATGAATCACGTGTCAGATGAGTACTCTGCGTCCGTCCCATCACATCAGTGACTCCCAATTCCCGGTCACCCCGTTGTTTGACAAGTCGTTCTGCACATGATTCATTCAACTACAAGGACATTTCATTCTGTTCATCAATCTCGTAACGAGTTGTTTTGTTTTGTCCAGTCATTCACTGCTTGACCTCCTCGACAGAGCTCGCCTCGACGGGCTCCCTCGACTTGCGCTCGAGCGCGAGACGGCGGCGTTGGCCGGCAGCGGACTCGAAGCCGAAGAACGTGGTGCGCCCCTCCTTGAACTTCATGTACGCCAACGTGGCCATCACCGCGATCCAGTAGAAGACATACGCGAGGATGGAGCCGACTGTCAGGTGCAGTCAGTCTCGTGCATGACTCACGGTGGAAGACAAGCAACGCACTGTTAGCAGAGTTGGTCCACCCGAAAATAGCGTTGAAGACACTCCACCCGGAGCCATCGAGCTGGTCTTCGGGGTTGCAGCAGTCCAGATGCCACACGCTGCCCTGCACGTTGAACGAGCCGGGGCCGTCGCCGCCCGCGTCGTCGACGTCGACGCCGAGGAGGCGGTTGAACGCGTTCTGCTGGAAGGCCCACGCGGCGCGCGAGAAGAGCCCCGCGCCGATGAGCAGCACGAGGTTCGTCATGGCGATGAGGAACACGGAGAGCGTCGTGCGCGACGCGAAGCCGTAGATCAGGAACCCGCACGTCACGCCGCAGATGAGCCCGACGATCGCCGCGATGGGGATCGACGTCGCGGGCTGGCCGAGCGCGACGCCGCCGACGAACACGACCGCTTCCATGCCTGTGCAGGGGAGGGGCGGAGAGGTCAGCCACAGGGACTCAGGGAGCGAGGGCGGGGCGGAGCAGGACACGTACCTTCGCGCAGGACGGTGATGAGAGGGAGGATGAAGAGGACCCAGCGCCCGGCACGCGAGCCGCGGTCGGCTTTGGCGCCGGCAAACGCGCGCTCGAGCTTGACCCGCCATTTCGCCTTGGCTGCGGTAGCGTCCGCAGTGAGCGCGGGCGCGGGATGGACGGGCGGAGACACGTACCGCGGTCCATTCTGAGCATCGTGACGCCCATGACGAAGATCATGAGCGACGCGATGAGCTCGAAGATGCCCTCCCAGAGCTCCTCGGACTTGGACCACAGGTTCGAGGCCTGCGTGAACCACACGGCAATGAAACTGCGAGACAACGGGCGTCAGGTAGATACGTCGAAGTGATAGAAACACGGACGCGGCACCGATGGCGAGGGCAATAAACAAGCCCAAGAAAGCACCTGCGAAAATCTGCGGATCATGTCAGCACCCAATTTGTGCCCACACGAGAATGCGCATCGCGTGCACCTGAATGCGCATCTTGCGGATGAGCATCTTGCGGTGGGCCGTGTCATCCTCAACGTCGTTCGAGCCGCTCGTGTCCGAGTCGGCCGCTGGCGTCGCTGGCGTCTCCGCAATGCGGTGCCGCTCGCCAAAATGGGTGCTGTCGTCGTAGACGATCTGCTCCGCGAGCCCGAGCAGGACGGAGACGATGATCGCCGCCTCGAGCGTCTCGCGGAAGACGATGAAGAAGATGGGCACCGAGAACAGGTTTTTCGCCATGGGGGGAGCGCAGGCGCAGACGGGAGGAGGGAAGGGGAGGCTGGAAGCGAAAAGCAGCCATGCGGGTCCCTCCTTATGGGCCACGGAGCGAGGGGGGACGTAATCTGATTAGATGGATACCCTTGCGGGCTCTGTACAGGGCCGACTTGGCCCGAACCCGCATTTGCTCATCCGACAGCTGCATCTCGCGCGAGGGCAGCGTCTATTTTTAGAATTGTCGGCTATAGTCACGGCCAGTTCCCAATTATAGACCGGCCGGGAGATGATCTTATCCGATAAGAGAGGCGACTCCCAGGCCGCGCTCGACATCGAGTGAAAAAGGTCGTGGCTTCCAGATAAGCTGTTCTCTGGAGTCCCTCATGGCCAGGTGGCACGCAGAAAGAATCACAGTGAAAGGACAAGGCGTGCTTCCTCTCGGAGGAAGAGTGCCGCGAGGGGCGGCTGACGCATATCAGATAAGATCCAGATCTATCAGACAACCCGGCCACGTGCACTCACCTTTCTTTTGCAAGTTTTCGGTGGGCCTAGAGCCGGGGGTCTTCACGGCACTGAGCTTTGACCACCATGCAAAAGCTCTCGAGCCTTCTCCCACCCGCTCGCACGCTTGACGAGATACAATATAACATAGCGCGGCCGATTTGGAAGTGTAACGTAACGTTTCCGCGCTGGCGGGGAGACCGTTGGTCCGGGCCAGTGTTCGAGTTCTCGCACTGAGATGTGATGATGCATCACATTCCCGTCGGACTCCGAAGCACTCCTGACGTGCCTCGCGTCTGGACCATCCACCCGTCGGCTCCGACCCCAGGATATGACGCGACAATTGGAAATCGGAACGCCGCAGAAGGAAAAAAAAAAACGCCCGTCTCGACTCGTATGGTACATTATACGCATGTACAGTATGTAGTAGTAACAGTAACAATAAGCATTCCGAAAGAATCCATCCGCAACGCAGTCACGCGACCTCCCACCCTATCGCGCAACACGTGAGCACTGCCGCGAGGACTACCACTGCGACGCCTTGTGGTCGAGCTCGTCGGAGATCTGGAACGCGCTGATCTTGACACTGCCGGTGAGGTCCAGGACGGGGTCCGCGGTGGCGCTGCGCTCGACGTCGACGTGCACGCCCATCACGGGCGCGCGGTCCACGGCGCTCTGGGGAGGGAGGGGGGCGATCAGTCATCGGCACGCGCTGGGGGCTAGGGAGGAGCGGACGCACGTCGAGATGGTGGCTGACGTTCCTCCGGAATCCCATTGAATACGAGTTGGAGGACTCGCCGGCCTTGGTCTGGTCCGGCGTGAGGTTGTTCCCGCGGCGCAGATTCAGCAGCGTGAACAGCGACACGACGTAGCCTGTGGGGGACAAATCAGTCAGCAGGCGGGGGGGACGGGGATAGTGGTGTGACGCACATTTCGTTAGGAGGAACGACACAGCGAAGAAAATGAGCGTGTGAGGGAGCGTGATGAACTGCGGGTCAATCCGGTCAGCAGCTGCGTGCGACGGCGGGGAATGCCGGGACGGACGGTGATGAGACACGCGAGCGAGGTCAGACTGGGAGAGCGCGCATCAGTTCACACGCTTCGATGGCTTCGGGGGTGCAACGTACCTCGTAAGCAACCCCGAGCTGGAGACAGACGACAGGGTCAGCATTCCCATTTGAAACTCGCCAATCCACCGTGCTTTACCAGATAGTATATTGCTGTCCAGGACACACCATCAGCGCATTTCACTCAGCGCAGAATGTAACAGAACTCACGATCACGTTGTTGATGGCAACATGCAAGCGCGACCCGCGGAGATGCGGGACCGTCTTCTTGCTGGACCACAGGTAGTAGCACATCGCGCCCGCAATCGCAAAGTCGCTCGCCGTGGCAATCGAGAACGACGCCTCGGCGGCAATCTGGGACCCGCATCAGCTCATAAGCTTTCCCAGACTTGGCAGCACAGGGAGGCGGACGGACCATGAGATCGCGCCGCTGGAGCTCCAAGAACGACTGGGACTGCGCGCTGCAAGCCAGCCAACCAAGAACATAAATCAACACTGGGATCGCGCGCGGGAAAGCCGAAAGACAACTTGCGTTTTGACGGCCAGCACTGGACGGCGCCGGGGTCAGCATCCCGAGGCAGGGGGAACAAAGGACCACGCACTCAACCCAAATGCTGCGGACCAGTCGGCGCTCTGGCTCTCAGTCCACGGCGGGGGAGAAACGCACCGAATCCACACAGGACCGAGAGACCCTGCGATGGCCCCGTCAGTACGTTATTGTTCTTCGCAAGTAACGGCTGCTACGCACCGCGACAAAGACCATGATTCGGCTTTTGAGGCCGCTCACTGGAACCGGTGCGAGCCGTCAGTCAGTCTCGTCCTGACAGGCGCGACAGCGGCAAGGCACTCACGACGCCAGACACGGTGGAGGTAGAATCTGCCAAAACCGCGTCAGATGGATGGAGGGGGGGCGCACATGAGGGCGGATTTACCCTTGGACCGAGTTGATGATGAGCACCTGGATTTGTGTGTCATCAGCTCGGGTCTGAGGAGGACAACGATGGAAGAAAGCGCACGCTCAGGATGGTCAGCATCTGCGAGCAAGTGGTGAGTGCAGCTCCGATCATCCTCGACACAGGTGCAGACCGACCTTGAATGCCCTGTGTCTCGCATATCAGTTTGCACCGATACCCCGAAGGATATGCGACGCACCAGTGCAGCCTCAACAACGCCAGCGGGTTCCCAAAACAGTAAACCACATAGTGATACAGTGCCCAGATCGCAAAAAGAAGGTGGCCGGTGTCCATGAGCCTGCGGTGCGACACAGTCTGTGTCAGCCGCGGCCTCCGCAACCAAATCTGAGACAGACCAGATGAAGCCGACCTGGGACACGGTCAATCAAGCGGGGGCACCGACGCAGACGGGACAGGACATCACGCACGTAGAGTTTGATTGCCCACGGATCGTGGTGGTGGAACTTGTGCAGGTAGAATATGCCGTGGAGCGTGCTGATACCGTAGACACTACCCCAGACCTGCGATTGAGACCGTGCCGTCCACCACAGCACAGACGCCACTCACAACGCAGAGAAGAGGACGCCCATCAACAACGCCCCAAGCGTGGCCGGAAGCGAGATCGCAGGGACGGTCGGGTTCGGGGCCGCCATGGATTACGAGCAGAAGGGAAGGGTCGAGAGCAGAGCTGGCGTCCCCCCTCCCGTCCTAAATATTGTGCCCGAGTCTCTCTAATGAAAAGGGGCGCCGGAGGGGACCGATCGTTCCGTCGCGCAACTCCACACCACCCATTTTGGGACGGGGGCTGCCACGGTCAGCCAGCGTCTGTCATCGCTCGCCGCTCCGGACAGCGTGGCTTGGCGGCGTCATCGCCCTGCCGCACCGTGCCGCAAGCACCCGGGCTGTCAGTTGCGAGTAAGTGCCTGGCCTGGACGGGCCCTACCCGAGCGCGATTGCGCCGGGCGTCGAAATAAAAACACATCAGATCCATCCTCGACGATTCCTACTTACATACTTACTCCTCCTCTGCCTCCCGCGGCCATCGCACACAGCCCGGACAGCCCGGAGTTTCGATGAGCCCTGGCCGGGTCGTACCCCGCCGCCCGGTCAGAAAAAAAACATTTCTGCAATGACTTCTGCGAAGCCAGAGCGTCATTGCGGCCATCTACGCGAAATCCCGAGCAAACCAGCTCCCACTGCTCAGCACGCAAGAGGCCCTTGCCGGGGGCATGTTAGGGTGAGTAGCAGCAGATCACGCCTCAAACCAAAATCGGGGGCGGAGAGGAGCTGGGCTGTCTCGTGCGGAACAGAAGGCGGGTCTGATGATATCAATTCCAGCACCGTTACATAATTGAATTTGCAGTGCTGGATTCATGCATGATCACCGTCCGTTCGACAGGAGGGTGAGCGGGGGAGTGCTGCTGCCTTGCGCGTAGAGCTGAGAAGCGCTCCAGATTATAATTCCTCTGGCAAGCCGATCTGCAGCCTCCCCCCTGCGTCAACCTCAGGTATGTCATGCAAGTTGTCTAGGTGATTCCGCTCGATCCAGATCCAGCGTCTCCTGTTCAAAGATCACCGATCTCGGTGGGTCGAAAATGATTCCCGCGGATCCCAGATCACCAGACGAGATGATGGGCGTGCAGATCCTGCGAGGGACCCACGCAGGCTGGAGGGCCGCTGCTACCGCGGATGAGGGGGTAGCCCGGAGAAAGAGAGGGACCGGCGAGCGTGTCCCCTCGTCCCAAGCGCTGCATGTTCCCAGTGGCCTGTCCCAGGACACTCCGGCCCGAACGGTGCGGGGCCTCCTGAGCGCGGGTGTCCAAGGTCTTTGATTTTGCCGACGTGGGCTGGCGTCGTGCGCTATCTCAGGCCCCAGGACCTCGTATTTATCTCTCGATTTATCGGAGAATAGTGCGCCATGCATGCTGCAAATTCACCCTCCGACCGCACGACGCGTCGATGCAGCATCCGTATCTAGTCACGTGGCCGTTCAACCGATGCTTGCCAGCCGCCGTATGAATTGATACACATTCCAGACGCGCCACAGGGCGTCCGACATGCGGAAAATTCCTGAAACCATTCGACTTGTCTGCTCCTATTGCTGGTCATGAGGAGTTACTCAAGCATCTTCCCAGAATAATTCTGCGATTGAGTTCGACATCTGCGGATTGGACACTGAAGCGACAGGACGTTGTTGTCCACCTTGAGAATTACGAGTGCCCCCCTTCAACGGGTTTAATGAACTTTGGAGATTCCTTTGGGGTCCATGACTCACATGTGGTTCGACGTGGAGTCTCGATGGGCAGTCTTGCTGATCGCTGGTACTATGTGCCATTTTACGAGAGAACAACCCTGGGTCGCAAATCGGAGAGAATTGGTACTTACCCTCCAAGCCAGTGTCTTCACCCACAGGTGCGTCTCCTTGCAGGATTTCAAACGCTTTCCAGTCGTTTCCACGACCACCTCCGTCAGATTCGCGACTGCGACTGGCCGCGAACAGACTACGGGGTTGGGCACGTTCAGGCCCCCAGAACAGTCCTCAAAGGAAAGGTCCGAGAGGATGAAAGCCCCCGCGTACAAATTTAAACTGCGCGCTCAGGCCTGGAATGGTCACACTGGCCTCAGTGTGCGAGAGTAATGGCTGTCGGTCAAAATCACGAGCGCTTTCGATACTCCGACGCAGCAGTCATTCCCCTATTCTTCCGAGTTTTAAATGACGCCTCGAAAAGTGGCCTCATCTTTTCAAAGCGCGGGTGAGCGATACAACTTAAGACAGGAAAGCCATCATCATCGTGTGTGTCTCGTCGCGAGGGTTAGGGTCACGTTACTCTGTCGACTCATTGCAACTGCTAGATGTCATACGGCCAATACAACTACGCTGCCGGGTAAAACTCGAGCGATCTGGCATGGATCCTTACTTACGGACTACAGACCTACGGCATCACAGCACTATCCGTTTCAATATCCCGAAGAATACGCCGAAACGCTAGGAGGCCAAACACGTTCGCCCCGCACCGAGCTCCTATCCCCCATATCCTCGCATCCATCTTTGACACCTCCTCCCGACGTGCCGGTCTACACCGTGCCCAACACCGCGCCCCACACCGCGCCCCCACCCGAACCCGAATCTGCACCCGCACCCGCGCCCGAACCAGAGTCTGATGAGCTCGACCCTGCGCGTGGGCGCTCCTCGCGGCATCGCGGCCCCTCAGCCCGTTTCCAGCGCGAGCGCGAGCAAGTGCACGCGTCCGCCGCCGCGACCGAAGTCCTCGCGTCCCTCATCGCGAAAGAATACGAGTGCCTGCGCCTGCGCAAGTACCTCAAGCACGCGCTGGCGCGGCTCGCGGCGGACGACGCGCGCGTGTCCGAGGCCGAGCGCGTCACGCAGCACGCGCTGGACCAGCTGCGCGCGGTCACGGACGCGAAGCTCGCGGCGGAGCGCATGCTCGCGGGGGCGCAGGAGCAGCTGCGGATGTGGAAGTTCCAGCACGAGCACGCGCAGCAGGAGATCGTGCGTGCGCAGAGCGTCGTGAAGCTTGTCGAGGAGCAGAAGGAGGATGCGGAGCGGGACGCTGCGGCGGCGCGGAGCTCGGCGCGTAAGCTGCAGCATCGTGTCTTGGTTGCGGAGGCGATGGAGGAGGGGAGGAGGCTGGGGTATGACTCTGGATTGCGCATGGCGCAGAGAGAGCTGGAGCTGCTGGGGGTTGCGAATGCAACTAAGAGTAAAGCCGCGCAGCCTCCTCTTCTTATGGCCCCGAGTCGGCCTCCTTACGAGGCTCAGTCCCCGTACCGGGTTCCACCGATGGAGAGCGGCGAAATTGAAGATTTGAGCGATGTTTCCGACGATGACGATGACGATTTCGAGGAGATGTTGGCCCAGAATGCTTCTGCTGCTCAAAAGCCGGCCGTTGCTGCTCCGCAACCGGTTCTGGCAATGCCCAGTCCTGTGCATCCCGCCCCTCCCGTTCTAGGCAGCACCATACCCATGTCTGCTCGGTCGCCATCGATCCAACTGGACCGTTTCCCGATAGAAATACCCTCTGCATCGGTGTTGAATGATGCTCCTCCCCCGGTGCAGTCGCGCCGTCCTTCGTTCAGGCGCAAGCCAAAACAACCATCCCCTGCACCAAAGCCTCCGCCATCTCTCGCACCAAGACCTCCACCGTCTCCCGCGCGCTCCGCCGTTGTGCTCCCGCCGCCTGCGAGCCGACTACCGGACAACTATGTCCCGCTTTCCACCGAGGGTGGCATCGTGCTTCCACCGCCGTTCCATCTGTCGCAGACTCTTTTGCCCCAGATTCCATCGCCTGCTTCCGAGATTGCGTCCGCTTGGACGGATCTGCAGACAAATCGAGCGCAAGCACCCGCGCCGAAATACAGCTACCGCGGCCCTTCACCTGACCGAGCGAGTTCTCATGTGCCTGAGAGACAGCAGCGGGCAACGTCATCTCATGGGCACAGACCGAATGAACACTCTAGCGGTGCTCATCGACAGCCTGTGGCATCGACCCATTCTCGCAGACGGTCTGAGCACAGACCAGGTTCGGATGCCGATGCGTTTTCGTATACCCATGCGTCGCAAGTCGGCGGAGGCGGCGCCGATCCGACCAGCGGACGCAATCTGCGCCGGAGCAAAGACAAGCGACCGATATCGCCTTCCTCTGCGGGATCGCCCAACTACGGAATTCTGCAGACTGATCTTCCGAGTTTCGGCGCGCAGATGCACTACTTGCAGCAGCAGCAGCACGCGCATGTTCCCGAGGGGTTCATTCCACAGAGCGTCACTGTTCCGGCGCAGGTTACCATTCCAGTCAGCGTGCGAGGCAAGACGATATCTTCGCCTGTGGGAGAGGCCGTCGACGGCCGGGGACGGCCGATCTCCATCATCAGTCGCCCCATTTCCGTGGGCAGCCAGCGGCCCGTGTCGGTTATGAATCCTCGGCCCGTGTCCGTCGCCGAGCCACGGCCGGCCACTCCCGCCCGACGCCCCGTCTCAGAGCTCAGCCACGCGCCAACCGAGGCTTGGCGCTCCGGCGCGTCGCTCCAGCCCGACCCGCTCCCTCCCCGTCCGCGCTCGCGGGTGAGCATGCACTCGAACGTCGGGCCGACGCTGACGGCGGGCCCGGCACTAACGCGCCAGGCGTCCCGCAACTCATTGATCTCGAATAGCTCGTATGCGCACTTTGAGCCGGCGTCGTATGTCGACCCTGCGTTCTATGCTGTCGATGGCCATGGGCCTGGGCGAGGCGGGCATGGGCCTGCTCGTTCGGTGCGCTCTCGTCGGGCGTCTGATGCGTCTGCGCTTTCCGGCTTGTCGTATATTTCTCAGGCTCCTATGTATTGATCGCTCGTGTATAAATATCTCGTGCGCCTATGTATCCGTATGTTCCAGTGCACTCCCATCAAAATCATGTGTCAGACTGCGTTGACCACTTCTGAGCAACCATCGCAGCCTGAGGATCGGCTTGCCCGTGGATTTTCTTGTTGGCCTCAATCCTCAATGACTCGTGGAATTCGGGACTTTATTCTCAGATTTTTGGAAAGAGTTCGACGGGTCGAGATTCGAGAAAGGAGCGATATCTTATCAGACACAGACAGCTTATCGGTCCGAGCCGACGATTTGATCTGCGCGGCGGTCACAGTCAGACTTCATCTTGGTCTTGGTCCTTGTCTGGGGCTGCATATACACACCGCCCCAGCTATTAAAAAAAGCGTCCTAGACAGATGCTGCTGCTCCAGCTCCTCTCCCCCCTAATCATTGCGCCGGTAGCCCTCTCAGCATCCCAGCAACCTTTCAACGCGCTCGTCCCACCACTCACCACCCCCAACAAAATCGTCACTCCCGAGATCGACGCGTGGGTCACCACCCAACTCGCGCGCTGGAACTCCACGGGCCTCTCCCTCGCCGTCGTGCGCAAGGACGCCGCGCAGCCGGGCGGGTGGGCGGTCGAGTTCGGCTCGTATGGTTTCGCGCGGCAGGGCGTGCCGGTGCGCCCCGACACGCTGTTCGCGGTCGCGTCGGACAGCAAGCTGTTCACGGCGGTCGCGGTCGGGTTGCTGATTGCGAACGAGACGCTGGCGGGGCAGCGCGGGCGGCGGGTGCGGTGGGACACGCCCGTCGGCGAGCTGTTGCCTGAGTGGGGCTTGTGGGACGCGCGCGCGGCGCAGGTCACGCTGCAGGATATGCTGACGCACAGGACGGGGATACCCCGCCACGAGTACTCGGGCCAGGCGCGGGGCGGCGGGCTTCCTGAGATGGTGCGGTCGCGCACTCTTCCCTCTTGCGTGTGTGTACTCAAGTCTTGATCCACGAGGACAGATATCTACTCTGCGGCATCTGCGCCCGTCTGCCTCGCTCCGTGACCGGTACCAATACAACAACCTGATGTTCGAAGCGCTGGCGCATCTGCCTGCAACACTGCTCAATCAAACATTCGAGTCGTATATCGAGCAGCACCTCTTCAAACCGCTCGGGATGGACTCTGCGACATACTCCGTGCGCGACGCCGAGGCGGGAGGGGAAATGGCCCATGGGCATCACTGGGACATGCGGGACTATTCGCGCAATATCACGGGGACACGCGTGCCCATCGACCCGTACTTTCTGCGACCGGGAGAAGAGGTCATCTGGAGGGGAGCCGCGGGCGTCTTGGTCTCCGTTCGCGATATGGTGGGCGTGCAGTGTATCTGGCTTCAATTACTGAATATCGAACCTCCGCAAGGCTATGTGGGCTGCCATGCTCATGAACGAGGGCCGGCATCCGCTTACAAACGAGACAATCGTTCCAAAAGACGTAATCGAGCACATCTCAGCGGGCGTCAGTGTGGTCGCAGGCAAGGCCGTGCATCCGGAACAAGTGCGCGCTGGACGTGGCCTCATGATTGGGCGTGTTCTCACGATTGTAGAGTCCCAAGCTGTATGCGTGCGCGCGAGTGCGGTATTCCTACCGGGGACACGAGATTCTGGAGCACGGGGGCAGCAATCCCGGCTTCAAATCCCAGTTCACTCAACTCACGAACAACGAGCTTGCGATCATCGCCATGTCGAACGACGATAGAGGGGTGCCTTTGACGGAGGGGATCAAATGGAGGATCCTCGACAGTGTCATGGGCCTGGAGCCGCTCGATTGGAATTCCAGGTAATAGAGCCCGGGTCAATTTCCGCATGAGCACCCTGACCTCATTCCTCGTTGCAGATTCGAGCAGGATATCGAGAACGAAAAACGGTTCCGTGGCCTGGGGACTATGGTCCCCCGTCCCTCACACCCGGAGCCTGCATCGCTCCCGTTCTCCGAGATGCAGGGTGTCTTTTCTCATGCGGCCTACGGCCCATTTTCACCGTGTCTGTTCGACGCGCCGACGTCGTGCTCTGACCCCACAGTCGAGCGCATGGTCCAGGCAAATGCGTCTCTGCACCCCGCGCCCACATTCGTGGTCCCGTTCAAACGGACGCTAGCTACGCACCTGCTCTTCACGCATTTCTCGGGCAACACGTTCAACGTGTCGGTCATCTGGTCCAACACGCAGGCGCGGCTGGACGCTGGGTATCCCGCGGGGGGAGACGTCGTCGTCGGTTTCGACGAGAGGCATACCGTCGAATGGGTCGGCGGCGCTCGCGAGGCGCGGTCTCAGCACGGATGGGCGTTTGGCGGGAACTTTTGGGGAGCGGAGGGTGGGTATGGTGAGGTGTTGGAGGGAGCAGAAGCTTGGTTCGGACGGGTGGCATAGATTGCAATCGAATGAAAGACTGGCGATACAAACCGAGGGGTGATCCATCGTCGCCGCCAGTACGATCACTTGCTCAAATCCTTCGACAATCGTTTGCTCGCCTCCAGATCAGCCTTCAGAGCGGATACTTTCGCTTGGAACAGGGCCTGCGTCAAAGGGTCAATTTGAAGTTGATCTGGCCTGTGAAGCACGCAAACCATGGCATCGTCCCCGAAGGCGACTCTGCTGGGCGGATGCTCCAACCTGCTGATGTCCCAGAAGTCGCCGATGAGTTTGTCAGTGTCTCCGATGATCGGGGCTTGTTCTCCCAGCATGGCGCTGATAGCGTTGCGGGTCTACCACCATGAGCAGAGTGATCCGACTGTGCACCGTAGACGGACACCCTTACCTGGACGGAGCCTAGTTTCCCATTGTCCGGATGGTCGTAGGCTGGATGGATAGGCTCCACCAGGGTGCTGGACATTCCCTTCGTCGCTGTCGCAGGTTTAGTACGGTATATCGCGCACAGCATTGAGCAAGCGTGTACCGGTAAAGAAGCCGGGGCAGAGGACGGTGATCTTGATGTTCCACGCGGGGTCCAGTTCACGAGAGAGAGCGTCCGAGACGGCTTCCAGTGCTGTGCGGCGGGGGATCCAGCTTGGACACAAAATCGCTCGCTTGAAGCAGAACTACTGACCGAATTTGCTGTGCCGAGAGCGATCAGCGACATGTTCAGTGAGAATCACACTGGCCTCAGGCGACTCACGCTGCGGAGTAGATTGCGATGCCAGGCGGTGCGTCAATGCCATACATCGAGCTCATGTTCATCAGCAGCCCACCGCGGGGGTTGTTGACGTCGCGCATGAAGGCTACGCTCTGCCTCGCAACGTTGAAGGCGCCCCAGAAGTTGATCTGCGGATCTTCAGCTAGTCGGGTTGACAGCGCGATTTTGCCTCGTACGCACGTCGAACAGATCCCGAGCCTTCTGTTCGTTTGTCCCCTCGACCTCAGCGATCATACCAGACCCTGCGTTGTTGAAGACCTGGAACGAGGTATCATTCAGGGGAAGGCACTGGTGAGAAGAAGAAGAGTCATGACGCACAACATCATGCGCCCAAAGACCTCTTTGGCCGCCCCGAAGGCTGCAGCGATATCCCCGATCTTCGTCACATCGAGCTCGAGCACGAGCAGGCGGTCTTTGTCGTATTTCGCAGCGAGGTCTTCCAGGACCTGTGGGTTGCGCAGCGTCGCGACGACCTGCCAGCGCGCGCGTATCGGCTGAGTGTGTGTCCGCTGTGGCACGGATGGAACGCACGTTGTCTCCCTTGGCCAGGGCTGTTTGGGCCATGAATAGACCGAAGCCCTGCCATTACGTCGGTTAGTCAGTGCTCAGCTAGTGTAGTACGACAGGAGGACGTGCGCTGCTGGCGCCGGTGACTGCAGTCGAGTGTCGAATCAGAGGATGCTTGGTAACTGCCACTTTATCCACAAATCAACCTACTGAACCAGACCCGGGGAGTAGCCATGAGATACAGTTCAGAGTGAGACTCGGATACCGATGCAGGACATCTTCCCACAAGATGCCTGGCTTATCCTCAACCCCGCCATATGACAGCGGAGCTGGATCCAGTAACATGACGGCCTTGACCTGTGCCGAGGAGCAGTACTATTTCCGACGATAGCTGACGTTCCTTTGAGCTGCACGTGGTTGACGCGTGATACTAATCTCCATCATCAATGACTTGATGGAACTGCACGACAGGTGGCAGTGCTTTACGACAGGGGGCAGTGTCGCGATTTCCTAGACTAACCGTGTCGCGTAGGACTGGGAAGTGTGTATCCTGAGACGTCTTCGCGCATCTTCTAGCAGCATAAACAAGCACTCCAAAGAACTCATCCATCCGCTCCACAGCGCGCGTTGTGGCGATCGAAGGCAGCGGTATCCTCCGTCCTCCGCCCACATTAAGCTTCCACCCCAGCAATGATACTGCGCCAAACTGGTTCTCCCTTGCTCTTCACATCGCGATAAAAGTACATGACATACATTTCTGGCTTGGGTATCTACATCATCCATCGTCGATATATCGTAGGTATCAAATCGTCGTAGTCGAGGGGTGGACGAAACGGACTCTGTTCTGGGTGCAGGCCGTCGGAACGGGAGTCCCACGCGAGTGCAGTCCATCGGGTATCATTATCGATCAAAGACGACTTCGCGCACCGCCGCCCAACGACTGCGGTGTGGGTATCCCGATGCTTGAACGGATGGAATCGAGCGCAGCGCATATCGAGAGGGCGACGCTCGATGGGTTCTCTTGCACGATCTGTACGTGCGTAGGCGGGGTGAGCGGAGGGACATAAGAGCAAAGGAGGGAATAGATGCACACACCATGTGTCCTCCGTCCAAATACGACACGGAAGCGATCATCCGTCCGGCAGCGGGATCCGAGAGCGTATCCTGCACCGGCGGTGGTCTGCAGCGGAGCCCGTTAGCCGCGAGAACAAGAACGGGAGCGGGGGCGGACAGAGGCTTACACGAGTTCGCTCCGCTTCGCCCAGACGACGTGGATCGGCACCGCGCGACAGACGCGCGCGATTTCGTCGAGCGCCGCGAAATGCGGCTCGAGGTCCGGGAACGCGAGCGCCTCGTCCCGCGGCCGGCACTTGAGCGCCACTGAGCCATCCGCGCACCGCAGCAACCCGTGAGCCTTTATAGTCCGGACGCGGCGTTAGCTCTCATCCGTGCGCTAGGCCGAGCCCAGAATGGGATAGGGGAGGGACGAGACGTACGAGGAACCGCTCGCGCACCCGCGAGTCCCACTTGCGCCACGGCGCGCGCCGCCGGAAGGCCTGTTCCGCATCTTGCGGAGACGCCCACGACCCGCGACGCAGCTGTGTCGCGGCGACGTGTTGTGGCGTGTTGTCCGCGAGGTAGTGGTAGTACACCGCAGGCGTCATGATCGTCGGCTCGATGAGCACGATCGCCAGGTACGGGTTGGCCGACCGCTGCATCGAGAGCACCCTGTGCATGTGATTAGGCAAGCAAGTTGGGATGGGGCCCGGAAAAGACGACGTACATGGCCCCGGCCCCGGCAGAATGACCGACCGCGACCATTCGCCGGCCATGCATCCGCGGCGAGCGCGCAAAAGCTCCTATCGCGTCTGCCCACTCGAAGGCCGCTGCGGTTCCGAAGAGAGAAATGAGCACCACGCGTCGATACAGGAGATGAAACGAGAAGGAAGGGAGAGGGCACGCACAGACGCCCATGGGCCGCGAGTCCTCGACGAGATCGCGGTTCAGCAGCGCCGAGTCGCCGTGGCTCTGCCAGTCGAATGCCCAGGCCTCGCGCACGCGCTGGCGCCGCGGCTTGCCGCGCTGCGCCAGGAAGGTCTCCGCGATCACGGGCTCCCACTGTTCCTTATCTGTGTGCACGGGGGGCGGGATCATCAGCGGACGGTCGGGCAGAGGAGGGAACGGGCGGACGCACGCGATCCGATGCAGTGCGCGTAGAGTACGCTGAGCCCGTCCTCGTTCGAGAGCGAGTCGCCCATCGCGTACCGCTTGGCGGCCATCCTCAGCACGCGCCCTGCCGGGTCGAGCGGGTTGCGCGGGCACTCAAACACAAACGACGTGCACTCGAGGGGCATGGTGGATGGATGGATGGATAGATGGAGTCGGCTCGCAAGTGAGTAATGCAATGGAAATGGAAATCCTCGGCCATGCCTTCCCTGGACCTTTAAAGCGGCAAGCTAGAGGCCCGGAGGACGCTTCGAGATGCCGCCTCGGGATCGAACGCATCCAAAAAAGGCTTAAAAAGATTACTTGACAGCGACGGCTCGCGTCCGACGAGGCAGGTAGGCTGTTTGTAAAGCTAGTCACCGTCCAAGACAGCACGATGTAAAGAGCCAGCGGAGATCACTGGCCTTGGCTGGATATGTATGTAGACATACTAAACACAGACACTCTCCATGTCTTTCGTTCTCGCTGGCGGTGCCTGGGAGCTCCCGGGGCAGAGACGCGCTGCGGCGCAGAGGGAAATGAAATGAATAGAGAAGGGTGGTGCCGTCAGAGTCCCCCTGGCGACCTGGAAGTCGATTGGGAAAACACAGGTTGCCTCCCCCCTCCACAGAAGAATTCTGCACAAGGAAGACGCCTCTTTGGCTTTACGCGCGTGACGTGCTGACGTACGCGCTATCAGAGAGACTCGCGAGAGTAAGGGGTGGATCATGCAGATTCGGGGGGGCCCAGGGCGGGCAGCGCTGATCCCCTCTCCTCCCACCGCAAACTTAGAATGAACGTGTGTGCGTGTGTCAGACACCCAACGCACCCTGGAAAGAAAAACACAAAAGTAGCTTTCATGGTGGTGGGTGGGGCTTCTGGAACGCAAGCTGATGATCAGAAAGAATGTTCGACGAGCAACACACACACGCGATTCAAGAAACGACGGTGGAAAGAAACGACGCAGACATAAACAGTTATTCGACAACAGACATCCGGCAAGAATCCCGCCCAGGGTCCCGAGTTACTGGCCGTTTGTCCGCGGAGTATCAACAACAGAATTACACTTTTGTCGGCATCAGTGATTGGATCATAGTGGCGGTGTACCCGTCCATTCCTTCCCAGGTTCCAGATCCCCACACTGGAGCTATGATGGCGGCGGTAGAAGACGAATGGACAACATGGAGCATATGCAGCGCATCGTGCAAAGACGAACGTGCTGTTCTGCTCCATATCCATGCTGGATCGGCCCCTCACCGATAAAGGACTGAGAGCAGGATGCCCCGCTTCGAAACCAGTCCACAATGTCTCTCCGGAACATACTTTTCCCCATCGCCCTGACCAGTGCAACACTCACCTGCACACTTGCTGCCACGGATATCACGCAACTCTGGGGCCCGGGGTCGCCGTACTTTCCCTCGGGGACGTACACGGGTCCGCCCCCGGGATGCTCCGTCACCCAAGTCAATCTAGTGCGTCCAGGATCCAGAGTCGTCCCTGCATATCACGTGTGTTTGAATCCACCCGCGTTTTCAGATCCAGCGCCACGGCGCTCGGTTTCCCACGAGCACCAAGGCGGCGGCGTCGGTTGCAAAGCTGCAGAGCGTGGCGAGCTACACGGACCCGGCCTTCGACTTTCTCAATACGTTCAAGTATGACCTCGGTGTCGCTAGCCTAGTGCCATTCGGAGCGCAGCAGTGAGTGCTCTCGCCTGTCGTGGAACGCTAATCTCACTGGAGCAGATCGTTCGAATCAGGGAAGCTCATGTTCCAGCGCTACGAAACGCTGCTTACGTCCGGCTCTGCACCGTTCGTGCGCGCTGATAGCAGCAAGCGGGTGGTGGACAGCGCGACCAATTGGACTGCGGGTACACCTCCTGCTCCCAGGCACTCGTCCGTTCTCGTTGTCTAAGATGATGCCCAGGCTTCAGCGCTGCGAGCCACGGCGCCCTCTCCCCCATGCTCACGGACATCCTCAGCGGAAACGACACGCTCGACGACTCCTCGTGCGCCAATGCCGGCTCCTCCGACAACGCGACGAGCGCCTGGCTCGCGGTCTACGGCCCACCGATCACCGCTCGCCTCAACAAGGCCGCGCCGGGTGCGAATCTGACGAACGACGACATGGTCAACATCATGGGCCTGTGCTCGTTCGAGACTGTCGCGAGCGCGCCGTTCGCGCCCGGCAAGGGGGCGTCGGATCTGCAGCTGAGCCCGTTCTGCTCGCTTTTCTCCGTCGCCGAGTTCAAGGCCGCGGAATACTCGTCTGATCTGGACAAGTACTACGGAACCGGGTGCGCAGCTTCGTCTCGTCCATCCTACATTCACGAATTGGTGGTTTGAACAGACATGGGGGCCTCCTCGGGCGCGTGCAGGGCGTCGGCTACGTCCTTGAGCTCATCGCGCGGCTCACCAACACGCCCGTCCCTTCTCTGGTCAACATCAACACCACCCTCGACGCATCCCACGCGACGTTCCCGCTGGACCGCACGTTCTACGTGGACTTCACGCACGACAACGAGCTCGTGGCGATCTACGCCGCACTCGGGCTCTTCAAGCAGGCTGTGCCACTGCCGACGACCGCTGCGGTGAACGACGGGGTGGGGAAGGCGGGGCAGTGGGTCGCGTCGCGGCTCGTGCCGTTCAGCGGGCGCATGGTCACCGAGAAGCTGCGGTGCGGGGCAGCTCAGGGAGACGTTGTGCGCATATTCGTGAACGATGCGCTGCAGCCGCTTGAGTTCTGCAACGGCGGACACAGCAAGGAGGGGCTGTGTACTCTGGATGCGTTCGTCGAGAGCCAGGCTTATTCGGTCAGCGGTGGGCTGGGGGATTGGGATTTGTGTTTCTCGTGATTCACTGTTTGCGTGTGAAAGCATACATCCACGTGCCTGCGAACCGTGGAAATGTTCTCACGTGCGCGATTATCATTTGAGTATCTGATAGATATCGCTGATATGATTCTGGCCCTGTTAACACACAGATGCTACTGGTTCCATTCCCCAATCCCAGGCACGACTGGAAACGGTGTTTTAGCAAGCTGGTGTGGAAGTGTAAGATCTCAGACATACCTGCGTTATTCATGCGACGATGCAGTACTGCCCTCCGTTCGACGAGTCTCCCTTGTCCCCGTTGACAGGCGCAGCTCCCTCCCCGGGTGCAATCGCAGTGTTTCCGGCAACGGGAGATATTGTGACTGCTGAGAACGAGTCCATGGCGGTGGATAGGGTAGGGTCTGATGACAGGAATGGGGCAGGCTCGGGAGTCAGAGATGCTATCGATAGGTAGGTCTTACTTTATACCCTCGTGTGCGCTAGACAGAGCTACGCTAGGTGCATCAGCCAAATTGGCAGCGCCACTGTCATGCCGTGCCTGTGGATTTGTGGGCCTGTACGCCTCTGATCGATATCTCTTGTTCGTCTGGCGGTGTTCGACGAGGAGCGGCTGCCCGCCGTCATTCTTTGTTGATTCGGGCTTTCGCTGAAGGGAAAAGTATGTTTTCGGCGATCCGTACAAGCCTAAGAATCCTCGATCTCGCAACCTTTTTGAACGACGGCAACGATATGTGATACGGAATCTCATCATGCACGCCCATAGCAGCTGCTGATTGACACACACCGGATGAGGATCACACTAACCGGGTTGAAACGGCGGAAAAATGGACACGGAATACGGTGCCTTCCTTGGCCGACTCTTGGGTGTTGTTGGATGTTCACGAGACATTGGCATGTGTACGTTCCCCGGCTACGTTTACTGCAGGAGTTACTCTGAGCACTTAGCCCAACTCGCCTGGCTCCCTGAACACCGAGCCGTTGGACTCAAAAATGCGTGCCTAGACAGGCATCATTTTGCAGAGGTACAAAGAATGTTCATACAAGTAGTCCCAAATCATATCCATCCGTGCCACAAGAGCCGGCTCTTAGAGCGAACTGAAATGAACTGATCGGTATTCAACCTCAAATGAAGGAAAATCTGAGCAAACAAGAACGAACGGGAGATGTTGAAGCTTCAACTGACCTATGCGACGACGCAGTACCGGTCTCCCCCGCCGGAACTGTCACCCTTCTCCTCGTTTACAAGAGCGGCTGTCTCCTCGTGGACAAGGGTGCTCTGGGAAGCGAGTGCGATGTATGTGAACGAGTCCATATCGGAGTGTGTGTTTGGTTTTCAGAGAGTGTGAATGAGTGTATGCGTTCGATTGGGAAAGTGAAGTTCTGAGGCACGACTAGGCACAGTTTTTATACCTGAAGGTACTCGTCGCATCACCGTCTTGGATCCCCTTTGAACGCACGAAGTAGAACTACCGGGCTCGTTCGGTGCTTTGAAACATGCCGAGTAGATCCGAATGGCGTCACCATGACTATTTGAGTCTGCAAAATCTACATACTTTAGATTCCGCACTGCCAACCCCGTTCGCAGCGCCGCAACATGGTAAGGCTGCTGAAGCCACAATATCTTGCTCATGCGATGGTGACTCAAGTAGAGAACTCGAACATATTTCGAGCCCGAGAGGGATAGCACACCGAAAATTCCAAACTTATTTATTTTCTTCGAGCAGCCTTGTCAGTGCGAGCGGCCCATCCCGTAGCTTCCTTATAATTCGAAGGTGAACTTGACTTCCACAATCTCCTCTGACAAATCCCACAACTTGGCGGCATTCGCCTGGTAAACGCGCATGAGCGACTTGTTCTCAAGAGACACAACTGCCATTGAAGCACTCACCGGATCCGCGGAGTGCTCTTCGATTTTCTCGTTTGCGACGACCGAGTTGTCCAGGTATGCGCCGGGGCTTGCGGCGAGGCGCGGGTCGAACGCAGCAACCACGGTCGTCGCCGCGCCCTCGGGGATCGTCTTCCAGTGGAAGTCCCGCGTGTTGGGTTGGCCGTCCGGCCCGAGGATCCCTTGGCTCTTTATCGTCTCGAGGGACTCCTCTTTCAGGAGGAGGTTCGTCGGGATCTCTAGCGGAGGGAGGGTCAACGGGTGCGACATGTGGAAGCTGCTGCCTCACCTCCCGGATGCAGACTGTACCCATTGAGCTTTCCGTGCGACCTCCGCGAGAGCTCCGCCGCGGTCAAGACGTTGGCGGACTTGGAATGGGCATACGCGTTGAACGCCTGGTAGGTGTCTGGATCGGGCTTCCTGAGCGTCTCAAAGTCGGGGCCCTTGCACAGAATGTGCGCGTGACTCGACACGAATACGACGCGCGGTGTGAACTGCTCCGTCCTGGCCGCGAGGAGCTTCGGCGCGATGAGCGCGGTGAGGAGGAACGGCCCGAGGTGGTCCGTGGCTATTTGATTCTCTAGTCCGTCGACGGTGAGCTTGAACGGGCCGAGCGGGGCCGCAGCATTGTTGATCAGGACGTGGATCGGCTCTTCGTAGGCGTTCACCTCCGTTGCGGCGGTGCGCACGGCGACGAAGGAGGAGAGGTCGAGGATGAGAGCGCGAATATTGGCGTGCGGGACTTCTTTCTTGATTGCAGCCTCAGCGAGTCTCAATCTGGGCGCATATTGAATCAAGTCTGTGTCAACGGTTCTGGCGTTACGCACCGCTCCTCGTTGTGCCCAGTGATCACAACTAGGTTTGCATATTTTGCGATGGCACGGGCAGTCTCGAATCCGATCCCGTTGATGGAGGTTCCAGTGATAAGAACTGCATCGGCATCAGTGCTGAGCAAATTCATCCAAAGCACGCCTCTACCGACCATTCTTGCCCTTTATCTCATCCGAAAAAGCAGTCGCAACGTCCTCAGCGGTGGTATGGAAGTTGAAAGTAGGGTAGGACATCTCTGTGCGTGTGTCTTTGGAGCGGTTGTATTTTACCAAGGTGGGCTGCTCCCTGTCTACTTTATACCCTGCGCGTGTTTGTCGCAAAGAGCTTTCTGCTCGCGCTTCCACGCTGAGTAAGGGCCTCAGCGGCCCATGGCGAAACTCGGGCTGAGCAATCCTGGGCAGTTTTTCCGTTAACAAGTTCAGTATTAGTGGTCATCAGCTGCGTAGTCGCCTATCCACCCCTCTGGTCCGGACCAAAAGCCTGCCCGTTGATAAGCTAAACGGAGTCATGAAGTATATATGGTCGTGGTATGAATCCGAAGATCATGTCTGCATTATGGCAGGGAAGCCTAGTGGCCGGTTTTGTCCGGTTTGACGTGTGCCGGCTCGGCAATGAAGCTTTAGAGAAAGAGTGTATTATTATTATTCGATTCAGATTCTCATCGGCATTGAGCGTACCCAAGACTCTTCGAGGCTCTCGATCATAGGATATGTCGATTCAATGCCGTCTTTAGGTCATAAACCGAATATTTGAACCATAGCTCAATTCAGTTGAGAAAACTAGAAATGGAGGAACAAGACAGGTTCATGAGACGCTGACCACATTGCACACAGTAAGCTGTATATCTAAGAAGCTTGGCTAAGATTGGTCGCCTGCCGAGTGCATCTTTCATCGATCATGAGTTTGTTGCCTACGTGAAGGCTACAAGGTCATCATGAATTCAAACAAAAGTCGCCAAAAAAAAGGTCTCATATTGATTCCGCGCGTCGGAGCAATGCTGTCAGCAGCTCTGGATTTGTGTTGAATTGATTATATGCAAGGCAGTTCCAATCAGATCGCAATTCCAAGTCGTACGCAGAGGGGGGAAATTATTGGCCATCAGTAACCTCCTCCGAGCCGTCTCATGGGCAATCTTTCACCCAACATCTTCTGTTCGTCGAGCTGTTTTCTTCGTAGCTCCAATCAATCCTAAAACGGTTTCGGAGGATTTGGTTAAATCAGAGCTGATTCCGTAGACCACGCGTAGACCACGTGACTTCGAGTTGGTTAGAGTAAGTGCACTGTACAGATATCCGTGTCAAAATTGGAAACGATTAGAAGTTCTACTAAGTTCTGTTGTCATCTGAAATCAAGCCAAACAAGAGATCGGTGATGAACCGCACGCCATTGGAATGCAATCACGTGTCTCGGTTGAACCGTGGGAAGCAAGAAAAGAACAGAACTCCAGATCGAACACAGGGAAAGCATAGCCGAAAACCGGAGCTCAAATTTTTCGACTGCTGCAGCGCGCCCTGAGGAGACACTGTTCCGAAAAAATCAATAAGAGATTATCTTAGCCGAAAATTCCATCCATCCTTCACGCAAATCGATCTATCGCTCAAATAAGTGTCAGAGCCATGGCATCGACCTTCGCGTTCCTCTCGTTGTACATCTTACCGATGGCTAGCCTAAAATCGAATTGCCTTGCTTGTCAAGGCTTCTCCAGACCCTTAATTACGTAAAATCATAAAAATTTGATGAACCTGATCCGGCCTCTGATCCGTTCTGATCAATCTTGCCAGTTACGCACATCTGCATGTTAGCTGTGCATGCGAATTTGACATTTGTGACCGGCTTTGCTCTATCGAGGCAAATATGTGGTTGATCATCTTTGTATGTATGATTTTGAGGGCAGAATCATCGCACCATAGGATTATATGAAAAAGCTCCCCAGTGCTTCTGTTGCAGTCACTTTCACTATGACCCACTACTCATTCACAAGCCAGAAAGAGGACATGTTTGTTGCAGACATTGTCAAGATACTGTATATGTCATCAAGTCTCAGATTGCACTGCTGCCCAGCCCAAAGAAGTGTTGGCCAGCTGCACCTGATATGGATGATAGCCCAAAGAAGAAAAGGACGAGGGCTGCTGGGGCTTAATTATGACCAATGTCTTTGTTGATATTTTTGCAATCTTTGTGTTGAGTAGCAAGGCATTCTGTCGGCAGAGCCGACGCTTTCTAGTCCCTTCCTGTCATGTCAAATCTGCTCATCAGTGATGACGCTATTCGCATCAGATGCGAAAACCCACTGATCACAGGTAGATCTCCCTTTTTGTTACTTGTCGCGCGCACGGCATCACTAGGAATCTCGTGGCTTCCACCCAGCGCATAACAGCGTCAAAAATCTTTGCCACCCAAAGAACGCTCGATATCGAGCGCGAAATCGGCGCGACTGCAAGCACCATGTCGTCGTCGATGGCAGATGCACCAGCGGCGGAACCCAGCACCGGGGATAAACGCACCTTCCCGTCCGAGGTCCCACCCTCGCTCTTTTCCGATATGGAGATGGCAGATACACAGGCGCGCGAAGACACGCCCGACGCGAAGCGCGCGAAAACCGAGCAGCAGCAGGAGCAGCAGGAGGGCACCAGCGCTGCGACCCCGGCCGCACCGGGCAAGAAGCTCACGGGCAAGGAGCGGCGGCAGGCGAAAAACATGCAGGGCGCGGGTCGGCGCAAGCGCGAGGGCAAGCGGGACTACACGCGCCCCGAAGGGAGTGCAGATGCGGCTGAGGGCGACGCGAAGGACAAGACGCCGCGGCTCCCGAAGCGCATGACCGCGCTGCTGCTGGGGTACTGCGGGTCGGGGTACCATGGGCTGCAGATGTACGTCGTCGCGCGATCCGGGCCCGGGTCCTCCGTCGGTGGCGGGTTAGCTGACGTTTGCTTTCGTGTGCGCCGGCAGCCAGAAGGACGGGACGGGTGTCACGACGATCGAGAATACGCTGTTTGATGCGCTGACGCGTGCGGGCGCTGTATCGCAGGACAACGCGAACGATCCGACCAAGGTGGGGGTAGTTGGCCAGCGCTTGTGCCCTCGGTTTGACCTGCTCTAGGTCGGCATCGCTCGCGCAGCTCGCACGGACGCTGGCGTACATGCTGCGGGCAATGTAGTGGCGCTCAAGATGATCACGGAGGTGCCTGGTGTTCCGGACATGGTTGTGCGCGTCAACGAGGAGCTTCCGCCGGAGATCCGATTGTGGGGGCTGGTGCGTTCCGGTACTGAATCTCAGGCTCGCATTGTCTTACGCATCCTTAGGTTCGAGTGCAGAACTCATTTAATCCCCGAACGTGTGTCCGCTCTGCTCTGTGTCGCAGGTAACACTCGCCTGACTTGACCAGTAACTGCGACAGCCGAAAATACACCTACTTCTTTCCGACGTACCTGCTCATTCCGCCGAAACCTAGCTCGGCATTGTATCGAGTGCTGACGGAACATACTGCAAGCTTCAATCCGCCTGTCCCGCCGCCCATCCTCGGGCACTCGTTCTGGGACGCCGCGCCGGCGGACAGTGCGGCCGCAGATGACATGGCGCGGAAGCGCGCGTGGCGGGTCGGGCCAGAGCAGATGGAGCAGCTGCGCGCAGGGGCCCGCAAGTACCTGGCCACGCACAACTTCCACAACTTCACGGTCGACGGCGCGTTCAACGATCGGAGCAATATGCGTGTCATGAAGGCCATCGACGTGCGTGCTTTGCTCGGCCTTTCGGGGGCCCGGGAGCTGAATCAGTGCAGATCGCAGACCCGGTCGTGTACGGGGAGACCGAGTGGATCAACGTCCTGTTCCATGGACAGAGTTTCATGATGCACCAGGTGCGTGCGGCCGTGTTACCCGTCGCAGCCTCGTTTGACATGCGAATAGATTGTGCCAGGTGTTTCTGCAGCCCCTCGAGTCGAAGCTGACACGTTCTGCAGCGCAAAATGATCAGCGCGCTTGTGCTTTCGGTGCGCACAGGCACGCCCGCGGATGTCATAGATGAGGTAGGCGGAGCAGACTTGGCCCCTCGGTCCTTCTGGCATTGACTCACACGAAGCTCTACGGTCCGCGAGACATCTTCATCCCGAAGATGCCGGCGCTGGGCCTGCTGCTCGAAGAGCCGCTGTTCGACTCGTACAACCAGCGACTGGACAAGTTCAACGAGAAGCACAGCCCGGGCGACCCTGACTACCGCCTCCCGATCGACTTTGAGCCGTTCCACGCGCAGATAGCCGCGTTCAAGCAGAAGTACATCTACGACAACATGCGGATGGTGGAAGATCGGGATGGACTGTGCGTGGATTGACTCAGAGGAGATGCCTCTGACGTCTGACACCTAACAGCTACGACGCGTGGATCCGTAACGTGGATGACTACGCGGGGAACGATCTGTTGTACCTGAACCCCAAGGGTGTCATTCCCTCTGCGGCAGTAGTGAGAGACCGCAGAGACCGCCATCGGAAGGGCGGCTTCAAGGAGAAGCGTCTGTTCGATGCGACGAGTTTCCCGACTGGTGGGAAAGAGAGCGGCGCTGTCGACGATGAGGACGTCGAGGCTGAGAGCAAAACAGCGGAAGTGGAGGGTTAGCGTAGCCTGTATTGTGCGCTTATTACGATCAGAGTGGCTGTGCCCGTCTTTGCTCTTGACCGCGATGTCCACGAAGTTCCGACACCGCGGCATTGAAGAAGAGGATGCTGCCGCCCTGAAGCTCGGACACGGTGCACGGCACTCACTCACGAAGACAGAGTCGGCCCGCTGAATCTCCCTACATTAGAATTCAACAACGCCGGATGTCTGCTCATCTCTGAGGTGAAGTACCTGCTCGAGAACCGGGACAAGGACGCGCCGGACACCAAGTGCGTTTTTCCGTGACCTGTCTGGAGGAAAGATGAAGGGAGGGGGTGGATGTGTGCAGCTTGGTGCTGATGCGTGCGCAGGGTGTATAACAAGACACTGGAGTACGTGAAAACGTTTGCCAAGTTCAATACGACGGACTCGGCAAGTGCGGTGCGCGAGTACGTGTCGTCGCCGCCTCCTTGCTTGAATTTCCCCTCTGATATGGTGGCCTGTCTCAAGGACGCTCCGACGCGAGCCTGCGCTCACGCAATTCGAGACGGCGCAGATCGCGAATCTGTGTCCTGGGTCAGCAGAGGAGGCGAAGAGTGTAGTTCCAAGGTGCGTTCCTTTGCCAGACCATAAACAACTCATTGGCTGAATGTGCTTGCAGTCTGGTGAAGATCGAAGACGACCGGCTCGAGGCGCTGTTAAGGGACATCCAGACGATGCGCAAGTACCAATCATGATGGGAATGCAGACGCAGTGATTTGGTCTATCTGTATATTTCCTCCGGTTGTACGCTACCTGTCGATTCCTGCTATGTTCTCGCCGAGTGGATGTGAAAAGCGACAATGCCTACGTCATCGCTATCAGCCCTCTGAAACTGGTCGTCGTGCCTTGTCTGTTTTTCGCCCCCTGAGGGTGACCACAGCCACCAATCTGAATCTTAACACCATCAGCTCGAGATACTCCTCTCCGAAGTCACTGTTGGTTCTCTTTGGACCACACATCTGTACACGGGACGAAAGAGTCTCGTCCTATCCTCTCATCCTCCTCTTTGACGCCAAGCCCATGGCCGCCTTGCCCTGATCATGACGCCGGGCCGAGCCGCAAGGTGGCCGGAGGACAATCGACCCAATCCGTCAACGTCAAGAAACAGGGGGCAGGCAGTTATTATGTGTCAAGTGTTTGTGTCGCCTTGCCCGTTATTCATGACCCCCACTCCCGCCGTTCTTTGATTCTCTTACACGGTACGTATTTCTAGGCCGTTCGATGGACTAGATCGACGAACCCGAGTAGAAGCCCTATTACGCGTCCTCTTCGCATCCACTCCTTTCTCTCCGTCCCAACGATGTCCACAACTCGACCTCGCCGACACAGCAGCAGCAGCGTCGCCCCTTGTCCTACGCACCAGCATTCTGAATCGTCCTCACTTGATTTCGGTCCTGTGGAGACGAAGAGCGATGCAAGCTCGCGCCGGCACAGTCTAGTCAAGCCCGTGCAGTCATCCCCATTCATGGCGACCCCTGAGATCGCGCTTGCAGTAGCCTCTACCCCCAACCTTCTGCTTCCAGTCGCGGTCTCCCCGCCCCTTCCACCGAGAAAAGTGCGGACCCCGCCGCATTTGCCACTACCCCCCACACCCATCAGCCCCACGATTCAGCCTCCTCCACCCTCACCCCGCTTAGGACGTGATCGCGCATCGATGTCGGATCTCTCCGCCTCGTTTCCTGCCCCACCAACCGATTTCCTCCCGCGAGCCTTCAGCCGCAGCCGCGCTCAACCCCCGATCCCCACGCGCGCGAACACCGCGCCCTCAGCCGTGCCCCCGCACCAGCACGCGACAGACAGCCAGGGCAGCCGGCAGTGGCTCACGTCCGCGCAGGACGTGCCGCGCTTCTCGCGCACGGCGCTGGCGGGCGTCGTGCTGCCCGTCCCCGCGCGCGACGCGAAGCGGAGCTCGAACCGGGTGTCGCTCGTGCACGTGCACGTGCCTGCGTCGCCGCCGACGCCGAGGCTGTCGCGGGGGCACCGACCCGGGAGTCGGTCGTCGTCGTCCTCTGGCGGTGGGCCTGCGACGCCGAGCGCCAGCTCGTCGGCGGGTCATACGGCGACGGAGCTGGATCTAGGCCTGCATGCGATGTCTGTGCTGATGTCGGACGACGAGGACGAGCAGGCGCAGGTTGTGGCGCTGCACAGTCATGGTAGCCATGTGCGCCGGAGGAGCTCGACGAGTGATCTGCACGATACGTCCCATCGGCAGAAGCTGGCGTGGAGTCGCAGCCACCGCAGGTCGCATGCCAAGGGGACGAGTTTTCTGTCGTTTGGGTCCGATGACTCGCTGGAATCGTTCGTGCACTTTGGTGCCAGGCAGCAATCGGATGCTTCGTCGACGATTGCAGCCAGTATGGTGACCATCCCGCTTTCGACGCACAGCCAGTGGGCTGAGTCACCTGAGCTCACTGGCTTGACGAGTAAACAGAAGGAGGGGAGTGGGACGATGAAGAGGATATTCAAGTCTTTCATGAAAAAAGGTCATTGATATTGGACATTAGGGCGCATACACTCTTTCACTAATTATATATGTATATAATCATACCAGGATCTGCTCATCCTGCATCAGTTCTGGAGTGTATGATGCCCACCGCTCTGTGCAGATTAGACATGATAAGATAAGATCGTGTGCCTGGGCGCTGTCAAAGGTGGGAAAACGGATCTACGAATTCAGATCTTGAGCGAGATTTTCCCGGAAGTCGCTCTCGAGTCCTGAGTTCGGGATTTTCCGGTGCCCTGACATGAGTCGGCGTGCTCGGGCGATTTACCGGGATGACGGGAACAATTTAATGGGGATCTCTTCAGAGCACATATAGAACCAGGTGGTTGGTGTCACTGAAAGCATGCCCTGAAGCCGAACAATATCAGTTTTGAAGTGGATTTCAGACTGGCTAATGTTGGGAATAGCCCTCATCAAAGCGAGCGCACTATAGTTGCATGGATCGTCGGAGCCTGCGATGATGTCCATATAAGGCTAGCCCGAAAATCTGAGATGGGTTCTGTCGGGCCGGGAGGTACTGCTCTCGCGCAATTGAGTCTCGCCGGAGGGAATTGGCCTTTTGGGTCGATATTCTGGTAAAAACTCCCCGGTATCGGCGCAGGCGTTGCCTGGGGAGACAATTTCATCATCAGCGGTCCTGGATCGTTCCCTCGTTCGCTCCTGACGTTCTGGAAATGGAAGGCTCGGTTACCGGTTACCAATACCGCGATACAACGCAAACCGGGGGCCGGGTATCGGTCAGTATAGGTATTTTAAAAAGGCCACGAGCACGGCGCCGGCTTTTTTTGCGCTCCCCCTCGTCGTCCAGCCCCTCACTCCACCCCGCGCTCTTCCTCCCCGCCCTTTCCTGTCATCATGCCCGGAGCGATGACAGCCAGGGTCTCCCTCGCAGACACGCTGGGCGCTATCTTGATGGGGGTGATTTTCTCTGCGCTGTGAGTCGCCTGTCTCGGTCTCGGTTTTCCGACGGTGTCTTGCTGACGAGGGTCCGGCTGTGCAGGATCTACGGTATCAGCTCGCTGCACGGATTCTTCTACCTGCACAAGTTCCACCACTACGACCCGTGGCTGCTAAAGGCTGCTGTGAGTGCCCCTCCCCCTGTCGCCCACGTTGCCGGGCGGCCGTTCCACGTGCCTAGTTTGCTGACCCTTGGCGGGCTCGATGTTAGGTTGGAAGCATCTGGTGCGCTTGGCGCAGTCGATCTGCCTCCGCGCACGCACTAATTCGTAATGAATGGGTTTCCAGGCTCCTGGATACGCTTCACCTGGTGTTCGCGATCTGGGCGATCTTCTTCTACACCGTGTTCTGTTTCGGGAAGCCCGCGGCGTTGTTGGAAATTCATTGGTCAGTGGATGGAGTTTTGTTGTCCACCGCGGGATCTCAATCGAGTGCATTATCTAGGGCCGCCAAGGTTGGTTCTCGATATTCAAGAGCGAAGGTTACGCTGAACTTGCGCTTTCAAGATAGTCGTCGTCTTGAGCGTGGGTCATCCATGTTGCGCGCAACTGCCGAAACTGTTTCTGACTCGGCGTTCCAGGTTGTGATCGTGCTTCTGGTCCAGGTGTAAGAACCCCTTCTTTCCTGGGCTCTTCCCGAATGCCGGTTTATTTTCTCCCAGCTTTTACGTTTACCGAGTGTGGCGTTGTGAGTGTCATCACGGCATTTCTGATCGGCATCTAAAACGGAGTAGTGAGTGGGCTGAAAAAACGAGGGGTGGTTTCAATCGCGGTGCGTCTTGACTTTTAATGTGCCGTTCGTTCGATGGACCATTGAATGCCGAATGAAGATCGTCGCGGTGTTATGTGGTGCTGGTACGTCTCGTGCATCGTCATTTCCGCTATCACCGACCCGAACCTGATCTTTAGCGTTCGGCTTGCGTGAGTGTTCTTTAAAGCACGTGCCGTCCAATCGTTGAATCCTGTTGGTCCCAGTGCTGGCTGTAAAGACGTACGCACGGCCCCGCCAATTCCAACCCCAGCCTGCTGATCAGCTCGCAGAGTACAAGCATCGTCGTTTTTGGAGCTGTCGCGCCCGGATTTGAGTGTACGTGTGTTTTGTCCTGTGCGACTTCTGTGCCACGTGGTTTAACCATCTTGCGCAGGTCGCCACGCAGGCCTCGTTTGCCGTGGCCACAGCCGTCGACTTCGCCATCGCCGGGACCATGTGCTATTACCTGTACTCTAGCAAGCGGGTGATTCCTCGAATTCGTGGCTCGCGGTTGCACGTTGCCATCAACACCGTAATTGTGAGCTGTTTGGTGTTGACTGGGGTTGGCTGCTGGTAGACTCACTCATTCGTCTTCTCCCTTGCAGCACTATACGATATGGTGCGCTCAATCCAAGTACTGCTTTACCACTTTGATGTTGAACCTCGTTCCCTCTTCAGTTCAGGGCTACTCACCAGGTATGAGGCTGTCCAGAAAATTGGGACTTCATGCTCATCCCACCCAGTGTTACTTCACTCGCTTGTTTAATCACAGTGAGCTCTCTCTTGGCTTTCGTTTGTTTAGCTCAAATGTCTTGTTCAGTTTATCACGCTCCCTCGAACTCTAATATTCTTTGCACTGTCGTTCATCCTGACAAAATGTGCGTCTCTGACCCTCCTTCTGGAGCAGACCTGCTTAATCTACGGACAGGCTACGTCTTCTCGCTATTCACACTGTTGAATCTACGGCGCGGGAAATCCCTCACGCCCGATGCGACGAGGCAGGCCGGAGAGTCCTCCAATTCATATTCTATGGGATACCGAAGGAACGGTACCACCCACCATCTTGACGTGTGTCCTATTTTTGTCTGGCTCCTATTCTCTCGCTCACCATATGATGTCAAGACTATGCACGACCGACCGGTAGTTGTTGGCGTCCATGTCGATGTTGAGCGCGGGATCGATCCTGTTCTGGATATAAATGGGAATCTGAAAGCCAGTACGGACTGGTAGTGTATATAGTATAAAATTTGGGACGCCTGATACACGCGTTGCATATCGTGTCGACTTCAGTGGCGATGCGCAAGTAGTAAGAATCAGCACATTCACATATATCAAGCTCGCACAACCAGGCCGATGCTTGAATCGAAGGTGAAAATGACTGGGAATCTGGTCACAGCTTGTCTGTACATAGGTCTTACGTCCAATCCTTCAATTGCTTTACAACACACGTGACACAAACAAGGCAAATCAACTATTGATCCCATCAATCTCAATCTGACGAGAAGGACGCGTGACGTATCGTCTCTTGTCCAGTGACACCACCCTGGCTGAGGTCGTCCTCGTTACATACTGACCAACCCTCTTCGACCGATTTCCTCTCTTTTACCCTCTCTCTGTTTATCTGCAGCAAAACATGCGTGCCCCCAGTCTTGCCAGGTCAGTCGGCTTCCATCGCTCTGCCGCGGGAAATCAAATCTGACGATGTCGATCCTAAATTCTTTTCTCCCCTCTAGGACCGCTTCCCTCTTGATTACGCTCGGCAGTGGGCTGACCCACACATACCTTACTCTCCGACTTGCCTCACTCTGGCTCGACTATCGCCCTTTTGACGGAGACGCTGAGCCGGCAGGCAAGGTCGACGGGTTGCGCGTGCTGTGGGCGTTGCTAGGGCTGTATACTTTCGCGGGTGCGACATTGTCATATATCGGACTGCACGGAGTGATCAAGGTGCGCGCCCTTCCTCTCGAATCTCGTTCCTGCGTCCCCTGTTCCCCTGCTCGGGTCCGGACCGGACGGAGCTTGCTTCGAGTCGGCGACCGCTACTAACACCGCTCTTTCTTTCCACAGAACAAGGCCCCCCAAGTCCGTCTCTACCGCGACTGCGCGACCGCCGACCTGGTCTTCACCTCCTTCCTCACGGCCCTCGCCTGCCTAGCCGCCTGGTCGCCGACGCGCACGGCGTGCGAGACGCCCCAGCTCGCGCCGCTGCTGAGTCTGATCCTCCCGACCCTCTCGCTCATCGACGAGTCGTGCGAGCGCGCGCTCGCGCAGGCGACGGTCATGCTCGCTGCGGGGATGCTCGTGCTCACGGTCGCCAGGACACACTGTCTGCTCGCGGTGCGCATGTACTACACCGCTCTGCTCCGCTCGAGCGAGGGCAAGCACGCGGAGTTTGAGGGGCCCCGGCAGATCAGGCTGCTCCCGTTGCCGAGTGGGATGGATGCGGGCGAGGTCGTGTATGCGCCTGTGCACCTCCCGGCGGACGCGGCGCCCCAGACGGAGACGTGGATTCGCGCGACGGAGGCTGCGGTCTTTGCTGCCGATGCGGGCCTGCTTGACGTTGAGGATGTTGACTCAAAGCGGGATTGGATCTGAAGGGAAGGCTTCTTTCTGCTCATCGTGTGAAGCAATACCCTACTTCCCTCTATCTATTGGACTTGTGTCTTATGAGTACTACTACGGTACTGTATTCTTACTAAGATATTCACTCGCCTGCTGCCGCTATTTTCGCACGCGTTGTTCTTGAGAGAGTCCAGACACCTTTCGCCCGGGGAGTGAATCTCTCTCTCTCGTCTTTCTTGCTGAGCCTCGAGAGATGAGAGTTTTTCACAACGTTTTGGGATCTCGCTAGTAAGTATGGGCGTCTTCCAAAGTCACGGGCAGCCGGCACACGTGCGCCGTATTAGGCCGTATTATACCTGACGCGGGGCCTACGGAAAGCGTGGAGAGAACAGTAATGCCAGTGGGTAGCGACCGGGGATCAATCGTTCTCAATGCCAACGGTAAGTAAGAGATGAAACCCGACACGAGCCTTCGCCTCCCACCATCACCGTGTCACCGTACATTTGTATAAGGTGCGAGGACAGTCTACAGCCCTGGAATCATGGATGTCACACCAAAAACAAGGCATGCAGTGGAAAAGCCGCAAGGGGCAAAGTGCGTCCGTCTTCGGTAACAATGAGCTTCTCCCGTCTTCCTAATTTGGAAGGCACAGTTTTTCCCCACGTCAGTCCTTTTTGGGAGCAAGGGAATATGCTGTGAGACTCTAAACACCGGGATCACTCCTCGTATATAACCACCAGCGAGCATGCAGGGCGTAGCATTCTCATTCTGCCATTATCCCTCAATATACGGGGTCCAATGATATGTCTGCAACACCGCATTCTAATCTATCATTGGAGTATATAGCTTGCTTGGCCAGCGTGTGGGAAGAGGCTGTCCGTGGTGGGCTCGGATTATACAGCACTCACCGTGACGAAGCGGTCCGGGCAATTATTAACGAGGAACACGAGGATGAGCAAATCTCGCAAAAGACCTGATCGGGCCATGACCAAATTGTGGCAATCATGATCGCATAGAAAAGGATCAGTAGAAAAGCAGGCGAGGATTGAGGACGAGGTATCTTCATCCTGCCATCCCTCGTCCCATCTTTGACATGTCTCTCACATCCACCGCCAAGACCCAACCTCCAGTCCAAGGCGCAGCATGTTCAACAGAGATTTCAGCTGCGCTTGTGCAGACGCTGGTATCCGGCCTCACTCCTACACCAACGATCGTAGCCATCATCACCATCATGATCATCATCACAAGTTGCCTCGTCTTTCCATTGTTTGTGCGACGGGCTCTGGTACGGCTAGTCCAAGAGATGTTGGAGGCGACACAGAGCGCGGAGAACTACTTTCTCGGGGCCGTCGACAACGGGCGAATGATGGATCGAGACGGCGAGCTTAAGCAGGAATTGGAGAAGTGCGTCCGACCGCTGCCAACAACACATCCTCCAGTTTGACCGATACTTATCGGCCTCTAGGACTCAGCTGGAGATATCCACGCTCCGGGAGGAGTATCTTCGAAGCTTGTTATCGTACCGGACCGAAGCTCTGTATTGGCTGGCAGGACGCGTCTTCAGATTGCTCGCTGCGACCAGGCGCGTTCGCATTTTGCGGATCCGAATCGAGGTGCGCAGTTCTCTTTTGATTGCGAGTCCAACAGCTTCAACGCAGCCACCAGATTCAAATGGAACAGCGCTGTCGGGATCCCCCGCAAGCCGAGCCAACAGCTACCATCACACGGCGCCGTCGGGCTCAGTGAGCGGATCACCGAGCGCAGGCAGATACGTAGTACCTGCAGTACAATCACTACGCAATGATTAAGAATGTACTCTTGCTGCATGACATTATTTTCACGGGCTTTCTTTCTTGGCCAATCTAATATTAATCAACTATCAGGGTCACTGCATTGGCGTTGTATCACGTGTCCGCGTTCTCAAGCGCTTGAGCTGTGTATTTATTCGTCGTGGATCCCGTGACTTCGAGCCCTTCCCCCGCTTATCTGATCTGCGCGTTCTCGTTGATTGTATGATTTATCAAGCCCAAAGAGTTTCATGGTTCGGGTCAAATTATCGGACCATAAGGATGTGTTCGTGACCAAAAGGCCAATCGCGCCAGGGCTCAACAGCCCAAGCGCAATGCTCTGCGAGTTTCTCAGTTCATTTTTCCATCAAAGATGTTGATGAACAAGTGAGCAAGTTACCGTGTCGCGAACGAGGGCAGCACATCCGGATTAAGAGCGGTGGAAGGGACATTGATGGGCAGAATTATCCACGGTCGAAGTGTCTGTCCGTAAACGGAACGGCAATCGAACCAGCCACAACTGGTCAGGCGCAGCGCGGAATGCTCTGTGCGTTTTCTCATTCACTTCTTGCAGTCAGAAATATCGATGAGCAAGATACGGTGCGTTGGAAATAAGAACACGTCTAGATCGGGAGATGTTTCCGCACCCAGGGAGGTGATACTGGACCGATATCGGTTCGCCAGACTTTTTACGAAGGCTGAAAACCGTCTGAGACTCGCCGATTGACAATACCGAAGCAGTTGCCGCAGACATTGAACAGGTTATTGAGTCCGTTTGTAGATGATTATTTTTTTGGGCAGGCTGGAATCGTCGTGGATTGCGAGGGGACACGGAAAAGCCTACATCGCATGTTATGTGAGCGAATACACAGGCTAATCTTGCATACTAATCCTTCTAGCAACGACCTCGCTGTCCATCCCCGCCCTGAACTCGTCAAAAGCACCCTCCAAACGGCCCGGGTCGAGGTCCTGGGAGAAGATCCCGCGCCCGAGCATCGACCGCGCGGTGTGCCGCAGGAAGAACAGTAGATTGGCTGTGGTGAGCGCGTCGTATTCCACCAACGGCATCCCCGTCGCACCGACGCGCGAGCGGCGCAGCGTACGAATTGGCGAGGGGTGAAGTCGGTCCGGGCAAGCATCTCTGGTCAGTGATGGGATCATCTGCGCAAGTGCAGACAGGGGCGGTCAGGTCAGTTGACCGGATGCGATTAGGCCCGATGCGATCAGGCGAAGGTCATGGTCGCCGCGGGGATGCTCGTGCTCACGGGCGCCAGGACGTACTGTCTGCTCGCGGTGCGCATGTACTACACCGCCCTGCTGCCCTGCCACGCTCGAGCCAGGGAAAGCACGCGGAGCTTGAGGGGCCTGGCAGATCAGGCTTCTCCCGTTGCCGAGCGGGATGAATGAGGGCCAAGCGGTGGACGCGGCGCCCCAGACGGAGACATGGGTTCGCGCGAAGGAGGCTGCGGTCTTCGCCGCCGATACGGGCTTACTTGACGTTCAGGATGCCGACGCGAAGCGAGACTACATTTGAAGCTCCACAGACGGAGACGTGGTTCGGCGCGACCGTCCGAGCAGAACATGGAAAGGGCACAATGACGTAGTCTCTTCAAGGCATTCGGCTGCGATTCAGCACGCTCGTGCCTCACATGCTACGATCAAGGATTTGAGGCACGAAGGATCTTGTGGGTTCCGTCTGCTTCAAGGAGACTACAATGACAGGCTGTAATTGGCAACGGACAACACACCTCACTGCTCCTGTCAGTGGCAGACGCCCAAGTGGGCTGTATTCTGCCGCGCGACCTGCGGAAAGCGAAGCCCAGGGAACAATCATGCTGTAAAGGATGTGTGCTTTATGGGGTGCCAGGATCGCTGGCCCCTGATACAAAAAATTCAGCGGCAGCACGCATAAGTGGGCTGTGTCAAGACTGCCACGGGACCAAGGAAGAGTGGGGAGGGAACGGCGGGGGCTCACTGAAAGTGCCGCGGAGTGCCGCAGGAGCACTCCTGCGGTACTCCTGCGGTACTCCAAATACTCCACATCATTGATCTCGACGACAACCACGACGATCAACATGCTGTCCACGTCGGCTGAGATGTTGATGGACGTGGGAATGATTCGCGCAGGCAGCGGGACTACTCCAGACGCCGTTGTCGTCGGCGGCAGCGATAGAGATCCCACTCCTGCGGCACTCCAGAACAGTGTGCCGCAGACTCCACAGCACACCGCGGCACTCCTGCGGAACCTCTGGCGACACTCCAAACAAGTCTGCGGCACTCCAAAAGAGTCTGCGGCACTCCAGTGTGACGCATGTGACATCTCTGCGGCACTCCAAAGCACAGCCACTCTCTGGAGAGAGCCGCAGGCACATCCAACGCTGTCTGCGCTAGTCAATCCTTAATATTTTGACATGAATTAGTCGAATTTCAATAGAATTGAATATGTAGATGTCCTGAAAGCCTGTTTTTGCGAGCGAAGCGAGCAATCATCGGCTAAAGGGGTGGAGATTCACACTAAACAAGAACAAATTCTCAGCGCGCATCAGATGGCAAAATGGACGAGTGGTAACCCTCTCAAACTCGTTCATTCTCTCTCCGTTCACCTTCGTATCGTACATGGACATTCAATTCCACTTTTTAATGGGAATTGTCGAGTTAGGGCGGGATTGGGCAAGAATTGAGGTGTGTACAGACATCCTGAGCAAATCCATTCTTTCTCTTCATTCTTGCGTTCATTTCTCCTCGTTCCTGGTGTATTGCACCTTCTATCCTTCCCTCATACATGTACCACACTTTGGAGTCGGAGCCTGGCATGTGTAAGTACACCGACACGCCCCCGTTACTACTTAGTACTCTCGACTCGGGAAAATTCCATCCCGTTCCGCGATCCGGTCACGTGGTATAGTCGGACCATTTGACCACAGACCTGTCAAGAGTCTGGGAGGAAAGAATTTGCCCTATAATATAGATGATTTTGCCCATAGATATGCCTAGATATGTACAGAATGATGTCTTCGAAGCGAGCACCTTGCGCTCGTGCGCGATTCCATTTTTGGATTGTAGGCCTCTATGATGCCTGGGAGATGTGATTGTCTCGAGGTCATTGACCAACGGAAGGGTGGACTTGACTTAAATTTACAGAGAGCATTTTTTCATCACAAAGACACTCTCAAGTGTTCTGAATACCACCTATTGTGCACGATTCAAGTTCAAAATGAATGTAAAATGAGTTATACACATTCTAGTGAAGATGAATCCATGATGGGTTGTATTGTTTCAGCATTTGGGCCATGGTGAATGCCTCTAACTATTGTAGAAACTGATAAATCAGATTTATAGATCGTCCTCAACTTCGTTCTGGGCTCTGCAATGAAGTGGACTCACAAGAGTGAGCAAAAACGGCCGCTCAGAAAGCCATCAAACCACATTGATGGGACATCAGCGCCGCGAGGAGCGTTGCTCAGAAACACGGTGACAATGCCTTGGCCTGCCGATTGCTTTTGTTTTGAGTACTTTCAATGAAATTGCAAAAATATAAATATGTAAATATCCTGCCTCGTAGGTCGCTGCGGCACTCCAGCGTGACATCTGCGGCGCGTGGCAGAAATCCTGCGGCGCTCCAGGCTCAAACCTGCGGCACTCCAAATGTTCTGCGGCGCTCCAAAGGCACTCCGCGGCACTTTCATGTAGCCCGAACGGCGGTGGTTAGTGACCGGGATCACGTGTTCTAGGGTTGTTCATTTGAATCCCCTTTTGTACTCCGCAACAAGTAAACGATCTACCAAGATGCGGTGCCCGGGGGAAGCATGGGATTGAGGGCGAATCGTTCTTCTTCGGCCGTTGTGGGTGGTAACAATTGGCGACCGGGTCCGGTGGTGTTGGGCTGTTGGGATGGGGGACTCGGTCGGGTCATAGAGCATGTCGTATCTATATGGGGGAAGGGAGGGAGTTGGCTAGGCCAGGGCCGGCGGAGCCGCGTTGCATGCTGTTCAGCTCTCGTCAAAGTCGGTGTCTTCATTGTCTTCCTCGTTGTCCGTGATGTCCAGTTCAGTCCTTTCTCGAGCAGTGCCTTGGTGACAAGGTCCCGTGCTTGGATTGTCAATGCCAGCAGAAGATGAAACACGACTCGAGCCTCTTCGTTGTCACTCACATTAATACCTAACATCATCCAGGTTAGTACATCTGTGCAACCGCCTGTGGCTCGACAGTATGCCCGAAACACCCGCATTAGTATAGCCAATTGTCCGTGCATCTGCCTCGTTGAGGCCAGTCGCTGAATCAGCAGCAGTTGATTTTATGTCATCCATGAGTTGCACAAGATGGGTGTGAGATAGCGTAACTCCTTCCTGCCTTGCACCGATCCCTTGTAAGCCGCAATATCAGCGGAGACCCTGGGAGTCTTGTGTAAGGATTGGATAGTCGGCATCACAAAGTGCTGGCGTCATATCAAATGATGGAGATGCAGCAGCACAATCAGCCCTTGTTCCATACGCACTGCTCATATTCGTATAACGAAAATTTCGTCCGCAGTCTAGAACCCAAATCTCAGATTGAGCCACGATCATCAAACGGATGTCGTTCAGTAGAAAATCCGGCAAGGGTTTAAGATATAGTATCTTCATCCTACCATCCCTCGTCCCATCTTTGACATGTATCTCTTATCCACCACCAAGACGCAGCCTCCAACGCAAAGCGCAGAATCTACGACAGAGATATCGACCGTGCTCGTGCAGGCGCTGCTGTCCACCCTCACTTCAGCGCCGACGATCGTAGCCATCATCACCATCATGATCATCATCACAAGTTGCCTCGTCTTTCCATTGATTGTGCGACGGGCTCTGGTATTGCTAGTCCAAGAGATGTTGGAGGCGACACAGAGCGCGGAGAACTACTTTCTCGGGGCCGTTGATAGTGGGTGGCTGATGGATCGAGACGGCGAGCTCAAGAGAGAATTGGAGAAGTGCGTCCGACCGCTGCCAATAACACAGCCTCTAGTTTGACCAATACTTACCAGCTTGTAGGACTCAGCTGGAGATATCCACGCTCCGGGAGGAGTATCTTCGAAGCTTGTTATCATACCGGACCGAGGCTTTGTATTGGCTGAGAGGACGCGCCTTCAAATTGCTCATTGCCATCAGGCGCATCGGCATGTTGCGGATCCAGATCGAGGTGCGCAATTCTTTTTTGCTGTAAGTTCGACAGCTTCAATTCAGCAACCAGATTGGCGTGGAACGGCGCCGTCGGGATCCCCCGCAAGCCGATCCAACAGCTATCATCACACGGCGCCGTCGGTCTCAATGGACGGATCACCGAGCGGAGGTGGATATGTAGTACTTACAGTACAATCACTGCCCAATAATTTAGAGTGTACGTTTTGTGAATAACAACATCTTCCCACGTTTTTTCCCCTCAAGTCGACACCATAATTGCGTTGGCGTCCTGTCACGTGTCCGCGTTCTCTGAATTTGGCGTGGATCGCGTGACTTCTGCCCCTGTTCATCTGATCCACGTGCTGCCGTCTGTTGTATCATGTAAGTATCACGACCGAAGAATCTCACGGTTGGATTGATCAGATCGCAAGGCCGTCGAAGGATCTGTCTGGGCCCGAGACGCCAATCGAATCAGGCGCTGAATTCTCTGTCCGTTTCCTGATCCACTTCTTCAGTCAGAGATATTGATGAGCAAGACGCGGTGCGTTGGAACTCGGATGTAAGAATACGTCTATATCGGGAGATGTTTTCGGTAAGTGATACTAGACCAATATCGGTTCACCGGACTTTTTAGGAAGGCTGAAAAGCGTCTGCGATTCGCCAAAACCCTTGCCCAAGATGTCCAATATATATTGACCCCGATTGTAGATGAATATTCTTTTTGTGCTGGCTGGAATCGTCGTGGATCGCAAGGATTCAAGGGAAAGCCTACATTACACGTTATGTGTGCAGATATACACTGATTAATCTTGCGTTCAACTCCTTCTAGCAACCAAACAAAATGCAGGCACCAGACACCCCTCGCTATCCAACCCCGCCCTGACCTCGTCCAACACATCCTCCAAACGGCCCGGGTCGATGTCCTCGGGGAAGATCCCGCGCTCGAGCATCGACCGCGCGGTGTGCCGCAGGATGAACAGCAGATTGGCCGTCGTGAGCGCGTCGTATTCCGCCAGCGGCAGCCCCGTCGCCCCCACACGCGAGCGGCACACACTCCCCACGGCGAGCGGCGCGTAGTGCGAATTCGCGAGGGCGAAGCCCGCGCGGGCGAGCATCTTCGGCAGCCGATGGGATAATCTGCAGAGGGCGGCGGTCAGTCGCCCGGACGCGATAAGGAACAGGAAGGAGAGCGCGCGCGCGCGCGCACCCGACGACGAACTCGTTCTTGAGCGCGAATTCGGTGTAGAAGCGGTTGGCGAGCTGCTTCCAGTCTGGGCCGCGGAGGTACTGGTGCAGGTCGTCGAGTGCTGGGTTGTGCATGCGCATCCGGGCGGCGTACTGGTCCTCGGAAAGACATATGGGGTCGATCTCCTTCAGTATCAGGATTCCGTCGGGCTCTGGTGCGAGTCGGACCGGTAAGCACGGATAAGAACGAAGTTGTGGGAAAACGTACTTAACAGCGATCGGCAGTTGTCGAGGGCCATCTCCCACTCGGGTTCAGTCAGACACAGCGCCAGGAAACTCATATGCACGAGATCGAACTTGGCGTGGAGGTGCTCTGGAAAGGCCGTGGTGACGTTGTGCACGAAGGCCTGGATGCCCCACGGCTCCGTCGCCTGCTGGGACGGCAAGATGGCGGGATTGATATCGCACGCATAGACGCGCACCGGCCTGCGCGACGTCGAGTGGCAGTGCGCAGCCATATCGAACGACCAGATCCCGGTCCCCGTCGCCACATCGATCACGTTCGTGATGGCGGACAGATCGACGCAGTTGGGGACAGGCCGCTTCCAGCCGTAGATGGTTTTGGTCATGTGATATTGACGTTCGAGACTGGATGGCTTGAGCACGTCGGAACAAAAAATGGGCGCCCAGGGCTGACCGTTCTTTCTCAGCGGAGACCGCAGGCAGGACGTATCGCGACGAGGACGTGGTTCCCGGGGCGGCCATGCTTCTGAGCAATATTCACGCTGGTTCTGGCGGGCGTGCCTGGGGAGCGAGATGGGACCCAACACCGGATGGGAGACCTGCTGGACGCCGCTCAGTATTTATAACGCACGGCTGGATAAAACCCTCAGCAGGGCATCACACATCATGGGCTGGGCGCCATCCGAGTCTCGCTGTCAGCCTGTAGCCGCAGGCCATTGACGGGCTGAATGCTCGCACAAGCAGGCACACTGGCTGGATTCGACATCGGATTTATATCCGCGGAGACTCCGATCCGGCAAGACCTGCGTTCGAGATAGACAACAATGGGAACGGCGAGGGCGGACATGGTCATCAGCGGCCGCATGCGGATATAGGCGGAGAGAAGGACGATTCGGCTAGATTAGAGGACTGCAGTTTCCCCGAGCCTTTGTGCACGACTAGAGGAGGTGCCTCGCAAGGCTATTCTCAACCAGACCGGATGTCGGCCCCCGAGGTTTACATGACATCATGAATGTTGATGAGCGTACTGCATGAGTAAGCAAACACGATAATCTTGAGTCCGTTTCTCCTGACACAACCTTTGACAAGTGAAAAAGGTCGCACTCGGACTTTTGTCGAGCTGCACTTCCAGTTCGTTCTCCCCGCAACGCTTTGGCCAACCAAGCAATCTGGTTCAAAGACTCTGAGAGCTTCCGCCGGTAACGCCCTTTGGAGCTGAGCATCATGAAGAGCATTCCCCGTGGAGCACCACACCACGCTCAGGACGCCGGCAAGCTGTGGGTCTTCCTCCAAGAGTCTCTTTCAGCTGATAAAAGAGCACAGCTGCAAGCCTCGGAGTTGACCAAATCCACGGCCCGAGCCACCATCTGACAGGGATCCAGACTCGCACCCCGTCGCCGTCCGTCCGTCCGTCCGTCCGCCCAGGCAGGATTCCGCGATAGCGTCGTCCGCTCTGCCGCGGAACGTCTTGTGCCGGGCCAAGGTCGAAGCGTCTTCCGATATTTGACTTGATGGTGCCTGATAGCGCGTCGCATCGACTCGGACCTGCTCGGCGAAAGTGCAGGGTGGGCGGACCACGAGCAACAGACGGCGCTCCTCGCGATGGATTTGTATCCCGCCTGGCACGCAGGAAACGTTGCCATACGTGCTGCTTTTGGGTCGCAATTCGCAGGTCAGCGCGTCTGAGAAGTGTCTGAGATCTGGTGGCAACGCAGTCTGACGGAGAAGGGAAGGCATTGGCATCGGCGCTCACAGGCTCGGAGACCCGAGTCCTCAGGCACGTCTTCTGTCCTTGGTTTGATATGGCCGCTTCGGTGTTTCGGCCGTCCACGTCGCGTGATTACAGACGGAGAGAAAGTTAGGCGTCAGCCAACATTGGTAGCAGGGAGACAACAAACACAAGCACGTGGAGAAACTGCAATTGCAGCGACACGAGCCACGTGGCCGGCTTGTTGCGCAGCCACATCTGATCACGTGAAGTTTGAACAACGTGTTCACTGTTCAGTGTGGTAATTTCAAGTGACTCGAACACGCTCGTCTGATCGTGTCAGATTGATATAGCCATGATATCCGAATCTACCGAACACACGTGGAGCCATGATATTCGGTGACACGTTATACATATCGACCTCAGAAAGTGATGCACCCGTGCAATGGAATAGAAGGAAGAAAAAGAGAGGGTATCGATGTGGGAGCCGGAAAATCAGATCTGGCGCTTCATATTCTGCGTGAGCCAATCCAGCCCCTCATACATGCCCTCTCCTGTCGTCGCACACGTCGCCTAACACGCATCAGCCAACCCCGCAAGATCGCACTCAACACACAGACACGGACCTGGATATACCACTTGCGGCTGCGCAGGGTGTGCAGCGCGAGCTGGTCCGTCAGCTCCGCCGTGCTCATCGCGTGCGGCAGATCCTGCTTGTTCGCGTAGACGAGCACGAGCGCGTCGCGCAGCTCGTCGCGCGCGATTCCGACGCGCTCGCGGTCGTTCGAGTCGACGACGAACACGAGCGCTTGTGTGTTCTGGTAGTCTGTGTTGCCATCGCGTCATTGAGCATCGGGGATACCGAGTCTGGGAAGGAGGAGAAAGCGGCGCACAATGTCTCCATAGAGGTCGGATCTTGTCCTGCCCGCCGACGTCCCAGACGTTGAAAGAGATGTTCTTGTACTCCACCGACTCGACGTTGAATCCTGGGCGACCATGAGCTTGAACATCCGGCCAGTTAACAAGCGTACTGACCAATGGTGGGGACCGTGTGGACTACTTCTCCCAGTTTCAGTTTGAAGAGAATGGTCGTCTTTCCTGCTGCGTCAAGACCCAGCTGATCAAGAATAATAAAGACATCAGTCGATAACACTTATTTGGGCCATTTTCACGCGCACCATGAGGATTCCTGGAGGGTCGCCCCAAGAGTTAGCTAATGCGGTAAGTCGTAACAAAGCAAACACATACGCATTTCCCGCATCCCGACAAGCCCGGAGAAGAGCTTTGAGATGTAAATACCCATTTTCTTCACTGTGCTTCAGTTGTATAAACTGTTGGATGCGGAGTGCGCTTTCGCGTTATAAGTGAGCGCCGAGTGCTGCGCGGGACACGTCACCCGACTCAGATGATACGGGACGACGTGTCGCTGAGAGACAAGTCATACTATGCACGACGTGTTCTGACTCGCGTCGCCCACAAACAAACAGGGAGAGCGCCGTTGTCGTCGAGTGACTTGGGGTGTATCATGTCAGCGCCCGGGCTGACATTTGGCACCTGTCCACTCTCGCCGATGGACTGGCTCTGCGTTGTTCGACACATCAGAGCTCGCAAGACATACAGCCTCTTCCAGTCGAGCCCTGTCACTCCGCGCGCTTCGCCTATAGATCAAAGCAGTCCGAGATTAGGTTTCGCCACAGCCACAGCCACCCAGACGTCCGGATCAACAACAGCTCAGGAGATGGAGGGTCCACTTTCACACGCGCTGGGTATCACATTACGTAACCTACATACAATACACATCGTCATCAGATAGAGCGCGAATCGGCCTCTCGATCTCTTTCTTCAATATATGCCGACTGGTGAGAGAGAGACCGTGTTTCCAGCGCGGATTCGACGTCGGATGGCGCTCGCAGGGCTGATGGGCCGCCATCAGGAGATGATGTCACGAAATAATTCGGGGCTTTGGCCTCATCTACTGCGATGACTTGCGAGTGCCGGACAACTGTTGCTGGAGTAAGTCACAATGAACGAAGGGTCGGCCAAAAAGAGACAAGGGACGCACAGGTTCCGGGGGAGGAAAGGGCGCTGGTCATCGTGACAGAGACAGCGGGTTTGGTCCACGAAGCACCGGACTGCGTCCCATCCCTATTGTCCGCTGCCGCGGTCTTCCTCGAGAGCAGATTATACAAGAGCGTGAGCGTGTAGAGCCGCCCGAGACAAAACCCGATTCCCACAGTCACGTTGCTCTCCTGCTTGACGAGGTACGTGATCAGCGTGATCGTCGCGAAGATGGAGGTGACGGTGCCGGTTTGCACGGCGTCGCGGATCAGGCGGCGGATCGCGCTCGAGGGAAACAGAAAGTCAGAGTGCGTCGAGGGAGGGTAGGCAATGGAACAGGACACACGTTTTGGTGCGGTCGAACGCCGTTTCCCGCTGCATCCCCAGCAACTGGAACACAAGCTGCGGAAATAGTCAGTCGCTTGCAGGGTAGGGTGAAAGACCGACTTGCACCCAGGGCTATCCCGACATCGGCGCAGGTCGAAGCAACAAGCCATACGCTGCCGCTCATCAGATGGCATCATGGATTGATCAAACCGGTCGTGACACACGTGACTGGGATGACAAGATACTCTCTTTCTTCGTACTGATCGTATTTGATTACAAGACCGGTCGTCACAGCGCATCCGACGAACTGGCGAAGCAGTCAGAGTCGAAAAGAACCAATGTGGGAAGAGGCCGCACCGCTGCGACAGTCGTGAAGAACAAGGGAATCGTCGTGTACCACAATCGCGCGCTAAATTTGAGATGGTAAGAATTGATTCCGTAGACGTTCGATGGATTGGGACCCACGCTTTCCAGTATCGGAACAGTAGATACAATTCAACGATAACTGCCGTGACACCCGTTGTGATCACGTAGAGAAATATAGGCCAATACTGTGCCAAACGTCAGCTGGTTTTCTCGTGCTTACAGGTGACCAGACGTGCCTCGTTTTCCAGATATGATCGGTCGCCTGCGCAATTGACGATTCAGCCACGATGAGACCAGCCAACGGAAGAGAAATCACCCCAATGAGCCACGCAGTACTTCACACGGGTCAAAGTCAGCCATAGCTCCAAACGACATGCACAGGCGCGCACGCACCAAGTACGCAGCACCGCAATTAGCCGCCACGGATACAGAGTCCACCGCCAGACATACAGCGACCGTCGCCTTGAAGAGCCACCGGTCGTGCCAGTACGTCGAGAAGTACCGCCACGCGTACATCACTTCGATCGCGAAGAGCGCCGTGTTGGCCCACGAGCCGATCACGAGCGAGCTGGGGTGTCCGAGGGTCAGTATCGCCGAGCAGGGCAGCTGCTAGCGCGTGGGACGACTCACCCGATGAGTTCTCCGAGCGTGATCATAACAGAGGCTGAGGAGCAGAACAAGGAGTGGAGGACCCCCTTTCCCATCGAGGGATGCTATATGTACCCGCCCTAACCCATGTCTTAGTCTCACATATTCCATCCGCGGCGGATCCTGTCAGGCCAGCCGGATCCATGTCTCACTGCGCCGTAGCATGCGTGAGTTGCGGGTCCACTGGTATGATACAGTTCATCGTCGCCAGCGCAGAGGGAACACCGTCGCGAGGAGGTCGAAGACAGATGTCAGTTTTTAGCCTGGAGTTGGTCTCAAGGGTACCGCGAACACGTAGACCACGTGCCATTACAAAATTCAAACTCCGAGGCAGTTCCCCTCAAGACAGCTTGATCAATTCCGGCTAGTAGTAGTAGGTCTCAGTGCGTCTCTGATCTCAATCCCGACGTCTGGGACGCGGATGGAAAATCCACCCGCAGTCATGCCCTTACCTCCCGAGCTCGAGCTCCAGATCGTCAAAACACTCGCACTGGCATGCCCCTCCGAGATCCCTCGTCTGGTACTCGTCGCCCGTCGCTTCCACGTCTGGTCAGTCGCACGCACCGTTTCCACTTCCTGCTCCTCTCCACGTCGCAGTAGCTTAACGATCAGGTCAGGCTGCAGGGCTTGCTCTACCGCACCATCGTCAATGACCCGGAATGCGACATCGAGGGTCTGCCCGTCCTCAACCGCGGCGTCGCCATCTCCATGGCCGGCGATCCAGCGCGCGCCAGATACCTGCGGCACACACGCAACCTCTTCGTCCACCTCTGCGAAGAGCGCGCGACTGGGGCCCGGTCGTGGCGGCGTGTCCCGCCGTGCGCAACGTGTACCTCGGCTGCAACACGGCGGCGGGCTACCGCGCCCTGCTCGCCGGCCTGGCGCACCTCGAGCAGCTGCACTGCGGCTCGTTCGATCTGCCGTGGGACGCAAATACGCACACGCACACGCACACGCACACGCACGTGCTCGGGGCGCTCACGCACCTCGAGCTGTTCGACCGCCGGACGGTGCCCCTCGCCGAGACGCGCGTCCTCGCGCGCATGTGCCCCCGGCTCACGCATCTCGCCGTGAACGACCACTTCCCGGAGCTCTCCGAATGCGAGGCGATCTCCAAGACGTGTCCCGTGCTGGAGGCCCTGGTCCTGATATGGCCGATGGAGTCAGAGGCGGAGGAGCTGGAGGGGGGTGACTTGCTTGGGGAGGACGTGGCGGTCGGCCGCGCGGACGTGCGGGCCGTTGTTGCCCTTCTGCCGCATGCGTGTGAAAGAGATTGGCAGCAGGGATGCCTGACGGGGATGGACTTTTGGAGCGCAGCGGATGAGTTCATCGCACTGCGGAGATCGGGTGGGGTGGACGGTGAGCTTTCGCTGCTGCTGCTGCCTCAGAAACCAAGCTGAGCAGCTATTTCAGCCGATTCTTTCATTGTACCGTATGGTTGATAGAGTTGTGGGTTCTCTGCTCACATCGGAGCTACATGAAACTCTGAAATAGCCACACGACTCCCCAGCCGTGCTTTCGATGCGTTACTTTGGGCGAAACACTCGATCCATCCATACAACGGCCTGTCTAACTAGTTTCGACTACTGCATCGAGCTGCCGTGGCGCTGCTTCCAGGTCGGGAACTGTGACGGGCGCCTGAGGGATGCTAACGGAAAACCTCGGGATCTTTTCTGGCTCATCTACCATGACGTGTTGCGACCGCTGGACGACTGTGCCCCGATCAATACCGACACAGTGATGGAACTCGGACTTACAGATGCCAGATGAGGAGAGCATGCTGTTGGTCAAAGCAGGGACACTGCCGGTCGAATACCGTTGGCTGCGGCCGCCGGCCATCACCGCCTTTCTAGAGAGCAGGTTGTACAGAAGCGTGAGCGTGTAGAACCGCCCGAGGCAGAACCCGATGCCGACAGTCACGTTGCTTTCCTGATCGGTCAGGTATGTGATGAGGACGGCGAGCGCGACAATCGAGGTCAGCGTGCCGGTTTTGAGAGCGTCCCGGATGAGCCGGCGGATTGTGCTGGGAAAGTGATCAGGCGAATCCCAACAGCGGCGAGACCTGACTAGACCTCTTGGTGTGAGTGAATGTGGTTCCCTTGTGCATGGACATGAGTTGGAGTATGAGCTACTATTGGGTCAGTTCCCGGAGTATTGCATACTACTAACAAACGACGGGCTGATCTTACCACAGTCGCGATCCCCACGTCGGCAAAGGCGGTCGCGACCAGCCAGATGCTGCTTCGTGTTCAATGGCTCTGGCATAGGACCACAGTATCCTTACTTACGTGACGGGGATGATGATGTCGTCCCTGTCTTCATAGTTTGAATTCTTGGTCAGGATCGCCGTCGTGATGATGCATCCAATGAGCTGAGATGGTGGTTAGCATACATCGACCTCATGGGTTAGAGCTCGGTCGCACTGCTGCCATGGTGGAGGAGAGCAAGAGTGCGGTGGTGGACCACATCCGCGAGCTTTTGGAGCGGTCAGCACATCGTCTCTTGGCGCTGAGCAAGTTGTAATAACGCACGCTCTCCAGTATCTGTATATCAGGTACAGCTCGACCACGACCGCGGAGACGCCGGTCGTAACCACGTAGGTGAAGATGGGCCAGTACTGGGATCGAGATTCCATCGGTCTGTCGAGTTATTCGGATGAGGAGACTGCGACGCACCTCGCGTAGTAGATATATGCGGTCGCCTGGAGCAAGGATGGGTAACGAGTATCACAGACAAAGAGTGGCAGATTACCCCAATGCGTAACGCAATACTGGGATCCCCGTAGTTAAGACTACAGAGTCCTCGACAGAAGACAAGCACGCACCAAGTACACACTCGCATAATGGCCCGCGACCGACAAAGCGTCAACCGCTAGGCACAGAAAGACCGTAGCCTTGATGTACCACGTATCGTCCCAGAATGCGTGCAAGTACCGGAATGCATAGATGATCTCGATGACGAACAGAGCCGTGTCGGCCCACGAGCTGACGATGAGGGATCTGGTTCCGCCGTGAGTGGCCGTGGACGGGTCAGACAGCTGCGAACGAGGAAGGGACGGACCCGATGACTTTGTCGAACATACTGCGGGTCAACTGCGGGGCAGGAGGAGTATGGGAGGGGTGTGCTGGGTGTTGTTATACTACGGCACCACATCCGTGTCTCAGTCTCATTTCATCAGCCCGTCCAAGCGGCAGCGATTGTATGCCTCATCATCGTGGGACCGTGGATCGAGCCTGGTCGTACTTCAGTCGAGACGGACGACGTCTGGATGGTGTCAGGGCAGTGTGGAATGGAGATGGCATGGTTGCGGCGGTTGAACTGCCAGTGATGATGCCAGGGCGATTCAGGCGCGATCACGTGGGGGTCGTTCTGTCAGACAAGGACTGGGCGTTTTGAGTGCAACGGGAACTTATAGCATCATCGTGGTCCACTCGACCCTGCCCGGATTGCAGCTCAGAGAGTAAGATGAGGGTCTAGGCTCTCCTGTCAGAGGATGCTGAATACTTCATAAATGTAACTATCCGGACAGAGTTTCCGCTCTTAACTACAGAAGCAGGGCTCATCGATTCGTCTCAGCTCAACGATTGACACTCTGCTTCGGCTCCCCATTGATTTTTACCCCACCCGGAAAGATCCTGTATGCGATATGTCCTCCATGTGCATCTTGGAAGCCGTTGATCTCACATGATCACAATGATATGTACGAGGGGTATACTAACGAAGCGATTGCGCAGTGAGCATTTAAAAAATGCCCAAGAAATTCGCTGTAAGCCAGCCAAAGTCGTCAAGCTCACGTCATAGTCAACCATGCCCAGTCGACGTTCACTTTAGCGGGGCGACAAACCTGGTTACACTCTGCTTTCTGAATTTTGTTGCTGCTGTGATAATGAAAAGGTATCGTGATCATGCATGAATTACGTCTAATACATTGGATACATCAAGTACACAACAATCCAGTGAGCTCTTGCTGCATTGCAGGCAAATAGGATATGTCAGCGGATACTAAGTCGATCCGCAGGTGCACTACCGCATGCATCAACCGCGGCGGGCGTCGTTCGTACACGCAGAGGTCTCTACTCAGTTGCTCTGGCTCTATTTTTTGGGTTGGTTGGTTGGGTGCATCATGCGTCGATGGGCGTGCTGGCGGGGGACGACGAACGGTCGGACTTGTCCGCCTCCACGCGGCGCCTCTCGCGCTCAGCGACGCTGATGCCGAGCACCTCGTCGGCCTCGGGCGTGCCCGTCTGCGGGATGTCCTTACGCTTGGCCACGGCGACGGGGGAGACGCCCTCGCGGTAGGCCAGGGCGAAGATCAGATCCATGTCTGCGACATGACCAGTCAGCACTTCATGCATGATGTGTAGGGAACAAAAGCAGAACTCACCCTCGAGGGAGCGGCCCTTGGTCTCGGGCATGAGGATGTACGTGACGGGGAAGATGAAGGCGTTGAGCGCGGCGAAGACGATATACGTCCCCCAGCCGATGTTCTGGAACGACGGCCCGGTGACCATGACCACCATGAAGTTGAAGCACCTGCGGACCCTGGCGTCAGAAACACCTCCAGCCATACTAGCGAGGACAGCGCACCAGTTGGACGCAGTAGACAGCGCGTTCGCCGGCGCACGGATATTGATGCCGACGATTTCAGCCGCATACAGCCAGGTGATTCCGAGGAAGCCGATCGCGAAGAAGGTGTTGAAGACAAACAAGAGCACGGCCGAGACGACGTTCGCAGCGCTGTTGTTCACCTTGCCGAGGATGGCGAGGAGGACCATCGTCAGACACATGCCAGCCGAGCAGCTTAGCATCAGCGGCCGTCGGCCAATACGGTCCACGAGGTAGATGGCGACGATCGAAGCCATGAAGTACTCAGTCCCGTTGCAGGCAGCGATGATTCGAGACGTGGTGTCGCTGAGACCGAGCCGTTGGAACAGGATGGTCTGGTGATCGATCGTCAGCACGAACAGATCCGACACCAGAACGGGGTTCAAAACTCACAGCGTAGTACGTGATCAGATTGATACCCGTGATTTGTTGGAAGCACTGGCAGGTCACTGCGATGAACGCGCGGCGGAAGTTCTGCTTCGGGCCGTGCGTAAAAAGAACCTTGAGGTTGCTGGACGACGCCCCGGTCGCTTCGCCATCGAGGGACTCCTGGATGCCACGATACGTGTGCTGGACGCCGGGATCAGAAAAAGGCTTGTCCTCGAGCGCAGAGAGGACAGCAAGTGTCTCGGCAGTGCGGCCCTGCTTAGCGAGCCAACGTGGCGACTCGGGCAGCTGCGCAGGACGTCAGGACATGGCAGAGAGGGCAATGTAGAGAACTTCGTACGAAGAGTACTCCGAGGATCATGATTAGTGCCAGCAGAATCTGCACTGCAATAGGCACACGCCATTGCGCCGACGATCCCTTGGCCCAGTAGAGCGCAAAGTCGATCCAGTACGAGGACATGATACCGAACGCGATCAAGGCACCTTCAATGACAATGTAACTTCCGCGCTTCTCCGGTGGCGCACACTCGGCGTGGTAAGCGGGGACCGTCGAAGTCTGAAGAAAGAAGCCAATTCAGAACAGACCCTCCGCGGTATAGAAGAGAGGACAAACATTCAAGCCATTGCCGACACCAGTGACGATTCGGGCAACCACCATCTGGCCGTAGGAGAACGAGGTCGTCTGGAGGATGGCACCGATGATCATGACCGCTCCGCCAAGGAAGATGGTCTTCCTGCGACCGAGCCGGTCACCGATCCACAAGTTCGACAGCGCACCGAGCAGACATCCGATCTCCTGCGACATGAGTCAGTACTAGACAGTGTAGCAGTCGAGATGAACTGCTCACGTAGACAGCAACAACGAAGGATTGTAACGTAGCGCGGTTGGGGTGGGCGGCGCTCGCAACCGTATTGGGGAACGTCTTTTCCCACTGGTTCGACGTCAGCAGTGCTGACATCACACCCTGATCGTAACTGACGTGCACCGCATGAGCAGCAAACCAAGAGGACGTCGGAGAGAGCATACCCGAAGAGCGTGAAGCCTGTGCCAGCGATGAACGAGAGGAAGCGGGTGAGCGTTCGTCCCCGCCATCTCGGCGCGTGCGACTCGATTTCGCGCGCAAATGAATCATTCGTGGTTGGCGTGTGCAGCGCCTCCTTGTCGCCGCGCTTCTCGTCGAGGGACGTGCGCGTCGGCGTTGATACCGCGGTTGTAGACATGATGAAGGAAGATCGTGAGGATGATGAGGCCGTGAGGTGGAGCAGCAACTACGTCGAGAACTACGTATGCACTTGGGGACGTGGGAAGGGGAAGACGGGGCCGTCTGAGGACATTTCGTCGAGCGCCACGATACAAGTAGGCATGGAAGGTTGGCCTGCTCCACAGGCAAGATCAGAAAGCCCGTGTCGGTGTGGTGCTGGAAGAAAGTCGACCCGTCCGACTCGTGCCACAGATCTGAAAGCCCAAAAGCTCTTCCGCTCCAACAAACCAACTGCCGATCGAGAATCTCGGGTGTTCAACAAAGATATCTCACGTCGCCAATGGCTCGGCGCGAAGTGGAAGCGACAGAAACGACAATGATTCGCACCCCGAACGATTGAGAAGCAGAGGTCGTGCATGAGAAGGCCACGCGACGCGCCAACGTCAAGTAAGGAATGCTGCAAGTTGTTCAAAGTTCTACCAAGCAGCCGTAAACACGCCTCGGAAAATTTATCCGAGCCGAAGAGCCGATCACATCAGCTTTCATCAAAGGCTGTCATGACGTCAGTTGTCTCCGATGCACGTGGACGGCTTTATTTCGGTTGCTGGTTCCTGTGACGTATGTAGCACCACCGCATCTAAAAATTCATTCTAATCTGTATCTCAACTTGAAGCTCTCGATTAAGGGCACTCACTCCTGTGTTCACAATTTATTTTTTACCGCGTCGACCGGAGCTGTTTGAAAGCCTTGCGTTTGTTCAGGTCGCCACCAGGCCCATCCCGACGCACCGCAGGATTGGGGCCTGTGGAGTCCGCAAAAGCCGCAGACTTGGAACTTGGAAGCGATCGTAAACACCGCTGCCGGAATGGGAATTACGTTGCTCCGGCGACCAGAGGCGACCAGCTGGGCGGAAGCTGCTCTTCCGATCCCCCAGTGATCCGAATCTTATCTGAAGTAATCAGTCTGATTGCCCCATACGCGAACACATTGGTTGGAAGACGTATCAGATGAATGCAGCCTGGAGGCTGCTGGAATGCAGTGGAAATTTAGACTGGGCGGTGACAGTAGATCTCGTGGCTTCATCATTGGATTCAACTCACACAATCGTTGTTACATTCCAAAATTTTGTGTAGATTGGGCACCTGCAGACGCATCTCATTCCAAGATATTCATCCTTGCTGCTTTCCTCACATAAAATGAGTGGCCATCGACATACACATAAACAGACGCAGCCGCAGGAATGGTCACTCCAAGTCTATTGCTGTGAATAAATCCGCAGTACCCTTGATCTCTACTCTCTTCCACAGGTTGATGTACTCCCCTCTTGTCGTCGACCCGATCTATAACCCTTTCCGAAACCCAATCTCGCACAAGGCAGCCCCGAGAACCCGGGTATGGAGCCTCAGGGTGCTGACGAGCTTCCGATGCACATCTGATGCACCTACACGTTTTGTTCAGATAGGCCGTCAAATATAGACTGCCGAGTGAGGAGCTCACCATCAGAAGCGAGCCACTGATCTCACGAATCGACCGGCTTGTGGTTTGAATCCGTCAACCTAGAGGAGATTTGGAGATAGGGTACGTCAATGATGCTGGTGAAGTGCTGGTGAGCGTTCCTACTTGGCTGCGAAGAATACATGGTTAATCAGCGCCTCGAGGCCACTGCGTCAGTGTCCAAACGAGCCGAGCATCGCAGTAGAACTCGGCTGCCGGTAAGCCTCCAGGCTCGCTACCGTACAAGCGAAAGCCGGGGGGAGCAGAGAACGTAAGTCTCCCAACCCACGCACTTTTCATTTCGTTTCAGACCTCTGCCGCCAGTGACGAGCGGACCTGCTGACGGCCCTTCGCTGTCATCGCAGCTTCCTGGAAGCTCTTTGATCATTCCAGAACCTTTGTCTCAGTGGCGGCTTGGTGGAGAGCCATACGCTCGGTCATTCATCCAATGGAGACGGACCGGAGGAATACGGTTGCCCACAACCGCACTCAACCATAAAGTCGGAGCATATTGAACGAGACTGCCTTGAGCGGTTTTATGGACGAAGAGTAAGAACAAAATTGAGAAGGAGATGCTATGCTCACTTTCCCGGGTAGATTATTGCACTGCACCAAAAGCTCAAACCATCAATCCGGGACACGCCAAGAGCGCCGTGCAGGGGATAAGACAACTTGAATCTACCACCAATTATTATGACAGGTGACAAGTCGGAACAAAATGAGCGACGTAGGGGTCGAACCTACAATCTCCTGATAACCACTGAAGACCTTGTCTTCAGGTCGTAGTCAGACGCGATGCCATTTCGCCAGTCACCCGTGGTGTCTGTCTGGGGGGAATGCGCCTATAGTCGCCACAATGTGCAGTGGTGGCTCATTGAGCACGCAAAGCTTCCACAAAACAGAATAGAGTATCATCAGATTGCGAACGGAGACATCGGCGTCTGACTGTTTCCTATTACGACTGGGCGCCTGTCAAGTGCTGACGAGACTATCAATTCCACGTGATCGCGTCCATCACACGTGCTAGCACGCGGGTGCCGTAAGTTGAAGTTGAAGTTCGATCCTGTCTTGCCAGTTTCCATCTCACCGGCGTCAAGGCCCCAAGTTCAGCCACAAGACGCATTACAAGTGTTGGATCAGGGATCTCCCAAAGCCCTGCTGAGACCCCTATTCGTTCCCTGTGCGTATCGAAATGGCGGGGTCCAATTTCAGGACGAAGTCAAACCTCTCGATTCTTCCGAACAGATGGACGGGCTCCCAGGCGCTCTGAACATTTGAAGCACCGGAAATCTGCTCACATGACTGACTGTCAACCTGGATCAATGCGAAGGTCAATGCGCCGGAGATCATTCCAAATGCGGACGCGCATTTGGCCCTCCGGATCCTTCGTCTCTTTGTCCTGGCTGTGCCGCCGTGCCACTCACTAACACTTGCCATAGAAGGCTATTCCTAAGCAGGATTGGCTCAACGCCTGGCGTCCCAGCTGGGTAACTTCGCCATTGATCGTGATGGATTGGTTCCTCCCCACCCACTTTCTGCACTTTTCTCGGCTGGCGGCGCTTTTATAAAGGTTGGGATGGACTGGCGGAGGGAATAAAGCCATTTGTGCTCCCTATTCAACTCGCTGCCCTCCTTGCCCGCCCTCCTCGCTGCGTTTAATTCGATCGAAGATGGCCCGAAGCTCGAAAGCAACTGCTCCATCGCTCATTGTGAGTTGCTTTATTTCCCGCACAGTTCTTGGACTCAAGTCACTCTCTTAGAGCAAAGTATCCAAGAAACACCCTGCATGCCACTCTCCGCCGTTTGCCCATGCCTGCCCGGAGCCTGGATGCGGCAAGAGCTGGGCGAGGGCGTACGACCTGAAGCGTCACCTGCTCACCCACCTGCCCCGCGAGGAGAAGGAGTCTGTTATGCTGCACTGTCTGGTGAAGGACTGCGAGTTCAGGACCTTGCAGCAGGGCAACCTCAACATCCACATGAACGTTGTCCAGTGCGTGCCATCTCTCCTCACTATTGATCCGGAGTACGAGGTTTCTGAATAAGCCTTGCAGCACGAGGAAGCGCCCGCACCACTGTCCTGTCGTGGGCTGCGAATTCTCGACTTCGGATCCGGCGATCATCAACCGACACCAGAAGAAGCACATCGCGCGCGGCGAACTGAAGGAGGCGCACGCTCCCGTGGCGCGCCCGAAGAAGGTCTCCGCCGCTGCCACCGTACGGTACAGCGACGACGACGCGTCCTCTACCGCGTCGTCGAGCGCAGCGCCCTCCCCGACCCTGAGTTTCTTAAATGCGGTTTCTTCCCCCTCGGGCTCGGGCTCCGGCTCCCGACGGTCGTCCCTCTCCCTCTCCCTCTCCCCCTACTCCGCCTATCCTCCCTCGTCGCTCATTCCGTCTTTGGGCCACTCCGTGCTGGATGTGGATCCCTCCCACGTGCGGGTCCCCTGGGACTCGCCAGCGTACGGGAGACCCGAGCACGAGTGCTCTCCCGCTAGCGTCGCCTTCACGAGCCCGCGGACGCACCCGCCGGTGCTGGGCGGGTACGAGAGTGTCCACGCCCCCTGGGTGCTCGATCCGCACCTGCTCCTGACGCCGCCGCCGGCTTTCGATTCCAGCGACTATGTGCTGTTTGACGATCCCCTCGCCTTGTTGTAGGATAGTACATATAAGTGCAGGTATGTAGCAGTGACAGGGGCATCGATAATGATTATTGTAAATTATCTGGGCGTTGGTTGGTATCCTTATCGATTGTAATATTTTGTGTAAACGTCATTTATCAACTGCTAACCAATTCCCGTCTGCGACCCCACGCGGAAAGTCTTTTGCATTTTCATTGAGCCTTGCAATCAGAATTGCAATCGTTCTTCGCACTACACAGCCCAGTTTGATCTCCTATTGAGGCCCACTTGGCGTCCAGAGGACCCCGGATACTACGGTCAAATGTTAGCCACCGCGTTGGATAATTCTGGGGGAAATTGGTCAAAACACTAAGCCCAAAGTAGTAGGGGGCTGGACAAAAATTGGGCGGCATGGTCGATCTAGTTAGATCATGGCTGGACAAAATTCTCCATGGCAGTCCAGTGGTAACATGCGATTACATGAGGATGTGAGTCTAAATCTTGACCAGGAAGGTCCTATGAGGTCTCGAGTTCGAGTCTAGGATACTGTATATATTTTTCACACCGAATCGAAATTGCTTCCCAAAATCCGCTTCGCAGCAGCCTTGGAAATTTTCAACGAATTGGGGGATAAGGAGGTGGAATAGTCTCTGAATCGGTGTATAGCGTCTCGGAAAGGTCGAAAATCGAGCCAAAGGGCTGAGTTTCAGTCTTATATCCATGTAGGCATCAAAAAACAACTTGTGAGACCTATGTACGGGTTGGACAAATATGGGGGGCATCAGCCAAATTTTGGGCTAACATTTGACTGTATTATCCGGGGTCCTGCGTCCAGACGCCGCACTTTAAGAGCCTGCACCGACAAGGACTCACTCAGCGAACGGCCATGTAGAACGCGTGGTAACAGCAAAATGAGGGAATAATCTAGCGTCAGATACGTAACGACATAAGGAGTAGTATAGGATATTAGGGGTGCTACTCTAAACGCGCTTGCCAGTGACGGCACCGTCCTGCACCTCGTAGTGTGCGGCGGGCGCGCCAACGAAGCCGTCCTGGTTCTCGTTCGACAGCTCCTCGAGCGTCTTGCCCTTCGTCTCGGGGATGAGCAGCGTCGAGAAGATACCCGTCAGCATGAAGAACGCGAAGATCTCGAGGCTGGAGAAGAGGAGGCGGATGAGTCGGAAGAGCTGCACACAAGGGAGAGGCAGAAGACGTACATGTGCTTGACGAACTTGTTGGGTCCGCCGATGTTGACCATCTTGGAGAATCCGACCTGCGCAACGATGGCGCCAAGCTTGCCGGACGCAGCGGAGATACCGTGCGCGGTCGAGCGGTAACGAGTGGGGAAGGCCTCGCCGGGGACGACGAAGGTCGTGGTGTTCGGGCCGAAGTTTTGGAAGAAGTTGGTCAGGCAGTAGAGGAAGATGAAGGCACCCTTGGACGAGGCGGTGGCAGTCAGCTTGTCGTATCCGAAACCTGGCGAAGAACGTAAGTCGTTGCGAGCACATCCAGAAAGATACGCACCCATGATGATGAACAGGATGGTGAGCATGGTGAAGCCCATCAGCTGAATGGGCTTGCGGCCCCAGGTGTCAATGAACAGGAAAGTCGCATAGTATCCCGGGATGAGACCAGCAGCAGACAGGATCAAGTTACCGACACAGATGTTGTGCAGGTTGTCGTAGATGTTCCGGGTGCCGTGGCTGGACGCGCTACCGAAACCAATGGCAGTCAGGATCGTGGAGGTGTTGAGACCGAGACCGTAGAAAGCGATCTGCAGAGGAAAGTGCATCAGTGATGTGGACACATGGAATACAAGAGAGCACACACATCGAGAGCGAACCACGAGTAGGCAGTACCGAACAGGACCTTGCCGTTCTCCCACTTGCCGAAGTAAGCGCAGAAGTCAGCCCATGTAGCACGGGGCATCTCGGCGCGGGGAGCGACAGTCTCGGGGTTGCGGTTGAAGTCGCCGGTGGTGAGCACCTTCTCGATGTCGTCGGTGGCCTGGACGACGTTGCGCTCGATGTCCATGGTGAAACGCGGGGTCTCGGGGATGGTGAGACGGAAGTACAGCGCGACGACACCGGGGATGCAGCCGAGACCGATGAGGAGACGCCACATGTAGTCAACCGTGGGGACGTGGTTGATGGCCGGGTCGGCGAGGATCTTGTGCTTGTAGCCGGTGGTGATGCACAGGGCGACGAGGGCAGCGGCTGCGCGAGTCGATCAGTCATCGGTAGAGTCGAGAGGAGCACTGGAGACGCACTGAAGTTACCCCATCCCTGGTTGGCGAAGACAGCCGTCATCAAGCGGCCACGGATGCGGGTGGCAGCGAACTCGGATGAGATCGTGGCGGACAGAGGGTAGTCGCCGCCGATACCCACACCGACGATGAAACGCCACACGATGATGACACCGATGATGGAGACAGCGCCGCCGTTGCCAGCAAGGGCCTGGGCAAAGGTACCGACGATGATGATCATGAGCTCGATTCCGTCTGGAGGGGCTAATCAGCACTGGGAAAACCCAACAGACCGATGGCTGAACATACACATGCGCTTGCGACCGACGACATCCGCGAACCAACCGAAGAAAGTCTGACCGAACAGGTTACCAATGGGGACGGCAACCTTGACACCGAGGTCCTGGTTCGGGTTGAGCTTGCCCGCAGCAGTGGCAGAGCCCTTTCCGTAGACGAAGCCGAGCATGGTCGCCGCAATGTTGATGGCGAAGATGTCATAGCTGGGGAAGTTGATCAGAAACGGAGGGGAAGCGGGGAAGAAAGATAAGCACGCACGCATCCGTGAAGAAGCCGACACCAGCGACCAAGCAGACCTTGACGTGGAACCAACTGCAGGTAGTGTGTGAGCACGGAGTATGGGCAGTGGAAGGAAGAAAGAAAAAACGCACGAGAACTTGGCGTTGTCGACCTCGGCAAGGGCAGCACGACGGCGCTCGTCGAGCGCGTAGGTGGCGTCAGCGCCTTTTGCGGCGGAAGCGTGGGACTCGAGGTCAGACATTGGAACAGTCGACGACAGGGAGGAGTCGGTGGGTGGGCAGTCGTGTGCAGAGAGCAGCGAGAAAATCAGAGCGTCTCCGGGCGCTACTTGTATGTCCGCCCATGACTGTCCGAAAAAGGAAGGTTACATTCACGAACGTTGTTGAGTCGCGCTGATCACCGGTGGCTCAGAGTACAACCGCGCCACGTTCGTACTTGGCACACCACCCAGTGCGCGTCCAGGCACATTCCCTTGCTTTTGGTTTATGCGACAAGGAACATATCCCTGAAGAATTCCACACAACTTCACGCACCTGCGCACTGTCCGCCTGCATCCCTCAAACAACAAGAGCGCCAAGAGGTCCCCCGGCTTTATCATTCTGCAGAGAGCAAGCTCGTCACTCTTCAACGTGGTTGTCTGATGAGCATGGCTCGATCTATACAACTCGGTCTAGCTCCACGAAGATTTCGACCATCAGCTCAAGCACCAACCGCACAAGCATACATTCCACGTATCCTTCGGTGGAAAATTTTATGAAACGGAAAAATTACAAATGTCACTCCTGAGTCTCAAGGAGATCGGCGTTGCGGAACGGAACAGGGCCTGGGAAAAAATAGTGGAAGCCGACTGTAACAACTTCGTCATTCTTGGCTACACGATCTGTTGATCTGCCACGTCAAACTCGTACTTCCTTCTCGCTTTTCACGGACGCCGGACTGCGTCGTGCGCCAGCTTGCTGAGCACGAATGCACACCCCAGTCCACCGCGGATGATCACTGCACTAGGGCCCAGAGCTATGCGTGTACCGCCGACAGGAAGCCAAAAATCGAAGTCGCCTTGGAATAACTCCAAAGCACGGCCAACCGCCCGCCGACTGAATCTCACACGATGTCCGCATATCATCTCCACCCCCGTGCGCGAGCTCGTCCTCGGAGCCGTCCCGTCCTTCTCAGCATTCGCGTGCTCTCCCATCTCCGCTGTTCTCTTCCCGTTCTCGGATCTCGGCATGTTGACGACCCGTGGAAGGTTGCGACCGAAGGACAGGGGTGGGGCCCCGAGGTCTGGAGTCTGCGTCGTCGGCCGCAGCCTCGAAGGTCTGGAATCTTCTGATCCATTGCTTCCTCTGTGCGTTCGCCGGGTCAGGGATAGGGTCCAGGAGGATTGGACAGTGGGCACGCGACCTGCCCTGCAGGCGTTTGCGGAGAGCTAGAATCGCTCGGGCATGCAATCGGGCAGCACCTCGCCGGTGCAGATAGGCAGTCCAGGCACTGAGCCGTGCTATCTTACGATGTTTGCCCGTGCTGGAGGTGGCGTGGAATCAGGGAGACATCCTCGGTCGCCAGTCGCCGTCTGCTTGATCAGGCCTGGCTTTCGAATGAGCAGCCCTACATGATGTCTCGCAGTAGCACCACAAGCTGAAGCTCGAGAACTGGGGCACGGGGCACATCAGATGGGGAGCTCTTCGAAGAAGCAAGTGATTCAGCGGGACAGGCTCCATTTGCGCTAGACACGGTCGACTGAGCTGTGCAGGCAGTTCGACTTAAGCAAGGAATGAATGCTACCCATCATTGGGCCCCTGCACCATGTACACGCTCCGATCTCCTAGTCCTAACGCGAGTCTCCAGGATCGATCTTTCCGGCCCACTAGCCTGTTTGTTCCGGAATCGTCATCTTCGACTTGGAAGACGAGCGACAACGGTGGGAACGGTCCGCATAACGGGCTATTGCGTGCAGACAGCCATCGATTGTGGCAGCCCGGGTGACGGAGCCCATCTCCGGCATAAATAGCGGTGCGATAAGCCTTGTCTTCCAACGATGTACCCCACTTTCGACTTCAATACGACCGCCGAAGAGGTTGCGACGGCCTTTGCAGAACAGATCAAGGGCAAAAATGGTCTGTCGGCATGAACTGCATGCTGGAATATGCTCAATTCATATCGATAGTCCTTATCACCGGGACATCACTCAACAGCCTTGGATTCGAGACTGCGCGCGTTGTGGCGAAATACGCAAATCTGGTCATCATAACGGGATACAACACGGAGCGGTGAGTTTCGCCCTCTTGGATGACGGAAGTTCGCCCACTGATCTCTCATGGCCAGCCTCAAGCTAGCACGAGCTGAACTACAGAAAGAAGGCCCTCACGCCGAAATCCGACCGCTCGTCATAGACCTCGCCTCGCTCAAAGACGTGCGCAGGGCGGCTGCCGAGGTCAATGCATACGCAGAACCCATCCACGTCCTGGTCAACAATGCGGCTGCCGCAGTCGGAGATTTCAAGCTCAGCCCGGAGGGCTACGAGAACCAACTCGCGACCGACCATCTGGGCCCGTTCCTCTTCACTGCTCTCATTGCTCCCAAGCTCCTGGCCGCCCGGACCGAGACCTTTACTCCACGGGTCATCTTCGTGTCCAGCCTGGCGCATCTTTTCGGGGGTGTGAGCCTCGAGACCTGGGGTAAACCCGACCCGGCGTCATACGATTCGATGGCCGCCTACGCCCAAGCGAAGACCGCCAACATCCTCACTGCTGCCGAGCTCTCGCGGCGGGCCAAAGGGGCACTCAAGAGCTACAGTCTGCATCCTGGAAGTGAGTGTGTAGTGTCCCTGTTCGATGCCGTATGCTGATCTCTACGCATTCTACAGTCATCTTCACGAACATCAACCAGAAGGAGGAAAGCGCGGAGAAACAGAAGGAATTGGGTATCCTCCTCCCCGATGGCTCGCCCAACCTCGAGAAATACCAATGGAAGTCGATCCCCGAGGGCTCCGCGACGACAGTGGCGGCTGCGTTTGACCCGCGACTGGAAGATTCGCCAGGGGCGTTCCTGGATGATTCGAAAGTGGCGAACGATAAGCGCTCGCCCCAGGCTGCTGATTCTGTGAGTGACTTCCTTCTGTTGTGACTTGTCTATCTCTCCTTGCTACCGACTCACGCGGGGTGCTAGGCTCTTGCTGCGAGACTGTGGGAGATCACGGAGGAGCTCGTTGGTTTCAAGTTCAGCTTCTGAAATCCATCGAAAATGTGTTTTGGCATGTGTAAATAGCAGGGGTCTCGGTTCCACGAAGTAAGATGCGGCAAATGTATGATAGAATTAGCATTTGAAGAGTTGATCGCTGAGGAAGGGATACAGTCGCAAGAGTCAGGGTGTCGCTGTCCTTTGTCAACACCAATAGAATGATTGAAAACAACTCGTTGTGTTGTGGCTGGAACAGTCATAGTCATAGTCATAGTAGATATAGCTGACGCTTCCGTTCTAGTCACTTCCGTTTTTAGTCAGCACTGATGTGGTCAATTTCATCCTTGCATTGGCCCCTACAGTCTGATCCTGTTCCCACCTTTACACTGTGTCTTCGTTCGGCACTACCCTTTCATCGTAACAGCGCATATTGCAATGAGAGAAGAGGGAGTTGACACGTGGGCATGCGGCCTGCCCCGCAGGCTCTTTCGAGAATCAGTGAAACCACCTGGACGTGGAATGTCGCAGCACCGTCGCTGAATGTCGATCTGTTGTCCAGGCACACCACCGTTCACATCCTTCGGTATCTGTGCGTGTGGCGGCTAGCGCTAAATAACTGAGGCAGCTTTGGTGGCAGTCTGCTTGGTTGGGTCTACTGGACGACTTTCAGCAGCACAAGCCGAAGCCGAAGACCGAGAACCAGAGCACGAGGCACCCCAGCTGGGGTCGATCTTCCGAGAAGCATGCGAATGTGATTGGTGCAAGACTGAGGTGAGTTGAGCTGATCGCAGCTTGTTCTTGCAGGGAATGGATATATGCGCAGTTCTAACTTCTCGCTATTAGCTCGTCCTTGCGATTGCACCTGCAGAGATTCCACTACGGCTCTAACGAGCAATCGCTCAGATCACTCAGATTCACTCCCTCGTTTAATCAGACAATCGTCATCCTGGACACGTCACGCATGCGAACCTGGCGTGGAGGCAGTAATCGATATGCGTAATCTGGGGTAGAGGGGCAAAACGGCGTTATAAATGGCGGTTGAGAAGTCCAGTTCTTCAACAATGTATCCCACCTTCGACTTCCACACGACGGCCGAGGACGTTGCGACAGCATTCGCAGAGCAAATCCAGGGCAAAAATAGTTTGTTGCCACTGTCGACACTGAACTAGTGGAAGCTGACTTGATTGCTACAGTCCTCATCACTGGAACGTCTCTCAATGGCCTCGGCTTCGAGACCGCGCGCGCCGTGGCAAAGTATGCAAATCTGGTGATCTTCACAGGATATAACAAGGAGCGGTGAGCTTCGCCCTCGTCGGTGACAGAACCCCGCAGACTGATCTCTCACGGCCAGACTCGGGCTGGCGCACGCCGAACTACGGAAAGAAGGCTCTCACGCCGAAATCAGGCCTCTGGTCATAGACCTCGCCTCGCTCAAAGACGTGCGCAGGGCGGCTGCCGAGGTCAATGCTTACGCGGAACCCATCCATGTCCTGGTCAACAACGCAGCCGCTGCAGTCGGGGCTTTCAAGCTCAGCCCGGAGGGCTACGAGAACCAGCTCGCAACCGACCATCTAGGCCCGTTCCTCTTCACCGCCCTCATTGCTCCAAAGCTTCTGGCCGCACGGACCGAGACGTTCACACCCCGAGTGGTTTTCGTGTCCAGTTTGGGGCACGAGTATGGACCAGTCAATTTCGAGACTTTGGGTAAACCCGATCCTGCGCTGTACGATTCGATGGGTGCCTACAGGCAAGCGAAGACTGCCAACATCCTCACTGCTGCCGAGCTCTCGCGGCGGGCCAAAGGGGCACTCAAGAGCTACAGCCTGCATCCGGGAAGTGAGCATATAAGCTTCCTGCTCGATGGCGGATGTTGAGCTCTGTGCATTCTACAGTCATCTTCACGAACATTACCCAAAAGGAGGAAAGCGCGGAGAAACAGAAGCAGGCAGGCATCCTCTTGCCTGATGGCTCGCCCAACCTCGAGAAGTACCATTGGAAGTCGATCCCGGAAGGCTCCGCGACGACGGTGGCGGCTGCGTTTGACCCGCGACTGGAAGATTCACCAGGGGCATATCTAGACGATTCGAAAGTGGCGAACGACAAGCTCGCGCCGCATGCTGCTGATCCTGTGAGTAATCCATGCCTTCTCTCTCTGCTCCTTACCCATTCACGTTGGATGTCAGGCCATCGCGGCCAGGCTGTGGGATGTCACGGAGGAGCTCGTCGGCTTCAAGTTTACCTTCTGAAACTCATCGAAACTCTGTCTTGGGATGTGTAAATAGCAGTGGTCCAGGTTTCACCTTGTAAGTTGCAGCAAATGTATTAGCGCACATGGGTAGGCACTGGATGACGATCCTTACCTATACTGGTAAGATTTTCATATCCTTTGTCAAGATAAAACTGGTATGATCCAAGACAGCTTCTTGTGCACATAGTCGGATTTCTGGAAGGCCACAGCTCACTGTTATAAGTATGTGGATTGTACTGGAACAGTGATGGAAAGTGAGGCCTCGAGGAATCAGCCAGGACTCAGCAGTCATGATTATTCGCATGATGCGATCAATGACACTTCGCATTTGCGTAGTCGACTCCTGTTTCCTCTTTCCAGTCATATTCGGCGCCCCCCGTCCACTATAACAGAGCATATAACAACTAGGGAAGAGGATGTCTTTATGTGGGCATCCGCCTCGCCCTGCGGACTCTTGGGAGAATCAATAAAACCGCCTTGACGTCGAATGTGGCAGTAGCGTCGCTCCTTGTCTTTTTGTGTTTTGTGGCTGCCACTGAATCGGCGCGGCATCCTCGGTCGCCTTCGGCCTCGTTGAGTCTACTCGATGACTCACAGCAGCATGATCCGACCCTCGAGAACTGGAGCACAAGGGCATATCAGCTGGGCCGGTCTTCGAAGAAGCCTGTGGACTCGGTGAGAATGCCTTGGTTGGCCCAAGACTGGGTGCGTTGAACTGATCACTACTTGGTTCATGCAAGGAATGAATATATGCGTCATTTTCGGCTCTCAGCCTTCCTCGCGTTTGGACTAGCGGAGAGCTTCTCGACCGCTCCCCAGGCTTTCAAGAAGCGGCCATTCAGGTCCACTCACGCGTTCGTTCCAAAAATCGTCATCCTGGACACGTCACGAATGCGGGAACCGGGGGAATCCTCTTTATCTTGGATCCCGGTGTGGAGGCAGTGATTGATATGGGTAATCCGGGGGTTGAGGGGCGAGGACGGTGTTATAAATGGCGGTGCGAGAGGCCAGTCCTCCAACGATGTATCCCACCTTCGACTTCCACACGACCGCCGAGGACGTTGCGACGGCATTCGCAGAACGGATCTCAGGCAAAAACGGTCCGTCTGCGCTGTGGATTGCCGAACCGGAAGACGCTGACTTGACGCTCTCAGTTATCATCACCGGGACGTCGCCCAATGGCATAGGGTTCGAGACTGCGCGCGCCGTGGCAAAATATGTCAATCTGGTGATCGTCACAGGATACAACAAAGAGCGGTGAGCTTCGCTCGCAAGTACGGTGCAAGCCCGCAGACTGATTGCCCACGTCCAGACTCCAGTTGACACAGGCTGCACTCCGTGAAGGAAGCCCTCGCGCTGCAATTCGAACACTCGTTCTAGACCTCTCCTCGCTCAAGGACGTTCGCAGGGCGGCTGCCGAGGTCAATGCTTACGCCGAGCCCATCCACATCTTGGTCAACAACGCCGCTGCGACGCTCGCAGCTTTCAAACTCAGCCCGGAGGGCTTTGAGAACCAGCTCGCGACCGACCATCTGGGTCCGTTCCTCTTCACCGCCCTCATTGCCCCGAAGATCCTCGCTGCGCGGACGGAAACGTTTACCCCCGGGTTATCTTTGTGTCCAGTATGGGGCATGTGTCCGGACCGGTGAATCTCGAGACGTTGCGCAAACCCGATCCTGCGCTGTATGATCCATTCGGTACTTATGGCCAAGCGAAGACGGCCAACATCCTCACTGCTGCCGAACTCTCCCGTCGATCGAACGGGACGATCAAGAGCTACAGTCTGCATCCGGGAGGTGGCTATGTTGTTTCTACACTCAATGACAGGAGTTGATCTCCATCCATTCCGCAGTCATCTTCACGAACCTTGCCCGCAGAGAAGAAAGCGCGGAGATATCGAAGGAGGCGGGCATCCTCCTCCCTGATGGCACGCCCAACCTCGAGAAGTACCAATGGAAGTCGATCGCCGAGGGTGCGGCGACGACGGTTGCGGCTGCGTTTGACCCGCGACTGGAAGATGTCCCGGGGGCGTTTCTAGATGATTCGAAAGTGGCGAATGACAAGCTCGCTCCGCATGCTGCTGATTCTGTGAGTGCACTCTCTTCCTTCATTCTCTGTTCTGTGCTGTCCATTGACGCTGGATCCCAGGCTGCCGCGGCGAGACTGTGGGATGTCACGGAGGAGCTCGTCGGTTTCAAGTTCGCTTTCTGAAACTCATCGAATAGCTACCCTGGCATGTTTTATAGCACTGGTCTTGAATTTACCTTGCATCCGACCTGCAATCTGGCAGCACCGTGCCCATGTCGGTCTGCTGTCCGGGCACATCGCTTTTCCATCTTTCAGTGTGCGCGTGCGGTGGACGACGCCCGATCAGCAAGAGATTCTCGGTGGCCGTCGGCCTGATCAGGTCTCTGCTTACGAGAAAAAAGTCGACAGGATCCCTTTTGCCATCACAAAATGGAGCCCAATAGCGCTGGAATATGAGGGACATGAGGTGGGCCGATCATCGAAACATGTGGACTCGATGCGACTGGCTTGATCTGTACAACGTACCGTCGGCTGAGCCACAGATCACAGCTTGTCCATTCAAGTTGCGAGACACAGCTGCATAGATGGTTTCCGCCCTCAGCGTACAGCTTTCGCTCGTGCCCTGCACCTTCTGAGATTCTCCAGCCCTGACACGAGCTTCCAGGATCGTCATTTGGACTCACTAGCTCATGTACTCCGGAAATCAGCATCCATACCACGTCACGAATGCGAGCACCGCGGGAATCCTCCTCGTTGTGGAATGCGGTATGGCCAAAGGTATCCCGAGGCAGCGGAATATAGAGGCGGTATAAAGGGCGGCGAAAGCGGCCACTCCTTACACAACGATGTATCCCACCTTCGAGTTCAACACCACCGCCGAGGAAGTTGCGACGACGTTCGCAGAACAAATCCGGGGCAAGAATGGTTGGTTTGCGATCTTGAGGTCGAGCTCGAGGACGCTGACCTGGTCCCTGCAGTGCTCATCACCGGAACGTCGCTCAATGGCCTCGGTTTCGAGACCGCGCGCGTCGTGGCCAAATACGCGAATCTGGTCATCATAACAGGATACAACAAGGAGCGGTGAGCTTCGCCCTCGTCGATGACAGAAGCTCGTAGACTGATCTGATCCTTCGCGGACAGACTTGGTTTGACACAGGCCGAACTCCAGAGAGGAGATCCGCGCGCCCAAATCCGGCCGCTAGTTTTGGACCTCGCTTCGCTAAAGGACGTGCGCCGGGCGGCTGCCGAGGTCAATTCCTACGCCGAACCCATCCACGTCCTGATCAACAACGCAGCCGCCGCCATCGCAGGATTCAAGCTCAGCGCAGACGGCTTTGAGAACCAGTTCGCCACTGATCACCTCGGCCCATTCCTCTTCACTGCCCTCATCGCACCAAAGCTCCTTGCTGCGCGGACGGAGACCTTCACCCCGCGGGTCGTCTTCGTGTCCAGCTTGGCGCATGAGTACGGAGCAGTGAATTTCGAGACATTGAGTAAACCCGACCCGGCGTCGTACGATTCGTTGGGTGGCTACGCGCAAGCGAAGACTGCCAACATCCTCACTGCTGCAGAGCTCTCGCGGCGGTCGAAAGGGATGATCAAGAGCTATAGTCTGCATCCTGGAGGTGATTATATAGTTCCCCTGCTCGATAACAGATGCCGAGCTTCATCCATTGCACAGTCATCTTCACGAACATCAATTCAACGGAGGAGAGTATACAACAACAGAAGGAGGCGGGCATTCTCCTGCCTGATGGCTCGCCCAATCCAGAGAAGTTCCGTTGGAAGTCGATCCCGGAGGGCTCTGCGACGACTGTGGCGGCGGCGTTCGACCCGCGCCTAGAAGATACACCGGGCGCGTATCTGGACGATTCGAAAGTGGCAAACGACAAGCTTTCGCCGCATGCTGCAGATCCCGTGAGTGCTCCCGCTCTCTGAAGGTTTCTGCCCACTCACGCTGGATCCCAGGCTGTCGCGGCCAAGCTGTGGGAAGTCACGGAGGAGCTTGTTGGTTTCAAATTCACCTTCTGACTGAGAATTACGAAGTTTCTTTATGCGAGGATATAAAGTTGGTCCTCGTCTTGCTTGGGACACGGCGAAAGGATCGTGGAATTCGTAGCAAAGGGTTAGGGTCAGACCCTCATCCTCGAGCTCCCTCATCCCACATTGTGCCAATCGAGATCTATCGTCAAGCTAAAATAGCTCTCGCCTACCCACGTATCTTGATGCACCGTCCATCCAGTCCACACTTGGTAGCACCGCATCACAGACAAGACCTGCTGGCAACGCTCAATCCTTCCCGATGCCGCTCATTCTCATGCGCCGCTGAGTCCTGGCGCAGTGTCGTAGAAACCCGAACGGACACAGAGTTTTGCGCATCTGGAGGCCAACTTAGGAAGTACTTTGCGCTCCGGCGAGTGGGGGCGTAGCTTGGACTGGATTGAGCAGAAGAGGAAGTCGCATTCTCGGGTCAGTAATTTGCCGTTGAATCAAAGTGCACGGGTCAAGGATGAATGCTCGCGCTGAATGTTGACACGCTGCGGCACACCAAGTCCCCGATCTCACTGTGTCCATCGAACGTGGAGTGATGGATAGAGCCGTGCGCCACTCGAGATCTGCTGCAAGCGCCCACTCGAATCAAGCATCGCATCGCAAAGTCAGCCGCTTCTGTGGCCAGTTTTTACGGAACCACATCGCCCGCCTCCCTATATTCCTCCTTGAAGACGCCGTAATACTTGTGCTGCCTGCTGCCAGAGTCGCTCTATCTCCTGCGGCTTGCTTCGAATTAGCGCTGGGACTGGGCACGCCATTGGGCATGAGGCATCTATCTAAAGACATAAAGCATCACGCGAAGTAGGGATGCTGGATCACCCGATTCCAACCCAGGTTTTTCCCGTCTATCATGACAGTGACCTCGCAGCCTCTTGACAACGAACCAAGACATGAGAAGTACTACCTGGATCCCATCATCTTCAAAGCATGCTGCGTCTTAGGCAGTGCCAGCCTCCGTACTCACCCGCCGCACTAACCAGGTCGAAGACCAACTATTCAAGGTTCCGCGATACCACTTCGAGCGCAACTCCGAGATCTTCCAAGACACCTTCTCACTCCCAGTTCCCGGGAATGATGACGCAGAAGGCAGCTCGGACGAGCACCCCTTCGTGCTGGAGGGCATCGAGAAAGTGGATTTCGCTTGTTTACTGAATGTTCTGTATCCCCTGTACGGTTTTTCCCCTTCTGCCACGCGAGACCCGCACATTCACCTCGTCTGTCGCACCGCACAGGGATATCCCCCAGATCTTGACTTCCACGACGACGGACGAGTGGATCTCGGTGCTCAAGCTATCGACGCTCTGGCGCTTCCTCGATGCGCGTGATCTCGCCATCAAGCAACTTAACCACAGAGTCACTGCCGTGCGACGTGTCGTCCTTGCCCGAGACTATCACGTCGCAGACTGGCTGCGCAGAGGGTTCACGGAGCTGGCCACGCGGGGGGAGGGTTTGGACCAGGAAGATGTTGAACAGTTGGGCTACACGGATGCCGTGCGCCTCTATCAGATCAGGGAGGATGCGATCAAGACTGCGACGTCCCACAAGGTCCGCTATGGCTATGAAGACTCCAGATTCCAGGATGCCAATGTCGAGGATACGTTCGTAGAAGACTTCGAACTAGCGGATATGCTCAGTCGTTCTTACGCTAAGAGTGGGTGTCACTCACATTAGGTACACAACAACATCTAAATTGATGATATTACCGTCCAATCTATGGGTGACTGGCGAAATGGCATCGCGTCTGACTACGATTCTTTCGGTTAATCAGGAGATTGCAGGTTCGACCCCTGCGTCGCTCATTTTTCTCAACGATCCAATTAAGTTTTGCTGCGGAGCTTATGCCCAGCGCTTATCCAAGCCCATTCAGGTTGTGTCGCGACAGGGCTCTCCCAAAAAGACGGATGATTCTCAATGCTCGCTCTGCATCTCATACAACCACGCAAGCAAACTGTCTCCGAGGCAATCACCAACTCCAGCACCTTCAATCAGATATCCCGGACCAAGTAAATGCCGAAATCGCAAAGCCTCTGGTCCCTCAAACACGTTTCTCGTGTTTCAAGTCGTATCAAGCAGTTGCCCGGGGGCATACGGACCGATTCCAAAATATTAAACAGCATCCTTGCATGAAAGGTCACCGACTTCGAGGAATTTAGCTACAAAGCGACTGCACTGAGAGGTCTCAGGACATCCAATGCATCGTATATCGCACGCTAGACCTGTTTGAGGGAATGACTTGGATCCGATAACGTAGACACATAGATCACGCGCTCGCAGGTATGTATCACTTTACCATGGACAATATACCTGGCACTGACCGCTACGACATAGTCCGACGACTTTCAGCGTCCACATTCGTCAAGATCACAGCCCACGGATCAGTTTGCGTGCAGCCTCATCTCTCGTACGGACGGCGCATTGAAAAGGAAGCGGATGCCTGTACCCGACTTTCGTCAACAATTCCCTTCCGATCAACTTCATCATACGCACGTCACTGTCATACTGGACCATCCGACGGCAATATCGATTTCCTCGCCCCGTTCGTCGAGTGCCTTGCTGATGTCAAAGACCGACAGGAGAGCGCTGTAGAGCAGGAAGAGCGTCGTTTCACCTAAGAGACGGCCTGCATCTGGGTGTCAGCGAGGGCCGACGATAGCAGGCGGTTGGTTGCTCGTACTGGGGCAGGCGCTGCGGACGTCTGTTTAGATCGCGGTCAAAGCGCGCTGGCGCCAGAAGCTCACCGTCGTCCGAATCCAAAGACCGTCTTGCCCGGATCTTCCGCCGCCGCTTTGCCCTCAGTGCCGAGAAAATGAGACGGATCGAATTGCTCCGGATTCCTGTATCGGCGAGGATCACGATTCATTTTCCTGCCCACGATCAGGGGGAGCAGCGGATCCGAGAAAGGTGCGAGTATACTAGACGTTCGCGATGATCATCGCGTCCTTGGGGATGAGTACAGGTCCCGAGCTCGATTCGTAGATGAACGATTCATTTGCGCGATGCGGCAGTGCTGGAGATCCGTCCGTCAAGGCATGCTGCACAAATACCACAGAGGGGCCGACGGACCCGTGGGCGTTGTGACGAACCAGCGCAGCACTTCACGGGACAGTGCGTCCACATGCGGCAATTCGGGTCTGTCCTCGACGGTCGGGAGCCTGTCCCTGCCAATGACGCGATCGATTTCCTGCTGAGCATTGCGTTGGATGTCAGGGTGGAGAGCCATCGCAAGGAAAAATGCTGAAAGTTGGGAAGCCGTCTGAAACGCAGTCAGCTTAAGCAAGGCGAGATGTGGCTATCCTGACCGTGTCACTCGCCCCGTGAACGAGCGTCAAAGGGACCACTCTAGCCCAGTACTCATCTGCATCAGTTTCGAGCACAGCCGTAGCAAACCAGGGCTCAGAAACACCGCTTGCCTGACATCGTCAGCGAACCTCAGAAGTGACAACTCGGAACACGACGCACCATGCGCTCTCTGACAGCAGCTGGACCTTCGTATCTTGTCTGCTGTAATACTGCATTGATCCGCTTTGCAGCATGATGAAAACCACCGCCAGGCAGCCAGGATGGCCAGTAACGAACTGGGGCTCCTCAGACGCAGAAATGGCAGAGCTAATGACACGTACGGAAAGGGAACAGATCGACAAACGAGGCACCTGGTGTGGTAATGCGAAAGAAGTCATTTGAGCTCTGCTCTGCCATGTCGAATAGAGTGTCAGAGAGGTCCGTTGGACGACTGTGGTCCACCTTGTGCCCAAATCCCAGACGTAGACCTATAGCCATAGTGGTTCTGACACAATTTACATGAGTGTTCGATGGAGACTGCTGATTGACACGCCGCATCACCTGCGAATATCGTCCGAGAGGACCCCCTGCCGGCCATCCACCGCTCTGAGGAAGGCACCGACCTCCTCCACCAGCCCGGGGATCAGCCTTGATATGGCAGCAGGCGTGCCTTGGAACGCATGATACAGCTTGCGCTCGCGCCTGACTTGATCGAGATCGCCAGAGGGCTGGGCAAGCGGCAGACTCGTCTCGAATCCACAGAGCCCTCCGGCCATGGCAAGGACGGGGCGTTCGGATGTTAGAGCAGAAGACTGGACGAGCACAGACGTAGCCGCCTCCAGTGTGTGCAGCAGGATGGTTGTGCGGCCCGGCATTGCCAGGGAGGTGATTTCGCCTGCGGCTGGGTGAGGCGGGGGATCCATAGAGAGGAGAGAAAGAAAGAGATAAAACAAGGACGTACCGTACTTGTCCCCCATGGCAGAGAAGGCCAGCCACGGCTCCTTTGCCGGTATATCGAGCAAGTTCCCGATAAGCGGGAGACAGGGCGGACCAGGCGGAAGAGAGGGACGCATCTTCCTCGTCCAACTCCAGAGGATTATGGACGATGTGATGACGAGAAGAGCGAGGCACTGAGTCGTAGACAGCGACATGAGATTGAGATTCAAAGTAGGGGGTTGGATGTCCTCTTGTATGAGGTCAGATAGATCCGAGTAGAGGGCTATCATCACCGGACCACGAGTGGGCTGGAGCTGGCACAATCCGAATTGGACGTGGCCATAGCCAACTTGAAGCGTTCCGGCCTTGATTCGAGCCGTCAGAAGCTACATCGACTTTTGAAAGTCCTTGGTAGTTGGAGATATCGATGAAGATTGAAATCAACGTAGACGAGTTCACGATTCCAGAGTAGTGTCACGAGCAGAGCCACCAGAAGCGATGGCTCATAGTTACCGCTGGCCGGTCACCGTCACAGGGCTTTCACTCGCCCATTCCCAGAAGCCAGCCTTTTATCCCTTTGTTGGAGAATTCGCCGTACCCCCTCCGAGTTAGAGCATGCACAGCAGTCTGCCGATCTCTCGTCGCCCCGAGGAGGCCTGGACCTCACCCAGGCTGGGTACCAGTCCCACTAACGAGGCGGCTGTGTGCGTTGGAACGCGTGGTACAGCATGTGTCCGCACCTGACTGATCGAGATCGTCAGTGGAATGCGGAAGGAGTATGGTCGTGTCGCATTCGCGAAATGTTCTCTAGTACCCTAATCAAGCCATGGCTGAAGGTCGTTGAGAACGATGGTGAACAAGGAGGCCTATAGAGACTGAACAGTTGAATGGGCAGAGAATTGACAGCGTAATAGACTGCAGATAAACGCCAAAACGCCTTCGATATCCTTAGAGATGGTCAAGAGACGACAACCAGAAGAAATTGGGCAGGTGTAGGCTCAGTGTGACATGTGACTTGACGTTGTCATCCTCGCCTACTTACTACCGTCAACTACTTTCGCTTATTCAATAGCGTCATCATGTCGGAGGACGATCCTTCAGGCGTGACTACCTGTCGCTTGGTTGAGGAAGGGACACCTTGAGAGGCGGGATGCAATCATCTCAGGTCTAAGTTACACGCACCTGCATACATGTGCGCTTGGGGGCATACATCACAGCGTTCACATTCATTCAGATGAAAAGAGCATCCATATGTCTCATACGATCTACGTCAGCATTCAACACTCAAACGGGATGCACCCGGCCTGAGTCTGCAGACCTACTGCATGCCGATTCACGTATTAGTAACATATGTTCTGTGTCTTGGGCATTTGTCATTGGGCTGCGGCATAAATGCTCGTGGCTCAATTACACCGAGCTATCATCCCAACAAGCCTCCCGATCCCCTCGAAATGTCTTACCCAACTTTCAACGCCGATACCACTGCCGAGGAGGTCGCAACAGCTTTCGCCGACCAGATCAAGGGCAAGAACGGTGTGTCCCTCATGAAGAGTTTGTTGGTGCGCCCATTGACCCCGGCGATTCCGCAGTGCTCATCACCGGAACATCTCTGAACGGGATCGGCTTTGAGGCGGCGCGCGTCATAGCCAAGTATGCCCATCTCGTCATCATCACAGGATACAGCAAGGAGCGGTGAGCGGGGCTTGACCTGTGGTAAGCAGCATTGGGCGCTGAGCATGGTATTGCAGATTGGAGCTTACGCGAGCTGCATTGGAGAAGGAGAGCCCCCAGGCTGAGATCCGGCCACTGGTTCTCGATCTCGCGTCTCTCAAGGACGTGCGGAGGGCAGCCGCCGAGGTGAACGCGTACGTCGAGCCCATCCACGTCCTGGTCAACAACGCTGCCGCCGCCATCGGCGGATTCAAGCTCACCAAGGACGGCTTTGAGAGCCAAATCGGCACGGACCACATCGGCCCGTTCCTCTTCACGTCGCTTATCGCGCCAAAGATCCTCGCCGCACGCACGGCAACGTTCACCCCGCGCGTGGTCTTCGTCTCGAGTTCTGCACACACTTACCAGGCGTTGGATCCCGAGAAGCTTGCCAAACCCGATCCGGAGTCATACGCCCCGGTCAACGCGTACTCCAATGCCAAGACGGCGAACGTGCTCACTGCGGCCGAAATCTCGAGGCGGTCCAAGGGGCAGATCAAGGGATACAGTCTGCATCCCGGATGTGAGTGCGCTGTGAATGTGCATATAATTCCGTCATTGAGTATGCCTTTTCACCCCAGTTATCTTCACCAACATCAATCAGAAAGAGGAAACCATTGTATTGGGGAAACAGGCAGGCATCCTCCTCCCCGACGGCACGCCCAACCACGAGGCCGTGCCGTGGAAGTCGATTCCGGCGGGCGCTGCGACGACTGTGACCGCTGCGTTCGACCCGCGCCTAGAGAGCGTTCCGGGCGCGTATCTCGAGGATTGCGTTGCCGCGAACGAGAAGATTGCGCCGCACGCTGCTGATCCTGTGAGCCGCGTTGTTCTCCTGTCAGGTCTATTGCCAGCTCACGATCGATGCCAGGACGTTGCTGCAAAGCTGTGGGAGATCACAGAAGGGCTCGTCGGTGTCAAGTTCAACTTTTGAAGATGCCATACTCAAGTATCTAGATTACTTTTCGCAGTTGTGTCAGTCAGTACGAACGATAATGTCGCTCGTGGGGCTTCTTCTTACCAGTGATTTGGCCATTCGAACCCCTCCAGAAACATTAGTGCTTACTCAATATGTAGAATGGCGATGCGGGACGGACGATGCCCAACAAAACGAGGCAGACATTGCGCAGTCGTCTCGCTGATCGTCTCCATACTGTTCGAGAGAGACAAAGGATTGAACACTATCGGGAGATGGCTCTGGCCCATGTTGCTCCCGATCGACATTGTGGTGCTAGTGAGAGCACTCTCAGAGTGTTCATTGAGTCTTGTGAGTTTACTGCAGCCCCTAACAAATATGAGCTAGCAGAGCCCTCCGCCAGACATCCATCTCCCGCGGAAAGGCACCGGAAAGGCGCCAATCTCCCCAACCAATCAAGCTAGAGTCCAAACGCTGCAGGTGTACGGTAACACGCAAGATATAGCTTTCGCTCGCATCCGACTTGATTAAGCCCTTCTGTTCAAGTTCAAGGCATTGGATTCAAGCCGATTTTACGGAACTCAGTGCAGGAGATTGGGCGAGAACGAGGTGGCCGCCATATGCATAGTAGTCTGCAGAAGCAAAATTGTGTGGCCAGGTTTCGTCAGGGATGTGGTCTCACCTTGAGTTTCACAAGAAAGAGAGAGGGACAGCTGAGGCGGACACGACGCGAAACGAGGACGCACCACACTGGTCTTACATCTCAGAAAAGCCTAGTCAAGCGACGACTGAGGCCGTACATAAGTAATAGTGGTCGAGATCGCGTCATGTGGGGGTATGTAGAGCTAGAGCATCGGAGTGAACAGTAATTCGAAAGAGCCAGTCCCTATGATTGCGTGACGAAACGCGTCTGATGACCTTGAAGTTGGTCAAGACGTACACGACGAGAAGGCACGTGAGCGTGTGCTAAGTGTGACACGTGACAGTGCATCACTCGGCTCTCGACCAGTACGCTCAGAATCAACTATGCTATCGCTCAGTACTGTCGCCGTGCTACAAGACACGGGCTGCCCGAGGTACTCCAGATGTTAATTCCGGTCGCATGGTTGGTGCACTTTGGGAAGAGGCGGGCAGCGATCATCCAAGTCTGCATACCGTCTTCTTTTGGCCGCTTGCATCACGGCGTTCAGAACAGTTCTAGACAAGATGCGTCCGTCTCATACGATCTACATCAGCACTGCGCGGCGAATGGGCAACACCCGGCTTGGTTTCGCAGACCTATCGCCCGCCGACCTGGTATTGGTAACACGCATATCCCGGTCAAGGTCGGAGAAGCGTGGTCATCAATATCCTCAGTCACCCAACACATAGACCGGGATTACCTGTCTCTCTCGGGCATCGGCCATTGAACTTTGGTATAAATCCTCGCAGCTTGAGAACATTGAGCTATCAGCCCAACAAGCCTCCAAATCCACTACAGATGTCTTACCCAACTTTCAACGCCGATACCACTGCCCAGGAGGTCGCTACAGCTTTTGCCGATCAGATCAAGGGCAAGAATGGTGTGTCTCTCCAGAAGAGCTTGTTGGCGCATCCAATGACCTCAGCGATTCCGCAGTGCTTATCACTGGAACGTCCCTGAACGGGATCGGCTTTGAGGCGGCGCGGGTCATAGCCAAGTATGCCCATCTCGTCATCATCACCGGATACAGCAAGGAGCGGTGAGTGTAGCTTGACCTGTGACAGCCAGCGGCATCGGGCGCTGAGCATGGTATCGCAGATTGGAGCTTACGCGAGCTGCATTGGAGAAGGAGAGCCCCCAGGCTGAGATCCGGCCACTGGTTCTCGATCTCGCATCGCTGAAGGACGTGCGCAGGGCAGCCGCCGAGGTCAACTTCTACGCCGAGCCCATCCACGTCCTGGTCAACAACGCTGCCGCCGCGATTGGCGGATTCAAGCTCACCGCGGACGGCTTCGAGAGCCAAATCGGCACGGACCACATCGGTCCGTTCCTCTTCACGGCCCTCATCACGCCGAAGATCCTTGCCGCGCGCACCGCGACGTTCACCCCGCGTGTGGTCTTCGTCTCAAGCACCGTGCACACTTACTTTCCGTTGAATCTGGAGACGTTGGCCAAACCCGATCCAGAGTCGTACGCCCCGATAAATGCGTACGCCCAAGCCAAGGTGGCGAACGTGCTCACCGCGGCCGAGATTTCGCGGCGGTCCAAGGGGCAGATCAACGCGTACAGTCTCCATCCCGGAGGTGAGTTGCGTAACTGTGTATATGCCCGCCGGTCCCGGCACTGAGCACGTCCTTTCACCCTAGTTATCTTCACCAACATCAATCAGAAGAAGGAAGCGATCGCAATGGGGAAGGAGGTGGGCATCCTCCACCCCGACGGCACGCCCAACCACGAGGCCGCGCCGTGGAAGTCGATTCCTGCGGGTGCTGCGACGACTGTGACCGCCGCGTTTGACCCGCGCCTGGAGAGCGTTCCGGGTGCATATCTCGACGATTGCGTTGTTGCGAACGAGAAGATTGCGGCTCATGCTGCGGATCCTGTGAGTCGCGCTGTTCTGCTGTGAGAGAGAGATCGGCAACTCACGATCGAGGCCAGGACGTTGCTGCAAAGCTGTGGGAGATCACGGAAGGGCTCGTCGGTGTCAAGTTCAAATTTTGAAGATGTCACACGTATCTAGATTACATTTCGCAACGGTGTCACAGTCACTGCATCTAACCCCCCTTAATCAGGGCTCTTGCCATATATGGTTAGGTCTAGGCTACTCTGGATAGCCACAGCCGCACACGTGTAGCCTAGACCCTTATGTCATATATTGTTACCTATTGTTACCTCACAGATACCTGTCATAGCCAGACTCTGTCTACCTCCGCGCGGCAATTGAACATTGATGGCGGACACAAGGTTGATGAATGATCACATCATTCTGATGAACCCGGCAACAATTAGGGAACGCTTGGACATCGCCTTCATGAGTTTGGGGACCATTAGGACTCAAAACTAAATCATCTATGGCTACCTAGAGTAGCCAGAGGGTAGCCATATGTCAGATCCAGGGATAGCCAGACCCCCCTGGCTAACTGCGGCTACAGACCCCCTGGCTACTACCCCCTTAGATGCAGTGAGTCAGCATGAACGATGAAGTACTATTATTAGTGATTCGATCATCCAATCCCACCGAGAAACAGCAGTGCTTTCTTAACAGAACGACCATCCGGCGCAAACGACACGCAACAAGACGAGGCCTACTGTAGGTAAGTACCAGTACACATCACATTACAGTTTTGACTGATTCTGGCAAGTATAAGGGAGAACGGATGGCTGACATGGGTTTTCTTGGAGAAAATGGCCCTTGCGACATCTCAATGATCTCATGCATTTTCAGAAGCTGTCAGCTGATGGCTCAAGGCGGTTCGTATCCTCGAGAAGGTGCCAGCTCTGTCAGACCGGCTTACGTGAGGCACGTGATATGCAATATCGTTGGGCGGATAGCGTTGAGTAGTGCAACTCAAACCGCCACCTCTGAGCTCTCCAAATTTTAATCAAAGCCACTCAGGGTCTTGAATGCGCCGACAGCTCTCCGATGAGACCCGTGGGGACATATTTCAGCTGTCTCTCCTCTCTGTTGCTTGCAAACCAAACCAAGTACTAAGCAATTCCCGATTTGCCTCGGGAAAACGCCATTCGTCTCCAATGCTCCAGATCATTTCCCAGAAGTCAATGCGACATCCTTTCGCACTCTGCTTGATAATCCAACTGGAGGTATAAAGTGGGGCGGGGTCGGGCTGGCTATCGGCAGAACATCCCACTGTTGGCCATGGCAGGAACTTCATATCCCACTTTCACCTTCGACACCACCGCCGAGGAAGTCGCGACCGCGTTCGCGGACGAGATCAGAGGCAAGAGCGGTGCGTTCGTTGTCTTGAGGAACACAGCAGCGCACTGATTCCTGTTGGCCTATAATGCAGTCCTCATCACAGGAACTTCGATCAACGGAATCGGGTTCGAGACTGCGCGTGTTATCGCTAGACACGCGAATCTGGTCATTATAACCGGCTACAATCAGGAGCGGTGAGTCGTCCTCGGCTTTGTGAACGGAACACTAGACTGAGTACCGCGTTGCGCAGACTGGAGCTTGCGCGAGCTGAACTGGAGAAGGAGAGCCCCAAGGCTGAGATCCGGCCACTGGTTCTCGACCTCTCGTCGCTCAAGGATGTGCGCCGAGCGGCCGCCGAGGTCAATACTTACGCCGAGCCCATCCACATCCTAATCAACAACGCGGCCGCTGCCATCAGCAGTTTCAAGCTCACCGTGGACGGCTTCGAGAGCCAAATCGGCACGGACCACATCGGTCCATTCCTCTTCACATCGCTTATCGCGCCAAAGATCCACGCCGCGCGCACCGCGACGTTCACCCCACGCGTGGTGTTCGTCTCGAGTTCCGCGCACAGGTACCAGGGGGTGAATCTGGAGACACTGGACAAACCCGATCCTAAATCTTACGACCCAATGAACGTATATTCTCAAGCCAAGACTGCGAATGTGCTCACTGCGGCAGAGATCTCGCGGCGGTCCAAGGGGCAGATCAACGGGTACAGTCTGCATCCCGGAGGTGAGCGATCTCATCAGCCAGTCATATGGCACGACTGACGCCGTCCAGTGATCCTCACAAACATGAGCGGGAAGGAAGAGATCAAAGACATCCAGAAGGAGCTGGGGATCCTCCGCCCCGACGGCACGCCCAACCTCGATATGATGAAGTGGAAGACGATTCCGCAGGGCGCCGCGACCACCGTCACCGCCGCATTCGATCCGCGGTTGGACAGTCTCCCTGGTGCTTACCTGGATGACTCCACCGTCGCGAACGACACGGTTGCGCCGCACGCGTCTGATCCTGTGAGTTGTTTGGTCTCACCCTTGTGTGCGCGGCCCGCTCACAGTCGAATGTCAGGCGATCGCAGCGAAGTTGTGGGATGCCACGGAGGCGCTCGTCGGTGTGAAATTCCTGGTCTAAACTTCTACATAGTCGATTCGGACGATAAATTGTACCTTGGACTCTCATCCACGTGTATCACACTCGGTAAACCCCTTGAATGAATCCAATCACAGTTTAAGGATGCTTATTGCTGCCCTGGAAGATTGTCTCTCCTGTGCGATTGGTGATGGGAAGTTACAAGTCAATCAAGCCACGGATTAATTGCCCAGCTATAACGCGTTGCCAGAAACTCCTGATATCACATGATCGTGTTTAATCGACACTGTAAGTTCAAACAAGTGTTGAAGTGTCGCTCTCGCGGTGAAGGCAATAATACCATGTGGGGAGCTGATGTCCACATCCGGCTCAGAGTTGGAGCGGCGACTCAGAGATAGGGCGCACAAGCACTGCACAAGGTGGATGCGATCGGGCCAAGGAGTAACGCGCTCAGAGTATTTGCAATGGACGTTTTTACGGCTATCGCGCATGTCTGCGGACCATTGGCATTCCCATGGCGCTCGATGACCACTGACGGCGCCCGTGAAATATCGCTTAAAGCGGGAGACTTCTGTATGGAGTTGAAATTGCCGCTGCTCGTCACGGGAAAGCTCATCTAGTCTTCTGTTGCCAACCAGCGCTTCAATGCCATCAGGCCACAAATCAATCTGGAGTGATAATTTGGAGCTCTCCGGGGTTCTTTGCGCAAATAAGTGGTTTTTTCCCCTCCCGATCGGTACTCCCATGTTTCTTCCATGGTCTTCAACCTGCCCAAAACATTGTGGCATTTGAAAATCAATGGAATAGTTGCTAGTGAGCCACTCATACGGATTTGACCTGTAGCATAGCACATTTCTCTCCAGTTTCACCATTCAACGGAAATAAGGTTTGCGCCAGCCGCGTAACAGTCTTGCTCCCTGGCGGAATGCCAAATTTGAATTTGCTAAGAAGTTCGCAGAGGATGATTTGCATTTCCATGACGCTGGAGGAATGGTTCGAGCATGTAAAAGGGCAGACAGGGGACAACCCACGCAAAACGCCAGCTGGATACCGAGTCAGGTTCCTTTGCTGGGGGTAAAACAAAAAAGCGAAACTCACCCAACACAGGTTCGTGCTCCGCTTATGAAGCTCATTCTACACAGTGTAAGATGCGCGTCGTTGATCTGGAATTCCGGGTGCTCACAGATTTGCGTAAGGGCCAATGACGTCGCTGGTCTGGACCGAGCCTCCCTCCAACCATCGCATTGGGTTGAACTCCATCGCGTCTGATCCCCATCGAGACGCCATCCTACCGAGATCAATGCGGCTGAAACTTGCCGGCTCAAATACAACACCACCTTTGGTACGAGGCAATGCCCATGGTCACAACTTGCCCCTTCCGAACAGGGATGCAGTCGATCGTCCGCCCATGGCGGTCCAGAACCGGCTCCGAAAGAGGGATGATGTCGTCTGCATACGCAACCCGGTCCGTGACAGGTTCCGCGGGGAACATCCGCAGCGCCTCTTTGATGACGGCATTGAGCAGCGGGAGCTGGTTGTAGTGCTGCGCTGGCGCGCGAGCCTGAATTTCCGTGCGGAGCTGATCTTGGAGGGCGGGATTGCGGGCCAGTTCAATGAGACATAAGGCCAGGGTGTTTGCCTTGGGTATCCGTGGTTAGGTGCATGGACAATGTAAATGGAAGATCCACTGACGGTTGTGTCCTGACCAGCCACAAGAAGGACGGACGTTTGAGCGATCAGTTCCTCGGTATCCAGCTTTTTGGTCCCCGCGCCGCCCGCTTTGCCTGACACTACAAGAGTCTGAGGGGAAGGACAAATCCCGGACGCGAGGACGCACAAAGTAGATCATACACATCCCCGGTTCCTTGGTCCTCGCCCGATGCTTGAACGCGCAACTTGTTCTCGACAACAGCCCGTCCGAGAGCGAGACCGAGGTCTCGGCCTTGCGTCACTGGGTGCCACCCTGCTACTCGAAAGTGCAACAGCTTGTAGAGCAGGCGTCGAGGGATGTACTTGGTCAGTAAATCAGTCGATAAAAGGTCTCTTTTCGAAGTTCTTGCCGCCGTACGACTAGAACCATTGGGTTCAATTGTTCGTAATCATAAATGGGGCTCACAGAAGCTTGGTATTGAGTTGAATGAAACCGGGGTCAAGCTCTTCGACAGGGCGACTGAGCAAAGCTGTCATGAAATCGGTTATACACACTGTGTAGTGTCGGTGAACAAGATACCAAGTGAGATGGCAGATAATGTCGCATCCGAGAGCATGTCCGCGAGATCGATAGTATCAGTGGTGCTCGAGTCAATTCTTTCGGAAATCTGTGTCATGTGGAACGCTTTACTATTTGGGTCGGGGGCAGCAAGATACGGAACGTACCCCTGCAGCAACCCTCTCAAATATTGTTTCGTAGCTCTGAACAACGGAGGCTGTGAAGCCGCCGTTGGGCGCCCCTCGTAAATGACGATGCTCAGGTCCCGCAGCTGGACAAATTCGCGTGAATTCTTCTGCTCACTCAAGCGGAAGTAGGTTGCTGTCGCTCACCTCTGACACTCTGCACGCTCTGCAATCCAAAAGTCATGGTCGCCGTCATTGAAAGGGGAGGCCCTTGGTCCCACTTCGGACTGCTGAACACGTGATGCATCGCTACCGGGTCCGCAATGACGATTTGGGTGCGCTATCAGTAGCAGATAGTCAGCTCACAGCCGCCTCCAGATCTATACTCTCTCGTGAACACGCACTCCCAAACAGGCCCGGATTTGGTACACGCTTCCGAATCGCTTGAGCCAGGTAAACTCGTACTTGCCATATTCCGGGGCGAGGAGAAGTTCGGCCAAGTTCCCTACGCGGGACAATTAGCTACCGGGGCAACGGCTTTGAGAGACAGAGCCCACCATAAAACCACGACGAGGACTCTGGACCTGGCAAATCCGGGATAGGATCTCCTTTAGGTCTCAGAAAATAGTAGAGTGCGATGGGCAAGACTGAGATCGCCACTTGAAGGAGGAAATGCATGGGTCCAGATTGAAACAACAGGGGGGCTCGACGTTTGCTCTTATATTGCCCAGGGCCCGATTACAAGCCGACCCGTGCCGTTGGAAACTTGAGAGAACATCTCTTAGCTATAGACATGAGAAGAATGCATCGCCGCCAGAGGTTCGGTATCGAATCGACGGCGCGGAGGGTGCTGTGGGGCTGCCATGGGAAGTGTTATTTTTGTCGCGCCAGACCCACGAGTCGACATGATTGGAGCGGCATCGAGAGAGAGCCTTGAAAATTTCAACGAGTTCGTAATCACCTCCGGAATTGACACAGGGAAAGAATTGTGTACGCAGCCTTGCCCGATGAAACGACAGGACATGTCACGTGCCATGTTGAAGTTTTCCACATCCAACCACTAGGGACACGATGATTGTCTTCGTGTGCTTCTCCTCTCTGCCGTGGGGCTTTGAGCGGGTCTCTCATCCGAGCGATTTCACACCGGATCAAACAGTCGTCGAATCGGTCTGAGCTGCTCTCAGCTTGTTCTCCAAGATCATGGCGCAGCTCCCACATCCCTGAAAGAACTGGGCCCTGTGACTCGCACTCCCGGTCTCAAGAATCTGCATTGGTCTTCGCGCATGCCGATCAGGGGGATGATCGGATTGTTTCAGGCAGCTAGGATTGTCCGGAACCAATGTCTCCGTGATATCCTTCACCCTGTTCAGAGATACGCACCCTTGGATTCTTCTGTCAGATACAAGTCGGATGAGGTCTTCGAAGAACACTGGCTCACTCGTCAGCAGTTTCGCCGTTCCTGAAACTTCCGCTACGAAATACTTCAACGTCTTGTCTTGTCGTACCAAATTCAATTGAGATGTTCTTCGAGAGAGAAAGATGTTTTGAGGTGTCTGCTCGCTAATCGTGCCGCCGCACGTGACGCGCGTGGTAATTTCGGTGGCAGTGTTCCTCGTGGACCGGTCGTCAATCGACCAGATTCGACCTGCCTACCCCCCTTTGCCCTTGAAGCTTGATGCTTAAAGACTGAAGTCAAATGGCTTTTAAAATTGTGCACCGGGCAGCCGCGAGCGCGGGTAGCTGCAATTGGAGTGTGCTATGTAGATCTGATCCGCACGCTCGCCAGCCCAATCCGAGGGAAAAACATAGGGATGGCCTGATTGTCTGATTCATGTGCAGCCCGACTCTCAGGACGCGTCAATCCTGGGAACGTTGCTTCTCTGCTCTGACGTGGAGTCAATTACACGATCCCTGCAAGGGGGCGGTTAAAACGGTTATGACGGCGAAAACGACGCGTGTTCTAGTAGTCCAGCGGCTCGTCTGCGAAGCTATTAAATGCACGGCACACACGTCTCTCGACTCATCTACCAGCCATGCGGTACTCCGCCCTCGACTTCTTGATCTCGCAGTGGAAGACCCAGGGGCCCGTAGTCACGACCGATCTCGTTGGGAAGACTGTCATCGTCATCGGAGCCAATACGGGCCTGGGATTCGAGGCGGCGAAACACTTCGCCCGGATGAACCCGGGGAAGCTCATTCTGGGATGTCGGAGTCAAGCCAGAGGCAGCGCAGCGCTCGAAAGTACTTGTCTTCCTCCCCACTTGCACATGGCATGCATGAGCTGATCGAGGCCATGGAGAGCTGAAGCAGGACACCGGTTGCGCTACTGCAGAGCTCTGGCTCGTCGATCTGGCTGACTTTGCGTCGGTGACCTCGTTTGCCGATCGATTCGAGCGAGAAGGCGCACGGCTCGACATCTTGGTCGAGAACGCCGGCGTCTCGACGGACAAGTACGAGGTGAGCAAAGACGGGTGGGAAACTTCGTGCGTGTTCTCCGTCGCATTATACTCCAGTCTGCCATCCTGACTTGGTCGAAGGATGCAAGTGAACGACCTTTCAACGCCCCTCCTCGCTCTCCGTTTGCTGCCTGTGATGGTCAAAACGGCGCAGGAACACGGAACCGTTCCCCGCATTGTGGTCGTTGCCAGCGAGGTCCACTACTGGGCCAAGATCTCCAAAGAGGTCGCGGAGAGCCCGTCCCCATTGTCCGTTCTGGGTGGGGTTGAGTACTGCTCCAGGTGCGTTGCGTAGCCGCACCTCGTTTCTGTCACCTCACTGCATCTCAAGTCCGAAGCGCATGTCGGATCGATACTTCATCACCAAACGTACGGATGTTGCTTTCCGCTCCGACCCGCGTCTGAACAACCTCCAGTCCTCAACGTCTTCTTCGTCCGGGCCTTCAACGACCGCTTGCCTTCCTCGACACCAGTCGTCATCGACACCGTCAACCCTGGCTTCTGCCACAGCGAGATTCTGCGCCACACCTCCGGTGCCGCAGCCGTGTTCATGCTGACTCTCATGAAGCTCCTGGTCGCACACAAGACCGAAGTGGGCAGCAGACAGCTTGTCTTCGCTGCGCTCGGTGGAGAGGGTGATGGCGGAGCCCTGCGTGGGGAGTACATCACTAACTCTGCTGTCCGCGAGGTCAGCGATTTCATTCTGACCCCGGAGGGCGCCAAGCTCCAAAACAGACTGTGGTATGTCGGAGTAGATACTCCAGGTTGTGCGACAAGCGCGTCTGACTGTAGTCTTTCAGGGACGACCTCCTCGACATCTTGAGCAAAGTGGATCCGAAAGTGACTGAAAGTGTTGGAATGTATCTCTCGTAGTTCGTTGACCGCTTATGAACGGTGTTTCCGTCTGTGTTCCAGCTCAAGAGTTAAGCTCCAGAGGAGTGTAGGATTTTGAGACGAGATGTGAAGCAAAGAAAAGACTCAAACGAGCCCGAATCGACAAAGCATAGTAAAAAATGAGTAACTCGCGAATTCCGAACGAACACTAATTGTTCGTGAGCTCCTCGCGATGAAATCTGTTCAGCCTCTGGGGCACGATTTTCATGTGCCACTGATCAGCATCCGCAGTCCAGCCCCACAACGCGTTGATCGTGAGGCCTTCATCGCTCAAGACCTGGTCCCACGAAACCTCCGGCTCCGGGTCACCACCACGCGGGCTGGCCCAGTCCAGATCCGCCCAGGGATCCCTCATTGGAACGAGTGTATCTCGCAGAGAGCCCTGCCGCCAGCGCGATTCCACCATTTTGCGGCAGAGGTCCTCGTCCCAACAACGGCTCTCCGTGCGATCGCGCTGTCCAATGAAGAGCTGCTCAATACCAGGCGCAAGTCGCCGGCCGGGGCCAAGCGTCAGCAAGCGATGCAAGGTGTCCAACAGCTCTGGACGGACACAGACACCAAAGTGCTGCAGCTCAGGTGCAGCATGGAGAGTCGCGGTGATGTCTGCGACCGAGGCGGGGAACAGCAGAACTGCGGTCTTTAACGGGAGCCCCGGATGTGTTTGCAGAAATTGGGACAGCTGGTTGTCTCGGCTTATGCAATAGATGGCTTCCAGTGCAGGCGCTCGAAAGTGGTTCAATAACCCGGCGTCGGTGGTCGCCACCCGTCGCAAATTCGGTGCGTCAATGATCTCCGCCTGTTCCACGATCGGACCGGGCACTGCCAGGAAGCATTCAACAAGGTTGGTAGAAGAGGACTTGAGGGCGGTCAGATGATGTTCCCAGCTCGTTCTTGCGCTATACACTGTCAGCCCAGGTGCATTAAGCCGCAGCCCTTCGCGGCACCCATCCGAGTTCCTCGACCAGCCGGTAGTGTCATGTATGTGGACTTCTTCGAGCTTGGGCGCGATCTCAAAGGCATCGATCGGTGGTCCGCCAGTGACTCGACCGCAGTCCAGGATCCAGGTGAGAGTGCGGAGATTGTCTACGTTTCCGCGGATCCTAGCAAGCAGTGACCCTCGCGGGTTGAACAGGTCCGTATCCACGACGATAGAGCCCCACCGATTCGACTGCGCCATGACGGTCTCCACCATGCGGGAGAAAAGCTCAAACCGCGAAAAGCCGTAGTAGGAGGACATCGGGACCTGCTGTCCACGCAAGACGACTTGGAGAGGGACAGAGGCGGCGCGCGAGAGCTGAAGCTCGAGGCGCAAGATGGGGGCACGCCTGAATCGCCAGCTTTGCTGCGAGTCGATGACGACTTCGTTCCACAGCAACGGCTGCGCCAGCGCGATGGCGCGCCACTGCCGCGACACTTGGCTCACAGTCCACGGCGGGTGGTCGCCGTACCTCTCAGAAGGATCCGCAGCGTAGGTGAAGATGATGGAAAGGACCTCGGTGGGCACGCGCCGCAGAACCGACATGGAGCCTCGAAACAGCAAGAGATCCTCGTCCAACGCCTCTCTGGCATCCGTCAAGCGTTCGTGCTCCTTGATGTGTTTGTTGATTAGGGAGGTCAGCTCCACAATCCGCGACATCAATCTCTTCCTGTGGGATTTCCCTGCTTCCAACGTTTCCTCGATGCACTGGATCTCGCTTGCCATGGGCGCTTGGTTGCTGGAGATGATATGCCGCACGTGAGACGAGTCGAAATCCTCGTATGGGTCAATGCATTGCGAGCAGGGACAGTCGTCGTCATAGTCAAGCTCAAGTTCGGACCCGTCCGATTCGCTTTCCGAACCTGCATCGGACGCAGCGCTCTGGGAGGCTTCAATATTGGAGGGGCAAGTAAGAGGTGAGTTTTCACGGAAAGATATGCCTGACTCCATTGCGGGTGCTGGCGTGAAAATTCCGCGCGCCGATGGTGTTAGTATGCCAGTGCAATCAAAGTCGGTGGAGGATTCATTTCGAGGAATTTTCAGACGCCAAGGTACACGTGACATAACGAGCTCATGATGAAACGTTGATTGAATCCAGATTGATCGGTTCACAGGACGCATCCATGGCTCGAAGAGGTCAGAGTTCAATGAAACCAAGTACAGACGCCTCATCGTGTACATAATGAGCGACTCGTGTCCAGTCAGTATGGATTTTGGGCGATCAGAAGCTGCGATCTCAGACAGTTTTTGACCGAATCCTTCACTTCATAGAAACGCCTCAGGATCTGCGCTCAGAGGTGGCCCCGGAAGGATTCTCTGCCGTATCTGAGATGAAGCTCCACCAACTAGCTGATAACCAACATCCCCGGGTCACCCGCCGAACACAAGAGACTTGACCAGAGCACCTGCCTCCACTTCCTTGGGACTAATGCTGAGAGAAGTCACATCTGGTGCGGGCCGAAACTGTCTAAGGATGGGGTAGACTGGAGGTGTCACGGCGGAAGCCCTGGTTTTCATCCATGCGAAGCACCGGGACGCTAGGTACTGTTGCAAGATCCGATGACCAAGTCTACTGCTGGCATGAGTCGAGATCTCTTATAATACAGACGCGGGGTCAGATCCAATGAAGATGGAGACATCGCCACAGAGAGAGCAATTCTCCGGATAAGGCTAGGTCTCCGACGGCCAATACACGCAGAATGAGAAGGTTCCCTCCCAGACAAAAGATTAGGAAACAGATTCTCATGCTCAAGCACTCGTTCGGCCAGCTCTGGTCGTCCGCCAGTGCCTCGAAACCGATGCATGATGGAAGTTTTCCGGGGCACTGGAGCCAAGTTTGCAGTGTGAGTGCCATGGGGTGGTTGCAGAGACAGCACATGGTTATGAACTGCAGATCCATGTGCACCTCCAAGCGGGTCCACAAGGAGGTCATGTTCCGACGCGATTGTGTGTGCCCACGGTGAAACACTTAGAAGAAGGTTCAGACGCTTCTATCTCATGCTCTTCCCCAGGTTGAATAAGCATTGAGGAGAGTAGCAGAGTAAACGCGACGCAGAGTGTCTCTGCGGAAAAGAGATGCCTCAACGCCACCAGATATCATCGTCCAGCTCGTCAATCTCCGCATGCATGTCGTCCAAATGGTTTTTCAATCCCCCTATGCGCCCCTGGTGCCGACTTCGGCGCTCGTGGTGTTTGTGCTGATCATGCTGGGCACGGACGAAGCTTCGCTCGGCGCCCGATTCATCCATAGCAAGTCGAAGGAAGAAGGACGCAGACAGTGGCTTGAAACATCATGCTGAGGGAACACGAGTTGTGCGGTCGCTGCGCGTACGCGACGACCAGATGATATCAGGAAGCAAGCAAGTCATAAAACAGGCATACGGTAGTGGTTGCTTCTGTTGATCTACCATGGCTTCTCTCCAGGTCTCAACGCTGCCGCCTCGCATATTGTTCGAGCGTCTTCATCGCGCTCTCCAATCTTCAGGGTTAAGTCTCTCAGCATGAGGGCTGAAAAATGTCAAATGCGTGTTCTGAAACAGAAGGGTACTAGAGCACCATGCGATACGACTTCGACTGATAACATACGCATCTCGGAGGCAATGGGGTGCATACCGCACGGCTCGCAACCGGACCCCGGCTGTAAACGGTCGTGAAAGCATCGTGATTCTTTGAACGTGCGCCCCCGAATCTCGCTCCCAGCAACTATAAAATCGATTGCCACAGGAACCCGATCTCAGTTTCCTTCAATGGCATTCCGCACGCTCGTCCTCGCTGCCCTCGTTTCCCTCGCACTCGCTGCGCCCAGCACAAAGACCAAGATTGTGCTGACGAACGACGACGGTCTGTGCGGGCGTGCCCTGCTCTCGAGTCCCGCTGATCTTTCCTAGGATGGGCGGTTGCCAATATCCGTGCCCAATACGACGCGCTCACCACTGCTGGCTACGATGTACGCGCAGTGGCCTGGATCAGCTTGTCTGGGTTTTACATCATGTATAGGTCATCCTTTCTGCGCCGTCGATCAACCGCTCCGGCACTGGATCCTCGTCCAAGACGCCCACGCCCCTGACGTCCCCTTGCGAATTTAACTCGTGCCCGACTGGATCCCCTGCCGAAGGGTCTGACCCGACGAACCCGAGACTGAACTACGTCAACTCGTACCCCGTCGACGCTGTGACCTACGGAATCACCAACCTGTCGCAGAGTTTGTTCTCAGGACCGCCCGATTTCGTTGTCAGCGGCCCCAACGTCGGGTACAACCTGGGCATCCAGGTCCCGTTCTCGGGTACCGTGTGCGTCGTCTCGAACCGTAGTACAATTCGTGTCGTCTCAAAGTTTTTTTTGCGTATAGTGGAGCCGCCTCGGCAGCCGTCCGCGCGGGCATCCCCGCAGTTGCCTTCTCCGCCAGCACCGGCAGCGAAATCTCGTACACCACACTCACTTCCGACCCGACCTCGGCTGACTCGCAAGCCGCCCTGATCTACTCCCAAGTGACGACCCAGTTCGTCAACGCACTCATTTCCACCGGCAAGCCGTACCTCCCGACCGGCCTGTCCCTCAACGTCAACTACCCCCCGATCTCATCCAGCGGCTGCGCCTCGGCCGCGGACTTCAAGTTCGTGCTGAGCCGCGTCGACTGGAACCCGTTCGCCACGGACGTCAATACTTGCGGATCCACCCACCTGCCCACCGAGTCGACTGTCACCGGAACCAGCGGTTGCTTTGCCAGCGTCAGTGTCTTCGACGCTACCAACGGCTTGAAGCTTGACGGCAATGCTTCTGAGCAAGCTGCTGTGTTGCAGAAGCTTGGATCGATCCTCACTTGCCTTCCCTAGACAGTTCGATGTGTAGATGCTTCCCTAGTTGTCATCGAATCGGACAGTTTGATGTCGACTGGTCCAGTGCCATGCCACCCACAATCCAAGCAGAAGAAGCGCCTCGCCTGCACGGCGATTCGGCGAACTGGTACCATCTGTACCGAATCACAGATGATGTTGCGCAGGTAACAACAGACTGGACCAGGCGAATGTCATTCATGCCGCGAATTCCCACGCAACGTGAAACAGAGGCTGGAACCCGGATTCCCAGCAACGCAGGTTGAATGTCATAAGAACGATGAGGCCCATAGGACGGAAAGGACGACGGCTGTATGACACAGTTGCACAGGTGTACGGTAAGGTAGCTTCGAGGCCGGTATCCTGGGGTGACAGGAGAGAATGGTGATTGTAGATTGCTTCTGGAACCTGTCTTGTCCGGGTCTAGGTTGCAGAACGTAGAGAGGCTCGAAATCTTTGGTGGATCCAGTGCGCTCTTGGAGGCTTTTACGGAATTTCAGCGTGTACCAGCAAGTAACTGCAGGGGGGCCATTCATGGAGAGCAAGAGTGTGTGCACTTCATAATCGTCACGGTTCGATGTTTCCTCGATATCAATGTGCCCCTTGCCACCATCCAACGGCTTGGAGATGAGACGGTCTTGTCATAAGATCGCAGAGCAGGACACGCAACCTTGCGCCATTGACCTAGGGGGCTGGAGCCGGCTTTGCGGCGATTCGACCACAAGATTTCGCGACACCGGATTCCGGCAAAGCCGAAATAGCAGCAGATATGACAATGAAAACCCAGTGATGTGGAAGTGGCTAGCAAGACTACCGTTGGCCGGAAAACGGGAGCCAAAACTTGCTAGAACGCATAGACTAGTCGACAGTAATGAGGGGAATGTGCATCGAGGCGATCAAAGGCGTCTCAGGAGCCCCTCGTATTGGCCCCATGAATGCTCATCGAGAAAGACATCTAGGCTGCGATTCGAAGAACGTTGCGCCAGCGCAGATCGGAATTCTGCACCGTCAGAGCTCACTGGGCCGCTTTTCACATGGCCAATCACCTCATCCGATGCCTCCTCTGGTTGTGGTTTCTGCGAGGCATCGAGATTCGAGGTCCTAAGATACCAGTCCGTTTGCAGCAGGATTCGCCAGGCAGTGACCCGGGTGTAGCAGCGGCAGTAAGATAGCGCGAAGGCGCGGCGGTGGAGATTCGACGCGTGGACGAAAGTTCTGCGTTCATTGAAGACCTCACTGAAGCTGGAGGAGAACAAAGACTTCAAGAGCCGAGATTTCCTTTCACGGAACTGCCGCACCGCCACCACAGTCCTTCACTTCCCAACTCAGATGGTGGATGGCACGCAATCCGATACATGTACCCTCTCAGTCAGAAACGTCCCTGCAGATCCTCTATACCGTTTCTGCTACCTCCTCAGACTGCAATCCCTCAGACTGCGAGATCTGGCGGATCAGAAGCGTCGTTTCACCCACCCACGGAGAGTCCAACTCGCCGAACTAACATCGCGAATCGCACCGCTGACACCGTGCAGTCTGAACTTGGCGCAGCTCCTCGATGACGCAGAGTCCTTATCTGCCCCCTTCTTGGCGCGCAAGGGTGCGTAACAGCGCGCGCGTCCGCCACCTGCCTCCCGGGATCATGTCTCTGATATTACCCGCGTGCCCGATGAGATGGATGAGGATGAGAACGATCTGCACTCTATGATAAGGCGCACAACAAATCCCGCGTCGTGGACCGTCGGGCAAGTCTGTCGTCGATGGCGGGAGACTAGTGGCGTGTCGCAGGCGGCTTCCAGCTGATTCTGGATCCACGTACATGGACATCTACCCCATCTGCTGTGACCCCAGATTGAACGCCACATTTCTCAGGCTGTACCGCCCAGTGGAAGCGTTCGGGGACGTTCTACTGCGTGTCGCTCTCTACGCATCAGAAGCTCCCCAGTGGTAAGACGCATCTCTTCCCCAGGCTCTCCCGTAACCGCAAAAGATGGTCAGCATCTGGAACTGGTAGAAAATCTGAAGCAATCAATAAGACACCTTTGCGCCCATTCGCCGTGCCTAACTTGCTCCGCCCTCTCTGCGACTGGGTCTTCTCGTTTTTGGACAACAGCTGATTCCAATTTGATAACGTCCGTTGGCTGCGAGGTATCGAATGAGATGCCCGGCTTCGAAGGCTCACGATGCCTGTGAGTCTCACGCGTCTTTATTTTGCCTTCTAGCCTTTGCCATCACGGATGAATCCTAAGCTCGTTCGGCCGCGACGTGGCTTGAACTCGTTCAACGAGTCCTATTCACGATGCCGGGGGCTCTTACCATCCTTCCGAGGCTACCCTCCTCCGTCTATGTCTCATGGACGTTCACATCTTTCGTCATGACAGGAAATGGCACCGGTAACTGAGTAAGCAGTTTCTTGACTAAACACCACCGGCACTATGTGGCATGCATTATCTGCGTCCAGCGTCTGGACAGTCAAAAACACTCGTTTCTCTGGGCTCTTCGCTCTCCGGAGTATCCTGCATGCGGCGTTCCACACCGCAGACCCCGATCGCCGGAGTTGTATCTCTCGTCCCTCTTCAAGCTTACCCCGCTCCTCTGACACTCGGATCCGCACTCCACCCTCGGCAAGAGACAGGCGAGACGGGACCCGCCGCCAAGGTCTCGCGTGGTTGGAAGAACAGAACACCATGGGCCAATTAGCCTCTTCCGCCCGGGGGGCATCTTCTCGACAAGTGAACGCTGTACCCGGCTGCGGAATGCGCCGCAATCTCCGGGGCTCTCCGGGGTTATCCGTGTCCGTCTCGCGGACAGCGCATCTTGCCAAGATCCCGAGGCCCACGCAGATCGCCCATGGCATGGTTCGAGCAGCGGGGCATGGTGATCGACATGATTGGGTTCTACGCCGCTGATGCGCAAGTCACACCTACCCACTCCTTGTCATCTCGTCCGACGCGCTGATCCTGGAATCTTCCGCGCTGCTCGACATCTCCTCGTGCGCCAATCATCGAGGCGACCTTCTCGCGCGATTCCCTCGGACCGTGGGCAGGGAACCAGTCGGAACCCGTCATGGGTCGGCGGTATCTCCAGCTTGTGTCCAGAGGTATCCCCGCGTCATCGCTCAAGCGCTCTAAGACCGCGACAGCCCGTCGCAGCGATGACGCACTTGAGCGATAGGCGAACGTCACTCCCCCGGCCATCCATATGGGGGCTCGCCGACGCACATCGCGATCTCGATGAATCTCCCTCAGCTGAATTCCATCTGGCCCATTTCAAATCTGTTCTGATTGTCGAACCGGGCTGATTCGTGTCTCGTGGCCACGAGGAGAGGACGGCACCCGATGATCGCACATAGAGGGAGCATATGCCAGTGGTGGGAAGGCACCGATAGTACACATTCAATTCTCATCAAGGATATCAGAAATAGACGCGCCAAATTCACACAACTGAAGAAGCAAAAGAAATCGCCATTCGTTTTCCGCCAACCAGCACAACGGCCACATGTACTCTACGTCAGGTGCTGCTGGACTAGTTTTTGGTTCCGCCGCCGCCACTGTCCACTGTAAGGACCGAAGGATTAAGAAAGATACAATAGCCAGTGGTTCTATGTCCTTACAGGAGGCAGTCGTCCACGCCGATCAACACCTTACGAGGTGAAGGAGGCAACGTGCTCCTCGACGACGGTCTTGATCTTGGCCTCGAGGTCACCGGTGATGTTGCCAGTGGCGATCTCAGTGAGGAGACCAGATTGCGTAGAGGTCAGGTGAGTACGGAACTCAGACTCCCACTTGGTGATCTTGTCGACCGGAACAGCATCAAGCTGGGGCAATCATTGGTCAACCGCCTCGACGATACGAACAACAGACACTCACAAGACCGTTGACACCGGCGTAGATGATGGGGACCTGGAGCTCCATGGCCATGGGCTGGTATTGACCTTGCTCTGCGAAAGCGTCAGAAACTGTCATCATGCAACCTTAGAACAGGTAACGCACTGAGCAGCTCAGTGAGACGGGCACCACGAGACAACAGGAAACGGGTGGAGGCATCGAGATCAGAACCGAATTGGGCGAAGGCAGCGACTTCACGGTACTGCGCAAGGTAAAGCTTGAGCGAACCGGCGAACTTTTTCATGATCTTGCTGTAATGACGTCAGAACATTAATAGTTGATACAGCATTGATCACGCACGTCTGGGCAGCAGAGCCGACACGGGACACGGAGAGACCGACGTTGATGGCGGGACGAACACCACGGAAGAAGAGCTCAGCCTCCAAGAAGATCTGACCGTCAGTGATGGAAATGACCTGCACTACTGTTTAGACTCCTGAAAAAAATTGGCTGCTGAGCGGACGCACGTTGGTCGGGATGTAAGCAGACACATCACCACCCTGGGTCTCGATGATGGGCAGGGCAGTCAAACTTCCTCCACCGAACTTGTCGTTCATCTTCGCAGCACGCTCGAGGAGACGAGAGTGCAGGTAGAAGACATCACCGGGGTAAGCCTCACGACCGGGGGGACGACGAAGCAAGAGCGACATCTGACGGTAGGCAACAGCCTGCTTGGACAAGTCGTCGTAGATGATCAGAGCTGGACAAAAACGCGTCAGGTCATGGGAAACATATCATTAGAACACCACATACCGTGCTTGCCGTTGTCACGGAACCATTCACCCATGGCACAGCCAGAGAAAGGAGCAAGGTACTGCAGGGGAGCAGCCTCGCTGGCGGTGGCAGCGACGATGATAGAGTACTTCATGGCGTCGTTGGCCTCCAGGGTCTTGACGAGCTGGGCGACAGTCGAACGCTTCTGGCCGATAGCAACGTAGACACAGTAGAGCTTCTTGGTCTCATCCTGACCGTCGTTCCAGCGCTTCTGGTTGAGGATGGTGTCAATGGCGACGGCGGTCTTGCCGGTCTGACGGTCACCAATGATCAGCTCACGCTGACCGCGTCCAATGGGCACCATGGCGTCGATGGGCTTGATACCCGTCATCATGGGCTGGTTGACGGACCGACGGGGGAGAATCCCAGGGGCCTTGAGCGAGGCACGGCGACGCTCGGCAGCCTCAATGGGACCCTTGCCATCAATGGGGTCACCGAGAGCGTTGACGACACGTCCGAGCAGACCAGGGCCGACGGGAACGTCGACAATCTGGCCGGTACGCTTGACGGTGTCTCCCTCCTTGATGAGACGGTCGTTACCGAAGATGGAGACACCGACGTTGTCGGCTTCCAAGTTCAGACACATGCCACGGACACCGGAAGAGAATTCCACCATCTCTTCGGCTGTAGAAAATGCGGTCAACACATGCGGCGCTGGTGACGCGAAAAAAAGTGAGCGCACCCTGCACGTTCTTGAGACCCCAGACACGGCCAATACCGTCACCAACGCCTACAGGAATCAGCATACGGCCGCTTGAGGGGAGAAATGAAGCATACTCAGGACACGACCAGTCTCCTCGACATTTCCACCAACAGACGTGCCAGCGATGCGGGACTCAAGAATGGACGAGACCTCAGACGCAGCTAGAGAGGGGCGCAACCGAAGGGTCAGAAAGAGAGAAAGCAGAACAGTTGAAGGCAGAACTAACCGGCCTTTGCGGTTGCGTATGAGCGGGCAACGGTGGGGTTGCTCTGCGACGTGGGAGTCAGCACTGCGCGACATTTCTGGCCACAGAGAAGCGACAGAACACACCTTCGATGCGGCGGCCAGCGCGTGGGCGCGCACCGAGTTTCTAAGTGCGATTCGGTGCATGGACGAAGGAGCGGGAAGACGGGAGGAGTTTGTGTAAAATCACAGCCGGCTTGATACGGTCAGAGGTTGTTGACTGTTTATTTATATGTGTCGCTTGATCTCGGAACACATGTGCTGCTTCCGATGCGTGTCAGAGTGCTTGTCCTTACAACCAATTTCGATGCCTCTCACTTCCGGACGATGTGCCGCGCGAGGCGCTGAATGCATACGACTTTTACGTAATGAATCGGCTTAGTCAAGCTTTCGACCATGGCTCAGTGCTTCCAATCACCCACTCTGAAGCCCATTGCGCGCCGGCCTCTCTGTGAGAAGCAAGTGCTCTGGGGCGGAGATATTTGGGCACTATGTCCGAGGACAGTACTCATATCCCCGCAGCTGTCATCGGCTTTGATCTGTGAAGGCGATTTTCGCTGTTGGCGTCCGAGACATTGTCAACAGAGCACACTCAAAGGGTGCGAATAAGTAAAAGTACAGTTCCATATTCATTCCTCGTTTCAATACACAGCGATAATCGATAGCAAAAGTACTCGTCAAGGAAGAAAACCAAATCTACAGTCCAAGCCTGGAATAACCTAACCCCCACTCGTCGCATTCGAAATGGACGACATCTACCAGGGAGGAGCATCGGCACCGGTGGGCTCGGCCCGTTTCCAAGGCGGGGCATCAGCACCGGTTGGCTGGACGCGCTTCCAGGTGGGAGCGTCAGCTGGAATCGGCCTCTCGACACGTTTCCATGGAGGAGCGTCGGCTTCTATAGGATGGTCGGCACGTTTCCACGTGGGAGCATCGGCCTGGATAGGTGCTTCGACCCGCTTCCAGGGCGGAGCGTCGGCTTGGATGGGATGGTCGGCGCGCCTCCATGTAGGCGCGTCGGCCTGAATGGGATGGTCGATACGCTTCCATGTAGGAGCGTCGGCCTGGATAGGATGATCGGCACGCTTCCATGTAGGAGCGTCAGCTTGGATGGGATGATCAACGCGCTTCCATGTAGGGGCATCGGCTTGGATGGGATGTTCGGTACGTCTCCATGTCGGAGCATCGGCTTGAATGGGATGATCGATACGCTTCCATGTTGGAGCGTCAGCTTGGATTGGGTGATCAACGCGCTTCCAGGGAGGGGCGTCGGCTTGGATAGGCTGGATGCGTTTCCAGGTGGGAGCATCGTCGGTAATGGGCTCAACGGTGCGTCTGGTCTAAAACGAGGTCAGGCACTGAGTGTGAACGGAGAAGGGTTTGTCCGACCTCGGTGACCATAACCGTAGGTTCGCGTGCCGCAGCATCGTTCTGTGGAGCTGGTCAGTGATATGCCACACAGGATAAGGGGCGGATACTCGCCAGAGGCAAGCCCTGAACGGCGGCGGCGGCGGCGACAACCAGAATGAGAGCAGTGTACATCGCTTAGAGAACTGGGCTAGCTGGATACTTTTGCTGCTGAGAGATCTGCATGCTGACTTGTCGGTTTTATATGAAGGCTGGAAAGGACCGAGTGACATCTAGATCATTTCCAATCTCCGCAAGGAAAGTGTCGCTCATGCGGTTGAGCAATCAGGAAAATCCCAAATCTGATCCGGTGGTCCTGATGGCGAGATGAACCGCCGATTCACAGCGACAGATTGGGCGAATCTATCGTCTGTCTTGCCCTGGATGGAATGGACAGCGTGTCGATGTGTGTGCTGAGCCTGATTTCGAGGAAACAGAACACTCACGTCCGGCTGGATGACGAGTTCTGAATATCAAGGTACTTTGGAGTCTGGGATGTTGTCATCCCTCTAGATAGAGTGCCGAGTGTGCCTGTGGCGTCAGAATTGCCAACAGTTATTCTTGAGTCGAAGCCAGGGAGGTGTTGGGGACGAAATGACTATATGCGGTGGCGCTGATCACTACTGCAATCAATGAGTGTTACGGTTACGGTTGCTTTGTGCTGCTCACTTTCAAGGTGCGGAGAAGTCTTCCAAAACGAGATCTGAAAGCGGTCAGAACGGCGGACAGGGCAAGCAGAAATCAAAACAGATTGGGATTATCAACATGATCTTTGGTCCGTCCCGCTCCGGCCTGTCCGGGAACGGCTGCAAGGATGTGGCGGACCTCCGAGAGCAGAAGAGATAAGTTGAGAGTGAGGTGTATCAGAAGACCGGACTTGGCTTCGAATCTGGCGATTGGGTTTGTCAGCTCTCACGTTACGGTGAATAGAAGAACACCCTACGCACCCCACCCGCTGACAGAGACGAAAGATAGCAAGACGTCCGATCTTCCGGACATATGGGGAGCCGCTGGCAGCCTCATGTGCAGCGGCGGGCGGGATCACGAGGGTTGCTGCCAAAGAGCTGAGTTGCCATAGCTCGGTTTGTATCCGTGTCACGTGATCGATTTCTGGTGCCTGCTTGGCAACGTTGCAGGCCGGAGAACCGGGGAACTCGCGACCCTGAGTAGATGACGGAAGGACTTGTCGTCGGCTCTCAGGTGGGGAAATTCCGCAGCGTGTTACCGCACAACCAAGGCGCTTCCACGGAGCACATCCGAGTTCGATCTCGGTCAGAACGATGAGAGGTCTCACAGCGACCGTTGGCCTGAGGAAAGCCATCACGAGAGCAAAGTTGTCGTCCATCTGTTGATGCGGATGCCAGTACTGACTGCGGACTCTTGGACCACCGTCCAAGACAAAACTGGCACTTTCCCAGGATGGGAAGCATGCGAAAAGATGCTGAACCTCTATTTCAGCCATCACCGCTGAATTCCCCATCGAGCCAATCGTTTCGCACTGTTCCTGAACTGACATCAGATTCTGTTCATGAGCGAAAAAAAAAACGGTTTCTCAACTGTTGAGCATCCATGACATCGATGAGCATTTTCGGCCGCTGAGAAGTGATGGGACGTTACTCATTCTTCCCGAACAAACTCGTGGATTACTGGAGCGGGAGGACCGCGAGAACTCTCCTCCCGAAAGCCGCTCGCCGTTGGGACAACGTGGGCGCGCATAGAACTTTTCTCGCTCCTAGGGCCATTGTCGACGGCGCCCGCAACCCAATATCTATGTCGAGAGTTAGTTTTGGACCGTCTCAACTGAAGTCCCCGCCTGCTCGTCAATGGTCGACTTCACCCGGGCAAAAGGAAGATTGGATGTTATGCCCGCGGAGAGCCAATAGCGCCGACTTGGAACGCGTAGCTCTACTGGATCCGGTGCTTGACGTCCGTGTCGCGAGAACATTATATTTCAGTCCCATGGCCCTTCAGAAGCATCTGCGACCGTTCTTTTCGTGGATAAAGGGACAGAGGTCACAGGATCCAACGGTCAAAGGACTTGGAGCTCGTGAGATCATCAAGAGCATGGTATTTCAGTGGCTCCTGCTTCGCAAGCGATTCACATGCGTGCATGAATAGGACGATCTCCAACATGAGTGAATGTGGTGGGAGGGAAAGGCTTAGTCGGTACCGAATCAGACTCCTCATCTTGGGTCACTATATGCGGGTTGCATTTGGTCATGGACCGACTATCTGCCGTAACTTGCACAACTTAGCAGTTATATGCGTAGCAGCTATGCAAGTATCTGCTTCTGCGGAATGGCTGGTTGTTTGGAAATTGGCGAAAGCGGGGTCTCGCCCTGCTACTTGACAATGCTTCCCAATCGGCCATCCTGCTATACAAGTCTGATGAAGGAATGAGATACCGAAACAGCTAGGCTGGTCGATCTACACATTCCATGTGTTGTCGGCGTCTTCTTGTCATTCATGCCAGCAAACTGACAGTCCTCCGAGGACTCGAGAACATTGTAGTATACAGATTCCATGCCATCAAAGATGTGGTCAATGGCAAAGATAACGACCCACAGGGTGCTTGCTCGGACGTTAATCGCAACGCTGGAGAGTTCTTCGGTGGCAGGACCGGCCCTGGAATATCTCGATCGAGAAGACAGCAGCACGCGCGCATGACTCACTAGGACAGGCACGCTGATAAAAATAGAGAGGGCGCAATAGCATAAGGGACCAGCACGATAGTGCCAAGATCAGGATCCTGATAGCGTGCTGGAGAAAAGATCGTCGATGCGAAGGTCTGGCGAGATTATTCCAAGTAGAATAGAATGCTGTACACGTATTTTTCCATCGCTCAAGCTGCCAGATTGTCCGGATGCAAACCAAGTTGCCCGTTCGGAGGTTTTGAAGTACAGCATACTTGCGCCAGAGATAAACTTGATTCGTTATTGCTGTACCGGGCGATAACTGAGAGGCATTTCCAGCGAGAGAGCAGAAGCATTGTGGGCGATAATGATCGGGACCGCTGCTTTCTCGTGACCCTTGTCACACCTCAAGCCTAGGCTCGAGTCACGCCCAGTGCTTGTAATAATCTTGCTTGCAAACTGTCAACCACTTCATCTAATGCTCACCTCAATCGAGATGTACACTCCCTTTCCCAAGCTCGATGGCACCCCAGACGTCGCCGTCGGAATGAGTCAGCGAAAAGATCAAGTGCGATGACCGACATGCATATGATAGGAGCACGGCGCTGCACGGTTTGCAGCTGCCCATCTGTCAGCTCCGCACAATCCGCTGATTTTCTCGACGCTTCCCACAGAACTCTGCTACCCCGGCTTTCCCTGAGCCGGTCAGTTGGTGAGAGACGTCGATAGATATTCATCGCACACTCCACCCGAGTCGACACGCGGCCATCATCACCACGCCGAGTGCCCCAATCCGGCTCCTCGACAAATCCGCGCGAGTGAAGATATGGCCTCAAACACTCGTCGATTCGTGATGATCATGCGCGCGGCAAAATGTGGTAGGACGGATGCCGATTCACTGGCGGGGCCTAAAGATACACCGAGATGGATCTGTTGTTGGGGCACGTCAATTTTTGGTAGTCGAAAGCTGGACTGGAAGGCCAGGGACCCAACATCCCATTTCCCCCTTCTCCTCGAGAGGGCCCCATCTCTACCTTCACGACGCGAAGAGGCCGTTTTTCGAACGTGAGGCGTTGCTCGAGCACATCGGAGCCTATCGGAGGACACTTCGCTCTCCAATCAACTCGGAGATGAGGCCGCCTCGAAGACTAACGTGAAGACACACCACATTCACCCTGATTCATATTCATGGACTGCTGCTCGAATGCCTATGCTGTGCCTGTGCAACCAACCTTCTCCTTCCTGCTCTCCTTCCCGCCTTCTGTCGCTACAGTTGAGCGTCACCTGCTGGAACGTGACGGACTCCTGGCTGCCTGAGTCATGATCAAGTGCCCATTACCCTTGGCATCGTGCTCTCACTCAGAGGTTCAGCGAGGTATTTGTCCTGATCACGGCATGTGACGCTTGTCATGTCGGACGCTGGTCCGCCGAAGTCTACCGAGCGGCAGCGCTCAGGCTAGTCCGAAATCCTCGCTCCTTTCCTCAGGCATTTCGAACTGCCGCACTTCCGCGTGGGGGCCCATTCGAAATATCGGGGCGATTATGAGAGCACTTTTACTACAAGTCCCCCTTCCGCCTCGCTTCTACTCTTCAGTTGGCGGCTTTACGGCGTATGGGCGAGGACAGCCCCCGCAGTTCGAATCGGATTCAGTGCATGCCGGAGACGTCTGTGTCTCCGGTCATGCATGCAGGGACTAAGCATATTGGCAGAGATCTTAGAGATGCCAGTCCTTGTGCGAAATGATTCTCAACTGAAGGGGATACAAGTGATCGTCTTTTGCTTACCCTGCCTGCGATCCTTGTCGTTTCAGCGTCAAATACCCCAGTGTCATCCGGAGATCTTGTGACCGATGAGATATGTCACAAAACTTCCGCTCTGAATTCCGGGCAATTCAATAATACAACCTTCTGTAATGTACCGATTATATGCTTGCCTCTCATTCTAATCAGTGTGAATTAAAACGCAGCGACACGGGCAGCCTGGAATGTGGGCCGCGGTTTTGTCGTGGGCTGCGCGACTGCGACAGGCAGTCGAACGGAGTGTTCATCCGTGACCAGTGCCCGTCCTTTGACGGGCAGCTGTGCGTAATCGACATCCACATCCGCCTTGGTGGCATGGGCGAATCGATTGAGCGTATACGAAACCGGCACTTCGCCGACGATGCCAGGACCACTTGGGGAGATGTGCGAGTACTGTGGGTGGGCGATGAGGATCTGCAGAATGTACTGGTGACCGGATCAGTCAAGGCACCGCAAGAAAGTAGCGCCGATGGAACTAACCTCCCGTGCCATACTCTGGTATCTGAAGCTCGGATGACTGCATGCAGGGACCTTGATCTCACCGTCGAGCCGCACGACACGTTCTGGGTCAGGCTCATCATCCATGCCTTCAAAGGATCCAGCAGGTGAGCCAGGTCGCTCCGACGTTGGTTCCTGCTCCTCCTGTTCCTCCTTCTCTTCTTCGCCTCGGTCTTCCGCACTCCACACGTTTTGGAACCGAGAGCCCGGTGCGGTCTTCGGCGAAGCAGGCGACTTTGGCGCCGCTTCCGGGAGCTTTACCACGGTGCATACACGTGTTGGCCCATCCGGACCGTCATCCGCCATCCAGACCCGACCGGATCCTAAAGACTGCAGTCTGCGATTCTTTCTCGCCGCGTTGCGGGGGCTCAAAGCATCTGACGCAAATATGTCCGTTTGGAAAAACCCCGCTTGAATGGCACCCGGCTGCGCGAGTGCCTCTAGCCCCAGCGGATGATTCGACCATAGAAGAAGAGAGAAGTCGAGCATCTGGCCCGCAGTGTAGACCGCTGGCTCTTGGATACCGAGCTACGTATCAAGGATCAGTGCACTGCCATGAATGATAACGGAATAGCTCACAATGCCCTCCAACTCGATAACTTCCTCGCCGATCCGGCCTCGACCGCCAAATGGGGTCAACGTCCATCCACCCACAACTTCGCGTGTAAACGGCCAGTCTTCTCGTAGCGGTAGGAACGGGAAGGTCGTCGTCTCTCTCGGTGCAATTCTTGACAGCGGGAGATATTGGACGGGCATCTCGAATTCCTCGTCGATGGAGCCGAAACCATCGCGTTCGACATTGACTCCGACAACGTACTTGAGGTTACCGGAGAATCCGCCCACAACGCTCAATGAGAAAGTGGCTGGGGGAAATCTCAGAAGGTCGAGACTAAAAGAGGACATTCACCCACGAGGAAGAGGAACACGGGCTTTGTTCTGTGGCGGTCTTGAGTGAATGGTCCCGCAGCACTTCAGTTACTGACCTTGCGGCGCTCATCGTCGGGATGCTTGACGATCGTGTCTGCTGGAAGCGCCGGAAACGAAAACGGGAACACGTAGGATCCGGCGGGCAATCTCCCCTTCTTAAGCACACCGCCAGTCGTCGGGTCGCCCATCTTCTTGTTCCAAAGGGTGCCAGTGAGAGACAGAAAGGGAAATTGCTGCATGTCAACTATACTATCCAATCTGGCCACGAGCTGCCGGCGGTTCAAGTGGGATAACATCTCAGAGAAACCATTACGCACCCAGATATCGATACTAGCCAGCGCCGTTGGTTCTTCGAGCACCATCCTCACTTCTCCGGCGATCTCGGCTAAATACTGAGATCAAAAGGATGGAACGCATAAATTTCCGATGTGCACACCCACCCGCGTTATGGTACATTGGGAGAGGCGAGTTCTCTAACGCATGGCTGAATAGCACTAGATTGAGCCACGGTTTCATATCCGCCTCGGTTGCATGCATAATCAGCGAGTGCGCCATCGTGAATCCAGGCAAGTCCGACGTCGGGAGTGTTCCCGGGAGCTCCTCAGGCGGCGGCGGATCGGAGGCGTACCACTCCGCTGGAACACCTGTCACTTATGTTAGCCAACGGGTGCACTCCCTCGAGGCTGGGGTGGACTCGCCGAGCCGCGAGATGTCCGGCCTCCTCCGCTTCGCGACGCGCGGGCCCCCGCCCGTCAGAGCCGAGTAGAAGCTCACCATAGATTGGGCGAGGGACTGTATCGATGCGCCACCAGATGATTTTACCGACGCGGCATAGGTTTTCAGGCTCCGTTTCGACGATAGTGCTTGCGCAGGGAAGCCACCTTGGGATTGCGCTGGACCAGATTTGTGCCGGAAGACATCGCGTAGGAGAGACATCGGGATGCAAGTCGGGGGGAAGGAGGAAGATAGCGTATATGGTCAATGCTTTTCATGTGGAAGATATAATTGAGTGGATTGCAGAGCGGGACGGGAACACGAGATAATGATCTGTGCACCGCGTGCATTACACCGCCACATATAATTACATCCTGATCAGCGATTCTCCCATTCGGAGGCGCTCTTCACTGAGCCACAGAACTGGGGGCATCGAAGGAAAAACTGAGCTCGTTAAATTCTCGAAATCAGCGTTACAAGAATTTTACAAGACACGGAAGAGATCAATCCTTATCGGTACGATCATATGTCAAGATCAACGTCTTCCGGGCTCCCTCCAATCCATCTAGTTTCAATCCCGCAGTTCTATCCCATCCCATCGCTGATGCCTGGATTCGCTGAATGTTCATTTGAAACCTCTTGTGGAACGTTCACATGCAACACCTCCACTTATGTACCGCTCACGATCAGGTGTTCTTCACAAACGTGAAGAAGGCAGCCGAGAGCGATTACGACTACCCCTGGACTTCAAATTCGCTTCAGCAAAGGGAAGCGTCTTCTCCCTCCAAGTCTGTGCCGAAAGACTATACAAACACGTGTCCTCGTACCCCCCTCGGCCGTCCGCCCACGACTCCCGTTGCACCCCTTCCAACACAAACCCTCCCTTCTCCGCCCAGACCCTGATAAGCTTATTCTCCGGTAATGTGCTCATCGCCACCCGGTGCATCCCGAGAGTCCCGAAGACGTACTCGAAGAGCGTCCAGACGGCGTCCGTGCCGGTGTCTTGTCGCAGGAACTGCGGGAGCAGGGCCAGGCCTATCTCGCATGAACGCCCGCGGTAGGTCTCGATATGGCGGACGTTCATCTCCCCCGCGAATGTTGGGGGGCTCGGGTTGCTCGCAGGACTCTCGCGATTGACGAGGTACACTGAGAGCATTATGCGGCTCGGGTCCTGCAGAGATGCCAGGCGGCTTTCACGCACTTGCTCGATCGTGAGTGTGGTCGGATGGAAGCGGAGGAAACGCTGGATGGAAGGGTCCAATCGCAGCTGCAGAACGGCTTCGTCGTCTGCCTCTGAGCTTTGAACAAGCATAACCCTTCCCGACTTGGAAACCAGCGGCTGCTCGAGGATCATGGTGAGGTTCTCATTGGTCCTATCCCGCAGCTCTCCAGCTTTTGAATAGGTGGCGGCTGCGATGGAATCGGTGCCGGGATTGCGCAGGACACAGCTCTCTACGTTCCAACGTGCATGTGTAGATGGCTATATGAGTTACTTTCGGTCCCATTGGCAGACCACAGTTGTCGGAATGCGGAGCCGATTTACAAAATTACAGGTGTATACTGTACGTATATGATTATACATGCCACGATGACAGACGCTCTCCAAAGTTCACGAGAACTGGAATACAGCTGGGCCCGCAACGACAAAGTCGTTGATCATGGACAAGTTGAAGCTACTGACGAATGGGTTATCGCTCGTCAACGCGACGAAGTTGGTCTAGCACATATTAGTACTCAATAGCCTTCAACGAAGCAGCAGCAGCAGCGGCAACTCACTCCATTCAAGATGGGATCGCCTGTCGTGATAGATGTGTTGTAGACATCGGCGGCTGGCGAAGGAAGGACAGTGAAGCCTGTGTTGTTCCCGGTGCTCGTTAGAGGTGTGTAGGTGGCGTTCAATTGAGAGACCCAAAGCGCGTATTCTGAGTGAGAAGATCAGACACCAGAAAAGGAACAAATACGCCACATACTTGCAGTGCCGTTGGTATGGATCTGTGTCGTATAGGCATTGTCAGGGCCAACGAGCAGGCCTGGGTTCTCCCATGTAAAGTGGATCTGCTGGCCTGGATGCGTCAAGGCAGTGCGATTGGTCTGCACATCTTCATAAGCCGCGCCAAGGGTTGCACACGGTAAAGACTAACCGAAACGGCCGCCATCGATCCATTGAACTGCAGCTTCGGCTCATCCACTATCGTCAACTTGGGGAAATTCGTCCACATGATCCGCTGGAACTCGGGGGTACTCTTGTTGGGGCAGGACTGGATCCACGGCGCGAGGAGTGTCCAGGCCCAAGCTTGTGGGATGCCCGCCTCGAAGAACACGGGCATCGGGAATGCACCAGCAAATTGCCGGAAGATCATTTGCTGACTGAATGCGTGCTCGGATCGAAGGGGACAAAAGGAGAACCCAATTGTGCTCACCGTGACTCGGTCGAGATGCTTTGGTGCAGGAGGTTCGCCGAGTCGCGCGAATTGAGATGAGCGAGGAAGCCTATGACACCGCTGGACCCGAGTCAGAGCCGGTCCTCATCATATGCTTCCAGGCTAACTCACCGCTCCCCCCAACTCGTCAAACGTTGACTGAAATCCACGTAACTTCTCGGATCCGTGAATGCGCCACTGGAAAGCCCGTCAGAGAGCGGAGAGCTTCATATCGACGGACGGACGAACGAGTAGTTGTAGGTGCAACGCAGAGGCGCATTGCCCTCGCCCAGAATGTTCGTCAGCAGCTGCGCGTGCCCGCTCTCTTGGTTAGCCATAAACCTGCCCCAGATTAGATCCTGCAACCACGGAACCAGCAGCACGGGTACGCACTGGATCAGCGTCAACCCGTCTCTGTTCACACCCAGCTGCTGCTGCCACTCTTGCGGAGAGAACTTGGCCAATCCGTAATGGAAGAGGTCGAGCTCGATCCACTCCTGCATCAGTCCGAGCTTGAAAGATTCGCGGTCGAAAGGCGTATGCACTTGATAGGTTGGGTACGGCCCCACCGTCGTATTCGGGAGCGGGTCCATGACAGAGGCATTCTGCAGTGCCTCCGATTGCCGTGGAGATGGTAGAGCGCGGACGAGGGTGAGACACAGAAGTAGGACCGCGGACGGGTGCATGTTGTTGATCCTTTAGCCGCGGTTGTTCGAAACTTAAGTAGGCATCGGTGGGAAATGGGTGACGTCTGCAGCGAGTCAACCTTGCCGTTCGTCACGTATGAGTACATGGCGGAAAATGGGCTGGCATCGGGATCGCAGGGCGGCATGCATCGTCTTTGACGCTACTAATAGGTCATGCATCGTTTCCGTGGTGCACGCAGTCCGCGAATAGCCCGTGCCAAAGATATATTGGTCGGAGTCAGAGAATTTGATCTTCGATGTGACAAGACATAGGACCGACGAGCATGTCAACCCAGTTGTTTCTATGGTTCGAATGTGAGCCACCTCTGAGACCATTTCCAGCAGTTCGGATGTCTTCAGAGAATGGCACGGAAGTGTGGAGATCGGTGATGTGGGATTCAGAGCAGAGTGGACGGACTGAGCTTCCGTACGACCACCAGCAAAAATGTCCAGTTCCATGTCCATGGCATGTCCTGCGCCTATCCTGAAGTACAGAAGCTTCGCTCTTCCAAGTAATGGTTCGCGAGCGGAGTCGGTTGTCACCGAGCGCTTCGAGTGGGGAGCGGGTATGAGATCACGCGTCACGCGTTATCGTCACTTGCTGACGCGCTCACGTTGTCTTCTAACCACAACGTCCATTCACGCGTTCGACGCGTCGCGGAGGTGCACGATGGCCGTACAAACGGGGCTGCCCTGATTGAAGTACGCACTGCTTCTACCATCACAGCCCTGAGAGGAACGGCAACGCAGTTCATTTTTTGGTGTCCAAGACGCTCATTTTGCTCGCAATCGTTTCCGCTCACGAAACGTGATTAAGAGCCCCGTTGTGGATCAAACGAAGCGTCCGCTGAGCAGACCGCGCCCACAGTTTACGTTGTATCCTTCTCGATGTTGACATGGCGCCGTCATCTCGAAACTGAGAGCCTCGAATCAGGATCTGCTTCTGATGGAGACGGTTCACGATTGGTTTACGCGGTAAGACAGCTTCGGATTTCAGCTGGCCGGAATTTGTCGTACGTTTTGTTCAGTTCCTTCATATTTCTGCAGTATGTTTTGTCGAAATCGACTGCTCGGGCGTCGTTTTCAGATCCGTCGCACGAATGCAAGGCCTGAATTCGACCGAAATTTCCTCTTCGATAGGTATGAGTTCCAGAACTTGGGGCAATTCTGCTCGCCGGATCGTGAATTGGAAATCGGCTCATTAAGAGACGTGAACTAATACGTAGGTTTGACTGAATGCGATAGATGTGGATCTAAGTGTCCCAGGTACAATTTATCGTCTGGATCGACTGTATATAAGCTCAGACTGAGAACTTGACACAGACGAGCTCTTCCGTGATCTCCCACAACTTTGCAGCGATATCCTGGCATCGACTGTGAGTTGCTAATCTCTCTAATAAGAGAACACCGCGACTCACAGGATCCGCAGCGTGCGGCGCAATCTTCTCGTTTGCGACGACACAATCGTCGAGATACGCACCCGGAACACTCTCCAGGCGCGGGTCAAACGCAGCGGTCACAGTCGTCGCAGCGCCTGCAGGAATAGACTTCCACGGCGCGGCCTCGAGGTTGGGCGTTCCGTCGGGGTGGAGGATGCCCATCTCCTTCTCTATTGCAATCGTTTCTTCCCTCTGAGCAATATTGGTGAAGATAACTGGGCGAGAAGATGTGCTCAGTGCCGGGAGCAACGTATGTATGCACATTCAGAGCACAAACTCACGTCCAGGATGGAGACTGTACCCGTTGATAAGCCCCTTGGACCGCCGCGAGATCTCTGCTGCGGTAAGCACGTTCGCCGCCTTGGCTTTTGCATACGCATTCATCGGGATGTACGATTCCTGGTCGGGTTTGGCTAGATTCTCTAGATCCAACGCCTGGTAAGCGTGTGCGGCGCTCGAGACGAAAACGACCCGCGGGGTGAATGCCGCCGTGTGCGTGGCTACGATCTTCGGCGCTATGAGGGCCGTGAAGAGGAAGGGGCCGAGGTGGTCCGTGCCCATTTGGCTCTCGAAACCGTCCACAGTGAACTTGTATCTGCCGACGGCGGCAGCGGCGTTGTTGATCAGGACGTGAATAGGCTCGGCGTAGGCGTTGACTTCAGCTGCAGCCCGTCGGACATCTCCAAGAGACGAGAGATCCACGACCAGGGGTCGAATTTCGGCGCTGGGTCCATCTTTCGCCAGCTCGGTCTGCGTGAGCTGCAATCTGCAATGCCATGATTAGCGCCCAGTGCTGCGTGGAACGCGTCAAGACACGCTCACCGTTCCTTGTTGTATCCAGTGATGATGACGAGATGAGCATATTTGGCTATGGCGCGCGCTGTCTCAAAACCGATCCCGTTCAGAGATGTTCCAGTGATAAGCACTGCGGTATCGCCGGGGTCAATGGGTGCGCCAACAAGCTCGTCAGGAGAGACACACCATTCTTGCCCTTTATCTGGTCTGTGAAAGCCGTGGCGACCTCCTCAGCAGTAGTTTCGGCGTTGAAAGTTGGGTAAGACATCTGTAGTGGATTTGGAGGCTTGTTGGGCTAATAGCTCGGTAGTCTCAAGCTACGACTCGGAGCATTTATATCACAGTTCGGTCTGATGACCAATTCCCGATAGAGAAAGGATATCCCGATTCATGTGCTCAGTGAGTCTTCTCCGACCTTGATCGGAATACACATACGTTACCAATCAGTGTGGCCGGCGTACAATTCCTTTGACAGAACATCCAGCAATGGTTGAATACGGTCATGTGGCATTGAGAGTTTCGGAGGTCAGAAGTGACTCGGAAGAATGAAACGCCAGGGGGTGGATCAGATCTTGTCACTATATTGATACTGTTCAGTCGGTTTAAGCATCACTTGTATACCTTTGTTATTGAATTGTTAGTTTTCGTCGCCAATGGCACAGCGGCGACAACTTTCCAGGCCAGGAAAAACCACCCGTAAGCTTCGTTTGGCTTGATACATGGGTTTTACTGAATGTGATACATGTGGTTGCGAGAGTCCGGGGCAAAATCTCTAGTCTAGCCCGACTCTGTGTAAGCTCAGACTGAGAACTTGACACCAACGAGCACCTCCGTGGCATCCCACAACTTCGTTGCGATAGCCTGACATCAGACTGAGCGAGCCGTGCAAATGAGGATGAGACAAAACTCCTCACAGGATCAGACGCGTGCGGAGCAACCTTGTCGTTCGCGACGGTGGAGTCGTCCAGGTAAGCACCAGGGAGACTGTCCAGCCGCGGATCGAATGCGGCGGTGACGGTGGTCGCAGCGCCCTGCGGAATCGTCTTCCACTTCATCATATCGAGGTTGGGAGTGCCGTCGGGGAGGAGGATCCCGAGCTCCTTCTGGATGACTTTGATTTCTTCCTTGTCATTCATGTTCGTGAGAATCACTGCACGGCGTCAGTCGTGCCACACGAGCCGCTACTCTTGCACTTGCTCACCTCCGGGATGCAGACTGTACCCGTTAATCTGCCCCTTGGACCGCCGCGAGATCTCTGCCGCAGTGAGCACGTTCGCCGTCTTGGCTTGGGAATACACGTTCAACGAGTTGTAAGATTCCGGATCGGGTTTGCCCAGTGTCTCCAGATCAATCGCCTGGTACGTGTGCGCGAGACTCGAGACGAAGACCACCCGCGGGGTGAACGTCGCGGTGCGCGTGGCGAGGATCTTCGACGCAATGAGCGACGTGAAGAGGAACGGGCCGATGTGGTCTGTGCCGATTTGGCTTTCAAAGCCGTCCACGGTGAGCTTGAAACCGCCGATCGCGGCGGCGGCATTGTTGATCAGGACGTGGATGGGCTCGGCGTAGGCGTTGACCTCGGAGGCTGCCCTGCGCACGTCCTTGAGCGACGAGAGGTCGAGAACCAGTGGCCGGATCTCAGCCTTGGGGCTCTCCTTCTCCAGTTCAGCTCGCGCAAGCTCCAGTCTACGCAACGCAGTACTGAGTCTGGTGTTCCGTGCAGAGAGCCAGGGAAAACTCACCGCTCCCGATTGTAGCCGGTTATGATGACCAGATTCGCATGTCTGGCGATAACACGCGCAGTCTCGAACCCGAGTCCGTTGATCGAAGTCCCTGTGACGAGGACTACATGATAGGCCAACAGGAATCAGCGCACTGCTCTACTCCTCGGGACAACGAACGTACCGTTCTTGCCTTTGATCTCATCCGCGAACGCCGTCGCGACTTCCTCGGCGGTGGTATCGAAGGTGAAAGTGGGATATGAAGTTCCTGCCATGGCAAATAGTGGGTTGTTCTGCCGATAGCCTGCCCGACCCCGCCCCACTTTATATCTCCCGTCCGATTATCAAGCAGGGTGCGAAATTATGTCGCGTCGACTCTTGGGTATTGATCCGGAGCATGGGAGACGAATGGCGTTTTCCCGACGCAGATCGGGAATTGCTTAGTACTGCGTCTGGTTTGAAAGCAGCATAATCGAGAGAAAGCTAAAAGATGTGCCGACAGGTCTTATGGGAGAGTTGCGGGCACAGTCGAGACCCTGAGTGGCTATGATCGTAATTTGGAGAGCTCAGAGTCAAAGGTTGCGGTTTGAGTTGCAATGGCCACAAGTCGCGTCACATGTCACACATCACAAAACTGCAGACGGTGTGTGATGTAGAATTACCAGACCATAGGATCTAAGTATTGAAAGCGAAGGAAAAGGGCGTGTTTTCCTCTGGTCTGTCGGAAGGGATTGATTCGGGAGCTCCTGCTGAGACCTGAATCTCTTCCCACTGATATGATTTTGCGACGCCTGCTGTTTCTCGGGGGAATGGATGACCAAAGCACTAATAAGACGACTTCATCGTTCAGGCGAACTGTGCCACCATTGCAAAATGTAATCTAGATACGTATGCCATCTTCAAAAGTTGAACTTGACACCGACAAGCTCTTCCGTGATCTCCCACAGCTTTGCAGCAACGTCCTGGCATCGATTGTGAGTTACCAATCTCTCTCGTAAGGGAACACTGCGACTCACAGGATCAGCAGCGTGCGGCGCAATCTTCTCGTTCGCAACGACGCAATCATCGAGATATGCACCCGGAACACTCTCCAGGCGCGGGTCGAACGCGGCAGTCACAGTCGTCGCAGCACCCGCAGGAATCGACTTCCACGGCGCGGCCTCGTGGTTGGGCGTGCCATCGGGGAGGAGGATGCCCACCTCCTTCCCCATTTCGGTCGCTTCCTTCCTCTGATTGATGTTGGTGAAGACAACTGCGGTGAAAAGACGTGCTCAGTGCCGGGACCGACCGGCATATGTACATATGTACAATTGCGGGCCACTCACCTCCGGGGTGGAGACTGTACGCGTTGATCTGTCCCTTCGACCGCCGCGAGATCTCGGCCGCGGTGAGCACGTTCGCCACCTTGGCTTGGGCGTACGCATTTACCGCAGTGTACGACTTCGGATCGAGTTTGGCGAGCGTCTCCAGATCCAACGGAAAGTAAGTGTGCACGGTGCTCGAGACGAACACCACCCGGGGAGTGAACGTCGCAGTGCGCGCGCCGAGGATCTTCGGCGCGATAAGGGCCGTGAATAGGAACGGGCCGAGATGGTCCGTGCCCATTTGGCTCTCGAAACCGTCCACAGTGAGCTTGTAACTGCCGATCGCGGCGGCGGCGTTGTTGACCAGGACGTGAATGGGCTCCGTGTACGCGTTGACCTCGGCAGCCGCCCTGCGCACGTCTTCGAGTGACGCGAGATCGAGAACCAGTGGTCGGATCTCAGCCTTGGGGCTCTCCTTCTCCAATGCAGCTCGCGAGAGCTCCAATCTGCAATGCCATGCTCAGCGCTCAATGCTGCTTTCCACAGGTCAAGCCCCGCTCACCGCTCCTTGTTGTATCCGGTGATGATGACGAGATGGGCATATTTGGCTATGACGCGCGCCGCCTCGAAGCCGATCCCGTTCAGAGACGTTCCAGTGATAAGCACTGCGGAATCACCGGGTTCAATGAGCGCGCACACAAACTTTTCATAGGGCACACACCGTTCTTGCCCTTTATCTGGTCGGCGAAAGCTGTGGCGACCTCCTCGGCAGTGGTTTGGGCGTTGAAAACTGGGTAAGACATCTCTAGTGGATTTGGAAGCTTGTTGGGCTGATAGCTCTGTATTCCCAAACTGCGAGCATTTATACCATATTCCAATGGCCAATGGTAGTGAGAGGCAGCATATCCCGATCTATATGCCGGCTGACTGAGATGTTCATAGCGCTTCTCCGACCTTGACCGGGATATGTGTGTTACCAATGCTAGGTTTGTAGGCGACGAGCCTGCAGACTCAAGCCAGGAGTTGCCTGTTTGCGTGCGGAACGCCGACTTGGATGGCGTGAGGCGTATGGATGCCCTTTCCATGTGAATGAATGTGAACGTCAAGATGTAAGCCGCCAAACGCACCAGTAGCAGGTCGGTGTAGCTTGGACCTGAGATGATCATCCTGCCTCCCTCCAAACCACCCCCTTCCTGAAAAAAGCAGTAACGAATTACACTTGAGGGATCTTCAGCAGCCCTCATGTTCCGGAGTAGTGAGAATACTGAGCAAAGGCGGAGATCAAGATGGCAAGTCACGTGTCACATTTAGCCCACTCATGAGTCTTGGGTGGCTGTGATCTCTCCGCTTACCACCCGCCGTGCACTGCGAGCCAAGTGTCGCGGAGGTGGCGCGCCATTGCGCTGTCGTAGCTGTTTCTGTGGAACGAAGTTGTCATCGACTCGCAGGAGAGCTAGCGGTTCATGCGGGCCCCCATCTTGCGCCTCGAATTTCATCCCTCGCGGTCGCCCTCCTAGTCGTCTTGCGTGGACAGAAGGTCCCGATGTCTTCCTACTGCGGCTATCCACACTTTTCGCTTTTCTCCTGCATTTCGGAGGTCTTTGATGCACCGAATCTGCGGCGCGTGGCGACGACCGATGCCGGGTTATTGCAGAACTTTTGAACGCTGCTCTGCCTCTGGCTTCACTCCCAGAATCAGCCTCGCCCGTTTCATCCGCGCAAAGTGTTCTGCCGCCTCGAATCCCAGGCCCGTATTAGCTCCGAGGACGATCACAGTCTTCTCAGCGAGATCGGTCGTGACCACGGGCCGCTGGGTCTTCCCCTGCAATATTACGAAGTCGAGGGCAGAGTAACACATGGACGGTGGATGATTCGAAAGACCTGTGAGCCGTGTATTTAATAGCTTCGCAGACGAGCCGCTTGACCACTGGAACACGCGTCGTTTCCGCTGTCATACCCGTTTGAACCGCCTCTCGCAGAGATCTAGTGACCGATTGCACGTCAGAGTAGTGACGGCTCCTGAGAATCGAGCTGCACAAGAATCAGACAATCAAGCCCTCACTTATTCTCGCGGTATGGGAGTGGCTGGCACGCGTACAAATCAGATCTACAAACGCTTCAAGTGCAGCTAACTGCGCTCGTGGCTAAGCGATGCAAAATTTTAGAACCTGTTCAACTTCAACCATCAACCATCAAGAGCGAAGGGAGGTGTGTAGGCAGTCGATTGCGGGGGGGTGACTGACTGTGACTAATCAATGAGAAGCACTACCATCGAAACTGCCGCGAGCATCACGTGTACGATTAGCGAGCCGACACCCCCAAGCGTCTTTCTCTCTCTCGAAGAACATCTCAAGAGCGTTCAGTACCACTAGACAAAACGTCGGAGTCTTTCGTGGCGGGAAGTTCAGGAACGGCGAAACTACTGACGAGCGGGCCAGTTTTCTTCGAAGACCTCATCCGACTTGCAATTGACAGAAGAAGCCAAGGGTGAGTGTCTCTGAAAAGGGTGAATGATATCACAGAGACATTGGTTCCGGACAAGGCTCAGATGCCTGGAAGTATCCGATCCTCACGGCGATCTGCATGCGTGAAGACAATGCTGATTCTTCCGACTGGGAGTGGGAGTCACAGGGTCCAGTTGTTGATGGGATGTGGGAGCTGCGCCATGATCATGGAGAGCAAGCTGAGACCAAATCACACCGATCGGACGAGTATGTGATCCGACGCAAAATTTCTCAGACAAGAGACTCGCACAGAGCCTCTGGGAAGAGAGGGAAGGCACACGAAGACCATGATTGTGTCCCTAGTGGTCGGATGCAGAAAACTTCAACATTGCACGTGGGATTTTCAGTCGTTTCATCGGGCAAGGCTGGTATACAATTCTTTCCCTTTGTCGATTCCTGAGGTAATCACAGAATCCTTAGAATTTCAAAGGATCTCATTCGATGCCACTCGAATCATATTGACTCGAGGGTCGGGCCCGACAAAAATAGCATTTCTCACAGCCGACAGCGTTTTCCGAACGGCCGATTCGATACCGGACCTCTGGCGTCGACGGATTCAGTTCTTATGTCTATAGCTTCGAGATGTTCTCTACAGACTCCGGTGGCACTGATCGGTTTGTAACCGGGCCCTCGAGAATATAAAAGCAGACGTCAAGCCCCCTTGTGTTTCAATCTGGACCCATGCACCTCCTCCTTCAAGCAGCGATCTCAGTCTTGCCCATCGCAGTCTACTATTCTCTAAGATCTAAGAGAGATCCTATCCCGGATCTACCAGGTCCAAAGTCCTCGTCGTGGCTTTATGGTGGACTCTGTCTCCCAATGTCGCTGCCCGGGTAGCTGATTGTACCGCGTAGGGAACTTGGCCGAACTTCTCCTCGCCCCGGTATATGGCCAGTACGAGTTCCCATGGCTCAAGCGATTCGGAAGCGTGTACCGAATCCGGGGTTGTTTGGGAGTGGGTGCTCACAATAGAATATAAACCGGGGGAGGCTGTGAGCTGACTCTGCTGCTTATAGCGCACCCAAATCGTCATCGCAGACCCGGTAGCGATGCACCACGTGTTCAGCAGTCCGAAATGGGACCAAGGGCCCCCTGTTGCAATGATGGTGACCATGCTTTTTGGATTTCAGAGCGTGCAGAGTGTGAGAGGTGAGCAACAGCGACCTGCTTCCGTCGCTTGAGTGAGCATAAGAATCGACGCGCGCCTTGATCCAGCTGCGGGACCTGAGCATCGTCATTTACGAGGCGCGCTCAACGGCGCCTTCACAGCCTCCGTTGTCCAGAGCTACGAAACAATATTCGAGAGGGTTGCTGCAGGGGTACGTCCCGTATTTTGCTGCCCCCGACCCAAATAGTAAAGCGTTCCACATGGCACAGATTTCCGAAAGAATTGACTCGAGCACCACTGATACTATCGATCTCGCTGATATGCTCTCAGCTGCGACACTATCTGCCATTTCGATTGGTATTTCGATCACAAACACTGCACAATAATTTTAAATGATCCCACGGCAGCGTTGCTCAGCCGCCCTGTCGAAGAGCTTGACCCCGGTTTCATTCAACTCAATACCAATCTTCTGTGAGCCCCATTTTCTATTACTGACACTCGAACCCAATCATTTTTCAGTCGTACGGCGGCAAGAACTTCAGAAAGAGACCTCTTGTCAATTGATTTACTGACCAACTACATCCCTCGACGCTTACTCTACAAGCTGCTGCACTTCCGAGTAGCAGGGTGGAACGCCGTGACAGAAGGCCGGGAGCTTGGTCTCGCTCTCGGACGAGCTGTTGTCGAGGACAAGTTGCGTGCTTTGGCATCAGGCGAGGACCAAGGAACCGGGGATGTGTATGATCTGCTTTGTGCGTCCTCATGTCCGGGATTTGTCTTTCCCCTCATACTCTTGTAGTATCAGGAAAAGCGGGCACGGGGACCAAAAAGCTCGATGTTGAAGAACTGATTGCCCAAACAACCGTCCTTCTTGTTGCAGGGCAAGATACAACCGTCCGTGGACTACCCATAGGCATCGTCGCTTTACCTCACCATTTATTTCCCAGGCAAACACACTGGTATTCTGTCTTATTGAACTGGCCCGCAATCCCACCCTCCAAGACCAGCTCCGCACAGAACTTCAGGCCCGCGCCCCAGCGCAACCGTACAACCAGCTGCCGCTGCTCAACGCCGTCATCAAAGAGACGCTACGGATGTTCCCTGCGGAACCTATCATGGACCGGCTTGCATATGAAGACGATATCATTCCTCTTTCGGAGCCGGTTCTGGACCGCCATGGGCGGAAGATTGACTGCATTCCTGTTCGGAAGGGGCAAGTTCTGACGATGGCTATTGCCTCGTACCAAAGGTGGCGTGGTATCTCAACTGGCGGTGTTCAGCCAAACTAATCTTTTTTAGGATGGCGTCCCACTGGGGATCTGATGCGATGGAGTTCAACCCAATGCGATGGCTGGAGGGAGGCTCTGTCCAGACCAGCGACGTCATTGGCCCCTACGCAAATTTGTGAGCCTCGATATTCCAGTCCAGTCCAGATCAGCGGCGGACACGCATCTCACACTGCCTAGAATGAGTTTCATAAGCGGATCACGAACGTGTATTGGGTAAGCTTTCCTTGTTGTTTTACTGCTGCACACAAGAGAACTAACACGGTATTCAGATGGCGATTTGCGTGAGTCGTCACTTGTTCATCCCTTGTACTACATGCTCGAGCCATCCCTCCAGCGTCATGGAGATGCAGATCATCCTCTGCGAGCTTGTTAGCAAATTCGAATTCGGCATTCCACCAGGGAGCAAGACTGTTATGCGGGTGGCGCAAACCTTGGTTCCGTTAGATGGGGAAACCGGAGAGAAAAGTGCTATGCTAAAGGTCAAATCCGTATGAGTGGCTCCCAGACAACTATTGCATTGATTTCCGATTGCCACGATGTTCTGGGCGGGTGGAAGACAGCGGCAGAAACAAGGGATTGTCGATCGCGAGGGGAAAAATCACCTATTTGCGCAACTTGGTAACCCTGGAGAGCTCCAAATGGTCACTTCAGGAGGGTTCGGGGCCCCCTTTTCTTGATGGCCTTGAAGCACCGCTCGGTAGCAGAAGACCGGATGAGGTTTCCCGCGACCGGCAGCAGCCGGGAGCGGCAATTTTCAGCTCCGTGTCTCATTTATAGAAGACTCACACTTTTAAGCGATGCTTTGGGGGCGGCGTCAGCGGTCATCGAACGCCATGGAAAGGCATGGTCGTGAGATCCCGCGTCACGCATTAACATCGCTTGCTGACGCGCTTCACGTTCTCTGCCGCCTAAAACTCCTCTCTGAGAGGCATCAGTTCCGGCGAGGAACTTGAAGCCATTCTATCGACCAGGCCACGACTTAGAAACGATTTCACTACGAAACTTACACTGACTGTATACCATGCGCCGCCTGCTAGCTTTGATCACATTGAAACATCGCTTCAACACTTGGTTGAACCTTCTAGTGATGATTAGTCACGGCCTTGTGATATCAGGAGTTTCTGACTACAGAAGTGGGCCACACTAAGTACGAATAGTGACGCGCCGGATTTTGGCGTAGCTCTCGGGTCAGCGAAGTGTCGCAAAAATATTATTTGACTTACCGTGCCCGGCCAGGCCCGATAACAACGCCTCAGGCGGTTAGCCTTACCGCTACCTTATAGCAGTAAGAAATGCCGAATCAGTATCGGTCGGGGTACGGTCAGCTCGTGATCAGCTCGTGATCAGTCGACGGTCAGACAAACATCAGCCCACTGTCAGAGCACTGTCAGACCACTGTAGGACTATTATTGGGCGGTCGGGCTGATGGTCTGCTACCGTGCACGATCGGGCCTGCGCCCGGGGAAGGTAAAATAATGATTGCTTTTGAAGTGTTCCTGTGTTCTTTAATTTGAAGCATCCTTGTGTTCACCCAATTCTAATGAGATGTTCCGGGTCACCCTTCTGTGTGAACTACCACAACTTACTGAAATTTTATTCAACTGGATGGACTTATTTTCGGAGTCGGGTTTGAACAAGGGGTTTTTCAATTCCGAGCTCCACTAATTGGCTACGTTACTGTTAGTCTATGCGTGCACGCGTGCGGTGTCATGCAGCTTAGGTATGTCATATCGGAGATATGGCACAGCCACTCACTCCACTATAAGCACTCATCGCACTCTGCGCACTCCACTTCTCTACGATGTCGACATCTTCACCCACCTGCGAATCGCCTGGCGCTGTTGCACGCCACCTGAGACGTCGTCAACAAGCTCCGTACCCGCTGACGCCGCCGTTCACGGCACGCATGACTCCCCATGACGAAAACTGCAATCCGTCAACACTTTCCGTTGACACGCAGCTGAAGGAGGTCAAGGATGAGCTGGCGAACCTAAGGCAGGACATTGGTGGAATGCGGTCAGACATGGCAGCAATGCACGAGGCCGTGCGGGGTGCGTCAATTGTTGATGTGTTCCCGTGCCACACTAACATGCTTGTACTAGCCGCCTCCCATGTGTCCCCACTGTCACGCAAATCAATTGTGACTCGCCGTTTGGGCCGCGCCCCTTCCTTCTCTGCCGACGAGGTTGAGACCAGCAATGTGGAGGAACGCCGTCAGCAGCAGGCAATTGATTTCATTGCCTCGCGTCGACGTGATCACAAGGAGTCGAGGAGGATTCGGGCAGAGATTCGGCATAGTCCTGCAAGTTGGCGACGTGTTCCCAAAACGAAGGTCATGCCCGTTGACACAACTTCACATTGGGTTTTCGGAGCACCGTGGAAACACGGTGATTCTTCACGACACTGGGAACGATCCAATGTTCCGCAATTTCGATGCTAATCTCTGACGCTTTATCTCGGACGAGTTCCCGGATGTGTACATGAGCGCGGAGGTGCAAATAGAGGTGAGTACCTACTTAGTAGTACTCGTTTTCGGTTGAAATCTCATCGCATCCACGTCACAGGTCGAAATGTACCACTGTCTCTACATTTCCTTCCAGTTTCGGGAGGACTGGACCGACTGCGAAGACATCCTGCGCTGCCATCCCAACTGGTACAATCAGGGCCCGCGATACAACTCAATTCTCATCCACTCGGATGGTCCCGGTCTACTGCCTGCTCGATTATGCGGACTGTTTCGATGCCGATTGCCGTCAGGCCTTACTGTGGATCTGGCGCTGGTGAAGACAATGAAGCCCCACCATTGGAAGCCTCGAACGACGTGGGATGGCTGTCTCGTCTTCGACGAGGCAAAGGAGATCTCTTTTCTCCGCCTTGAATTTGCGATCCGAGGCGCCCTGATGTATCGTAGCCCCGCTAAGACACCAGCACGTACCAGTGTCCACTATCTTGTTGATACAGTTGACGCAGACATGTTCTTGCGCGCGCTGAACTCAGTAGAGCTTGTCTGTTATTGAATACTACACTTTTGAAAACACTGCCTTATCGTTCCCCAGGCCGACCAATAGATGGCTGATAAGAGTCTGAGGATAGCCCGACGACGCCTGACAGGACCTGACGAACCCGATCAGTCTCTGACATCGCTCATATTGTTCATCATAAGGCTCGGTCGGGTCGTCGTCAGGCTGTCAGTCCCGATAACAAGAAAAATATTTTTGCGACAAGGAGGTTACAAGTCGATTGAAAAATGGATTACTTCCCGAGCGCGTTCGGTTTTGACCGACTTGTGACTTCCATTACCAAACGTACAACGGCGACAATCTTCCAGGCCAACAACAACCATCCGTGGACTCTGACTGGATCAATACAAGGGTTTAATGGATGGGATACATGCGCATGCGAGAGTGGGAGGCACAATTCGCCGTCCAGGTCGATTCTATATAAGCTCAGACTGAGAAGTTCACGCCGACGAGCGCCTCCGTGGCATCCCACAACTTTGCTGCAATCGCCTGACATTCGAATGTGAGCTGACAAAGCATAGAAGGGCAAAACAAAACCACTCACAGGGTCAGACGCGTGCGGCGCGACTTCGTCGTTCGCGATAGTAGAGTCATCTAGGTAAGCACCTGGGAGGCTGTCCAGCCGCGGATCGAACGCAGCAGTGACGGTGGTCGCAGCGCCCTGAGCAATCGTCTTCCACTTCATCATATCGAGGTTGGGCGTGCCGTCGGGGCGGAGGATCCCCAGCTCTTTCTGTATGACTTTGATTTCTTCCTTCTCGTTCATGTTCGTGAGGATCACTGCACGACGTCAGTCGTGCCGCACGAGCCGCTGCTCTTGCACTTGCTCACCTCCGGGATGCAGACTGTACCCGTTAATCTGCCCCTTGGACCGCCGCGAGATCTCTGCCGCAGTGAGCACGTTCGCCGTCTTGGCTTCGGAATACACGTTCAACGAGTTGTAAGATTCCGGATCGGGTTTGCCCAGTGTCTCCAGATTAACCGCCTGGTACGTGTGCGCGAGACTCGAGACGAAGACCACCCGCGGGGTGAACGTCGCGGTGCGCGCGGCCAGGATCTTCGGCGCGATGAGCGACGTGAAGAGGAACGGGCCGATGTGATCTGTGCCGATTTGGCTTTCAAAGCCGTCCACAGTGAGCTTGAAACCCCCGATAGCGGCAGCGGCATTGTTGATCAGGACGTGGATGGGCTCGGCGTAGGCGTTGACCTCGGCTGCTGCTCGGCGCACGTCCTTGAGCGACGAGAGGTCGAGAACCAGTGGCCGGATCTCAGCCTTGGGGCTCTCCTTCTCCAGTTCAGCTCGCGCAAGCTCCAGTCTGCGCAACGCAGTACTGAGTCTGGTGTTCCGTGCAGAGAGCCGGGGAAGACTGACCGCTCCCGATTGTAGCCGGTTATGATGACCAGATTCGCATGTCTGGCGATAACACGCGCAGTCTCGAACCCGAGTCCGTTGATCGAAGTTCCTGTGACGAGGACTACATATAGGCCAACAGGAATCAGCGCGCTGCTCAGTTCCTCTAGACGATGGACGCACCGTTTTTGCCCTTGATGTCGTCCGCGAACGCTGTCGCGACTTCCTCGGCGGTGGTGTCGAAGGTGAAAGTGGGATATGAAGCTCCTGCCATGGCAAACAGTGGGTTATTCTGCCGATAGCCAGCCCGACCCCACCCCACTTTATACGACCTATTGGATTATCAAGCGGAATGTAAGCGTGTGTCGCGTCGACTTTCAGGTATTGATCTGGAGCATTGGAGACGAATGGCGTTTTCCTGACGCAGATCGGGAATTGCTTAGTACTGCGTCTGGTTTGAAGGCAACATAATCGAGGGATAGCTAAAAGATGTGCCGACGGGTCTCATTGGATAGCTGCGGACGCACTCGAGACCCTCAGTGGCTATGATCGAAATTTGGAGAGCTCAGAGTCAAAGGTTGCGGTTTGAGTGGCACAAGTCGCGTCACATGTCACACATCACAAAGCTGCAGACATCGACGGGTGATTGGGTCATAGTGGTTTCAGGCAAAATGCAGGCCGCAGGTGGGTGATGTGAAATTACCAGACCACATGATCTATTGAAAGCGATAGAGAAGGGCATATTCTCTTCTGGTCTGCTGAAAGGGATTGATTCAGGAGCTCCTGCTGAGACCTAAATTTCTTCATACTGAGATGATCTTACGACAACTGCTGTTTCTCGGATATATTGGATGACCTCAGGAATCACTATGTAGTGACAAGTCCCACGAGCGACTTTATCGTTCATACTGAATGACAAATGACTAAAAGTAATCTAAATATTTATGAGATCTTTAAAAGTTGAACTTGACACCGACAAGCTCCTCCGTGATCTCCCACAGCTTTGCAGCAACGTCCTGGCATCGATTGTGAGTTACCAATCTCTCTCATAAGCGAACACTGCGACTCACAGGATCAGCAGCGTGCGGCGCAATCTTCTCGTTCGCAACGACGCAATCATCGAGATACGCGCCCGGAACACTCTCCAGGCGCGGGTCGAACGCGGCAGTCACAGTCGTCGCAGCACCCGCAGGAATCGACTTCCACGGCGCGGCCTCGTGGTTGGGCGTGCCATCGGGGAGGAGGATGCCCACCTCCTTCCCCATTTCGGTCGCTTCCTTCCTCTGATTGATGTTGGTGAAGACAACTGCGGTGAAAAGACGTGCTCAGTGCCGGGACCGACCGGCATATGTACATATGTACAATTGCGGGCCACTCACCTCCGGGGTGGAGACTGTACGCGTTGATCTGTCCCTTCGACCGCCGCGAGATCTCGGCCGCGGTGAGCACGTTCGCCACCTTGGCTTGGGCGTACGCATTTACCGCAGTGTACGACTTCGGATCGAGTTTGGCGAGCGTCTCCAGATCCAACGGAAAGTAAGTGTGCACGGTGCTCGAGACGAACACCACCCGGGGAGTGAACGTCGCAGTGCGCGCGCCGAGGATCTTCGGCGCGATAAGGGCCGTGAATAGGAACGGGCCGAGATGGTCCGTGCCCATTTGGCTCTCGAAACCGTCCACAGTGAGCTTGTAACTGCCGATCGCGGCGGCGGCGTTGTTGACCAGGACGTGAATGGGCTCCGTGTACGCGTTGACCTCGGCAGCCGCCCTGCGCACGTCTTCGAGTGACGCGAGATCGAGAACCAGTGGTCGGATCTCAGCCTTGGGGCTCTCCTTCTCCAATGCAGCTCGCGAGAGCTCCAATCTGCAATGCCATGCTCAGCGCTCAATGCTGCTTTCCACAGGTCAAGCCCCGCTCACCGCTCCTTGTTGTATCCGGTGATGATGACGAGATGGGCATATTTGGCTATGACGCGCGCCGCCTCGAAGCCGATCCCGTTCAGAGACGTTCCAGTGATAAGCACTGCGGAATCACCGGGTTCAATGAGCGCGCACACAAACTTTTCATAGGGCACACACCGTTCTTGCCCTTTATCTGGTCGGCGAAAGCTGTGGCGACCTCCTCGGCAGTGGTTTGGGCGTTGAAAACTGGGTAAGACATCTCTAGTGGATTTGGAAGCTTGTTGGGCTGATAGCTCTGTATTCCCAAACTGCGAGCATTTATACCATATTCCAATGGCCAATGGTAGTGAGAGGCAGCATATCCCGATCTATATGCCGGCTGACTGAGATGTTCATAGCGCTTCTCCGACCTTGACCGGGATATGTGTGTTACCAATGCTAGGTTTGTAGGCGACGAGCCTGCAGACTCAAGCCAGGAGTTGCCTGTTTGCGTGCGGAACGCCGACTTGGATGGCGTGAGGCGTATGGATGCCCTTTCCATGTGAATGAATGTGAACGTCAAGATGTAAGCCGCCAAACGCACCAGTAGCAGGTCGGTGTAGCTTGGACCTGAGATGATCATCCTGCCTCCCTCCAAACCACCCCCTTCCTGAAAAAAGCAGTAACGAATTACACTTGAGGGATCTTCAGCAGCCCTCATGTTCCGGAGTAGTGAGAATACTGAGCAAAGGCGGAGATCAAGATGGCAAGTCACGTGTCACATTTAGCCCACTCATGAGTCTTGGGTGGCTGTGATCTCTCCGCTTACCACCCGCCGTGCACTGCGAGCCAAGTGTCGCGGAGGTGGCGCGCCATTGCGCTGTCGTAGCTGTTTCTGTGGAACGAAGTTGTCATCGACTCGCAGGAGAGCTAGCGGTTCATGCGGGCCCCCATCTTGCGCCTCGAATTTCATCCCTCGCGGTCGCCCTCCTAGTCGTCTTGCGTGGACAGAAGGTCCCGATGTCTTCCTACTGCGGCTATCCACACTTTTCGCTTTTCTCCTGCATTTCGGAGATCTTCGTAGCACAGTTGAGCCGGTGGGGCTCGGATGGATGTTGAATACCGACCTTTTCAGCTCGCGGGGTCCACTGCTTGCTGGGATCCACCGAAACGTAGACAATCTCCGCACTCTCGCCTCGATCCCGGATATGGCTCGACTTCCTGGAAGACACCCAATCGATACCTTTGAGATCACGCCTGAGCATGAATAACGCATGGCCAGTGAATGGATCGAGAGACGTGTGAGCCGTGCATGTGACAGCTTCGCAGACGAGCCACTGGACTGATAAAAGGTGCGTTGTTCCCGCCGTGATAACCATTTTAACCGCCTCTTGCAGGGATCGCGTAATCGGCTGCATGCCACAGTAGAGACGCAACTGTACCGGTAATGTGGCATCCTGAGAGTCGGGCTGCACAAAAATCAGACAGTCGAGCTTTCACTGGCAGGTCCCTCGGAATTGGCTAGCACGCGTGCTAAGCAGATCTACGTAGCGCACCAAGTAGAGCTAAACGCGCCCGGGGCTGAACGGTTCAAATTCAAAATTTTAGAATCTGGTTGACTTCAGTCTTCAAGGACCAAGCTTAGGCAGGTCGATTGCTGCGATGACAAATCCACGAGGAGCACTGCCACTGAAACTACCGTGGAAGTCGCGCGCAGCGGCATGGTTAGCGAGCTGACACCCCCAAACATCTTTCTTTCTCGAAGAACATCTCAATAGCGTTTGTTACGACTAGACAAGTTCAGGAACGGCAAAACTACTGACGAGCGGGCCAGTCTTCTTCGAAGACCTCATCGGACTTGCATTTGACAGAAGAAGCCAAGGGTGCATGTCTCAGGGTGAAGGATATTACGGAGACTTTGCCTCCGGACAATCTCAGATATCCGGAAGTATCTGATCCTCCCCCTGATCTACATGCGCGAAAACCAATGCGGATTCTTCTGTATGGGAATGCGAGTCACAGGGCCCGGTTCTTTCAGGGAAGTGGAAGCTGCGCCATGATCCTGGAGAGCGAGCTGGAAGCAGCTCAGAACAAATCGACTAGTTTCTAATCCGGCGCAAGATCGCTCGGACAAGAAACTCGCTGGAAGCCCCAGGGCAGAGAGGGAAAGCACATGAAGACCGACATCGTGTCCCTAGTGATCGGACGTGGAAAACTTCAACATGGCACGTGATATGTTGAGTTGGTTCATCAGGTAAGGGCGGCGCATACGGTTTTTGTACTTTTTCAGTTCCAAAGTCATGACTGACTCGGTAGAATTTCAGAGAATCTCCCTCGATGCTGTTCCAATCACGTCGACTCGAGGGTCTGGCCCGACAAAAATAGCACTTCCCACAGCCGACAGCACCTTCCCCGCCGTCGATTCGATACCGAACCTCTGGCGTCGACGCATTCTTCTCATGTCTATAGCTTCGAGATGTTCTCTAAAGTGTCCGAGGGTACGGGTCGGCTTGTAACCGGGCCCTAGAGAAGATAAAACCAGACATCGAGCCCCTGGTTGTTTCAATCTGGACCCATGCATCTCCTCCTTCAAGTAGCGATTTCAGTCTTGCCCATCGCAGTCTACTATTTTCTAAAACCTAAAGTGGATCCTATCCCGGATCTGCCAGGTCCAGAGTCCTCGTCGTGGTTTTATGGTGGGCACTGTCTCTCAAAGTCGTTGCCCGATAGCTGATTGTCCCGCGTAGGGAACTTGGCCGAACTTCTCCTCGCCCCGGACTATGGCAAGTACGAGTTCACCTGGCTCAAGCGCTTTGGAAGCGTATACCAAATCCGGGGTTGTTTCGGAGTGAGTGTTTACCAGACAACATAGAATGGCCTGGGTCGGGAGGCTCACTCTGCGGATAGCGCACCCAAATCGTCATCGCGGACCCGGTAGCGATGCACCACGTGTTTAGCAGTCCGAAGTGGGACCAAGCACCTCCGCTTTCAACGATGATGTGGATGCTTTTCGGATCGCAGAGCGTGGAGGGCTTCAGAGGTGAGACGCACCAATCAGCGTTCCAGCTTAAGTGACCGGAATATTCACGTGCGACGTGATCCAGCTGGGGGACCCGAGCATCGTCATTTACGAGGGGCGCTCAACGGCGCCTTCACGGCCTCTGTTGTCCAGAGCTACGAATCAATCTTCGAGCGAATTGCTGCCGGGGTGCGTCTCGTACTTTGCTGCCCCCGACCTAAGTAGTAAAGCGATCCACATGGCACAGATTTCCGAAAGGATTGAATCGAGCCCCACGAACACTGTCGATATCGCGGACATACTCTCGGATGCGACATTGTCTGCCATCTCACTAGGTATTTTGATCCCAGAGACTGCACGATGATGACGATGAGTAATTTTACGGCAGCTTTGCTCAGCCGCCCTGTCGAAGAGCTTGACCCCGGTTTCGTCCAGCTCAATACCAATCTCTTGTGAGCCTTACTTCCAATTATTTCTACTTGGAGTAAATGCTCTCAGTCGTGCCGCGGCGAGATCCTCAAAGAAGGACCTCTTATCGACCGAATTACTGACCAATTATATCCCTCGGCGCTTACTCTACAGGCTGCTGCATTTCCGAGTAGCAGGGTGGCACGCCGTGATACATGGTCGAGATCTCGGTCTGGCAATCGGGCGAGCTGCCGTCGAGGATAAGTTGCGCGCTCAGGCATCAGGCGAGGACCAAGGGACCGAAGATGTGTATGATCTTCTCTGTATGCCTTTGCATTCGGGGTTTTTTTTTTCCTCAGACTTTGGCAGTATCAGGAAAAGCGGGCGCGACAAACAAAAAGCTGGATACAGAGGAACTGATCGCCCAAACAACCGTTCTTCTTGTTGCAGGTCAAGATACAACGGTCAGTAGATTTCCCAACGGCATTGTCCATACACCTCACCGTATATTTCCCAGGCAAACACATTGGCATTCACTCTAATTGAGCTGGCCCGCAATCCCGCCCTCCAAGACCAGCTCCGCACGGAAATACATGCCCGCGCGCCAGGACAGTCGTACAACCAGCTGCCGCTGCTCAATGCCGTCGTCAAAGAGGCGCTGCGGATGTTCCCTGCAGAACCTGTCACAGACCGGCTTGCATATGAAGACGACATCATTCCTCTTTCAGCGCCCGTTCTGGACCGCCACGGGCGGAAGATCGAGTGCATTCCCGTTCGGAAGGGGCAAGTTGTGACGATGGCTATTGCCTCATACCAAAGGTGGCGTTGTATCTCGGCTGGCGGCGCTCAGCCAAACTAATTTCCGTAGGATGGCGTCCCGATGGGGATCAGACGCGATGGATTTCAACCCAATGCGATGGCTGGAGGGAGGCTCGGTCCAGACTAGCGACGTCATTGGTCCGTACGCAAATCTGTGAGCACTCGATATTCCACATCAGCAGCGAACACGCATCTCACATTGCCCAGAATGAGCTTCGTAAGTGGATCACGAACGTGTATTGGGTAAGTTTTCTTTGCTGTTTCACCCCACACAAGGAAACTTACTCAGTATTCAGATGGCGATTCGCGTGGGTCGTCACTTGTCAATTCCTTGTGCTACACGCTCAAATCATCCCTCTAGCGTCATGGAGATGCAGATCATCCTCTGCGAGCTTGTTGGCAAATTCAGCTTCAGCATTCCGCCTGGGACCAAGACTGTTGCGCGGCTGGCACACACCCTGCTCCCGTTGGATGAAAAGATCGGAGAGAAGGCTGCTATGCTACAGGTCAGATCCGTATAAGCGGCTTATTCGCAATCATTACATTGTTTTTGGATGGCTACAAATTATGCGCAGTTTGAATACAGTGACAGAAACAAGGGAATGTAGATCTTGGGGGATACAATATGTCACTTTCTTGCACAAAACCCACACGGTTGTTGATCGACACGTAGCGGGCAGAAACTTTACCCCAAGTTGGTCGTCCAAGTCCAGATATTTGTCCCCGCTGTGAGGGATGGAGTTCAAGAGAAGTAAGATTGGAACGGTCATCGCATTTGATTTCAGGATTCTAGACCCCGTGTGTCTGTGATATTTCCACCGATCGTGTCTGCCCGGCGCGCAGCAGTGCTTCGAGCTGTTCGATCTTTGCTTCGAGCTGTTCGAGCGTTGCTCCAGCAGCAGCTCTCTGTTGCTCCGACACCAGACGAGCCATCACATAAGCAATTGTCTCTCGGCGGAGAGCGAGTAGCGGGGCATCATGCTTCTACAGCCCCGATCAACGATCGGATGACCATCAACAATGAAAAAGACATACCCAGCGGCTGTTGTCAATCTCTTGGCGAAGATTCCGGATGTGTTCGGAATCATAGTACAGGGTTGGGAGACGGTCTTTGAAGATGTGCTGCATTCTGGCCGTCTCACTGGTGGTCCCATCCCAGTTGAGCGGGTCCGTCTTAAGGCGAGCTGCTCCTCGTGCAGTATAGATGGCAGGGTCGAGGTGCTTTGTGCGCTTAACCAGAGTATCAAAGACAAGGCGCGAGAGGAAGGTGTAGCATGACGAAACAGGAAGGTCGTGTGGAAACGGAAACGCGGCCCAGTTCGAGACCCAAAGAAAATCGACCATGCGCATTGCACCCTCCATTGGTAGGTCGAACGAAGCAAGCAATTTGCTACTGCCCATCATGTCCATAAGGTATCTTTGTTTTCTGGATCCTGAGATGAATAACTTGGCCATCGGTGTCCGGATTCGGCGCTGGTTCGTGGACGTAAAGCCAATGCCGCCTGTCTCCTGCGTTGCATTGGTTCCGCGTTCTTTAGATTGACTGCTGGAGAAGTGAGAATGCATTGGGCGGAAGGGCGGATTCCACAAACGTGGCCGTCTCATCGCGTGCTGCTGGACCCTCGGCGCAGTCCTGATGAACGGAGGCAGGGGGAGCGACCTGTTGACTCTCTTCCATTCCATCATAGAAGGACCAGGAAAGGAGAAGATAGTTTTCGGGCAACAAGGGACCCTCCTGACGGTTGGCGTACTTGCAAATGATGTATTCAAACGGGCTCCACCTTTGCTTGTAGAGTTCGACTCGGCGCAGGACTAGATTGTCGCACCTGTCGCCGCTGGCGATCACTTGGTTCAGGAGCGCCGTCGCGCTGAAGACTTGAGGTGGATACGGGAGTTTGTTGGCGTCAAGAGGTGGAAAGAAAAACAACACGAGGCAGTGGTACATATCGGTAGGCAGAGGGCCTTCTGTGATGCGTCCAGCATGCAGGAGGACCTCGTGAAAGAGCGTCAAGGCTTTCTCGACAACGTGCATGACGAGTGAGGTCAAAGTGTACATGAGGGCGTGTCCTGTAGCTGTCGAGTCAAACAACATGGAACTTCTCTGATGGGTGCGCGAGGATGCCTGGCTTTTTAAACGAAGAGGATGGTCGCCTTGAGCATGGTGCGCAGTAGTCGGCCAAGTCATAGGCAGAGCGGCAAAGCGGCAGAGCGGAAATGAAAAACGCAGCGTCACAGTCGGGGAAACGGCCCGGATATGCCTCATGAGCACAGGCTGTGACCTCAAACTTTCCGGAAGAAAGGACAGTAATAGTGTCGCTGGACGATTCGAGACGAGAGTCTTGGAGCAGATAGCGTTTGCGACCTTGACAGCTATGGCAGGACTGCGCTAAGGACCCGGAACTCAGCGATAGTCTTCTCGACGGTCAGTATATGACATAACGAGAGGCGTGCGAGAAGTACTGCGAAGTGAACACTGTGTGAACGCTTTCAACAGCGAGGTAACAGTCCCGTCCCATCGTTGATGAAATTGGACTTCTAGAGCTGCTCGGGTATCTGCACGGTCCATGACCCCGTGGAGAAGAGGTGGAGAGGAAATGAGGAGCCGCTTCCAAGTCCTAGATGGCTGTGCCCTCTCTCCTCCCAAATATGACAATTCAATAAGCTTGAGCCTGAGACTCGACGTCATCTATGCCGCCTTTCCTCCGCAGCCCAGACGCTCCAGGCCGGGGTATAAATATTGTCAGTACATGAATGCCTGAAGATCTTATCCACCCAAATACGAATTAGACATGTCCACGAAACCACGAGCGATCCACTTCGGAGCAGGCCAGTTCCATGCAACTGCATTCTAGCAGGGCTCCAGGCTGACTTTCTCCCCCACTCCAGGGAACATCGGGCGTGGTTTCATCGCCCCCCTGCTATATTCTTCAGGATATCATGTCGTCTTCGCCGATGTCGACAAGAAGCTCATAGATATCATCAACGACAAGCGCTCGTACGGGGTCCACATCCTCGACACGAACCTCGACGACGGGGAGAAAGTTGAGGAAGTCGGTCACGTCAAGGGCGTGCTATCAAACACGGACGACATCCTCCGGGAGCTTCTCCACCCCAAGCTCAGGCTGATCACCACGGCGGTCGGACTGCCCATCCTCGACAAGGTCGCGCCGACACTGGCCAAGGGGTTCAGCGAGCGCCGCACGAAGGACATCCCGGGGACGATCAACGTCATCGCGTGCGAGAACACGATTGGCGGCACGGCGCAGCTCGCGGAGAAAATTCGGAACCACCTGGACGCGGAGGATCTCGACTTCGTGGCGCAGCACGTCGGTTTCTCCAACTGCTCCGTCGACCGCATCGTCCCGCCTTTCGACCCCGACGAGCACGACGGCGCGTCGAAGCTCAACGTGGGTGTGGAGGAGTTCTTCGAATGGGTTGTGGAAGGGCCAGCACTGCACGGCGGAAAGCTCGATCCGCCCGTCGAGGGAATGACGCTCACGGAGAACCTGAAGCCCTACAACGAGCGCAAGCTCTTCACGCTGAACGCGGGCCATGCCATCACGGCGTACCTCGGCTTCCTGAAGGGCCTGCCCACCATCGACGCCAGCATCAGCGACCCCGCCATCCGGGACGTTGTCAGCGCCGCGCTCCGAGACGAAGCCGGTGCCGCACTGTGCAAGCGCCACGGCTTCGAACCCGCCCAGCACGCGGAGTACGTCGAGAAGATCATCTCGCGGTTCTCAAACGCAGCCGTCAAGGACGACGTGGCCCGCGTCGGACGCCAACCCTTGCGCAAGTTGGGGCGAGAGGACCGGCTTGTCGGTCCGACACGTCTGTGCTCTGGATATGGGATCCCTGCGCCCAATCTGGCTAAGGGAATTGCGGCTGCATTGCTCTACGAGAACAAAGACGACGAACAGAGTATCGAGATGCGGAAGACACTTTCGGAGAAGGGCCTGGACGAATATGTCACCGAGTTGACTGGATTCGAGCAGGGCCACGATGCCCATAAACTTATTTGCGAAGCTTACTCTCACTTGGAAAAATCGAAGTCGCACTAGGGGTAGATATGTCTCAGACCGTAATAACAATTGTAAACGTACTCAAGTATGTAGCATCCGTTGGCAATCCTGTAATCATGTAGAGCCAAGTTAGGCCAGTAGATCAGACCACGTGCAAGCCTCTCAACACATCACTTTCTAGTAGCGAGGGTGTGTACTATACACTTTTAATACATGATACACAATTTCTATCATGCAACGCGACGCGTTCTGAGAGTTCACATGACCGGGAACAGGTCATGCGGCAGGATCACGCAAAACTCGATATCAACTCGAGTTGCAACTCGACTCAGCTCAATCAATCGAGTTGACAGACTCGGTTGCCGAGTCGAGTCATCAACTCGAGTTCAACTCGACTCGACGGCAACACTACTTTCTACCCACGGCACGCCCGGGCGCTGAAGTGCAGCCTACAGCAGTCTCCAATAGCGTCTAAATTCAACGTGACTTAGACGTAAATGGGAGTGCCGCGAATGTCTGAGTTTGAAACAACTTCCGTCTACTTTCCTCCTCTCTAACACACCTCATGTGCTCCCTCACATCGACGCGTTCGAAGACGGAATGTGGCTATCTCTCCAAGGACTATGCCATCTACAGCTGCTCTCATCCGGCTACCCCCACCGTGAAACGATGGTCTTCGCACGTCTTCACAGCATCACTGAAGGCAGATTCCTGACCACTATCTGATTAGATCTGCTGCCTACACCGAGGTAATGCCATTGATTGTCTCTGCACCACCGAAGATGCTTCGCTACTTCTTGTGAGGGTTGGATCCTCCTAGGGATGCCGCTGTCTGACGATGTGCTACTCAGCCACAACGGATACCGCGATATAATCCAGATCAGCTTAGAGTTGCCTCCGACGCACACCCGGTTCTCCCGGTGCGTTGCCCCCTATCCCCCCGCGCCATCTCTCTTTCCAGCCTCTGACAACCCTCCAGAAACATGGTTGACGTTGTAACGACGTACGAAGTATCAGTCGAGATCCCGCGAACGTATCCTGGCCAAATGCTGTACGTCCTCGACCCTTCATCAACTGGCGTATTCTCGCTGATGGGTACAGACCAACTACAGATCGCAGAGAAGTATTGTTTAAAGAACTGGAGGACTTGCCGGAACGAGATCTGACCACCGCTGCCGAATGCTCAAAGTACGTCTGTCTCAGAAGCCGCGCGACGTCTCTTGACTTTGTCCAGTGGCCTGTTCTTCATCCGACCCGTCAAACTCATCTTCGAGGTCATGGTCAGAACGGATCCCATGATCATCCTGTGCGTAGTTTCTCTTCCCAGAATCAATCCACCTAGCTTAGGATCGGCCACTAGACCCGGCCACTATCGCAAATCCTTCGCGTGGACCTTTTACCGAGAACAAGACGGGCAGAGAAGAGCTCGGAACTGGTCCGTATCCACGACAGCTACCCTGATCGACGACTCGCCCGTGCCTCTTGCACCAAAAGTCTCCTGTTCCCACGACGGGCTGCGCAAACGGGCCAAGAAAATCGGACGCGCGGCGCGCAAACTGGGGCCTGGCTCCAGCGCCACGCGGTCGCTGAAGCAGAAGATTCTGCGACGGATCCCGTGCACGGAGGAGTGGCGGTGGAACCGCGAGTTCGCTGTGAAGACGGGATATCACAAGCCGTTGCCCCAGAATCCGAGGCTGACGTATCAGCAAGCGTTGAGGCTGAAGAGACTGGAGGAGCCGGACTACGTGCCGCTTTCGCAGAGGATCGCCAGAAACCATCCCTTGTACATAGCCTTGTATGATTGACGAGCGGGTTGTTCATATGCAATCCGTTTGGTGAACGTGCTAGCAGAGTGAGATCTCTCTGAAAACGATCCACACTCCGAAGTTGAGTCATTTCGAATTCAGGGTCGTAGCGCCCTGTTCCAATATTTGAGTCTGTTCCTCCATGCGAGCAAAACTCTTGAGAACGACCAGACACCAAGGTTCATGGACGAGTGATTGTTCGAAGACTTGAAAGCATCAGCGTTGGCCGGATTATATGTCAAGTACAAAAGAGTGTTATTATACAATTTGCAAGAGCAGTCAGCGCACTGGGTTCTACATTGTCTCCACCTTCAAGCATCCACATTCATAGCCGTCGAATCCACCACCGTCTCGACAGCAGCAAGAGAGGTAGCTCCCTTGGGACGGAGAGAGAAGACGACATCCTTGATGACCTGCGCGATGAGACCGTGCTGAGCCTCTACCGCGATCTTCGTGCTGCGAGGAATCTAAGCGTCGGGGCTGAGGCCATACTCCAGTAGCGTACCTGTCTCGAACACTCTTCGCCAGCTGATTCTCTTCCCTTTTCTTGTCCTCTTTCTCCTTCTGTTCGACCCCCATCAGTTGCTTTTCGTAACATGCCGCGGTGTAGAAAGGAAAGGTACCTTGGCAGCTGCGCCCTGGCTTTCAGGCAGAACGGGAACGGGGGCGCGGGTGTTCCCGACTGCATTCTGCGCTTTGCTCAGTTTGAGATGCAGATCGGTCAGCTGAGAAACAGCGTATGCGCGATTCTATGGCAGATGTCATCATCCGCACCGGGGGAGTAGGCGCGCAGTTACACGCACAGAGATGAGGGGGCTTTGGCTCAGAGTGTTGACCCAGTACTTGTTCCACAGCATCCCAAGGAGCTCGTCATCCAGCTTGGACTTGAAAATCTCGACCTCGAGCTGGTAATACTGGGACGCGTGCACACCAAAGTCCTCGATCTTCTCGAGCGGAATGGACTGGTACTCCCCGGCCCCGCCGGCATTCGGCGGCGTATAGTTCTCGGGGTACGTCCGGAACGCGCCGATGTCGACTTTCCCCGCGGACACGGTGCGGTTGGGGTCCACGACTACGGCGACGAACGGGTCCTGGAACTTCTGGTTGTTCATCTGCGTGTTCACGTCGATGCCGGAGAGCCAGCAGCCGTATCCCGGGTGCGAGTGGTACCAGCCGACGGCGTTGTCCGGCCGTTGTGCCTGCACGATGTCCATCAGCCCTTGCCGCACGCGCCGAGAAAGACAGAGAGAGGAGAGACAGTTGGGCCACACGCACCTTCTCGCTCTCACTGATGTACGTCACCATGTACTCGTTAGCCTCGCTTGCAGCATTGACACGCGTCTCCGTCCCCTGCACGGGCAGCGCGAACGAGTCCATGATCACTATTGACGTCCCGACGACCTTGCCCTGCATGAGCCCCATGATCTCGTGCGGCACACCCGAGCGCGCGTGGATGACCATCTTAATCAGCGCGATGGCGGATATCTTGCATGTCTTGAAGTAGTTCGGGCTGCCCACGAGCGCGTCAGGAATCACAGCGCAGAGGCACGGACGGACGCGCGGCTCACTCCTTTGACCACGGCGACTCGCTGTTGATCTTGCGATCGGCGTCCTTGTCGTATCGGAAGATCTCGTCTTCGGGAGACACCTCTAGAATATCATTCGTGAGGGAGAATGTCTTGAGCGCAGTGCTCGACGACATCGTGGTGGGAGATGGCAGGTCCGCTCGTTAGTGGCAGTGTTGATGAGTGGACAGCGGCATGAATTTTGGCTCAAGGCATGTACGATCCTGTTCATAAAACATACAGCATCTCACGTATAGATACAGATCCATGCAGATACAATAGGTTTGTCTACGAAAGCTTCTTGAGCGGCTCGATGACCGTGCCCATCTGCATAGCGGTCAGCAAAGGAAACACCAGCAGAAAAACACCCACTTTCTTGACCACTTTCGGTAGTGTTCCCTTCTGGAAACCAACCCGCGTGTTCCATTCCGTGCCCAAAGGCGTCTGCATGCTCCGCTCGTACTGGGCACGACTTGTGTACGGGTACGGCACGTCTTTGACGAGATACTTTGCCGCTTTTTTGTCCTTCTTCTCAGAAATGATGATATGAGCCTTGTTTGCATCGGCACGATCTGCAGCTGCAACTCCTGGGATCTTCTTTACGAACTTGGGGTTGGGCTTCTTCTTTTGAGTCAGCGGGCCGCCCCACGATCCCTGAAAATATCGTCGGTCCCAAGGACAAGCAAGCTGTCAGGCAACGCACCCAGCCTGCAAGTGTCGTATCGATCTCTTTCGGCGCGTCCGATGCGATTTCTTGCCGTTTGGCTTCTTCGAATTCCTGCAGGATCCAGTTTAGATTGGACAAAACAGTGGGGCGATAGCATCCACACCTTGACGACATTGTCACCAGCAAATGCTCGTGCCACCAGGTCTCGCTGCTCGAAGGAATGTACACCCTTCTTTTTGTTCTTGAGCAGAGCCTGCTCCTGGGCCTCGACTTCGCTGTTCTCGTCGCTGTCGTCCCCACCCATGACGTGCGACATCTCGATCTCGACACGATCATCGTCCCGAGCAGCGGAAACCACGTCCTTGTCCAGCTTCTTCTCGTTCTTCGACAGCTTGTGCCGCGCCTTGTCCATGTTCTTGCTGTCCTTGCTGACCACGACTTGGTTTTTACCACGGGGAGCTTTGGGACCTGAAGCTGTCTCGGTGAGCCAAGGATTGACTTCGGCGGAAAGCAATGATTTGGGTGCGGCGGCGGGTCGTCCGTCCACTTCACGCGCATCAACCATAGTCTCGGATTCTGTAACATCGGCAGGAGCTGCAGCGCCAGAGTTTCCCTGAGTTTTGATCAGCGAAGGAGACTGCTCGCAAGCACGCCTCACGTACGGATTTCCTCTTGGTTAGTTTCTTCACCGGTTGGAGCGTCATCCGCCCGCCTGTCCGCGTCGTCACGACATCCTCGGTACCCTCTGCGCCACTTTCTTCGTCGGCTCCCATGCCCATTTCCTCCAAGAAATCATCCGCAGTCTGTCGTGCCTCCGTCATCTGCCGTCGCGCTGCATCTTGCATGAACTTCATCCCGAAGACACCCTTCTGCTTCGCAACGGAGTCGTCCTCCTCTGCTTGCAGGGACTGGATTTCGTCGAATGCACGTCGCTTGATCTCGGACTCGTCCTGGTCGTCACCGTCCGAGTCGTCATCGCCATCCTCGCCACTGCCCCGGATGAGACGAGCCAGCTGCTCTTTGCGATCGAGTTCATTTTCGATTTCCCGCCGCACACCCATTTCGTCGTCGCTGTCAGCTTGCCCGTCCTTTGCCTTGCTCCACTTGGCGCTCCGCTTCACGCGAAGTCCAGCACGGGCCCGCGCCCGGTCGACCTCCCGCTGCATTGAGTCCTCGCCGTCCTCGCCCCCGTCCTCGCCCTCCAGAGCCTTCTGACGCTCTTTGCGACCGCGGGCGATCTTCCGGTACGTCTTGCTCTTGATCTTGGCCACTCGCTTCGCGCGCATCTCGCCCCGGAACGCGAGCTCGCGCATCTGGCGCAGCTCCGCACGCCGCTTGATGACCTCTTCCGGCGTGAGTTTGGCGGCCATCAGCTCGTTCTCTGTCCTGGTGATGTCCGCGTCTTCGGCCAGCTGGGCCTTGGCGAGCAGTTTAGACACGGCAGACTCGAGTTTCGTCGAAGGCTGGTCGGGAGGATGTTAGACAGTGATATTAGAAAAACAACATTAGATGGAAGACGTGCCTTGAACGTGGATGCGAGATCAGCATTTGAGACGCGTCCGAGCCCTGGCTCCGGCTGCAGGGGAAAGCTCAGATGCTCTGCCTCCCTGATTTGTCTCATCGTAGGGTCCCATTTCGCCGCCTCTTCCTTTGTCGCCTCGTACGCAGCCACTCGGTCGATCCGGTCTTGCGTTCGCAGCGGAAGCGGGGCAGCCAGCGCACCACCCTTCTCGAGTCCCGCCTTTCTGCCCGGAGCCTGCTTCACCACCTGCCGTCCCTGGATCGGCGCTGCACCAAGGCTCTTCTCAACAGCAGAGAGCGGAGTCGATAACGGGGCGAGGAGATCGGCGAGCGAGACCTTCTGAGAACCACCGACATGAAACTGGCCCTCGGCACCTGCCTGGGTGCGTTCCTTGATCACGACGCGCTTCTTGCGAGGAGCAGCGTCGGGCTCGGTTTCCGCTTTCCGTTTGGCGGTGGACGGCGCGGCGGATGGTAGCCCTGAGATGAAAGTGTGCAATGCGTCCAATGCGTCCGAACCGTCGCCGGGTTCATCGTCACCAGAACCAGTAAATGGGTCATCCTCGTCCTCCTCCATTGCATCATCATCCGCTGACTCGACCTCTTCATCGAGAGAGTCTTCCTGGTCGTCCTGCAGATCGTCGTCCTGGTCTTCCTCATCCTCAGTGGGTTTGAGAGGAGCGAGCAGTCCTGGGGGCGGCTTTTTGGGGGGAGGATCGTCATCGTTATCCGAATCTTCGTTCCAGACCTGCCCTTTGCCGTCGAGAACGTCCAGGATGTCAATGAACGTGTCCGAGTCTTCTTCTTCCTCTTCCTCCTCTGTTTCGTCTTCTGCGTGAGCGAGATCGTCCTCCTCGTCCTCGTCAAGGTTCACTTCAGCGAACCTAACAGAGCGTTTGGACTTATTGTTGGATTTGTCGCTTTTCTGAGCAAAGAGTGAGGGGAGCAAAACTGATCTCCTCGAGGAACTCACCCTGCTGAAGACACCGCCAAAGCCATCCGCATCTCCATCCACGTCCTCAAAAGCATCGTCGCTGTCGATCTCCTCGTCTTCGTCACTGTCGATGACATCTCCTTCTCCGAACAATCGGGGCTGCGTCCCGTCCATGTCCTCGTCCTCGTCTTCGTCGTTGTCCCGCGTACCATTCCGCTTAGCACTCCTCCCCGGCGCATCCTCGCCGAAATCGTACTCGAGCTCGGTCGTCTCCTTCCTATCCCTTCTTCCCTTGCCCTTGCCTTTGCGGCGCCTGTCCTCGTTGTCCACGAGCTCATACACATCGTCGATCCGTGGAGCGGCGGTTTTGGTGGATTTTCGTTTGAGATAGCCCGCAGCATTGGCTTTCGCTTTTGTGCCCTTTCCGCCGCCTCCGTGCTTCTGTTTCGGCTTGGGGTTGGAGGTACTCGCTCGGGCCATGATGGCGGAGACGGCTGAGACGAAAAATTGGCCGGTGATCTGTGTGGTTGCCGAGTCTCGGCCCGCGCACCCGCCCTTTCGTATTGATGTCGACGTTCAAGTGAAAATTCTCCGCTCGTCTTAGACTCTTACGGTCTTAGGGAAGAATTTGTGTTGCACTAAGATATATTCCAAGTAATACACTCTCGTAACTGCGCACCTGTACGGTACTTTCCAAGTAGAAAAAAGAACGATAGAGCGAATGTCGCACCTCAATCCATGTACGAACAAACAGAAGATGCAAGACAATTTTGTTCCGGGACGAAAAAATGATTTCACAGCATACATTCAGATTACATGGCAAACGAGAAGATACGATATGATACAGAGCCAGCCTCCCACAGAAATCCATCAGACAAACGCTCGACTCGCAGGCCTGCTCTGAACAATCCTCGCGGAAGATCCAAAAGCAAGTCAAAACGTCATCGAGGCACCGCGAAGGAGCCATGTTCTCAGTCAAACGAGCGAGCGCGGAAGTCATCGAGTGGATTTGAAGGATGCGGCATTTGTAAAAATGCGAGACTCGGTCAGTTTCTATAAAAAGATCCTGATGAGTATGTATCTAAAGAACCGTGAATGATGGGAGCTTGCCTTTATAGGATTCGAGGATGGTCCGTGCAATACCACGTGAAACATCCGCACGTGACTTCCTCTATGGCCAGCACTGCTTCATTCGCACAGTGTATCCTTGTCTGCGCATGTGTCTCTGATTCCAAATTGAAGACTCTGGCGATGCCCTGCCAGTATTCAAGGAGGCGTTCCATGCGGATACGGTGAAAACCCTTGTGTCAAGCAGATAAGCATGATGGAAACAGTCATCATCCGAAAACCCGGCCAATTCTTAGATGCCACTCTGCAAGTAGATACTGGTCTATACTGGTTATCGGTAATCAGGTGAGTTTCCTGTTTCCCGGCATGCTAAATTGTGGCCGTGTCAGGAAAGCTAGTATGCCGGAGTACGCGTCGAGCTCTGACATCGCGTCATCAGGCCGATCGCCAGACGCGACGCGTCACAATCCGGGCTCATTTACTCAATTCAAGCCGGCCGGAACGCGACATATAATCCAGTGACGATCCGGTTGGCACCTATTTATTCCCCTCTGCTCTACGATTCTACTGCACCCACGGCACCGCTACTATGCGTTTCACCACGCTCGACTTCATCATCGCTCAATGGTCGCCCCAGCACCCCGTTGTTAAAGCCGACCTGGCGGGGAAGACCGTCGTCGTCATCGGCGCCAACACCGGTCTGGGTTTCGAGGCCTCGAAGCACTTCGCGCAGATGAATCCTGGCCGGCTGATCCTTGGGTGCCGCAGCGAGCGCAAGGGGAAAGACGCCGTAGAGAGTGAGTTTCTCCTTCCCTCCCTCCCTCTCTCTCTCATTCCAGTGCTCATCTCATCTCGGCGACTCAGAGATTAAAAATGAGACGGGGATCTCAGCGGAGTTATGGCTGATCGACCTCGCCGACTTCGCGTCTGTCTCTGCGTTCGCTGACCGGTTCGAGCGGGAGGGTGGACGGCTGGATATCTTGGTCGAGAACGCAGGTGTTGCGACGGACAAGTACGAAGTCAGCAAGGATGGCTGGGAAACATCGTCCGTGTCCCCTATCGATATATGCACCATTGTTTCTGACGCGCGTGGCCCCGCGCAGGATGCAGGTCAACGACCTCTCAACGCCTCTTCTCGCGCTGCGTTTACTTCCCCTGATGGTCAAGACTGCTAAAGAGCATCAAACAACGCCTCGCCTGGTCATCGTCGCTAGCGAGGTGCACCACTGGACAGAAATATCCAAGGAAGTTGCTGAGGACCCGTCCCCGCTTTCGGTCTTGGGCAGTGCCGAGTTTTGCTCAGAGTACGTATCCCAACTCACCGATCGTTCCTCGCATCTCATAGCCCTATGACACAGCCCTAAACAGATGACGGACCGATATTATCTGACGAAGCGTGCGTCCCTTCTCTCATCTTTCTCTCGTCCGTCTCTCGCTCTCTTCCGAATGCGCTGACCGATCTCGACCAGTCCTCAACGTGTTCTTCGTGCGCGCCTTCAACGACCGCCTCCCTCCCTCCACCCCCGTAGTCATTGATGCCGTCAATCCCGGATTCTGCCGCAGCGAATTGAACCGCGAAGCAGTAGGACTCGCAGGAATCCTGTTCGCCATCATGCAGCTCCTCCTCGCGCATACGACCGAGGAGGGCAGCAGGCAGCTGATTTATGCCGCTCTCGCCGAAGGAACTGGTGAGAAGTTGCGTGGACAGTTCGTCACGAATTACGGTGTCTCGGAAGTCAGCGACTTTGTCCTCACCCCAATGGGTGTCAAGCTCCAGGACAGACTTTGGTGCGCCCGTTTTCTTTCGTTTTCTGATCACTGTTTATGTGTTCCAATGCAGGGACGACTTGATTGACATCCTCCAGAAGGTGGATCCAAAAGTGGGGGACGTCGTAAATTCCTACCTATCGTCTTATAGTTCGACTTAGTTTAATCAATTGTAAGATGCATTTGCAACCCCGCACAATGGGCAGTTGTCGCCGTGACAGGAAGAGTCATCATGCAAATGATCCCACTCATCAGATTTCACTCTCCCAGGGAATGCTGCAGGTAGTGCTATCAAATACTTGATATTATTACTTCGAGCTGAATCAGACTAAATCCCGCTCTGTCGGGAAAGCTAGTTTGCCGTAAGTAAATCCCGCTCTGTCAGAAAAGCTGGTACCAATCAATACACGTGATTGCCATTTACTGTTAGAACTGCTTCATACACTGTCGCCCTGCATGTGTTTCTGGTTCAAACCAGGGCTGGTGAATTTTTAGATCGTTAATCCGTTAATCCGTTAATCCGTTCATATCGTTCATCAGCTTGTATTTTCACTGATTGATCCTCATTTTGAGTGATCCTCAGAAGACCAGTACAAGTCGGATGTAGAGAACAGACTCAGTTCACGATGATTATCAGCTGAGTAAAAGCACATTGAAAAACCAAGCCGACAAATACTCCCAAATTCAATTTTCATGCAGCATCGCACTTCTTCAGACGCGTATGACTGCCAAAGCTCAAAGCTGCCAAAGAAGAATTATGAATTTTATAAGCTGATGTCATTAGATGAAATTCTCTTAGAAACTGCTGCAAGTAATGCTGTTATCACGGCGCGCTCAATCCCGCTCTGTCGGGAAAGCTGGTTTGCCGTAGTACGAGCAAGTTCAGACATCACGTCATCGGGCCGATTGACAGACGCGATGCGTCATACCGGCTCATTTATGCATCAGTGTCCGCTCAATTCAAAGCGGCCTCGTTCCAGACGCGATCCAACATATATAATACAGGGACAATGTGATCTATGTCTACTCATCCACATCTGCCCTACTGTTCCACTCCGCCGTGAAACCATCGCGATGCGTTACACCACGCTCGATTTCATCATCGCTCAATGGTCGACCCAGCACCCCGTCGTCAAAGCCGACCTGGCGGGAAAGACCGTCGTCGTCATCGGCGCAAATACTGGTCTGGGCTTCGAGGCTTCAAAGCACTTCGCGCAGATGAACCCAGGCAAACTTATTCTTGGGTGCCGGAGCGAGAGCAAGGGGAAGGAGGCCGTGGAGAGTGAGTTTGTCCCGCCTTCTCTCCCATCCCAGGACTCACCATCCTCGCCTCGGTTATCTAGAGATTAAGAAGGACACTGGGTTTTCAGCGGAGTTGTGGCTGCTCGACCTCGCCGACTTCGCCTCTGTCTCTGCTTTTGCCGACCGTTTCGAACGTGATTGCGGACGATTGGATATCCTGGTTGAGAATGCAGGAGTTGCGACGGACAAGTACGAAGTCAGCAAAGATGGCTGGGAAACCTCGTCCGTGTCTCCTATTGATGCAAACACCACTTTGTCTGACGCGTGCGGCCCCGCACAGTATGCAGGTCAACGACCTCTCGACGCCCCTCCTCGCACTGCGCCTGCTTCCTCTGATGGTCAAGACCGCCCAAGAGCATCAGACAACACCGCGCTTGGTCATCGTCGCTAGCGAGGTGCACTACTGGACAGAGATATCGAAAGAAGTTGCCGAGGACCCTTCACCGTTGTCGGTCTTGGGGGGCGCCGAATTCTGCTCCGTGTAAGCACCCTGCCTGATCGATCGTTCTCCGTCTCTCAAAGCTCTATGTACTATGCAGTCCCAAACAGATGGCGGATCGGTATCCTTTGACGAAGCGTGCGTCATACCTCTCCCTCGTCTCTCACTCCAGCTCACTCCCTCGTCCACTGATCGCTTTTGATCAGTCCTCAACGTGTTCTTCGTCCGAGCTTTCAACGACCGCCTCCCTCCCTCCACACCCGTCGTCATCGACACCGTCAATCCCGGGTTCTGCCACAGCGAACTCAGTCGCAATGCAGTGGGACTGGCAGGCATAATGTTCGCCATCATGAAGTTCCTCATCGCGCACCCGACCGAGGTGGGGAGCAGGCAGCTGGTGTATGCTGCCCTCGGCGAAGGCAACGGCGACAAACTGCGTGGGCAGTTTGTCACGAATTACGGTGTTGCGGAAGTCAGTGATTTCATCCTCACCCCGATGGGTGTCAAGCTCCAGGACAGGCTTTGGTGCGCTCGTTTCTTGTCGTTCCTCTGATGATCGTTTATGTATTCCGATGCAGGGACGACTTGATTGACATTCTCAAGAAAGTGGATTCAAAAGTTGGGGACGTCGTCAATTCTTACCTCTCGTCCTGAATGGAGCATGGGCCGGTTTGGCCAGTTGTAAAATATAGTTGCATGTGTAAAGCCGTCGGGCAAAATGGGTGCTTGTCACCGTTTGATTATTGCATGTAGGGGATGGTGTTACTCTCCGAATACATAATTATTTCTCAACGAAAGTCAACGGGGCAAAGGCCTTCACCATCAGTCAGTATCCAGACCTATGATCAGCAAAAGTCGACGACTCACATAACCGGTTCCTTCGTAATGCTTGCTGTTGGCCTCGACCCAGTGGAGCCGCAAGGCGTGCAAGAACGCAGAAAGACCCTGCAAACGACCTCTCAGTCTTGCTTTCAGACAATTCCAGATGGTCACGCACCTCCATGAGACAGAGGATTCCCACCGTCAGCGAGAACCACAGAAGGCCCACGATCAGTAACATCGCCCATCCAATCAGTCCCTGAGGGTCCAGCGCGTTTTCAATCGTCATGGACCACAGCACCTCCGAAAGCTGGGCGTGGGCAAGCGAAAGAGCCCACAGACGGAGATAGGACGCCGTGTGAGAGATACATCCGAGACAGAACTCGATCGTGTGGATAACTTGGTGGATCACGACCTCGCTGAAGTCATGGGTCTCCTGCGAAATGTCAGGTGAGGGCGGCACAGTATCAGCGACGAACGTACGTGTCCTTCGTCATCGTCCACAATGGCGCCGCCGTTCTCGTGGCCGTTGAGCCCTTCTTCCTCATCGAGCAATCCAGTGTCTCCGTTGTCAAGGCCCGTGTAACCGGCATGTTCGTGCTGATTCATCTCACGCCAGACATAGTACGGCTTCGCAATCAAGAGAATAGGGACACAGATTCCGGCAAGCATTATCAGGATGACCTGCACAGTGCCCTGGCCCGGGTAGAGTTGCGTTTCGGCCTCGACCGTTCCAGGCTTCAAGAACATGCCGATCAACATAGTCAGCAACAACGGCGGTTGTGTCGACATCTTCGTCCAGTCGATGCTCCATTTGTACAGGATGCAGATAACCAGGTAGCCGAAGATTGACTGCAAGAAGATCATCTGAGGGATGAAGTTCGCATAGATGTCGATCGGACGCTTGAACCGAAGGTGGTTTGGCACTTGCAAGCAGAGGGCGAATGTCATCTGCGCCATCATCAGCAAAGGAATACGAGAGCGACGAAGGACATACGTGGATGACACCCAAGACAACGGACATCTTCATCTTGTATGAGTTCGTGAAAACGAGGCCGTTGTCGGCACCGTGCCAGCCTGGATCAAGACCGAATGGGTACGTATGGCCGGTAGCAGTAGCGGTGATTTGGGTGTTGTTACCCATGGGCGGGAACACCCATCCAGAGTGCCAGATGTGCAACGACTTGGAGAAGATGTCGTTGTACATCAAACCGGTGTACATCGAGAAGATGCCCATCAGAAGGATAATGTAGCGACCACTGCAAGAGGGATGAGTGTCAACCCCCAGAACTGGAAAAAGACCTTACAAGAAGAACTGTCCCACGATCTCGCCCAAATCGGCCTTGGCCCACTTCTTCTCGACCATGATCATATAGAGCGCCGCACAGAAGAGAATGAAACCGTGTCCAATGTCACCGAACATGACGGCAAAGAGGAAAGGGAAAGTGACCACAGCAAACAGACCGGGGTTGACTTCCTGGTAAGTGGCGATACCATAGCTGTCCATGATCGTTTGGAATCCTTCTGTGAATTTGTTGGTACGGTTGAATGTGGGCGGTGTCTTGCTCGTGTGCAACTCATGCAAGATCGGGGGCACGCTGGTTCCAGAGTTGTCCTAAAGCAGATCAGACTCGAGCTAGTTTGAGGGAGCTGGACAAACACTCACCGTCGCTTTACGAAGGCCGGCCTGGATCTCCGGAATATCACGAGTAGGCACCCATCCTTCCGCGATGAGCGTCTTGCGCCGCACATCGTAATTGAAAAGGTTCAGTGTCTCGTAGATGAGCTTCTCCTTCCGCACAACGTCCTGCCAGCTGCGCAGGCTCTCCCCGATCTTGACCAGTTCGCTGCGTCTGTTGGAGCCAGTGTTGTACAGCACCGTCTGGATATCCTCGAGACGGACTGTAACCTCCTTGAGCGACTCATCACGTTTGCCGGAGTTGGCATCGATGGGATAGAGGGTGGCGCCCATGGACTCCGAGACCTTGCGGATCTTGGCAAGAAGTGTGTCTCCGTGAGCGAAGATGATGAACACGTTCTTGCGCGTCTCGGCGCCTGTGAAAGGATCGACGAAGGGCTCGACGATATCCGTGTAGTTCATGTACAAGTTGCCACGCAGTACACGCCAGAGAACACGCTCGAAAGTAGGAATTCGAGCGCGGTCAATGGTGCCAGCGATGAACTCGAGGTCGAACTGAACTCCGTTGTTCGAGTACTGAGCCTCTCGGTCATCATGCTGCAGCAGCGGTGCGGAGCTCTCATCGAACGAGCTGCGAATTTCGGTATGTTGGGTGTGAGCCTATCACATGGAGTTTCAGCATGCATAGCGCATGTCAGGCACATATATACCTTGTCAAAGAACACCGCAGTCTCCCTCAATACATGCCGGGCCTCGACAAGCTCCTTGGTACGCTCACTCAGCGTCTGATAGCTCTCGTTCATCCGGATCAAGCGTGACTCGTGCTCGGCCAGGGCAACATCGAGCTCGTCGATGGTCTGGGCCGCCCGAGGGCCGACAGTGATCAATGGCGCCGAGTCGTAGAGGGGGCGAATGGGCACGACGTCCTTCTCCTTCTCAATTTGCGTGGAGAAGAACCGAACACGGCGCGCCATTTCGTCAATGCGGCGGATTTCACCGACGAAGGAGCGTTGAAATGGGTTGATGGTGGGGTTGAGCTAGGTCGGGAGGTAAGATCAGTGCTTCGTCCGCAGCAAAGCCGACGGTGCGTACGTCTTTGAACTGAACATCTCCAAGTTCACCGAGCTCGGCTACAGCGTCATGCGCGACCTCAGTCGGCACGAACAACTGCACTAGGCTCATCTGCTCCGAGCCTGTGGTGGTACGAGGTCAGTCAGCATTGCGTTGCCTGCGTAGACATTTCACACACGGAACAGGCTGGGGTATTCGCTAGACATCTCGAGAGATATCTAATCGAGGGGAAAGACGGTACTGGCCGTGCCAGAATAAGACGTGAAGATGAAGGAAGGAAGGTGATGATGCGGTTGTTGTGAGCTGTTTGGTACCCACTGCCCGCTCACGGTGCGCATGTCAGTCCGCAACACGTAAACAATGCGTATTGCCCTCCTCAGAAGCTGCAATTAAATGTCCCACATCGAGCAAGTGTGTCAGCCGGGCACTGGCGATGTTCCACGCGCACATGTAATGTTTTGTGTCAGATGCGGGGTCGATCCTTGGACACACTCAACCCTAACCAGAGGGCCACTAATCTATCGAATACATTTTCCTTTCGCCAATCATTGTCGCGCCTGACGCGTCTAATCGCGACTCTGCACGATGGATACAACGGCCGAAGATTCCGTGGAGCAGCTTGTCACCACATGGATAGTTTCCGAGAGGGATGAGGAGATCGCGTCAGCTGTCGAAGGTAGACAACGCAATTCGCCTTGATTTGGACAACCACCTTACTTTGCATTCGAGTTGTCTCCAATGGCCGTCTGCTCGCCGTCGTCAAGGCTCTTGGACCCTATTTAACTTCAGAGACGGACGATCTCAGGTCAAAGGGTTCGCTGACCCTCCTGTAAGGCGCACGTTTGTCTGACTCAGTGGTATCACAGGCGTCGATTTTCTCGCTACTGTAGTCGCCAGATGTCCAGAAAACACTCTCAACCGACAAGCCGGTACCTTCCTTCAATCATGATCCTACTCCGAAATTCATCATCTCTCCAGTGAAAGTGCTCTCCACCTTCTTCTGTGACAAGCTCGACGACACCGAAACCATCGTTCCCGCACTGAAGGGCCTCGCCAGCCTCCCGGCAATCTGCAGCTCTGCAGATGCAGTGATGATTCTGAAAGCGCAAGTAGCCAAGTCCTCATCCTATCCACCCCCTACTACGACTGACCAAGGCTTCGCAGTGTCTTCGCCCATGTCCGCATGCGGGTGCTCGTCCAGTCCGTCCGATTCCATGTATTCTCGATCATGCAAGGGCTTCTTGCGCATCATAAAGAAAGTCAGTCCGAGCCGGTCACTATTTCGGATTGACTCTGATGACGGATCAGCGCTCAAGCAGGAGGACGTTGTTGCGCCTTACATCACTCTCGCGGAAGGGGAGAAGGATCCACGGAATCTGCTGGTCGCATTTTCGATTGTCCGGACTCTTCTGCGCGAATTTGACGTTGGGAGTAAGCATATGGAAGCCATGTCGAACATCGTCTTCTGCTATTTCCCGATCACGTTCCGGCCACCCGCAAACGACCCGTACGGAATCACCCCGGATGATTTGCGTCTTGCATTGAGGTGCGCAGGCTGTTCTTTTCTGTTGTTGGGCTGAGATTGACTCCACTAGACAGTGCATGGCTTCGGATCCGGCTTTGGGGCCGTACGCAATTCCAATCTTCCTAGAAAAGCTTGCCGCAGGTTCTCCCGCAATTAAGGTGGATACATCTTGCGACTTCTTTTCACCTCGAACCCGGTCTGAAGTCTCGGTAGCGCGACACACTACAATCGATGACGGAGTGCTTCACAGCATACGGTGCCAGTGCCCTGCGGCAGTTTTCCCGAAAACTTTGGAATTCTATCAAGCTCGAGGTATTCCACCCGACAGATCGGACCACGGAAGAGCTGGCGCTGTCCACCATGCAAGTATTGATCGTAACTCTCAACTCGGATGACGACGACGACAAGCTGGCACATGACGCATGCGAGGAGTGTATCGGAATACTGCGGGAGCCAGAGAAGAATCAAGCAAAGCACGCGATGAAAGTCCTGTGTGCTTTCTTATCAACGACGCGTGAGTTTTTATCTCCTGTGTACTTTTCCGCCGATGACATGGAAACGTAGCTTCCGTGGCTCGGTACACACTGTCGAATGTCATTCCTCATCTTTTGAAGTTGCTCTCGGAACCCCGAGAGGCTACAGCTCGCCCTTCGACATTCCTCCTGCTTTCTGATCTGATCGCTGCTGCGCGCGACTCCAAAACGAGTGCTCTGGCAGAGTACAAAGACGATGTTTTGGGCGCATTGATCTCCGGGATCGGGACATCGAGCACAACGCGGCCCGTACTGGCTGGTTTGACCGGGTTGGTATCGACACCCGATCTACTTTCGGACCAAGAACTCGGCTACGTCGTGCTCAAAGCAAACGAGACGCTGCTGAAATGTCTGGAGGAAGAACAGGGCGATGAAGGGTGCGTTATGATTTCTATGATTCCATGGACCTCCTCTGAAAACCCGCAGCAATGCGATCCTCAAGCTTCTCATGACAGTAGCGTCAAAGGCTCCACTGCATGTGCGAGACCAAACACTGCCGCTCTTGCTCGCCATTCTCCCCGAATCTGTTCCCGAAAAAGAGGAAGATTTCTGGCGATACCAAACAACCCTGGATGCTTTGGCGACTGTCAGTGGTCCAGCGCCCATCTTCACCGCCCTCGTCGAAGCGATAACCCCTCGGCTGTTTGCCGTAAGCACTACCACAGAACTGGGCGCAGCATACTTGCACGCGCAGTTGCATGCGATCAAACGCGTGTTATCCGAGAACGACGATGCCTTTGTAGCTTCGCTGGTGTCGGCGGTTTTCTCGCTGTGCCTGCGTTCAAGGCATCCGCGAGTCGTCCTGATCAGCGGGGAGATTGTGTCGTTGACGGTGCAGAGAATGACCACAGAGTGGGTAGCTATCTTTGTCAGCATTTCATCTTTGCTGATGGGTGGGCAGGCAGCAACAAGAGTTTGCATCTCTGCTCTTTCCCGCATTCTTGTGCGGAAAGATCGCTGCGGTTTGTGCTGGCGAATATCCTGCTCCAGAAACGCCGTTTTTCCCATTCTCCGTGAGTGGGCTGTATTTTCATAGCGGATGAATATCTGACAACGACACAGACGCAAGCGAGCAATGATGAACGGAATCTCTATGTTCTTTTTGAGGCAGCGCTCGTGCCACTTCGGCAGCAAGTGGTCCTCGACGACGATCTGAATGTCAGCCTCGAGACTATTCTAGTGCAAGGCATGATGCATGCAAGCACGGATCGGCAGCTGGAAGCTGTTGTGCGAATTGTGGGGTCGGTTTTGAATAAACATGCCGATGGTGAGTGTCGCGATAGTTCTCCGTCTCTCTGTCCGACGCAGGCATCAGCTTTGAGTTCGTTCCTGGAGCACAAGAACACTGCGTTCTGGTCGAGTCAGGTGCTCAACACTGGTCGCTCAGTCGAGGAGAGGCGGGATGCGATTCGAGTGTGGACCTGGGTGAGTAGTCCGACCACTCCGACTCGAATCACGCACTAATCACTGCGCAGATCTGTAAAGCGCTGATCGTTCGGAATCACGCTTTGGCGCTGGAGTTTGTCGACCGTTTGTTCGACGTCTTCAGTGACGAAGCGATCGCTGTGTTTGCGGGCAAGGCCATCGGTCAGATTGCGGCGACGGATCCAGTTCTGACGAAGAAGAACGGGGCAGTTGTCAAGGTCAAACAGCACTTCAAACAAGTTCCCTTCTCGCTGACTTCTCTGTCCAGTTCCTGTGGTCACAAAAGTTCGCTGTGGGGATGTTGCCTCGTTTGATGGAAGGCAAAGACAACGCGCATTTGATCGCCCTGACTTCATTAGTGCAGGCGGTGCCGTACACAGTTTACGCTCACGAGATGGGGCGACTGCTGCCATTCCTCCTGCGCGCGCTTGCCATCTCCGACGCGCAGATTCGGCTGGGCGTACTGGAGACTCTCCTCGTGACTGCCCAGAAGAACTCCCTCTCAGAGCATGCTGTCTCTCTCACTAGACACGCTCTCGAGTCTGTCCAGCCCGCACAGCTCAATCCACCGGTCAGTGCACTGACGACTGGTCACATCGATCTGTGTCTAACCACGCCTCAGTCAACCCGAATAGCTGCCCTTCGACTGCTGGCTGTGTTGCCCAGCACTGTGTCCTATGACGTGCTGCATCCGGTCAAGTCTGAAGTGCTTCGTGCTCTCTCTAAGGCGTTGGATGATCCGAAACGGGCAGTGAGGAGACAGGCTGTTGATACGAGAGAAGTATGGTTCAAATACACCGGTTGAATGAATCGTGTTGCGAGACTGCTCGAGAAAGTCGCGCGGAAGGAGTTCTCGGGCACATCGTTTTGATTGATGACGGGGCCCAAACAACAACCAAACTCCTCTCCTGATCTCCCATCTCACAGCAAGACGGTTTCAAAACATACATACAAGAATGTACAGAGGAAAATTTGCGCTGGGGCATGATATGAAAGAAAGATAGAACAAGGTTACACGAGCTTGGAATCTGCCAAGAACTGCGATTGGCGCGCCGGCACCAGCGCTGCAACACTCTCCTCCTCAAACGGCTGCTTCTCCACATCATGTGCCGCGACATAAGCCCCATACCCATACGGATCCTCGCCATGGAGCACCGCGGAGCCGGGACTCATCGCGGGCGCGTCGCCGAACTTCACCCACGCGGCGGCATTCGGGACGTACCCGGCCGCAGGCGACGTCGCGTGCTGCACCGCGTCCGCGATATCCGCGTGCGTACGTTCCCAGGCCCGGCGGTCCTGCTGGCGCTTGCGGCGCTTGTAGGCGAGGAAGCCGGCGCCCGCGAACAGGAGGAGCAGGAGCACGGGGACCAGGATCCCGGCGATGAGCGCTGCGGGGTGGCGATGGGCGCCGGGGGATGTGGTCCCGCCGATTGTCGATCCCGGGGAAGAGATCGCGACAGGCGCCGTTGTCAGGGTGTACACTTGGCCGTCGGAGGAGGTGCTGAGGAGCGGTTGGCTTGTGGTAGTGGCTGGAGAAAAATGAGCGAGGGTGGTCGGCGACGAAGTCTCAGATGCGGCCTTCTGGACAGTGGCAGAGTTCGGTGCTTCTCCCGTCGAAGGGCCTGAAGACTCTTGGAGCGTGCTGCTCGGTCGGATGCTAGGATTGCCATCATTCAAGCTGGCAGTGGTATGAACCGCTCCACTAGTAGATGCGTCCGTATCAGGGCTACCAGTGGTTGGATTTCCAGCCGTCGGAGTGGCTGGCGGCGGCGGCGGCGGCGGCTGACTTGGCGGACTGTGCAAGGAATCGGTTTCGTGTTTAGATCCCGTGTTAACTCACTCACGACGCAGGGTCATTACCACTGCCTGGAGAATCCGAGGTCGCGGGAGCGGCAGGTGGTGGCGGAGCGGGATTCACAGTTGTGGTGGCGGGTGTGTTCTCTGCCGGACGTGTATTGGGCGGAGCTGATGGCGGCGACTGTGTCGTTGTCTGAGGCGGAAGCGCGGGAGGCGGTTGATTTGGCGGTGGGAATGTGGTTTGCTGGGTCGTTTGCGGCGGCGGTGGTTGGTGGGTTTCACCGTCTCCGCCTTTGTGGTGTTGCTCGCCATTGCCACCCCCGCCAGATTGACCGTTGCCGCCATCGCTACCGCCACCAGGTTGGCCCGACCACCAGCTATCATTGTTATTTGATTTTGATTGTGTTGTTCCCATGGCCTAGGAGATCGGATTCGAGTTGGCGGAGATTTAGTGAGTGAGCGTGGGCATAAAATGAAAGGCTGGGCCTGCAGGCGCTGAGCGGCGGTACGGACCACAAGTGAGATGAGTGGGGAAGAAGGAAAATACGACAGCGCAGGATGCCGTCCCTTGTTTCGCAACCCATTCAATCTTGACATCAGTTGATATGTACAGCAAATAACTGATCAACTCCTTCATCAGATTGTCTGGAGAGATCGCCGTTGTCTTGACTCTATTCCAGGCGCCCGAGGGCCAATAACGTTGAAGATCATGTAGTGAGCTCATGTCACGAATGACAGGACTTTGAGTGCTGCCCATCCGTCAAGTACATGTCCGATTGCCTCTGACTTGGTGGGGCCTGAGCGCTAGATAAACCCGCTCAAGCACCCACTCTACACGTCCGCCTAGGAGAACTCGTCTCGTAGTGAGTTTTGAGAGCAATTCATGGCCGGATTTCTCTTTACACAACTAATATTGCGTGCTATACCCACCTTCCTGTTTCAGTCGATGAGCGTGGTCGAGCAGATGAGTAAGCGATCGAAGCCGTCGCGCAAGTCAAGTTACTCGAGGAGCTTCCAACTTTGATTGGAGGAGGAAAGTAATCAAGCAATCGAAGTTGGGCAGGTCAAAGCAGTCTAGCTCTGTAGTAAGCATAGAAACTCAGAACAAAAATTTGACATTCTGATAGAACTCGAGCATCGGATTCTCCCCGTTCTTCAGGCGCGTCTTGCTTAGATCCGCATACGTCGACAAGAACTGCGCATGACTGAACACGCTCGATTTTCGCTCCCCGACAGGCAGCCTGCTGGCCGAAGTGACTCCATCCACCGGTCTGCGACGATTGCTGGGGTGATACGACGAGAAGAAATCAGAGCCGGCCGACAGCGGGCCGGCATTCCCGCTCAGAGGCGTGGATCGCGGTTCAGGCAGACCGCGGCCTGTGACCGGCTCGGCGAGGATGTGCTCGTACATGTCCCGCAGCCGCTCGAAGTGGGTGGGGAAAAAGATGTCGAAATAGCCGGGCGCGACGAGCATGGTCGTCACAGGCACCGTCGTGTTCTGGAATCGCGTCTGCACAACTGGCGCGTTGTGTCCATAAATGGCGTCGGGCAGGGTGGAGAAGTCCGATAGGAGAAGCCGGTGGCGAGGGAAGTGCGTGCGCAGAGTCTTGAGCAGGCTGAACAGCCGAGTAGGTATGTACTCCGGTTTAGACAAGTTCGGCGCAAATGGGAGATTGGAATAAGCCTTTGCCAGGCTCGGCATTGCGCGCAAGAGACGTGAGATGCCCGACGGATGGCCGAGCTTTGTGCGCAGCTTCAGGTAGGATGCAATGAGGGGATCCGTCACAGGTGTGTAGATCATCTCGTAGTCCCCCCTGCGGTCGATGGTGACAAATGCTTGTAATGGCTCTAGCGTTTTAAGATCATAACGAATCATGTCGTGGGCAAAGTTGTCCTAAAGCTGTCGTTCAGATTCCCTCGCCGCCCTCAGAAAGAACACTCACTATAACTTCCATGGCAAGCACGAAACACGGCGCAGGCTCTTTTCGGTTCCACCGAAATACGCTCTTGTTCAGGATCCGAGCGCAAGGATGGGAAGCTGTCAATCTCTGCTTCTGCAACCCCGCCAGACTCTCACTGATCTCGATGATGTTGTATTGCGTTCTATCATAAACCTCTGGATGTGTCTTCTTGAGATAGTTGAGGATATTCATCGCCAGCGTCCCGTTCCCCGCGCCGACCTCGTAGATGACAAAGTCTTCGTACGGGAAATACTTGAGTAGATATTCGGCCACAATGCATTTGGCTATAGCTTCGCCGTACCAGGGCTATCAACTCATCAGCACAGGCTCTGAACAAGAGCCAAGGAGACAGAGATGCGAACCTTGAAAAGCTCTGTCGGCGTGTGCCATATTTGCCTCCCCGGGCCCTGATGCAAGTCCGCCCCATACGCAGCATACCGCGCACTCACTTCCTCCTGGAACTCCACCGAGTTCCGCAACTTCTCAAACTCAAACGGCACCTGCTGGCCATCGAAGATCACCGCCTGCTTGGGGAAGTACCCGTAGTGCGGGTTGTACAGCGAGTCTTCGATCCAGTCGCGCACGAGCATCTTCACCTCGCGCGGCTGCGTTTTGTGTCTCTCGAGCTGGTTGGCGTCGACGAGCGGGTACGACGCGAGGACTGCGTTGGGCGTCGCGTCGCCGTCCAGCAGGGTGTTTGAGTTGTAGTTCCATCGGTCGTCGTTGGGAACCTCCGAGGTTTTGGACTGCGATAGACGCGGCAGACGCGGCTTGTTGGAAGCGGAGCGGGTGAAGCTATGGAAGATTCGGCGTCGACATGCAGGACGGATGTCGGTGGCGATTGCCAAAAGCATTGATGATATACACGTGACACGCGGAATTCTCCATGTACAATTCGGACGCCGCGGCAGTGAACACTACTGTAGGGTTCGGATCCTGAATCCCCTGCAACTCGAATACAAGGGGTAAGATACGGTGCGTACGACTCGCCCAGCGACCAGAGTGGTAGATAGATGGATAGCTCGGTCCCTTCGTCTTTGGAATCTTATAGCAGGCCCTAGGTGACTTCAGACTTACACTCCGACCTGGGTTCCGGTTGCGCTCTGAGTGAAAGCGCATTGAATGCCATTTATGAGATACAACGAATTATGCAACAAAAATACAGCTGGAAAGGAGTAGTAAGTAGTCTAGCAATGCTATAGAATGGCAGATTGTGCGAATGATATAATGATAAGGAGTGCGAGTTGACCAATGTAATGCTATGGGTAGAATTATACAGCCGTCAAGGCAAGAACAACATATTATCGACGGGAGTCCTGAGGGTACTCCTCCGCCGACTGAAACTGGAATCATACGACGCCAGCGATACCCGAGAAGGAGAAGCGAAAGGATCCGTCTCAGTCCACGCCGGAGGAAGAGGGCCCTGGCTAAAGTCCAAACGGACAACAGGCTGCATCTTCATCTTTTGCTGCTTTGCCTTGGGCTGTTTCGGGGCTTTCAGCCTCGGCGGTGGGGGCGGGAGAATCGTCACAGCGCCAATGGGGCGAAGAATAGGTCGCGGTTGCCTCACCGGCTTGGGCAGCGGGGGAAGAGGGGGACTTGATGGGGCTTCGTCGACTGGTGGGACAGACGGCGCCTTCGATGCGCGGCCTGCGAAGTAGCGACGAGTGAAAGAAAACGTTTTCGGCGCCGAAACCGGCGAGACCGGCTTCGTCGAAGAGATGGACGATGATCGGGTGCGTACGGAGGCCAGAGTCGACGCGGACCAGCGGGATCTCAGGATGGGAGAGATTTCGGATTCTTGAGGGATCGGAGACGGCGCCGACGGCGGTGACGAGGCTGTCTGTTCCTGTTCCGGGGCGGCCAGCGAGAGACGTGGCTGCTGCTGCTCCCAAACTGCCAACGTCCCATTGAAGTCAACATCGAGAGTCGATGACGGCGACATGGAGCGATCGAGAGTCTGATAGTCTTCCCAATCTTCTTCATTGATGTCCGTAGGGATCGAAGCACGGGGCGCTCTGTCGCGGGTCGGGAGAATCGTCGCAACAGACGGTCGAACGGTATCTACGAACGATGTCAGCGCCGTGCCAGCAGACAAAACTCAAAGCAGCACACCCAGAGAAAAGTGTCCATTCACAGGCGAAAGAAGTAGGGGCGCATATGCTCGGTACGCAGCGGCGATGTCGCCTGAAGTATCTCTGCTCCGAGGACTCCACGGAGGAGGCTCTACCAGCTCAGTCGCCGACTGCGACTTCCGTATATCATGACCAGCCGGCAATTCCGCTGGACCCAAGACCGCAGAGCGTGCCAGCGATGTCGGCCGAGAGAAATTCGGCACGTCCGTGAGAGAAGACGATCGCATGCGCTTTAGGATGACGACCTTAGAATGCGGGAACGGGAATGGGGCAGCAGCTTCGACAGGCGAAAGCACAGATTCCGGAAGGCTTTCCGCAGGATTGACGCTGAGACGTCGACCAGCATCTGTGGCGTAGAACTCATCTGCCTCATCTTCGTACGCTAGCGGCGGCACAGGCAGAGGGATGCTGGGCGGAGCCCTGCGTGGCGGACGAAGTGTCGACGATAAAGGGAGCATGGGAGACGACAGTGCGACGAGGGACGGTGATGCTGGCGGTTCGCGTTTGGAGATGGCCAGAGGCCGGATGGTCTTGCATCTCAGAACACCAGATCGAGGTGGCGGGGACGCACACCCTTCACTGGGGCGAGAGTGAAGAGATGTAACGGACGTGGATGGACTCCAAGCAGTGAGAGAACCGGAAGAAGACGAAATGGATGAGGCGGAACTATGTGTTCGTCGAATGGTAGGGTAAGCGAATGATGACGGCGGTAGAGGGAAATCAAAGATCTCCGAAGAGTCCGCCGCATCCTCATCATCCTCCACAATCACGGCCCTTGTGTCGTTGGCTTCAATGTCGCGAAGTTTCAATGCGAGATGCCAGATCTCGTCATCGACGACTTTCTCGTCGGTGCTTGATGCGACAGTCGGTGAAGACGCCGTGTTGAGACATTCCAAGTCGAGAGGCAGAGGACCAAGGTTAGAGACACCTAGTCGACGACGTGCTTTGATGCTGTTCTTCTTCTTTCGTGGTAGCGGCGCGTCGAAAGAATCTGAATCCAAGAGATCCTCCTCAGGTGCATCCAGTGCTTTCCGTGGCCGTGGGGACAGTGATCGACTGATTCTGTGAGGTAATATATGGGGTGCTGGAGGGGTATGAGAATCCGACCGCATTCCCCGATAAACGGAGCGTGCATACCATTCATCTCGTACTTGGCTCAGTCTGAGGAGGAGGGGGCGAGAGCGAGAGTAGATCATCCCACCCTCCACGAGTCTTATTATAGCCCGGCATCCTTCCTGCTCTCATTGTTCTGTGCCAATTGGGAATTACAAAAAGGCGGCGTGGCCGTGAAAGGGAAGGAGTAAAGAAAGACAAAGCGAGGCACCGCCACGGATCGGACATATTGTCTGTAGACAATTGCGCTTACTGGGAGTGTTGTTGTGCGGCTAGCGTTTCATGCAGTAAGAAATCACGTTCCATTTTTCTTTGAACTCCGCTCGCGAAAGTTACAGATCCTATATCTCGAAGGACCGGATGTTGCAATTAATGAAGATGACATCATAACAAATAATCTAATCTAATCTCGAATATTCGTTTAATCCCTGGTCGATGTGATTGCACGTTGATCGCTCCTCAAGTTCGGGTAGCATATGTAGGGTCGGGGACATACCAAGGGAAATGAGAGCATCAAACCCTGATTTTGTGCATCCCAAGTCGCGGCTGGAGGCTCCAGATTCTGAACAGTCCTGTAACATTGACATTCGCTCCTGCGCAGGTATTCCTGATATACACTTTCCGACTCCCGATCAATGTTCGCCGCTCGTTGTAGCGTAGCGATCCTCGAGATCCTCCTGTCCACCAAAGCCTCCTTCGAAGTCCCGATCTCGCGCATTGGCCGCCTTGGTCGCTGACTCGGAAGTCTGCTTCGCCTGAGAAGACGCTCGCAGTGCAGCGAGCTGCTCTTGCTCCTGGTCGGATGAGTTTACCGAAGCCCGGTTCCCAATGAGCAGACTCACTTTCTTGTGAGCATAGGCAGCTTCAGAAGCTTGTCCGCGCTCTTTCCAGTTCTTATCCTGATAGATGTGTGAGATCCATGGATAGCTTGAATAGCAGAGTTTCGCGCACTTGAGATGTGGACATGGTGGTAGGTAAGTAGAGGATGTGGGGATTGGGGTGACATCATGAGCTGAACGTCATGCAAGAAGAAACACGGTCACGAGGTCTCAATCATTAATTAGTTCATGGGTCAACAGGCGCTTCTGGCGGATTCCTTGCTCCACGGAATGCTCACTGGCCCCAGAACGCTGAGCGAGCAGATCAAACTGCTCTTAGAAAAGTATCGTATACAGTATATACGTATAGATCATTGAGACAGAGAGGCAGGTAGTCGCAGCGGTAGATTTGAATGTGTGAATCGCTTCCCTCCAACTGCAAAGTCACTGACGACGTGACCCTTGCCTCCAGTACTCCGAAGCATGTACTTGTAGATCACAAGACCCTCAAGGCCCACTGGCCCTCGAGCATGGATGCGCCCAGTACTAATGCCCACTTCCGTCCCAAACCCGAATCGAAATCCGTCAGCAAATCGAGTGCTCGCATTGACGAAAGTGCCAGCGCTGTCGACGCCCCGGCAGAATACAGCTCCGGCCTGCTCGTTTTCCGTGACGATGGAATCGGTGTGGTGCGAGGAGTGGGAGTTGATGAATCGGACAGCCTCAGACAGGGAGGTGACTGTGACGACGGAGAGCGTGAGCGTCAGATGCTCAGTGGAGTAGGATTCGGGGGTAGAGGGCGAGATGTGGGTTGTCAAGTTCGGCGGTGCTGGGGACAGATTCTGAACCACCTCGAGAGTCGCGGAATCGCAGAGCATTCGGACGTTGACTTCGAGTAACGCACGAGCCACCACTGGCCATACAGTTCGCAACAGAGATTTGTGTACAATGAGCGTCTCAACTGCGTTGCAGGCAGACGGGTAGTCGATCTACGAGAGTCAGCAGGGTGAAGCATTCCCTCCCGGATTGCACACCTTCGAGTCGACGACCACACGAGCAGCTTTTTCTGCATCCGCCGATTCATCCAAATACACATGGCACAGGCCGTCAGCATGTCCCATCACTGGGATTCGCGTGTTGTTTTGGATGTTCCGCACGAGAGCATTGCTTCCTCGTGGTATGACAAGGTCAATGTATTGGTCCAACGAGAGAAGCGATGAGACCTCTGCCCGGGTCTGGATGGTCTGCACATAGGTGCTGGGGAGAGACGATTGAGACAGTCCCGTTGCGATCGCTTGTGCGAGGAGTTGTGTGGTGCGATTCGATTCTTTTCCGCCCTTGAGAATGGCAGCATTGCCTGCATTTGCATTAGAGAGCAACCAGGATGAGGAAAATTTACATACCGGACTTGATTGCCAGAGCCGCGATGTTCACCACGACCTCCGGACGCGCTTCGAATATGACAAGCAGAACGCCAATAGGACAGGAAACCCGAAAGACCTCCAGATCGTCATCCAGCGCCTTGGCGTAGGAGACAATACCGGTAGGATCCGGCAGGTCTGCAACTTGAGAAACGCCCTCGAGCATCGAGTCCCATTTGTCGCCCTTGTTCAGGTCTAAGCGCTTCAGCAGTGATTCGGTCATCCGCCCTGCGTCTACTTCGACTTGAGCAGCCTGTCAGATGATAGTTCCGACAGTTTGAGGCTGGGCTACGTCTGGACATACCTGCAGATCCTCCTTGTTCGCCGCTAGGATTTCCGCCTTACATGACTCCAAGGCTCGCCGTATGTGATGCAGGGCATTCACGCGTTCAGACGATGCGACGAGCTGCGAATCCTCGAAAGCAATCTTGGCTGCTTTGGCGATCTCTTCAGCAGTGGACATTTTAAGATGTGGTGGGGGTAAGGAAGATGACTCGTGTGAAGGGCGCCCCCGTCTATATCACTGACACTTATACTCGGGATCTTCCGCTTACTAAGCAGTCATTTTCCTCCTTGTCTCTTCCGAAACTCAATCTTTTCCGGATGGCGGATGCGCGCCTCGTTGACAGCAAGGCGACATTCTCATCGTTTGCGAATCTCCTCGACACCCGCATATTGCGCGCTCTAGCTGATCTCGGCTTCGCTCGCCCAACGTTGGTGCAAACAAAAGCAATCCCTCTTGCACTCGAAAGTAGGGATATCCTAGCCCGTGCGCGTACGGGAAGTGGGAAAACCGCGGCATACTGTATACCAGTCGTCCAAAAGATCCTGAGTGCGAAAAGTGTAGGTGGGTTGTGATGATGGTGGGACGGACGGGAGCTGATGGTTCAGTAGTCGCTCGATGCGGTCCAGGCCACGCGCGCTTTGATTCTCGTGCCAACAAGGGAGCTTGCGGAACAGGTGTCCGTGTATCTGAAGAGCCTTGTTGTATATTGCGAAAATCAGGTGTCGATCTCGAATGTTGCTTCTGGTGTAACGACCCATCTGCAACGGTAGGAAACCTTGCCCCTCCCTGCATTGTGACTAAAGAGAATAAATTTCAAGAACATTACTTTCCGACAAGCCGGACATTGTCATCTCGACGCCATCGCGTGCCTTGGCGCTGATGCAGTCCAAGGTATGCCCTGCTTGGTGTCGAGGGTGTTTATCACAACAGTTCATAGGCCCTCATTGCCACTGCGCTTGAATCGCTCGTCATCGACGAGGCGGATCTGATTCTGTCGTATGGGCACGACGAAGATGTCCGACAAATCTTCAGCGGGGCATTCCTTCCAAAAGTGTATCAGTCGTTCCTTATGAGCGCCACCATGACCGAGGATGTGGAGATGCTCAAGGGCCTGACACTGCGGAATCCGGTACGTTGCTTCTGGTAGTATCAACAACTGCTGACGTCAACCAGGCGATCCTGCGTCTCGAAGAAAGCGAGGATGAGGCAGCGAATCTCAGCCAGTATTCCGTTCGGTTTGTTGCTCATTTCACGTTTCTTTCTTTTCTGAACCTGTCTTCAGGTGTAACGAAGTCGACAAGTTCCTGCTGACCTACGTGATTCTCAAGCTCAAGCTCATCAAGGGGAAGTGCATTCTCTTCGTGAACGACGTCGAGCGCTGTTACCGCCTGAAACTCTTCTTGGAGCAGTTCTCTATCAAGAGTTGTGTGCTGAACTCGGAACTGCCGCTGAACTCGCGATACCACACGGTGCAGGAATTCAACAAAGGCGTGTACGACTATATCATCGCAACGGACGAGAGCGGTGCCGGTGAGATGGACTCGGAGGATGAGAAGGAGGATGAGGAATCCGCTGATGAAAATGAGGGAGACGAGGATGATTGTGCGTTCCATCTTTTGTTTTGGGTCTTCTGTTGACCTTTAGTTCAGTTGTCCCATCGCAGCGAGAACCTGTAGATGCTGAGGAGCCAGAGTCCATCAAAGCTGGACCCTCCCCCAAAAAGCGCAAGCGGTCCGTATCACCGCTCCCGGCCAGCAAGAAGCGAAAGCCATCGAGCAGTCACAACAAACGCGACAAGGAGTACGGCGTGACACGTGGCGTCGACTTTGTGGATGTCGCATGTGTTCTCAACTTCGACCTGCCCTCGTCGGCTCGGGCATACACACATCGAGTGGGGCGAACTGCCCGCGCTGGCCGGACAGGCATGGCCCTGTCATTCATCTCGACGGGAGCCGGGCCGGACAGCAAACGAATGAAGGGCGAAACAATGTCGGATCAGAGGAATGACGAGAAGGTGTTTGCGCGGATCGAGGCCGAGCAGGCGGCGCGGGGAAGCAAGCTGCAGGAATACAAATTCGACATGAAGCAGGTGGAGGCGTTCCGGTACCGGATGGAGGATGCGCTGAGAAGCGTGACGCGGTCGGCGATACGGGAGGCGCGGGTTGGCCAGCTGAAGACGGAGATCCTAAACTCCGACAAACTGAAGGTGCGTTTGTCTTCCTGTGCAGCGCACCCCGTTGTCATATCAGTCGCTAGGCCCATTTCGAAGATAACCCGATGGACCTGGACTACCTGCGGCACGACAAGCCATTGCACCCGACTCGCGTGCAGCCACACATGAAGCATGTTCCCAAGTACTTGCTCCCCCGGATTGCGCCCGTCCCCGGCAGCGAGGAAGCGCCCGCGGGCAAATCCGGGTTCGTCCCGTTCAGGAAGGACGGAGCGCGCGGTGGCACCCGTGGACGCGGCCGGGGCAACGGACGAGGCGGCAACGGACGAGGTGGCAAACGGAAAACTGATCCTCTAAAAAAGTTCTCCCGATAGACTGTAGTTGTAGGTCGCGTCTTTAGGCAGTGAGCCCTACCATCGTTCCTCATCTTCTGCGAGCGAGTGTGTGTGTGTGTCTTTCGTGTCGAATGCCACGACCATGGGAACCCGTGGAGCCTCCGCTCTTCCTCTTGGACACTCTCACTCTCTGATCGATTACGGGATTAGGATTCACCTGGCGTCAATGATGTCCCCGACCTATACCGAACCGCACGCTCAATGGTCATTCACGCTGATCCAGGACGTGGAGCGGAGTAGTCTAAGCCCGTTTTGTGTTCTGCAGACAGGCACAGCACCAACGGAATTGAATTTATCGCTGACCTTGAGTGGACTAGTAAGCAGTCACGGACCCTTGGTCTCCGCGCAGAGAGTTGCGTTCAGGATCAGCCAAAAAGATAATCGTAAGCGAAGCGGCCCGGTTTGGGCCGGCATGGACGGTATATCATAGGGGCCCCGCGGGACCCCCTTCGCAACTTTTCGCCCATACCGCCATCATGTCCAAGCAAGGAGAATTCGTGGGTTCGTTGGATTGTGGAACGACGTAGGAGCGCGGTTATCTCCGTGCCCACTCGTCTTACTTCAGCGCAGCTCTGTTCGCTTCATCATCTTCGACCAGTACGCCAACATCGTCGCTCAGCATCAGCTCGAGTTTCCTCAGTACTATCCCCATCCCGGGTATGTCCCTCCCGCTTGGCTGACGGATCCCGGCTGAGCATCTCACCGCGCAGATGGCACGACCACGATGCGAGTGAAATCATGGAGCACGCGAACCTCTGCATCGACGGCGCCATGAAGAATCTCGTCGCTGCGGGCTGGTCGGCGGACAGCGTGAAAGTCATCGGTTGGTCACCACCCCACGCTGCATCCGTTCCGGGTGGATTCTCATCGGTCATGTGTCCCGTTTTCGTCTAGGCATCACGAACCAACGTGAGACCACTGTCGCCTGGAGCCGCAAGACGGGCAAGCCGCTGTGCAAGGCCATCGTGTGGACCGACTCGCGGACCAAGAACACCGTCGCGCACTACTCGCAGAAGCTTGAGGAGACGGGGATCGAGGTGCGCCCGGGGGAGTGGAGCAAGGGCCCGGATGGGTTGCGGGACATGTCAGTTCTGTGTACAAGCCATCTCCCGATCGCCGCTCATGATTGAATTAGCACGGGTCTTCCTTTGTCGACTTACTTCTCGGCGATAAAGCTGCGATGGATGATCGATCACTACCCCGATGTTTCTGCCGCGCACGACGAGGATGATCTGGTCTTCGGCACCGTGGAGTCTTGGGTGCTCTACAACCTTCTCGGCGGGAACGAGACCCATATCCACCTCACCGATGTTAGCAACGCGTCCCGGACCCTGCTGCTGAACATGACTACGCTGCAATGGGAGCCGTCCCTGCTGGCGTTCTTCGGCCTGCGGCCCTCCGTCTTGCCGAAACTCGTCTCGACGTCTGAGGTGTACGGCAAGATCTACGACGGGCCTCTGAAGGGCGTCCCGGTGGGCGGATTGATCGGGGACCAGCAGGGTGCGCTGGTGGGCAACAAGTGCTTGCGGCAGGGCGAGGCGAAGTGCACATACGGCACGGGTGCTTTTCTGCTGTTCTGCACGGGCACCGACATCGTCAAGAGCAAGTACGGTCTGCTCAGCACCGTCGCGTATCAGGCCGGCCCGGGCTCGAAGCCTGTGTATGCTCTCGAGGGGTCGATCGCCGTGGCGGGCAGCGCTATCAAGTGGCTGCGAGACAGCATGGGCCTCATCGAGTCCGCTGCTGATGTCAACACGCTGGCTGCCAAGGAAGAGACTGCCGGTGGCCTCTACTTCGTCACCGCGTTCTCCGGACTGCTCGCTCCGTACTGGGATCCCGGCGCGGCGGGCACCCTGATCGGTATTTCTCAGTACACGAATCCGTCGCACATCGCACGGGCGACGCTCGAGGCCAACGCGTACCAGACGCGGGCGATCATCAAAAGCATGCAGCGGGACGCCGACAACGAGCTCAAGGTCCTCAAGGTCGACGGCGGCATGACCAACGGCGATCTCGCCATGCGCATATTGTCCGACATCGGCGGCTTCACCGTCGTGCGACCGGAGATGCGCGAGTCGACTGCCCTCGGCAGCGCTCTGCTCGCTGGCGCTGCCATCGGCCTCTTCGGCTGGGATCTCGCTAAGCCCGAGTCGCTCGCGCAAGTCAACACGCAGGGAAGCGTCGAGTTTGCTCCTGAGCTGCCCGAGGCGGAACGTGAGCTGGGGTGGGCTGGCTGGCAGCGCGCTGTGGACCGTTCCAAGGGTTGGGAGGAGGGTGTCGCTGCCGAGTAAGTTATCATGTGTGTTTATGCTATGAGCGAAGAAAAAAACAACAAAGTGTAGAGTAGCTCCCGTGAAGATCCAGGATTGTACCTCTATCTTGTAACAGTAAATACCCTAATATTATCAACAGTGGTATCCCCAGTCAAGTAATCCGATCTTACTTGGCTACCTCTTCGCGGCTCGCCAGCGGTCCGGCGGCCCCCCTCGGACCGCTGGTGCTTGTTCTCCTGAGTTTCAGATGGGATGGCTCATGGGGAAGTATGCTCAAAATTAGACTCGTGCTCACTTCAATTGCGTGTCACCAGAAGTCCAGAATCTTTTTGCATGTGTGAGAAGATCTGTGTGAGTCTTACAACAGATGGAACCACGCTCAAGATCAAGCCGCGTCTGTCCAAAAAAAGAAATCTTGTAGAGCTCAGCTGTGCTTAGAATTTTACATTCAACCAAGCAGCCACACCAAACTGTGAGCTTCTCTCGACTAGTGCAGTGCTCGACTGCAATTCGTCCGTTCTTAGTTAAGCAAGTTTGAGTTGACGACACAAAAACAGCAATCATGTGATGTTCAAAAACACGATCACGCACAACGTAAGTACCTGTGGGGAAGCACGCGAAACGATGCCGGCATTCTCGTGCACAAGCGTCCATACTTATGCGCTTGCCTATTCTGCAGTCGGATCTACAGGCCGAAATCACAGCATGGGTCCAACTGATAGTTCCAGTCAAACTTCCGGCTTTGGTAATGATAGCATGTGTGCGACAGTCTCATATTTCGATGGCATAAGCCTGAAACGTGGAAGAACTTCCGGAAGCAAATCGATACATTATAGGACAGAGAGCACCAAGACAAAGGCAAGTATGTACTGTAACTAGAGACCTATATGCACTGCACATCTCCCACCCACCCACCTCACAACAACTGTGAAGCATCTAGACTGTACGGGAGAACGCCCGAATCCCGGGAAAACGGAGGATCCGTGAAATGCCCGTCCATCGAACGGCGCGACTCCGCCAGGGCTGGCTCGTCCTGCAAGTCAAGCGGGGACTCGCTCAGGTGGAACGGCGAGTCCATGAGACTCGACACGCGCGACCGCGCATCGTCGGAAAGCCGCCTCGTCGAGACGGTGAGATTCCGGTGGAGCATGGGCGGCGCGGGGTTGTCGTCAACGGGAGGTGGAACGGGCGGCATTGGTGTCCGCGTCACCACGAGGGCTGGTGCCGCGAACGTGATCGAGGCCGGGAGTGGCGAGGGCGGCGGTGGCGGGGTCTCGAGCCGGTTCCAGGCATTGGCTCCGCTGGCCGGCTTCTCGCGCATGAGATCGTCGTTTCCCTGCCAGAATCGATCGCGGTTCTTTTGTCTCCGGCGACGCACGGCTAGAAACACAAGCAAGCCGACCAGAGTTGTGAGGACGATGAGCACGGGGACGACGATCACGGCGACGTTGACATGCGAGACCGCAGCAGTCGCCGACGGAGCCGTTGAGGCCGATGATGCTGCGGAATCGGTCGCTGCTGGACCAAAGAACGGAGCAGTGGAAGTTTGATCCGCGGCCGAGCCGATGCCAATATCGGAGGGGCCAGAAGAACCCTGGGGGAACGAGTCTTGCGTCGTTGACGCCCCATGTTTGCTGGCGGAAGACACAATCGGAGCCAGCTGGTGCGCGGTAGTGCCGCCGCTGTTATTCGGTTGCGTAGGCGTAGGCGTAGGCGCAGGATCCGTAGTTACTACAGGAAGCAAGGTAGTCGATGTTCTAGACAAAGTCAGCAATTGAAAAACCCAGATCGACCATCACGCACGATTGAGGAGGAGGAGGAGGGGCTGCCACTACAGACGTGGATGTTGGTGGTGGTGGCGGCGACTGTTCAGTAGAAGTAGCGGGAGGTGGCGGCTGCTGCGGCTGTTCGGGCTGCTGTGGCTGCTGAGTGGGAGAAGACGGTGGTGGAGTTTGAGATGTCTGCTGAGGTGGGGGTGCAGGTGGTGGGGTGTATGGGGGCGGGGTCGGCTGCGAAGGAGGAGGAGTCTGCGGTGGCGAGGTTGGCTGTCCTCCCTGGCCACCTCCCCCATTTCCATTCCCATTCCCATTCCCGTACCCGCCTCCATTGCCTGGCTGCCCGCCGTTTCCCGGATTGGAAGGAGGAGTCGGTTTACCGAAGGGAGGGAAAGGTATTGTGATCGGGAAGCCGCCTATGCTGAATACGAAATCAGGGGCCGGCGCAGGTATAGGTGCAGGTGCAGGGGTCGCCGCTGCCAGAACGAAGAACGACAAGAGTAAAGCCAAAGACAGTAGTGAAGAAAGGAGCGAAGGGTGAGCATGGCTCATGGTTCGGTGGACGCGACTGCGTCAGTCTGTCGGGTAGTGTACGACCTGCGAGGTCTTCAGAGCGCGACTCGCGTGCAAGAAGGCTGGAACACACCAGATAGTAAAGAACAACGTTTCAAACAACTGTGTGGGTCACTGAAGCACACCGAAGACTACCACGCGAATCAGTGATTCAGAGTTCACACCTCGCGCTTCCAAAAAATAAGAAGGGCCTCGACAAATATAAGCGTTGCGTGGATGTTTGATGCTGCCCTGACGCGCTTGATGCTCGCTCAGCCGGAGTCTTTCCCAATGCATGGCTTGTGTGGACCCGCCAATCCTCACGTCAAGCCTCCGAGGAGCCTGCTGAATTAGTTGCTGCGAAGCCGTGGGACCGTCGCCCGCGTATCGCATTGCATTCGATAGCCTCCACGTTGGAGCTCGAGTGGGGATCCGCGATCGAGAGGCGCGCCTCGGGGCCAATTGCATCATCGGATTTTGACTCCGTGATTGTTCGGTGTCAAACGGCCTAGCCGCAGAGCGTGACAGGCCCGTCTGGGACAAGCCGTATGCGAATCTGAATGCTAAGGGTCCTAGTGCATCAAGGCCGACGTAGGGCTAGAAAATGATGGGCTGTGGATGAGGGCAAGATCACTACATACATAGCACACTTTGGCTCCCACGAAGTTATTTGACAGTTGGCAGCAGCCCATCAACTCATCCGCGTCCCCTCAGGGGCAGCTCTAGGAGGACCAAGTCTCTACACACAAGTTGTACTCTACAGTCGGTTCACTCGGTTACCCTAAAGCGAATTAAAACTTCGTTTGCTCGAAACTGCTTGCTGGGTGTCAACTTGTCAATGTGCGTCACGGAATGGAAGTTTGGTGGTCTAAACTCCCGGCCATCCGTCTCATAATATGAACACACTGTTGACCCATTTTCTGTGCTCCCAAACTTGATGTCCAAAAACCTCCTTGTCATCTTCAACTTCATGTTACCTTCGATTCGAAGTTATTCAAAGTGGCACGACGGTATCCTTTCCCCCACACTTGGAATTAACTTTTGAATGACCCTCTCTCTTTCCCCGTAGGCTGTCATTGATCTCAAGCCGAATTATGTTTTGCCTGATGCTTGACATCTGGAGGTAGAGCATAAGCCTCAGCGTGGAGTTAACAAACGTTATCTTATCTAAGTTTTATCTCAGAAACCGGGTGGGTACTCATTTGATGAGATCAGAACCAATCACGAGAGGGTCTGAATAACCAGCCATCAAACTGAGCACCCTCGCAGTCACCGCCTGTTTGAATACGCGAAAACATATATCTGCTCTCCCAGCCCGATATACGCCAGCCCGGGCCCTTATTAGACGCACATCCCCGTCGCCGCGACACCTGATGTCTTCCGGATGCTCAACGGTCGCCAACACCAACGCGTACTTCCATCTCCGTGTGGCATCGGTCTTCATCGTACTCGTTTGCGCATCGTCTGGCGCTCTATTCCCGGTGCTAGCGCGGCGATCCACATGGCTGCACGTACCGAAGGCCGTATTTGAGTGAGCATGCCTCCTCATCTAGTGCTTCGTTTGTTTGACTCAAGTCCCGCAGCTTCGCAAAATACTTCGGGTCGGGTGTTATCGTGCGTGGAGGCGCGGTTCTGTGTTCGGTTGCCCACCCTCTGAGCCGTCTTCCAGATTGCCACGGCCTTCATACACCTTCTCTCACCGGCGCTAACCGAGCTATCCTCTCCTTGTTTGTCGCCGGGGTGGACAGACTATGTGCGTTCTGCGGCCCTACCGATCTAAGCCGCGCTAAGCCGCCATCAGCCCTACGCCCTGGCACTATGCCTTCTCAGCATCTTCTCCATATTTGTGCTCGAGCTAGTCGCATTTAGGTGGGGGACGTCCAAGCTGGAGAGCATCGGGCTTCGCCACGGTGAGTTGCGACGACACCGGTTGCGGAGATGTTGTCCACGATCCTGATCGTCTCCAGACCCGCATGGTCACTTTGTAGGCTCGCATGCTGCACATGGGCCTGAGGGAGGCTCGGCAACGCCGCCGAAAAGCACGCAGACAGAGGCGGAACTGATCGAGAAGGAGCGCGACGTCGAGGAATCTGCGCATCAGCATCAGCATGAGCATCATGGGCACCACCACGGGGAGCGATTCGACAATTCGGCGAGTGCGCAGATCGTGGGTATCGCTATCCTCGAGTTCGGTGTGCTGCTGCACAGCGTGCTCATTGGCCTGACCCTTGCCGTCGACGAGGGCTTCCGGGTGCTATTCGCGGTGATCATCTTCCATCGTGCGTGCGCATTTCCTGCGGGAGTCGGCCCCGGCCAGGCGCTTATTCCTCTCAGAGACATTTGAAGGCCTCGGTCTCGGCTCGCGGCTAGCCGGCATCAGGCTTCCGCCACGCTACAATTACGTTCCGGTCGTCGCTGCGATCATATACGGGTTCAGCACTCCCATCGGTATCGCTGTTGGTCTTGGCGTGCGGAGGACGTACAACCCGGGCAGCGCTACGGCGTCGATCGTCAGCGGGGTGTTGGACTCGCTCAGCGCTGGTGTACTGATTTACACGGGGCTGGTTGAGGTGGGTGGTTACGTGCTCTTGCGATCTTCGGAGGCTGACCAGCCGTAGCTTCTGGCTCACGAGTTCCTGTTCAACAAGGAGATGATGAACAGCTCGAATGGGCATCTTGCGTATGCAATCGGCACGATGCTCCTGGGATGCGGGCTGATGGCACTGCTGGGGCGCTGGGCATAGAGTCTCAGCTGAGAAGTCTCCATTACGACACACAACCTATTGCTCACACTGCTTTTATCGTTATTCACACCCGTGCCCTCCAATGTAATGCTTTGTACTTCTGTAGCCAAGGTTTAGGACGATCAGTTTCACTACGCTATCAATCGACACTGGCATATATATACATTGGAGAGACGGGGTTCCAGGCTGATCCGTGGGGCTCCAGGCGCGCAGACTTGTCCACCTGCGGCGTTGTCGGTATTTACGACCCAAAGCCCAGTCCTCAGCGTCAACCCCTGCGCGCTCTGGGACCGCGCCGATTCAGGTGACCCCAGGGAGGAAGACCTTGTCCCATGTGGGTAAGAAGCACGTGGTACGGCCCTCCCTGCCTCTCTCCCACCATCCAGTTCGAAGCATCGCTGAGCTGCCATCTGGACGCTCGTAACCAGACGGCATCGTCCTGCCGGGGGACGAGGACGCATCACGCGCCCATCTCACACACAATCCTTCCCTTCTATTTCCCAGCCTCGCTGCATATCCCTTCCAGCGCCGTCGCGCGGGGGCGAAGTCTGTGATTCGGAAATGAACTTGGCGGTTCCCCCCAGTGCCGTTCTCACCCTTCTGCGCGAAGCTTCTCGATGAGCGTCGCCGCTTGAGACGAGGGATCCGGCTGCGGACGTCTGCACTCCCACCGCATTGAAGAACTATTAAGTTGACTACATCAGAGACTTCTCAGATTCCATGAGCATAATCTCGCTCGTGACTGCGCAGACGACTACCCATGTTTCTTTGCTGCCGGCCAATCTGGATCTGGCAGCTTCCTCCCCACATGCTTCTGCGCGTCCGTCCCATCCCCGGCCTTTCTCCAGGGAATGAAAGATGGAATTTCTGCAGCGCGTCTTCGATCTTCAAAAAGCAGCACAGTCCGGCTTCGATTCCCAGCCTGATTCGCGGAGCCTCTTTCGCGCAGGATGTGGTCGTCCTCTGTGCTGGTCTGTGCAGCAGCTGCCGCCGTCGCCCAACTCCGCGCCGTGTCCGCGCAAGCCGACCCTGCGCAGTTCGTCGACACGCTCATCGGGACGTCGAATGGGGGGCATGTGTTTGCGGGTGCGACGCTTCCGTGGGGCTCCGTCAAGGCCGGCGCCGACAGCAACTCGACCGATAAGCAGGGTGGGTATGTCAGCGATGGGTCACCCATCACAGGCATCTCGCAACTGTAGGCTGCCTTTCGTGTGTCGTGTTTCCTGCCCTCACGATGTCCGCAGACACGACGACGGGACCGGTGGCGGCGCATCGCTGGGCAACTTCCCACTGCTGCCTCTGACCGATACCCAATGCGGTTCAGATCTCAAGAAGTGCACGGTGGACCAGGTCGGTCGAGCCATGGCTCACGGAACACCGAACACGTCCCCGGGATACTGTGAGTACTCCGACGGATAAGGGCATGAAAGTCGTTGATGAACGTTTCCCCAGTCAGCATCCCTCTGAACAACAGCGTCCTGGCCGAAGTGACGGTCACCGAGCATGTCGCCGTGCACCGCTTCACCTATCCAGCAGGCACGAAACAGATGGTTCTCATCGTCGATGCGACGAACGGTGCGTGGTGCCTTGATTCGACGGCCAGTGCTCAACTCACCTTATATGCGTTAGACTTGGCTGGGACATACGAAAACGTCGGGTCCACCGCATTGAGAATTAATCCTACCACCAAGGGCACCCAGATCTCCGGCACAGGCGCTTACCAGCCGTCTTTCGGAGAGTCGACGTTCCAAGTGCACTACTGTTTCGACTCTCCTGTCCCCTTCGACACTGCACAGTTTTATCAGAACGTTAGCGGGAAGCTCCACTACCGAGCTCTGTCGAAGAAGGCCAGTTTTGCGCAAGATATCGGGGCCCAAAGTCCAGCTGGCTTTCTGTTGGGCTTCGACACGCCTTCAAGGAATGTCAGCAGTACGCTGGTTGTCCGGATGGGTATCTCGTGGACGAGCCCCGAGAAGGCCTGTCAGTTCGCTGCAGCTGAGGTTCCCGCGATCACTTCTGCGAGCTTCGACAGCGTGAAAACGGCGGCACGGTTCGTCCTTTTCTCGATCTCTTCGCCAGGTCTTCGACTTATCCAATGCCAGTGCGAAGTGGAACGAGGTGTTCAGCACTGTCCAATTGGATACCACGAATGTCCCGCACGACACGCAAGTCTTGTTCTGGAGCTCGCTGTACCGCACGTACATCTCTCCGACCAACATCACAGGTGACAACCCGCTGTGGGTCTCGAATGAGCCGTACTATGACAGTTTCTACTGCATCTGGTGCGATGACTTCTACTAACCATTGTCAGATGCTGACTGTATCAAAGGGATTCATTCCGTGTTGTGCACCCCCTCTATGCGATCACAGCTCCCAAAACGCAGACTGAAGTCGTTCGAGCGCTGATCGACATCTATCGACACACAGGCTGGCTTCCGGACTGCCGCATGTCGCTCGACAAGGGCTTCTTGCAGGGTGGCTCCAATGCCGACTCACTTCTTGCCGACTCGTTCCTCAAGGGGATCAAGGCGGGGATCGACTGGGAGACGGGATACAAGGCCATGGTCAAGGATGCCACCGTCCCCGGCGATTTCAGCGTGCAAGGCCGCGGCGGAATCGCGGCACGTGCCGCTCTGGGCTTCATCCCCGTCAACGACACGTCCGATAACCCGCCGAACGAGGGCCCCAACACCAGAAGCGCCTCGCGACTGCTGGAATATGCGTACAACGACTTCGGGATCGGACTCGTCGCGCAGGGGCTCGGCAAGACAGGCGACCAACAGAAGTACTTTGCGAAGTCGGGCGATTGGTTTAACATCTGGAACCCGAATGCCACGAACACAGGGTTCCATGGATTCATCCAGCCTCGAACGAAGAATGGCTCGTGGTACTTTGACCCGCGGTGGGATGTCGGCGATGTTTTCCGTCCGGACCACTGCAGTCCATCCTTTGGTCCGAATGATTGTTTCTTGGTGAGTGGCTTGTTCCGTTTCGATCGAACTGGCTGCTGAGTGTACTGCGCAGAATCCCGACGGCGGAGAGTTTTACGAGGCTTCTTCCTGGGAGTATAGCTGGTTTGTGCCCCAGGACATGGCCAAACTAATCAAAGCAATGGGTGGTCCTCAGACTGCCAGCGCGCGGCTCGATGCGTATTTCGCCAATAACTTTGGAGCAAGTCTCCTTCACTTCTCTGTTCATACCGTGGGCCTGACCCCAGGCTCTGCAGTCGATCGGAGACGAACCCGGATTCTTGCCTACGTATCTCTACAACTACTTTGGCCAGCCGACGAAAACAGTGGACCGGGTAGCCGAAACTTTGTCTCAAAACTTCAGCACGGCGTGCGTATGACTCTTTTGGCTCATTTCACGCACTCATTCTTATCCCAGGGTCGACGGGCTACCTGGCAACGATGATTCAGGGGCGATGGGCGCCTACGCAGTGTGGAGTCTTCTCGGTGCGTCGTTTCCGGTACCTGACCTGACCTTCCCGTTGCTAACACCACAGCAAGGATTCTACCCTGTGGCGGGCCAGGACACGTATCTGCTCAGCCGACCGCACTTCCCGCAAACGAAGATCCGAAACCAACTGACCGGCAACGTCGCGACGATCACCGCGCAGGGTCTGAGTGCGACGAATATCTACATCCAGTCGGCGACGCTGAACGGGAAGAGCTATACCAAGAACTGGATCTCCCACCAGCTGTTCTTGGACGGCGGGGAGTTGATTCTGGTCATGGGAGCGTCGAAAGATAGCACTTGGGGAACGGGCCAACAGGATCTGCCCATGAGTTTGAGCACAGGGGGATTTGTTTGATATCTTTCCTCAGGGCTGTTATCGCGAGTGAAATTCTGTATAAAACAACAAGTGTATACTGCTTCATTCTGGTATCTCACAGCCTGGTAAGTATTTGGGCAAGCTGAAAGCCGGTTCGACGGTAAAAGAGTTCGATCCACAACTCGTGCAAACACGAAATGTCTTCCCGATCCACCAAGGACAAAATCCGCATCAACGATCTCTTCCTCACAGTCCCTCTCCTCACCGGGGCAGTCTGGCCTAAGCCCGCCGGTGAGGCTGCACTGCAGCCGCTCCTCGTCTCGCTCTCCATCACACATGACATCTCCACCGCAGCGACGCACGACGATTTGAAGACGACGATCAATTACTCGCACCTGTGCAAGATCCTCCGCGGGGCGCTGAACGAGCAGACGGCGGCGTTCGAGACGCTGGCAGCTGTTCTCGATCGGATACTGGACCTGCTGTTTGGCTCGGGGATGGTCGTGGAGGTGGAGGCCTCGGTTGTGCAGACGCGGGCTCCGCTGAACTGCCGGTCCATCGCCGTTGGAGCCCTGGCCAAGTCCAAATCCGCTGGCTGGGAGATCCTGCGTTTAAGACATTACGTGAACGACCTGCAGTGTCTTGCGATCATCGGCGTCAATGCTTGTGAGCGGGAGGAGCGGCAGACTGTGTGCGTCAATGTCACGATAGAACATGCAAGCACTGTCCACTTTCGCGCGCTGACGCGGCACTTGCATCAAGTACGTGGTGCTATTCACTGGACCCCCGATGCAGGTGTATAACCCGGATAGATAGACGGTCGTCGCGTCCTCTTATCTCACACTGGAAGCGCTCACATTGCACATCGCTGAGAACACATTACAAAACCTCGATCGGAAGACCTCTCCTGTTGTGACCGTCAGGGCTGCCAAACCCTGCGCCATTGTGTTCGCGGGCTCGTCGGAAATCGAGGTGTCTCGATCCCACGCTGATTTTCCGCAGAGATTCGACGAGCAGGTGCGGTCTCAAGAGTCCTACACCATTCTTGGCTGACTTGAGCTACAGCCGCTCAAGGTCGCTATCGCTCTAGGCTCGAACCTCGGTGATCGATTCCAGAACATCGAACACGCGCTCCGTTTGCTCGAATCTCCCGAGACGCCCGATTCTACTGTCGCGGTGGTCGACACCAGCTTTATGTACGAAACGGCGCCGATGTATGTGACGGACCAGCCGTCGTTCATCAACTGTGCTTGTCTGGTCAGTCCGGTCTCCGATGATACCCCAGCTCCCGCTCATGGTACGCAGATCGAAACAAACATGCAGCCTCTGCAGCTGCTGCAACACCTCAAACGGATTGAGCATCTGGTGGGCCGGGTGCCGTCCATCCGGAATGGGCCCCGGGCGGTCGATCTTGACATCGTGCTGTACGGCGATCTCGTGATCGACACACGCAAAAGTCCTCGCAAAGAATTGGACGATCTGGAGGGCGAATTGGTGGTCCCGCATCCCCGGTTAGGAGAGCGG